GTGTTGGTGCCTCCAGTCAGCGCCCACACAAGTGTTGGAGCCTCCAGTCAGCGCCCACACAAGTGTTGGAGCCTCCAGTCAGCGCCCACACAAGTGTTGGTGCCTCCAGTCAGCGACCACACGTTACAAACTGTACGGGGAAGGTAAATGACTTAACTTAGACGAAGAGGGACAAAGTTATCTATCACGAGTCTTGATGCTGGGTTCTCGTGTTTACATCTCGGTTTTTTATTATTTTTTAGCAATAATTATTTATTTGCAGTATAATTTTAGTAAAAATATTGATTTATTTTTACAAATATTTATTAAATAGTGGCTTAAGATGGTGTTGAGGAAGTTGTTGTTGGTGACTTGGGGGTGTTTGTGGGGAGCGGGTCGCGGGGACCACTTCTTCAAGGACTACTCCTTCAGGGACCGGGTGTCTCCCCACGGCCACCACGACCTCCAAGACCACACCCAGTACCAAACTCCGCTAAGTGATGATTTAGAAAGCGAGTATGTAAGGACTTACTTCCTAAGTTACCGTTGGCCGGACAAGATCGTGCCAGTAGACTTTGACAACTCATTTTCTAGTGAGTTCCGCCCGTTGGTGTACCAGGCGATGGACGCGCTCAACGACCTCACCTGTGTCCGCTTCCGCAATGTCTCCAGGACGAAGGAGTACCACCTTCGTGTTAGCGCCAGGGAGGATGGATGCTTCGCCCAACTGGGCTACACCCAGGGCCTAGGCGGGTTCAACAAAATGAACCTGGACTACGGCTGCCACTCTGTAGGCATCGCCCTTCACGAGATGTTCCACGCGCTGGGCATCAGCCACCACCATCAGAGACCAGACCGCGACTATTACGTCACTATTTTGAAGGACAACATAATTGTGGGTATGTTGCCCAACTTCCTGCCCAAAACTGAAGAGGGAGCTTACTTGTGGACGATGGGTCTCCCTTACGACTACAACAGTATCATGCACTATCCGCTGCACGCCTTCAACTTAGATGAGAAACATACGCCCACCATGAAGCTCAAGAAGCCCTTCTCTGGGTTTTTAGGAAATAGGGAATGTCCTTCCCGCACAGACATAGCGATGATAAACCGTTACTACGAGTGCTGGGATCACTACCTGGGAGACGACATCCCAGACGCCGTCCCGTACGAAGAATTCCACTCCAGGTACATCAAGAAGAAACCGCATAAGACCGGAGAAGTAATCACTCACCCAGTGAAGCCCGCCTCAGAAGCACTTACAAAATGGCTTAGATTCAGGAAGTCATTAAATCCTCAGTGATCGTGTGTGGGATTTTGCTGTCTTATATTTTTTCTTTCTTATATTATTTGTTTGTTGCCGTCACTGGCAGACATATATATTATCTTGGCGATTGAGTAAAGGCGTATGCCTTTCCATAGGAGACTTTCAGCGCCGTGGAGAGGGGGGGACCTGCTGCCTGGGTAACAGCTTCTCCCCCGAATCAACCTACCCTGGCTTTGCGCCCTGGTAAGGCCACTCCAGACCAGGCCGACACCAGAGTGCAACTCCATAGTCTGCTGAGACTGATGGATGCCTTCTATTTCCGTATGTATAAAATGTAGTGTTTGTCTCAGGTTGTAGGCCAGACGTTAGGTCTAGTCTCACCAAAACTTTCCAGGGTGGCTAGTGGTTGTTGGTGGATGACCATAAGTGGAGATCGATTCTGAAGTAGACATGATCAACACTAGTTCAAAGTTCAATGACAAAAGGTTTTGGTAAGGTTGGGGGAACGAAGACGGATTGGGATCGTAGTGAACTGTCAGGAGAAAGCGGCAAACCATCACGAGTGTGTATCACAGGTGTTAGTACGACAGTTTCTTGACGTTGGGAACGGTGGCGAGAACGCTGGTTGTGTCCCATCACCGCTCTCGACAGATCACGTTGTCCCTCTTCATCTTCTTCAATAAATGTGTACATAAATACTTTATTTAAAATGATATACTTGTATATAGCCAAGTATCCCAAGTTTTCTTACTAATACACGCACATGACTGTAGGTAATACACGCACATGACTGTAGGTAATACACGCACATGACTGTAGGTAATACACGCACATGACTGTAGGTAATACACGCACATGACTGTAGGTAATACACGCACATGACTGTAGGTAATACACGCACATGACTGTAGGTAATACACGCACATGACTGTAGGTAATACACGCACATGACTGTTAAGCTGCCGCCCAGCTGGGTGTGGAGGAGGAGGATTAGCAACTGTGTAACTGACTCGCCGCAGGTGTAAAGTGCCATGTATAGAGACTGTCGCGGGCCACTTTGTGAACCACTCGGGCTGGACGGCAGACCGAGGGCCAAGCTTCATGCAGGTCGGCGTTCAATCCCCGACCGTCCAACTGGTTGGGCACCATTCCTTCCCACCGTCCCAACCCAAATACATATCCTGACCCCATCCAAGTGCTATATAGACGGTGTGGCTTGGCGCTTTCTCGTGATAATTATCTTACCTAGCGATATAAAATAACGGGCCAGCAGCAATGTCTGTGGACCAATGGCGGCCAGCAGCAATGTCTGTGGACCAATGGCGGCCAGCAGCAATGTCCGTGGACCAATGGCGGCCAGCAGCAATGTCTGTGGACCAATGGCGACCAGCAGCAATGTCTGTGGACCAATCACCCCCATCCCAGACCTTCACCCCCATCCCTGTCCCTCACCCCCATCCCTGTCCCTCACTCCCATCCCAGTCCCTCACCCCCATCCCAGTCCCTCACCCCCATCCCAGTCCCTCACCCCCATCCCAGTCCTTCACCACCTTCCATACCCTTCACCACCTTCCATACCCTTCACCACCTTCCCTACCCTTCACCACCTTCCCTATCCTTCACCACCTTCCCTACCCTTCACCACCTTCCCTACCCTTCACCACCTTCCCTACCCTTCACCACCTTCCCTACCCTTCACCACCTTCCCTACCCTTCACCACCTTCCCTACCCTTCACCACCAAAACAGAGATAAAGAGAAACAGAGGCAAGCAGAGACAGAAACAGAGAGACACACCGAGACAGAGACAGCGAGACTTATAGACAGACATAAAAGAGACCCGGACAGAAATATACAGAGAGAGACATTGACAGTGAGATGCAGATACAGAGACAGGCAGAGACAAAGAAGATGAGGCAAGGCAAAGTAGATAGATGGATGGGTAGATAGATAAATGGAGAGGTCGATAGATATATGCATAGCTAGCTAGTTAGATGAGAAAATAGATGAAAGGATAGATGATTAGATAGGTAGATGGTTAGAGAGTTGGATGGATAGATATTTTGATGGATAGACTAAACACATAGATGGATGGCTAGATATACCGACAGACAAATGTTCAGATAGGTGGATAGTTGGAAGTATAGGTGGAGAAACACATGGATGAATAGATAGATGAGTGTATAGATGAATGGATTGATAAACAGACAGATACATGGATGGGAAACAGACAGACAGAGCTGGCAATGCCGAGTACCCCATAGTACACCATTAGAAAGACTGTCTGTTTTGCTGTCTGTCTGTCTGTCTGTTCTAGGTTGGAGGCCAGACACTTGGGCCGAACGTCTCAACCCAAATGACTATAACAATTTTCGAAACCATTTTTTCCCCTCATAAAAATATACACAATTATTTACTGATCTCAGGAAAATTACCAGAAATGCCCATAATTTTCCACGTACTCATATACAGCAGACGATGCTCTCACAACTTACAAGGGTGTGCAAGCCACGCCCGTTCTCAGAGTAAAGGGGTAACCATTCCTTTCTGTAGTACTTCACACTCCCCTTGAGATCCTATCTCCGCCGGCCAGCCGAATATTACACAACTCTATTTTTATATGAGACAGACAAAGACTGAGACAGAAAGGCAGAGATGCAGAGTCAATGACAGAAGCAAACATACAGGCAAAGACATTGAAAGAGACAAAGACACAGACAGAGACAGTAGATAAATGGATTGACAGTTGGATAGATAGAAAGATGGATATATAAATGGATGGATATATATATTGCTAGACCGATGGATAGGTGGATAGATGGATTGATGAACGGATATATAAATATATATATAGATGGATAGGCAAGACAACAACTTCTCTTTCTAGATGATTAACTATGCACAAACAACAGGGCTCCATCAAGGAACATATAATCTCTTCTCACAACCAGACCACCACCAGAGAAATCGTAACAAGCAACACAGAAATCATCGATAAATACAGCGATAGCAGGAAACTCGACATCAGCGAGGCACTACACATCAAAAAGTCAACACCAGCAATCAACAGCCAATTAATGCACAACTATATTCTACCCACTTCAAGACCCCGAACCAATAAGGAAACAGGAAGAGGAAGTATGGGCCAATAGGCCTTCTGCAGTTACTTCCATTCTTATGTTCTCATACCCATTGTTTCGTGTTCTGTCTTCTGTTTGTCACCTCACCCAAAACTTTTTTCTGCCATATCACCTCACCCAAAAGGAGTATAAGTATGAATGTATTTTGCGTGTAAACTAAGTCTTTGAAAATGTAATAAGGAATTACGAAACGCGTGCAGGCGTCAAACCAGGAATAAAAAGAATGATTTTTGGAGAGTTACTTTATCAAATACCCTCGACAATGAAGAAGAAGAACGTAGGAAATATTGAGAGGATTCGTGTTAGAATTATTAATCTTACCCTTTCAGTCATATTCAACAACATATGTTTACAAGAAAGACTGCTATCAAAATATACTAATAGATGGATGGATAGATTTGTGGGTGGACAGACATGTGGATAGATAGATGGACGGGTAAAATGATGGTCAGATGGAAGAGAGACAGATGGGAGACAGACAGTCCCGGACAACGCCGGATACCCTTGCTAGTGAACTATATATATTTCTCAGTTAAGGACCGTATAGCTTTGCCTGTAAGTCTAAGCTAACGCAAGTTTTCAGTCAGCAAACACTGTTACATCAAACAGCAATACAAAGAAAAAAACAAGACAGCTACATCTCGCACGATCATCGATTCTCTAACGACTTCATCTTCAGAAGCCAATTCTTGAAATTATTTGAGAAAGGTTTCGGTTCGTCTACCTTGCCTTTGTAGGTGCCTGTTAGTACGGTGTGGAACTCTTCGTACGGGACGGCGTCGAGGATGTCGTCTCCCAGGTAGTGATCCCAGCACTCGTAGTAACGGTTTATCATCGCTATGTCTGAGCGGGATGGACCCTCAACCTGTCCTAACCACCCATTGAAGGGCACCTTGGGCTTCATGGTGGGCAGGTGTGCCCTATCATAGCCGAAGGCGTCCTCCGGGTACTGCATGACGCTATTGAAGTCGTAGGGCAAACCCATCGTCCACAGGTAATCGCCCTTTCGCTTATTTATAGCGAAGTTATCTTTATAATCATTTGCAAAAATATTTTCCCTTAGAACGAGGATATTATCGTCGCGGTCAAATCTCACATGCTGGTGGCGGAAGCCCATGGCGTGCATGAGTTCGTGAACGGGGTAGCCCAAAGCAACGAAGCATCCAGCGCCCAGATGCACCTCCTGGAACCCGTCCTTCGGGCCAAAGTAGCCCTGGACGGCACCACAATCATCGCTGAACATGACCCGAATATGGTACGTCTCCATGTTGGTGGCATTGATGACGCGGACACAAGTGAGGTCGTTGAAGAGGTCCATCGCCTGGTACACCAGCGACTTGTACTTTTCAGCATAAAAATGGCTGAATGCCAACGGTATGATCTTGTCCGGCCATCGATATCTTAGGATTCGAGCCCTATCACGATCACTGAGCGGAGATAGGTATTGGCCGTGGGAGGCTAGGGGAGCCACCTGGTCCATGTAGGAGGCGTCCCCGCTGTCGTGGGTGACCTGGGGAGCCACCTGGTCCCTGTAGGAGGCGTCCCCGCGCCCCGCGCCCCACAAACACGCCCAAACTGTCACCCAAGTCACCACCAACAACTTCTTCAACTCCATCTTAGGTCACTATTGAATAACTAATTATGTTACAAATATATATAATAAATATCTTTCTTATAATCAGAATGCAAATAAATATTAGAGCTAAAATGTAAAAAAGTGAGCTGTAAACACGAGTCTCGGGGTCAACGGTGTCAATCGACATAATGTCCCGTTTTTGTTGGTGGGTCCACTGGTAGGTTAGGATAGGGCACTTTAGTACGACAGTTTCTTGACGTTGGGAACGGTGGCGAGAACGCTGGTTGTGTCCCATCACCACTCTCGACAGATCACGTTGTCCCTCTTCATCTTGTTCATGAAATATGTACATAAATACTTTATTTAAAATGATATACTTCCAGAAATCTTAGCCAAGTATCCCAAGTTTGCTTACTAATACACGCACATGACTGTAGGTAATACACGCACATGTCTGTAGGTAATACGCATACATGACTGTAGGTAATACATACACATTACTGTAAGTAATACATGCACCTGACTGTAGGTACATATTACGTATACTGCATCAGAAGTACTGGTACTCACAGGATGAATAGGTTTGAATTTGCATATAATGGGAATTATTACATAATGAGTAAATATATAGTGGCTGATATATATGGATGATGTATTAGTGTGTGTGTGTAGGGTATAATGTATTATACAGTATAGTGTATGAGAGAGAAGGGCTTGCATTTGGCGGACAGGTATTAGTCAAGTACATTTCCGGTCTCAGGGAGGAGCTAGGCGAGCGCAGAGCAACGTTGTGGGTCCGTCAAGTATCATCATTATTATTCAGGAAATCTTTCATTTTAGTCATTTAAGACTGCTTACATTTTAAGTTCTTATACCAGAATATATGAAACATTACGTTAGTGTGATATGTGTCTGATTGAGAATGATTAATTGAGTCTGTAGTGTGTGTAATTTGAGGATGTATCTGCCGTGTGGTAATTCTGTGGAAGCCGCCATGTAGGGAGCCTAGCCCTAGTGTGTTTAATTCGTCTGGTACTCTTTATTAGTGTTTATACATTTATAAGGCCATCTGAGTTTATATTATTGTTTGTGATCAAGAAGCCCATACTGAAATACTTTGTCAGTATATATATATATATATATATATATATATATATATATATATATATATATATATATATATATATATATATTATTAAATATGACCGAAAAAGTAAGATTAATAATTCTAACACGAATTTTCTCAATCTTTCGTACATTACGCTTCACTGTTGGAGGTAAATCAAAAATCACTTCTCCAAAATTCATTTTTATTTCTAGTCTGACGCGACACGGGCGCGTTTCGTAAAACTTATTACATTTTCAAAGATTTCACAAATACACAACTGATTAGAACTTGCGTTTCTCTGATTTTATATCTACATTTGAGTGAGGTGGGAAGGGTGATGTGGCATTAACACAAGACAGAACAATAGGGGATATTAATAGGGTATTAAAAGTATCAACACAAGACAGAACAGAAACAATGGGTATTGAATAGAAGTGTTTGTAGAAAGCCTATTGGTCCATATTTCTTGATGCTTCTATATTGGAGCGGAGTCTTGAGGTGGGTAGAATATAGTTGTGCAATAATTGGCTGTTGATTGCTGGTGTTGACTTCTTGATGTGTAGTGCCTCGCAAACGTCAAGCCGCCTGCTATCGCTGTATCTATCGATGATTTCTGTGTTGTTTACTAGGATTTCTCTGGCGATGGTTTGGTTATGGGAAGAGATTATATGTTCCTTAATGGAGCCCTGTTGCAACAGGGCTCCATTAAGGAACATATAATCTCTTCCCATAACCAAACCATCGCCAGAGAAATCCTAGTAAACAACACAGAAATCATCGATAGATACAGCGATAGCAGGCGGCTTGACGTTTGCGAGGCACTACACATCAAGAAGTCAACACCAGCAATCAACAGCCAATTATTGCACAACTATATTCTACCCACCTCAAGACTCCGCTCCAATATAGAAGCATCAAGAAATATGGACCAATAGGCTTTCTACAAACACTTCTATTCAATACCCATTGTTTCTGTTCTGTCTTGTGTTGATACTTTTAATACCCTATTAATATCCCCTATTGTTCTGTCTTGTGTTAATGCCACATCACCCTTCCCACCTCACTCAAAAGTAGATATAAAATCAGAGAAACGCAAGTTCTAATCAGTTGTGTATTTGTGAAGTCTTTGAAAATGTAATAAGTTTTACGAAACGCGCCCGTGTCGCGTCAGACTAGAAATAAAAATGAATTTTGGAGAAGTGATTTTTTATTTACCTCCAACAGTGAAGCGTAATGTACGAAAGATTGAGAAAATTCGTGTTAGAATTATTAATCTTACTTTTTCGGTCATATTTAATAATATATGTCTACAGGAAAGACTGCTACCAAAATATACTAATATATATATATATATATATATATATATATATATATGTGTGTGTGTGTGTGTTGTTAAATATGACCGAAAAGGTAAGATTAATAATTCTAACACGAATTTTCTCAATATTTCTTATGTGTCTTTTCACTGTCGATGGTAATTGAAAAATCAATTCTCCAAAATTCATTTTTATTTCTAGTCTGACGCCTGAACGCGTTTCGTAATAACTTATTACATTTTCAAAGACTTTAGTTTACCCACACAACTGTAACCTGTAAACACGCAAAATACATCCATTCTTATACTCGCATTTGGGTGAGGTGATATGGTACAAAAGTTTTGGGTGAGGTGATTGACATTACCCCAACACACTATCACCCCAACACACTATCGCACTACACACTATCACCCCAACACTAGTGTGCAGGGGTGATAGTGTGTTGGGATGATGTACGGTTTCAAGGTGAAGTGTGTCCAGCAGGCCTTAACACAGAAGAGAACCAGACCCCTACACCCCTGCAGCCATCTCCACCATGGTACATCTGTACAAAGGCTGCTCCTTAGTACCCCCGTCTGTGTCTGCCACCCTTCAGTGCGTTGCTGCCCGTCGACGGATCTTCTTGCATCATAAATACATTCCCCCAGTTTGAGAGTATTGAATAACTTCAGTATCTTACAGGTTTAGATTAGGACTTTCTTAGAAAGGGTGGTGAAGGGTAGGGAAGGTGGTGAAGGGTAGGGAAGGTGAAGGGTAGGGTAGGTTGTGAAGGGTAGGGAAGGTGGTGAAGGGTAGGGAAGGTGAAGGGTAGGGTAGGTTGTGAAGGGTAGGGAAGGTGGTGAAGGGTAGGGAAGGTGGTGAAGGATAGGGAAGGTGGTGAAGGGTAGGGAAGGTGGTGAAGGATAGGGAAGGTGGTGAAGGGTAGGGAAGGTGGTAAAGGGGTGGTGAAGGGTGGGGAAGGTGGTAAAGGGGTGGTGAAGGGTGGGGAAGGTGGTGAAGGTGGTAAAGGGGTGGTGAAGGGTAGGGAAGGTGGTAAAGGGGTGGTGAAGGGTGGGGAAGGTGGTAAAGGGGTGGTGAAGGTGGTAAAGGGGTGGGGAAGGTGGTGAAGGGTAGGGAGGGTGGTGACGATATAGTGATGTAGTCAGTATGTATCGAAAATGAGACGAGGATGATGGTATGTAGTTTAGATAATAGTGTCGAGGGTAACTTAGAGTGAAGTTGGTCACGCTTTTGATGGTTGTGAGTAGTTAAGATGGTGACAGTGATGAAGATAGTGTAGTTGTAACACAGTCAGCTGTCATCTCCGTGGTGGTGAGCTGGAGTCCCAGGCTGTGATACATTTGGGGAGCACATTGCTACTTGGGAGTCAGTCGACTGTTGTGACTCGCATCACGGGAAATGGCAATCAGTGTCCTCACAGGTGTTGGAGCCTCCAGTCAGCGCCCCTCACAGGTGTTGGTGCCTCCAGTCAGCGCCCCCTCACAGGTGTTGGAGCCTCCAGTCAGCGCCCCTCACAGGTGTTGGTGCCTCCAGTCAGCGCCCCTCACAGGTGTTGGAGCCTCCAGTCAGCGCCCCCTCACAGGTGTTGGAGCCTCCAGTCAGCGCCCCCTCACAGGTGTTGGTGCCTCCAGTCAACGTCCCTCACAGGTGTTGGAGCCTCCAGTCAGCGCCACTCACAGGTGTTGGAGCCTCCAGTCAGCGCCCCTCACAGGTGTTGGAGCCTCCAGTCAGCGCCCCTCACAGGTGTTGGAGCCTCCAGTCAGCGCCCTTCACAGGTGTTGGAGCCTCCAGTCAGAGCCCCTCACAGGTGTTGAAGCCTCCAGTCAGCGCCCCTCAGGTGTTGGAGCCTCCAGTCAGCGCCCTCGCAGGTGTTGGAGCCTCCAGTCAGCGCCTTCACAGGTGTTGGAGCCTCCAGTCAGCGCCCCTCACAGGTGTTGGAGCCTCCAGTCAGCGCCCCTCACAGGTGTTGGAGCCTCAAGTCAGCGCCCCTCACAGGTGTTGGAGCCTTCAGTCAGTGCCCCTTACAGGTGTTGGAGCCTCCAGTCAGCGCCCCTCACAGGTGTTGGAGCCTCCAGTCAGCGCCCTCACGGGTGTTGGAGCCTCCAGTCAGCGCCCTCGCAGGTGTTGGAGCCTCCAGTCAGCGCCCTCACAGGTGTTGGAGTCTTCAGTCAGTGCCCTCACAGGTGTTGGAGCCTCCAGTCAGCGCCTTCACAGGTGTTGGAGCCTCCAGTCAGTGCCCTCACAGGTGTTGGAGCCTTCAGTCAGTGCCCTCACAGGTGTTGGAGCCTCCAGTCAGCGCCTTCACAGGTGTTGGAGCCTCCAGTCAGCGCCTTCACAGGTGTTGGAGCCTCCAGTCAGCGCCGATTCAGATCATGTGAGCTGTATGGGAAGCTGAACTTCTTGACTTAGATGAAGAGGTACAACGTTATCTGACAAGAGTAGCGATGTTGTTCCTAATAAGGCTAGTGTTTACATCTCGGTTTTCTGTAATGTTAGCTCTTTAATTTTTCATTCTAATTATTTATTTGCTTTAGGATTTTATAAAAATTCTAGATATTTTTGTATTATTTGTAATAAATATTCAACAGTGACAAGATGGAGTTTATCAAGTTGCTTTTAGTAACTTGGACGTGTTTGTGGGGCGCGGGGCCCTGGGGCGGCTCCACCCACGCCCATGGGGACGAGGTGGACCTCGGGGTTGGCTCTCGCCACGCTCAAAACCTGACAATGCTCACTGACATCAGTGATGTTGACAGACTCAAGGAAAGAAGAGCAATGGTCTCCTTTCTAAAAGTGCGATGGCCGAACAAGGTAATGCCAGTGGGATTCGACCCTATGTTTAGTGAGTCGTATAAAGCGACGGTGTACCGTTCGATGGACCTGCTCAACAACTTCACCTGTCTCCGCTTCCGCAATGTCACAGAGCCGGAGAATGAGCACTACCTTCATATCTTTGCAGGGAAGGCCTGCTCCGCCATCAGGGGCTTTACGAGAAATAAAAAGAAATTCCAGAAGATGAGCTTGGGGCGCGGCTGCAACGTCCGCGGCTTCGTCATTCACGAACTGCTCCACGCCGCCGGCTTCCACCACCAGCATGTGAGAGCAGACCGCAACGATTACGTCACTATTCACTGGAACAACATACAAAAACATGCGCACATGGACTTTTCTCAAAAAGACGGGGAGCACGATTACCTGTTGACCATGGGTCTTCCCTACGACTTCAACAGTATCATGCACTATTCGAAAAACGCCTTCGCCATAGATAACAAACATCACCCCACCATAGAGATTAAGAAACACTTTCCTGGGAGGTTAGGACAGCACAAGGGTCTATCCCGCACAGACATAGCGATGCTCAACCGTCTCTACGAGTGCTGGGATCACTACCTGGGAGACGACATCCCAGACGCCGTCGACTACAAAGAGTTCAACTCCAGGTACTTCAAGGAGAAGACCGACCAAGCCACGCCCGTCTCCGACGAATTTAAATTATGGCTTCATTATATGAGGTCGCTTCACCAGTGATCGTTGGGGAATTAGCTATCTTACATTTTTTCTTATGTTCATATTTGGCTTGTGCTTCGAATGGTGACCTGCGAAATTAATTACTAGTGTGTTCTTTGTAAATTTTTTTTTTTTTTCTTTTTTTTAATCAACACTGTTTGTCAACCTATTGTATTTGTGCTGCTTTTTCAGTCATGTTCCCCCTTTTTTTTTATCTTTATTTGTATTTGTTCTCAACATCTTTTATTCTTTATGCTCAATTAGTATTAAGTTCTAGATATTAATGTTTTTTCTTGCCCGAAACGCATTGCGTAATAGTGGCTTTAGGCATTGTATGTACTAGCTCTATCTATATATCAATCCATTAATGTAACATCACTTGTATGTATATACCTTACCTGAATAAACATCTGAATCTGAATCTGAATCTGAATTACTAGTGTTGAGCTAATTGCTAGTGTGTTGAGCTAATTGCTAGTGTGTTGAGCTAATAGCTAGTGTGTTGAGCTAATAGCTAGTGTGTTGAGCTAATTGCTAGTGTGTTGAGCTAATTGCTAGTGTGTTGGGCTAACAGCTAGTGTGTTGAGCTAATAGCTAGTGTGTTGAGCTAATAGCTAGTGTGTTGAGCTAATAGCTAGTGTGTTGAGCTAATTGCTAGTGTGTTGAGCTAATTGCTAGTGTGTTGAGCTAATTGCTAGTGTGTTGAGACAATTGCTAGTGTGTTGAGCTAATTGCTAGTGTGTTGGGCTAATAGCTAGTGTGTTGGGCTAATAGCTAGTGTGTTGGGCTAATTGCTAGTGTGTTGGGCTAATAGCTAGTGTGTTGGGCTAATAGCTAGTGTGTTGAGCTAATAGCTAGTGTGTTGAGCTAATTGCTAGTGTGTTGAGATAATTGCTAGTGTGTTGGGCTAATAGCTAGTGTGTTGGGCTAATAGCTAGTGTGTTGGGCTAATAGCTAGTGTGTTGGGCTAATAGCTAGTGTGTTGGGCTAATAGCTAGTGTGTTGGGCTAATAGCTAGTGTGTTGGACTAATAACTAATGTATTTAGATAACTAGTGTTTAACTGATTACTAGTATTTTGGTTGATAGTATTTTTTGGTTGTCAGTGATTTTAATAGATTGCTACAGTATGTCGAATTAATAGGTAGTGTGTATTGCGGTAATAACTAGTATGGTGAGTTAATAGTTTACATGTTTTAATGCTTACTGTGTTGAGTTGATAACTAGTTCAAGTGTGTTTATTGAGACAAGACAGAAATACATCTCAAAGGGATAGAGTAGCTTAGGTTATTTCTACCCCCATTGATAACTAGTGTTTTGAGTTGATTGCCAGTGTTTTTGATAGATTGTTCTTTAAATTGATAGATTGTGTATCGAGTAAATAACTAGTTTTGTGAGTTGGTAGCTATTACTCTACCTTCTGCTTGGTCTTGAAGGAAGCGGGCCTCGGGTGCAAGGGGGCTGTGACGATCTCTGTCAGGAACCCGTAGGTGCGGGACCGGGACGTCCACCTCCTGGGGCTCGTGCGGCCCCAGGCTCTGCTTCAGGAGGTTGGGGTCGTTCTTGCCCTTGATGGGGTGGTTTTTCTCCGGCCCCGACCACAGCGGTCTCCGGGTTTGGGGTCCCTGCGCCTTCTTTTACCAACTTCGATGTTAACTCCGGAACTGGAGGCCCCCTGGGGCAGTTCGATGTTGCCTTCAACCTCGTACTGACAGTTCCTGCGACGGCGCTCGAAGCTATCTTATTGGCCTTTGCCTTTCTATTGGAGACTTTCGGCGCCGTGAGGAGGGAGGGCCTGCTGCATGGGTAACAGCTTCTCCCCCGTATCAACCTACCCTGACTTTGCGCCCTGGAGAGGCCACTCCAGACCGACAACCAGAGCGCCACTCCATAGTCTCCTGAGACTGATGGATGCCTATTACTACTAAGTAGGCATCCATCAGTCTCAGGAGACTATGGAGTTGCGCTCTGGTTGTTGTCTGGAGTGGCCTCTCCAGGGCGAAAGTAGGTTGATACGGGGGAGAAGCTGTCACCCATGCAGCAGGTCCATGCAGTACTGAGCCTAAATCCATTATACCCACGCTCACCAAACTAAGGGGAACTTTGCTAAAGTTCTGGGTCATGGCGAGTCATAATTCAACATTTAGAAAGGTGTAGTTAATATACATAAAAACTAATAGTACTGAGCTTATTAGACTGACCTTTTCCCTGCCGGATAGCACTGGGGGCAGCACCAAGGATCAGCTGACGCGGTAAACACAACCTCCCGCCCCACAGTGTGGCAAGTCTCCCTCTAACACACATCTCTCTGTTGAGTCGCAGGCTCCTCTATCTCCACCACAACGCAACAAACACTTGTGAAACCTTGTCATTCTCAACATAAACGCGTCTCCCAACAGTTGTACTGGTGTAGTCATTGAAGGATAGACCCAAACTGCACATATTATCAAGAAGAGAAGAAGGACGCCTGTAAGCCATAGGTGTATTCCAGACACTTTACGATATATTCAGCTGACATATATCTTTAACTACAACAAAAATCTGTTATATCAGAAATTTTAAGTAGTTAAACAGATATCCATTAACCTAAAAGCCAAGAAGAGGAATACTATTTACATAATTAACTAGCAGCTCTTAAAATTGTCAAAAAAGAGCTGAAGTGAGACTGAGGTTTGTGCAACCTCTTGTGGTTGTCTGGAAGAGGAACTGTGAAGCAACACGTCTCATAAGCCAGGATTATCTTCTGTCAGTCTGAGCATTAGATCTACTTCTGTATCAGTGTCTGAATTACCAGAGAAAGTGGAGAAGATGTCTTTCATTACTGGTAAGATTTTGTAGTGTATGTAGCAATAGAATTGTAAAGTACAAAAACTGGCTCAAAATGTTAATACTATGCCTCTGTTCACCTAACAGTAAATAGGTACCCAGGAGTTAGGCAACTGTCGGGTTGCATCCTGAGGAAGGTCAGTAGTGCCACAGGGCAGCATCTTAGGACCTCGTCTATTTCTCATATACATCAATGATTTGCCAAATGTCCTTAACATTCTTAAACCTATATTATTTGCTGATGATACTACCTCTATAATACCTGATTCATGTAATCAGACCCCCAACACACACACACACTAAATAATATTTACTTGAGGGTCACTGACACTAGTGGCCTTGATGAGAACAGGAAGCCAACGGCTTGTCGTAGGCCCCACCTTTTGCCTTGATAATCCTTTCCAGTTGGGTTTTGAAATTCAAGTCGGCATTTACAGCTTTGGTGGGTAGGAGGTTCCATGGGTCTATAACCCTGTAGGTGAAAAAGCATCTCATGTTCTAAGTTCTAGCTTGTGGCTTGAGCTTAAAGCCATTGCTCTTCGTTTGTGTCACATTTAACCTTTTGAAGAAATTTTACAGATCAACATCCACCAAATTGTTCAGTATTTTAAAAGCTTCAATGAGATCTGTCCTGTCATGCCTGGCTTTCAGTGTTGTTAGCCCTGTGGGCCCTCTACCATTCCTGATATGCGAGATGACTTGGCCCTGGAATGACACATTAAAAAAGAAGTCCACTCATGGATGACAACCAGTAAACTCACACTAAAAATAGAAAAGACCTGTTACATTTTATTTGGAAGTAGATAGTCAAACTAAATTTAACTTCAGATAGACAATATTAACAATAGCAATAATTATGAGAAAAAATTCCTTGGCATATACATAGATAATAATAATAATAATTTTTATTTGTATATCAGTACAGTAAATATCTTCTTGTATATCAGTAAAATAAAATAAAATATACACTGGCTGCCTGTCTCTTGACAATGAATTAAGGGTGCAGTTTGTTAGACATTGCAGATACATTCTCACAATTTTCTAGTTATTCCATTTTTAATTATTTTGTGTTTTATCAAGTAAGGATCACATTTGTGAAAGTCTTTGCAACATGCACAGCATATTTTTTTCATATTTTGCTTTTCTTCATGTGCATTCAGTACCATATTATAGTAGTCCACCATTTGAGGTAGGAATGTTCTGCACCTATTTAACTCAAAAGTTATGTTGATGGTATTTGCTCAAAATTTGTTTTTTTTAATTACGGTACAGTGTTTCAATGGCAACCTTGTGAAGTGGGCTATTTCAGTTATTTTAAATGGTTTTTATTTTGCACCTTAAAGCTCTCATCACAAAATAAGTGTATACAATCTGAAGTGATTATAAATATGCTGTATAAAGTAACCCTTTTACAAAATTACTCTTCAAAACCTTACAATAAAGTTGTGCTGAATAATTGAATACTAATCCTGGGCTTCTGAATGCTAGTTTCAGAATACAGTGTAAGTGTTGATGACCAAACCACACATCAGAAAATGAAGAAACAATGATGTTTTGGTCCATCCTGGACCATTATCTAGTTGTATAATCCCTTACATGACTTTTTAATGGTCCAGAACAGACCAAGATGTCATCACTTCTTCATTTTCTTATGTTGTGTTGTCATTGTATCTTCAGCCACATTATTGTGACTCATTGAGTGCAGTGTAAGTGTTATTGATTAATGCTGTGATCATTTCAGATATACAATTAATGATGCACGGTTTTGGGGATTGTCGTCGGCCACTGTCTGAAACTGCGGCAGTTATAGAGTCCATAGTTCATCAGCAGATGACACTCTTCTTGCATATGGTTAGTACTGTACTTGACTGTGTAATGACCACTGTAAATAAGCAACTACAGTGCACATTTCCTCAGACATTTTGTACTAGGCCTTTGTTGTAACTAAAGCTCTAATACATACAAATTTTTTTTTTTTTTTTTTTTTTTAATATTTTGTCAAGTTACATATAAAATGTTTTGGTTTTGAATCAGTTGTGATCGAGTGGATGCATAAATATTACTCCATTGGAAGTCTTCTATTATTTTCTGTTGCAAATGAATATATAGATAATATAGTATGGGGTAAAATCTTGTTTCATCTGTGTTTCTGGTTTACAGGAATCCATATGAGTGGTAGTCCAATAAATGTGTGTGCATTTATTTACTATTTGTGGCTCCAGGATTGAACTGTTAGCTCTTGGACCCCACCTTTCTAACCATCAGTTATCTAATATACTAACTCCTAACCTATTTTTCCTGTATCATATCTACATGTATTTCTCTCTCACAAATCTCCAGGACGCAGTCCGTAGCTACTGGTTTAACTCCTAGGTAATCTGTGTATGTATTTACTGTTAAATGAACAGGTGCATCAGGTAAAAGAAACTACCATTTTGTTTCTGCCTCAGCTGGAATACTATCTATCTATCTATAGAGCTAATTATATTTGCTTATTATGTATCACAAGGACTGTTTACCCTAATAACCCCTCAGATTCTTCTAATTGGCTAGTCTTTTTAAAGTTATATTACACAGCCTATATTTTTCATTGTAACCTTAGGCAACAGATGTAGCTGAGCAAAGAGGTACAAGAATTGTTGGTCCAGAAGACATCCTGTTTGTGATGCGTAAAGATCCAATAAAGCTACAGCGTCTTGTCCATTATATGGGTAAGTCAGATTGAAGGTCTTGGGCTCTTCAGAATTGTTAACAGCATGGAAAAAAAAGAAAGAAATGTGTTTATTGCTTTGTGTTAAAATCAAGAGTACAGTACTTGATTAAGTTGTTTAAATGCTAAATATAACCTGTAAAATATTTTAATCAGATCTATTGATAAATATTTTACAGTAATACAGAATTTTCTGGGAGAATCTCTTGTAGCTTCCTGAGGGCCTTTCCTGGGGAGCCTCTTGTAGTTCCCTGAACCTATCTTGCTGAATTGGTGTCCAATTACTAGGTCACATCAGCCACAGAGTTCTGTTTGGCATACTGGAGATTTTGCCTGGTTACACACATGACCCGAAGTCCTATGATTGGGCTCTTTTTTTCCTGATAATGAGGCCTTTGCAGTGGATGCCTTTCAGCTGGACTGGTCACGGTGGGGATTTCTGTATCTCCTTTTCCCCCCCAGGTTCAGCTGTTGCTCCAGGTCCTGGCCAGTTTGCAGTCCTACTAGGGAAAAGTCCTTCTGGCTCCTTGGTGGTTAGCTCAGCCTTGGTTGCAGGTACTGCTTGCATGGTGTCCAAACCCGGGCATTTTTCCTCGGGCCCTCCACTTTCAGAAGATCAATCTTGCTGATTTGAACTTCTCCTCGGTTCTTCATGTCTGGTCTTTCTTATGCATCTTTATCGACATCTCTATAGTGAGCAGGTGACTGAATTAATGGTGTCCCACTTACACTTGTTTTCCTAGCAGCAGTATGAAGTAGCTTTGCAATCTTTGTAGTATCATTCGATAGTGATACTACCTCAGTGCCACTTCGGATGCTATCTCGTACATTGTTTCACTGACCTGCTCATGGGCTCTCTTGGTCTCTTGACCATGTCCTCGCCTTCCTTTCTTCCCTTCGGTCTGTGATTCTTTCTTCAAAGTGGTTTTCTGTTGGTGCTCTCCTCCAGTTGTAGGGTCAGGGAGCTTCAAGCTCTTCTCCAAAGGCAGGGTTTTTGTTTTTTTTGGGCCATGTGGGCATTATATTTGCTTGCAGAGCTGTCTCCTTTTTAGGCCAAGAATGAGTCGACAGGCTTCCAGAGGAGGGTTCCTTTGGTTATTGATGCTTGGTTGGTTTGGCTGTGGGTGCATGAGCTGTACCCAATTGCAGTTCTTCAATGCTACCTTTTAGCCACCAATTTTGCCTGTTGATGCTTTGTAGGTTGATCCTTCTTCCTTGGTTCCCTGTTCAAAGGCTCACATTTCACAAGTTGTCTGTAGTGTTAAGTTCAGCCAACTTGTGGTCTACCCTTGTACCTATGATGTTTGTAAATATGCTGCTCTCATGGTGATCTTTGCTAACATGACCTGTGCTGATATTTGGGCACAGAGGTTTTGGCATTCTAACAGGGTCTTGATGGCTAATATTTAGTTAGTGCTAATGAGCTCACCCTGGTTTTAAGTGATTTGATAATTTTTTTACATTGTTTGGAAAGTTTGTTTGACAATTTCGAGGCTTTGGTTCTTTTGAACCTAGCCGTGGTCTGCACTGGTTCCCAGACTTAATGGATGCTTTCCCAATGGGCTGGCAGAGTGTCACTTATTTTCTCTGCCACTGTGAGGGGGGGGGGGGCAGGTCCTGCCTCATGGTTCCTAGTAGGCTGATATAACCTAGTAGTCGAGTCATCTTAGGGAGAGAGCTTCATGGAGCCATCCAGAAAAAGGCATTTGACTACATTCAATGCTGGTTTTTTATTTACCTATGTAAGTTCCCAAATGTCTTGCCTTTTGTGGGCATAGAACCTTGGAATTTTTGGTTGTAAGTAAATAGCACTGCTCATTGATATAGGAGCAATTCTGTATGTTGGATATAATGAATGTATGCATGTACTGTACATGTATTTAATTTTTTCGTTCATGGAAAGAGTTTATCAAAATCCTTTATACCCATTTTCAGGAGTTCGTGACTTGTATCAGAGAACTCGTACAAGCACATCAGGATCATCAACGGGTGATATTCAAGATCTAAATTTTGAAACAGGTGGGGAAGTGTCTCGTAAGAAGCTATGTATAAGTTTTTTGCAAACAATTGATCAAACCGGACAGTACGAACCCTTATACTCGTCATCGCTGTATGATCCAGTAAAAGCTGAAAGGGCCATACGTTTGGACAACATGACTCAGGTGATTCATTGTCAGTCAATCTAAATAGTAAGATGCAATTATTTATTTTGAAGTAAATTAATGCTCTGACATTGCAACATTTCAGCAATTATACTTTGGTGTCTTGAATGGTGAAAAGAAGCACTGATTGTTTTGCAGTTTATTTAGGGAGTAAGATGAAACTTAGCAATGCGGTCTTGACCAAGCTGAACTGAACAGGCTGAACACATTGACCAAGACTGCTCCAATAGTCTTTGGTAGTATCCAAACCCAGGAATGGTCCAGGGCTCTAGACCCTCGGAGCACTGTGGGGAAGGGTCGAGTGTCATTTCTCCAGTCCATTATTGGACTGGAGAAATGTAGCAGGTTAGGTTACTTTAACCCTTGCACTGCTCACCTATTTTCGGCAAAAACGTCTTGGTGGAATTGTCAAGGACATATTTTTGTTATTTTTACAAATGTTCAGGTAAATTTAATGTCAAAATGTTTCCAAAGTCAACTATTTCCATTTCAAAACACAAATAGTAATGAAAATATTAAAAAACATTAAAATATAGTCAAATTAAAAAACAAAAAGAACAACTCTCTGAGCGCCTAAAGGCGCTTTGCGCAGTGCAGTGGTTAAGTTAGTGTGAGCTAAATTGTCATGCATGGATAAGTCCCTAATTTTTCTTGATTTTTTCCAATTTTTTTCTTCTCCCATGTGTGTGGTCTGGCTCATTTTTCTCCTGTTTGTTCCTCATCTGAGGTACTGTGAGGAAGAAACTTTGGGAGCCCCTGAGGGGAGTACCCCAGAAATAAAGCATTGAAGTGTAATGAAATTCCCCTTTCTGGGGCTCCTCGGTAGCTTCCCCCCCGTTTTTGCCCTTCATGGTTTTGGTTGGGTTCACGTGCACTTGAGAGTAATGTTCACATCGCCAGAGCACTGGCGAGGTGAACTTTAACTTAGTTAAGTGACGAAAGTCAGTGAGGTGGTGTTTTGATATTTTGAATTTTTGTTTGGTGTTAGCAATGTTCTCTAACATATTTTGAATTTTGATAACGCCCCCCTTTCTCCCATTAAGTTAGTGCTCAGTGTTGGTTGATTCCTGATCCCCACATGCTCCTCAAAGGTATTTGGTCAGTGGTACCTGGTAAATTGATCTTAGACATAGAGTGTAGCACTTAAACTTTGAGGAAATACTGAGGAGCCCCCAGAAAGAGTCATTTACATTGTGTTCTATTTTCTGGGAACCACCAAGGGGACCCCCATCAGAAAGGGGCATTTCATTACATTCAACATTGGTTTTTTGGAATTAAAGTCATTTGTACTGTTTAATACAACAGGATGCAAAATAAAATACTTGACAGTATGCCTGTTGTTAACCAAGGCTATTCCATTTCAGGGCATGTCATGCCAGAGATACAAGGAGTATTGCGAGGCACGGAAAGCTTCCTTTTGTCCTCGTTTGCGAGTGAACAAGTTCAGAGAATGGCTTCTTGGAGACGAAAGCACAGAAATTAAATTAACTCAGGTGAGGGCACTGCATTATAACCAAGTTGCATTTTAAGGACTTATGCTTGTACAGTATATCACACTTATAGGATTCTAGATGGGGTGCCTAGGTTTTAACCAATTTTTGTCTGGGCTTTACAATGTATGATGCAAATAAGGATATAATGGCTCTGTGGATGTAATGGAGCTTACTTTCATCCATGAAAAAATCTAGGTATCGTTTCATGGTTACGTGACTGTGAATGTGGTTACAGTATCGTCATGAATGTTACTAGGTGAATACGGTCAGTGAAATTAAAAAAATATACATGTATGGCAGCCATCAAACTCTCACATGAAGATGACTTATTACTTGTTTTTTTTTTTTTTTTTTTTGGTTGTTCAAATAAGTCACTGGGTAGACCTTAGAATCACAGCACAGTCTTAACATGTAATATAAGATGTGTAGGTTGGATTATTTCTTTTCAGCCAAGTTATTATGACTTATTCTCTGCACAGTATTACTGTCTTAAAAGTACTGTACATAAAAAGGCTGTTTCTCATATTTCATTGACAAAAATTAAACTTAGCCTATACAGTACATTATACTCATATGCACCTCAGAAGAATAGCAGGTATATTTACTACAACCCATTCTCATGTTTTGATAGGTGTCCGAATTGTATTATCTTCCTATACATAGCCTAAAAAAAAAAAAAGTTTGTACACTTGCATCCCTAGCATGCAGACACAAATATATTGTGTGTAGGGTACACTTGTGTCCCTAGCATGCACACACAGATGTATTGTGTAGGGTACACTTGTATACCTAGCATGCACACACAGATGCAGTTCATACATATTTTTGAAATCCACTTATGTTCCGTTCTCCACTTTGTACATAATACTATTTTCTTATTTATTCATATATTACATTTGGATAAGATCTTATTAAATTTCTTAATGGTAGATAAAGAAAATTTATTTTTTCTTTATAGTTAATCCTGGCATGACCAGTAATGTTATTGGAAGAACACAAGCACATGGAGTGTAATGAGATCACGTGAAGTATATTATTATTGAGCACACATGTTATGCTCATAATAATTTAGCATTACAATTTTATATTTTATTTTTATATATATGTATTTACACCAATTAATATAAATTCAAAATCTTTAATCATAAATGGTTGTACATTTATGGGGTATTTTACACAAAATTACAGTACATTTTTTACTTACATGTTATGCTTATGACTTTCATTTAAGCGCTACAACTGCATGTTGACCAAACCACACATTAGTAAGTGAAGGGATGACTTTCTTTCCTGGTCGTCCCTTCACTTTCTAGTGTGTGGTTTGGTCAACATATTTCAACTACGTTATTGTGACTCCTCGTCTGCCTGTAACTGTATAGTGCTAAACAAGTAAGAAACAAATAAAATATCAAACTGCAATATAGCAAGATGTGTTCTATTAATCACTTCATCATGTTGGTAAAAATATATTCAATAGTACAGTAATTGCATTTTTTCTTCCATACAGTACCAAAATTATATATTAAGCTGAATAAGCAATGTCTGTAGTGATTATTAATTTTTATTCATTTATTGCAGCTAGTATTGGAGATGCTTAACCGGCTAGCTTATGAAACTGTTGCTCAGATAGTGGATCTCGCTTTATTAGTCAAGAGAGATGGTACACTGCACAATTCCGACCTCTCTCGCTTCCGGACACCTATTGCTTTCAATCCAGATTATCCTTGTGTGTTTATACATCAGGTATGTATTTAACCAGAAATAGAATATGTGGTCTTCAATATCCGTGAAAGTGATAAGTAGTCTAAGAGAAATTAAAAAGACTTACAGATACAGAGAAAGCCAATGTGAGGTTCTAATCTTTAAATGTCACCAAATTTCCATGTACAGGTAATGGTCTGTTAAGATGTTGTGAACCTTAATGTCAGTTAATAATTATCATTAATTGGTTATCTTCAGGTTATCTCGAGATGGTTTCGGGGCTTAGCGTCCCCGCGGCCCGGTTCTCAACCAGGCCTCCTTTTTGTTACACATCCTCCAGGAAGCAGCCCATAGCAGCTGTCTAACTCCCAGGTACCTATTTACTGCTAGGTAACAGGGGCATCAAGGTGAAAGAAACTCTGCCTGTTGTTTCTCGCCGGCGCCCGGGATCGAACCCGGGACCACAGGATCACGCATAAAGTGTTATGTCTGCTCAGCCACCGGCTCCACTAGGTAAGTCCCTCTTGTTACTTTTCTTTGTATAGGTAGCTCTGGGGAGCCGTAGGGGCTCCCCACAGAAAACCAGCATTGAATGCAATGAAATGGCATTTTCTGGGCGAGCCCCGGAGACTCCGGCACCCTCCCTCCCTCCCTCCAGTCGGCAGTTTTTGATACTCGGCCTCGGAACCAAATGCTGGAGTGGCCAGCGTGGGGAGTCCGGGACCCCCTTCCCCCTACCAGGGGTGGGTCTGCGTGGATGAGCGGTACGAGGGACATTTGCTTGTTTGCCCGTTTTAGTTTGGGAGTTCTGCTTCCCTGTTCGGTTTTAGGTAGCAATTTTTACCATGTGGGGTTTTTGTTACGCCTACTTTTCTGGGTGCCAAACCCCAGTCGATGACAGGCAGAGAATGCTTCCAAACACATTGGGGTTTCCATAGGTTACTGTGCTTCGTGCCTCTCTGAGAGGGCTGGGTTCTGGCTCATGGTCCCCGGTTGGCAAGAACTCCATAGACTGATGCCACGGTCTAATACATACATATCAGGTCGGTAAGCTCTCGGGCTCGCCCAAGAAATGGTGTGTCATTACATTCAACGCTGTTTTTTTGGATGAAACTATGTATGTTGTTTAAGAAGCTGGAGAAAAATCATCTTGCACAGAATGTCCTCTGTAAGACTCTGTATCAATATTGGTTTTGTTTTACAGTTAACTTGTATAAGTTGTGATTCCTTCATCTTTTTTCACTTAAAGCATAAGTGAAAGAATTTTGTGTTTGTAAGTACGGGTATGTTGTCTTTCTTGGCTCTGACTAGTTCGTCTACTTCAGATTTGGTGTGATAACCTACTTTTAAATTACCATTTCATTTGGGATTCCTTGGAGCTATGCTCCAGGACCTAGATGTTGTGTTTGTCTTTCTTTCACCTTTCACAGGATAAAATTGGCTGCTATGTCAGCAGGTGAGCAGGTTTATGGTGTGGTTTTTGTTTATTCCCAGGTCATTTTTTTTTTTTTTAACAGGTTTGGTATAAGAGTAGATGACTTCCAATTCTTGTTAGCAAGTTTAGAGCTTTCCCTTCCATTAGCTCATGGAATGTCTTGCCCACTATTTTCTGGAGGAAGTCCCTTGTGACTTCCTGTAGCTAACATTTCTGTTGTGTGTGATGTCTGAAAGTTGCCATCAGTCAGAGTTCTCTGGATCTCTGGCCTACCAGAGACAGAGCCAGAACCTGGTCTCCTAAGAGGTGCAGGGAGCAGTGGCATTTATTTACTTTTATACTACCACCAGGGAAGGTACCCAGAAAGTTAGCGAGACAAAACAGACCACAGCTGGCTACTTCCTATACGTGCCGACTCAAACAGCCATAGAATTTCCCCAAAGTAGATAAACAAATTCAGATAAACTACTACTCCATTCGGTTCGTTACTGTTACCTGAGGACATTGTTTCTCAATTTTTGTAGACTGCTGCTGTGGGTTGCTGTCCTGTATCTTTTTTTTGGAGATGTATACAAGAGTTGTTACATTCTTGTACAGCCACTAATACGTGTAGCGTTTCGGGCAGGTCCCTGGAATACGATCCCCGCCGCGAAGAATCGTTTTTTCATCCAAGTACACATTTTACTGTTGCGTTAAACAGAGGCTACAGTTAAGGAATTGCACCCAGTAAATCCTCCCCGGCCAGGATACGAACCCATGACATAGCGCTCGCGGAACGCCAGGCGAGTGTCTTGCCACTACACCACAGAGACTGTTTTGTTGTGTGTATAGGAAGGTCAGTCTCGATATTTCTGGCCATTTGATAGGGGCCCTCCTCCTTTTTTACATATTGGGTAGTAAAAGTAAGTTTGTACTTATATATAAATTATTATACATTGAAGTCCTATGTATAGCTAGGCATAGGTTAGGTGTTTAGGTTCTGTTTGCAATGACAGTATTTGTATTTGAAGTACAGTAGGTGGGTGAAGCATTTATAGAGTTGCAATTTAAACAGAGGTCATCAGCGAAGCACTGAGAAATGTTTAGTCATCATCTGCTGTGAATTGTTTTTTTTTTTTTTGACTGCTGGATTAACGAGCATTTGGACTTTGTTTACGAGACGAGGTATTAAATTTGTGAATGAAAATAAATAGAATCTTAAATATATCATACATGAACTAATGGAACACAGTACTGTATTTCAAATGAACCTTTTCTCATAATGGATATTTAGGACAATGGGAATACAATGCTCTTAATGATTTTGGCTGTTCTAAGGTATGTCAAGTAATATTAATAAATTGCTTTGTTTATACACAGAGTGGCTCACTACAAGAGATTGGATCTGGAGATGATCATGGCATAGGAATGGATCCCATAACTCCAGCTGAGGTGCGAGAAGCTGTTAGACGTTATTGGGCCAATAACTCGCCTCTTGCACCTTTGTCTAAAGTTAGGTCAGCAATAAATACAAGACTGCTTGCTGCTTAAGAGTATTTCCTTCCTGTGGCTTTGCCAGTTGCTTGAGCGCCCGGACTTCAGCCTCTTCACATCAGGGTGGTCTCGGTATCGTCCTCTTTATGCAGTGTTATTCTCCGACTGTGAGGCCCTAGCTGTAGGTACCTTTCGGTGTATTGGACAAGATAGGTGTTCATTTACCTCTTCCCCCCCCCCCCCCCCCCCCCCCCCATCTGGCTATTGCTTTGGGTTCTGGCGCAATTGGAATTCTACAGTGATCCTTCTGGCTCATTGGTGTCTGGCCCAGCCTTGGTTTCAGGCACTGCTTGCTCGGTATCTGAACCTAGGAGTTTTTTCATGGCTTTGCCTCTTTCAGCAGGTAGGGTCAGTGACATACTTCACTGGTTAGACCACCTCTGCTCTTCCTGTCTGGTGGTTTTTGATGTATGTGTATTGCCATCTCTGTGGTGATCTGGTAGCTGCTTTAAAGGTGTTCTACCTGCAGAATTCCTCTATGAATTCATCTGTGACAATGTGATCTGTTGGCATGCTTTCCACCATTTTCTGCCCCTTCATCGTTGTTCCTCAGTTTCTGATCAGGTTGTTGTCCTTTCTAGGATTTTCAAAAAGCTTTGTTTTTGCTTTCTCTGGCTTCTGATTTTTGGGTGCGGAAGCTCCATGCTCTCCTTTGGTGACCGGGATTTCTGTTCTTTTGGTCCTAGTGGGGCTTTGTTCATTTGCAGCCAGCTTCTTTTCTGGCAAAAAATGAGTTGGTTGGCTTCCCGAGAAGTGGTTTCGGACCTGGGTCTACCACGAACTGTGTCCAGTGGCAGCTTTGCGCTACTACCTTCATGCCACCAATTGTGCTTCAGTGGACTCCTTGTGGGTTGATCCGGTTTCCCTAGTTCCCTGTTCCAGGTCTCATGTTTCTCAGGTTGTCCTCGTTGTCATAAAGTCTAGCCAGCCTGCCATCTACCCACATGCCCATGATGTGCAGAAGCATGCCTCTCTTTCGGCTGTATTTGCTAATATGTCTTGGGCTAATGTTCGGGCACAGGGATTTCGGAGGTTGAGCACTGTCTTGGTTGTAAGGAATCTTGTAAACATTCTTGGTTCTCAGCAGCCTTGTATGGGCTTTGGTCATGTGTCTTGGCCATTGGTCTCTTCATCTTGATACCTGTGCTGCTTCCTCCCTCCTGGTAAGTAACCTTTCTTCTCCATGGATAATTAGCTTCAGGGAGCCACATGGGGCATCTTTTCCCAGAAAACCAGTGTTGAACGTAATGAAACGTCATTTTCTGGGTGAGAACTGGTGGCTCCACATGGCATCCATCATCAGAACTAGAGAAGCAGCCAGCTGGCCTAGACTGCCTCCCTCCACCCCAAAATGAAGGGAAACTAACTTTCTCTAATTTCACTAATTTTTACCATTTCTTTACATTGCTGGGCGAGTTCGTTTGGCTGTGGTCTCGTTTTTAAGCAATGATCTATTTTGTTTCGCTGACTTTGTGCCTTCCCTTGATGGTGGTAGACATTAATAAATTAAAAAAAAATTTTTACAATACCACTGCTCCCTGACCCTCTGGGGGGGGGGGGCATGTTCTGGCTCATGGTTATCTTGAAATTATCTTGAGATGATTTCGGGGCTTTTCAGTGTCCCCGCGGCCCGGTCCTCGACCAGGCCTCCACCTCCAAGAATCAGCCCGTGACAGTTGACTAACACCCAGGTTCCTATTTTACTGCTAGGTAACAGGGGCATAGGGTGAAAGAAACTCTGCCCATTGTTTCTCGCTGGCACCTGGGATCGAACCCAGGACCACAGGATCACAAGTCCAGCGTACTGTTCGCTCGGCCGACCGGCTCCCTAGTAAGCCCAATGGTCCCCAGTAAGCCAATGAAACTCTACAACTGATGACACTTTGTAGTCTGCCACTGTCTCAGTATAATAGCTTCAAGGAGCCACAAGGGCCCACCCAGAGATTGCCGTTTCATTTCATTCAATGCCGTTTATTTTTTATTTTTTTATAACTACAGTATTCTATATGAACAAGACATTCTCAATTCTTATCAATATTCTTTTGTTATGCATGCAGCATTTTGCATTGCATAGGAATGTGTTCCATTCATATTTATAATTCCCAAATTTATCAGGAAAATGGCTAGGAGATACCAAGGAAATGCATCAGTGATTTTGCTTGCAGTAAATTATACGTGCTTGAACAGATACATTACGTGCCATCTGTACTTGCAAGTTTCCATCCAATACCATTTGCTACCTACGACTGCAGCCTACCCTGCCCCCTCATAGTAGCCAATTGGTGAACATCCGACTTCTCCAGTTCATTTAAATACTTCATATGGCTGCGTGCTATCTGCAGCTTTCCTTTTTGTACCACAAAGCATTGTACATGTTGGCTATAGAGCCACTTATGTATATACAGAACTGTACGCTTATTGTAATGGTTTCACATTCCACGTAACAAAAACTTGGTTTTCTGAGTTGTGTTCTGATCCATAATATTGGCTCTTGGCCAATAACTGACCTTTCCAATATGCAATGCAAAACTCATTTACTCCCAGATACCTATTTCTCTATTGCAGTCCATTAAAAATTTCCCTGGTAGTCTCAATGGATGTGTATATAACTCTATAAAAAGTGTAACAAGTTCTGTGTTGGCCAAACAGATAAACATCTTGACCAGATAATAAAAGAACATAAATATAGTATAAGAACAGGTCAAGAGTTCAGATCATTATTTCTTTCCTTGAGATTGTAATCATTCAATTGACTGGGCTAATTCATGCAAAATTTGAGTGTAAATCAGTTACTGAAAGAAATATTGAATCTTCATTCATAAAGTGTACGGAATAGGATAATATTAGTGCAAGTCCAGGATTATATAAATTGGAAAACTTTATAATTGGTAAGATTTGTGATTAGGTATAAAAATTATGTAAACAATAAGTTCATGTGTAGTACGTTCCAAGAATGAGGGATTGCCCAGTTAATATCTCGTAATCATCTAGCCTTCATGTCACCTCCATTAATCAATATTTTAGCTTATGGATCTTTGTCTAGTTTGGTGTAGTTGGGTACATAATTCCAAACTCTTATGACATCTGTCTATATTTCCTTTATAATGTGGTTAAACAAAAATGTCCAGAATTTTCGTTTAACTTTCCTAGTGGATACTTACGCATACATCCATCCGACTCGCCTACTAATGAGAGATTATAATAAAAGTAGATAAAGATAAATTATCATTGTTGATACTGGGAAACTTCAACTTCAGAGCAATAGACTGGAAGGCCTACGAGACAAGAACGGAGGATATTTGGACAAGGTTTGTAAACCTCATTCTGGAGGCATTCACGTAGCAACACGTCAAGCAGGCCACAAGAATGAGGGAAGGGGTTGATTGTCAGTACTGGATCTAATGTTCACCAAGAAAGAAGAGATATTTGACACCTAGTACCTTCCTTGGTTAAGAGTGATCATGCCCTGTTGGAAATTAAATAGGCTTTGTGATGTAATCTGGAAGAAAATTAGAACATTGAAATGGTTGATAAGCTCTATTTCAAGAAAGGACACTGGGTAACTTGGCAAATTCTTTAATGAATACAAATTAACAAACCTGTTGCTAGGCAAGGAAGTATATGGTATGCCAAATGTTGGAGGAAATGTATGTTTATCTCTCAAAATGTTTGGTAATATGTTTATTGTTTGTGATGTGTGTATATGTATGTATTAACACGATGTACTGAACGGGGTGAGAATAGCGTGAGCTACCTCATCCCTTTGTGTGTATTTTACCTCAATAGACTTCATTTCAATTCCTCTCTCTCGCTTGCACACACACCCCAGTATATATATATATAAAATGCAGCATTATGAAGAATGCAATCTTCAAGACACTGCCGAAGCATATCATGGTAAACAATACCTGTTACAGATGCTTCTTGAAAGAAGACTGGGCCATAAATTGATTTTTTTTTTTCATTAACACATTAAACATGGTAATCAATATACACCTTAAAAAAATAATTGTCCAATTCCATAGTAATAGATTTCTGGGACTATGTATGTATACACACAGCTTTCATTGTCACTTGCCAATTAAAGGGGACCTATAATAATCTTAATAAATTTACCATATGACTTGAAATAAAATGTGCCAAATTATTTTGCAATATTTATCCAATTATAAATCCACAAATATAACATATACAGTACATATAATAAATTCTGTTCACCTTTCAATTGCACAAACTAAACATACAATAATGCAATGGCATATACAACATTATCTCAATTCACCCATTTATCTAGAGATGTGAAAAAATCAGTGTCCACCAGTAAAGTTTTAAAAAATATACTTTATCAATTTGCATTTCTCCACACTAGCCTCCAAGTATGTAATTATCCACAAGCCTCCAAATAAGCTGCATTGATAAATTCAAACTTCTGTACAGGGTTTGGATGAGAACATGCTTCATACTAATGTTGTAAAAGGCAGCAAAAGAAGCTCCCTTCTCCCAATCAATAAATAACCAAAAAAATATTGATTTACTGTATTTTAAAAGTACTATGTATACTCTGGCAGGGGCCAAGTCTGTCTCACTGTTTCTGATGTGTCTTAATGCTCTGAATTTAGATCAAGTAAATAGGAGGAAAATTATTGTGAAACAATTTTTTGACTCCCTCCTGGAAATAGACACTACAATAACCAAAATATCCACATATAACACCAAATAAAATTAGGCCTTTACAAAATATCCAACTTGATTCTCTTTCGTTCCTTAACCCTTCGTCCAACAGTGTCATCACAAACATCACAATTATCACTGTCCTCATCACTTGAACGACGCTTTAGAAAACTACTGTCTGTATCTTCATCTAAATAATGTTTGTAGGAGCGAGACATGGACAAGTCTTCAGCACACTCCTGACCATCATCCCACTTATGTCGTGTGTCTTGAGAGGCAGTACATGCCTGAAAGGCAGAGTAAGGTTGGGAGGCAATAACAGGCTGAGGCTTTGTGATGGTAGTAGCAGCAGACAAGGCAACAGATGTAGTCCGAGCACAAGGAGTAGACAACACACAGGGAACTGTCACTGGCTGGGAAGTGCTTATTTGAGAGTGGGTTCCTAATGAATGTTGTGCAACATACACTTGGTTACTGACACTTGATGAGTGAGAACTTGCCAGAGGAGAGGCGGTCCCACCTTGGGATTCATCTACACTCTGAGAGGCAACTGTGGTTTGAGAGGAATAAAGGCCTGGAAGTAGAGATTGAGATTGAGAGCTAGGAGTTTTTGATTTGTGATGAGCTACTACAGATCTGGCATGGATGGGGATGTCTAAATCAAAAACACGTTCAAGGTTCCTCACTGAACCTCCAACTGCATGCCACCTTTCTCGAGCCTCATCTCGAGCAAGGATAACACCTGGAGGACTACACTTCTCTACACTCTCTGGAATTGAAGCAGTTGCAAGGGGAACATAAACAACAGCTTCATCTCCACCCTGCATTAATACACCAGCCTGCAGTTGCTGGCCTGACCCCTCCCCAACTGACTGGCCACAACTGTAGCACAAGAGAGGGTGTGCTGGTGACTTGGACCGCCAGTACTGAAGCTCGGTCTTGCACTTGTTCAGCTCCTAAAAATGATGCATGTAAGATATTAGTCATTTGGAAATAAATGTACCCTTGACAAACTACTAAAGGTATTACAGAAAGTTTAAAAGTATGATTTACAACAACTAGGCCTATCTTTAACACCATTTACATGCTATCTTATCTTGAGGTTATCTTGAGATGATTTCGGGGCTTTTAGTGTCCCCGCCGCCCGGTCCTCGACCAGGCCTCCACCCCCAGGAAGCAGCCCATGACAGCTGACTAACACCCAGGTACCTATTTTACTGCTAGGTAACAGGGGCATAGGGTGAAAGAAACTCTGCCCATTGTTTCTCGCCGGCGCCTGGGATCGAACCCGGGACCACAGGATCACAAGTCCCGCGTGCTGTCCGCTCGGCCGACCGGCTCCCTTATGCTACAATACTATCTTGACTACATGGAACATTGTACTTTCTAATACCTTTATTAACTAGATATTTTGATTGCAGCTATTCAAGAGAGCATTCCTGAGCCAGCATATCTCAGGAAACAATGTGGCATAATGAATACACAATACAATGAATTCAGTGCACTATAATGAGCACATTAAATATAATGAGTTCAGGCTGGTGAAATAAGCACAGCTGCTGTAAGGAAGGGTAGAAGATGCTGCTGATGGTAATGGCGATGACAGTAATGATTTTAAATATTTGATAAAATTCAACTTTTTTTTTCCAAAATTATGGGACACGTTTAAAAATGTTTTCCAACTTTTTCCCATTTTCTGTAATAGAACTTGTCAGATTTGAGACTGAATGTTGATGGGCCTTCTGAAGATGCCAATGATAAGTATGCACTGGCAAACGGGTAAATTGTGCCATGTACACTTTCAATACTTTCATGACTGCAAAATGATAAGTAATGATTGCAAAGTATTTTCATACTCATAACAATAATGCCATTCCCAAAGGCAATCAAGACAGACTAATAAAAGTTAGAATAGTCATGGAATATCAAACACACAAATGCAAAACAGTATTATACATTCCTCAGAAAAATCTGTATTTGGATGAAGGCACAATGCCATGGAGGGGCCATCTAGCTTTCAATTAAACCTGATAAATATGGAGTAAAGCTGTACATGCTAGGTGAATTGCATTCTGGTTACATCTATGATTTTGAAGTGTATGCAGGAATTGGGAAGACAATTCAAATGGTTATGGGTTTGATTGAACCACTGAAGAACAAAGGTTACCATTTATACATGGATAACTACTATAACCCGGTTCAGCTTAGTGAAAAGCTGCTTGAACAAGGTGTATACACCAGTGATACTATCAAATTGCAGCATGGTGCACCAAAAGATCTTCAGCTACAAGCAAAGGGGCTGAAGCAAAACTTCAGCACAAGTAAAACTGAGCAAGCCCCAACCCAATGCCCTGTCAAAGGGGCTAACCATGAAAGGGTCAGAGCAAACCCCTGGGGAGAGTTTTGGGAGTTCTTTTACTGCTCAAAACTGCCCTGAGGCCAGGCTTGACTTGTGACCACTTGGTCCAACAGGCTGTTGCTTGCAGTGGCCCACAAACCCACATATCTAGTACAACCCAGTTTGTCTGGCACTTCCTTTAAGAACTTATCCAAGTGCTTCATGAAGACTTTCATCTTTGTTCCAGCAATATTTCTAATGTTTGTTGGGAGGGCATTGAACAACCATGGACCTCTGATGTTCAAACAGTGTTCTCTGATTGTGCCTATGGCACTCCTCACTGGTTCTATTGTGCATTTCCTTCTGTATCTTTTGCTCCAGTATGTTACTATTCTACTGTGCAAATTTGGGACCCCTGCCTTCCAGCATCTTCCATGTACATATTATTTGATAACTCCCTCGTCTCCTTTCCAGACGTGCATTTTAAGAGCTTTGAGACAATCCCAATAATTTGGGTGCTTTATCATGTCTATGCATGCAGAATAGGCTCTCTGTATTCCCTCTATTTCAGAAATCTCTCCTGCTCTGAAAGGGAAAGTGAATACCGAGCAGTACTCAAGACAGGACAGCACCAGTGATTTAAATAGTATCAGCATTGCTGTGGGTGGGGGGGGGGGGTCTCTGGATTTGAATGTTCTCATAATCCATCCTATCATTTTCCTGGCTGCCGCTATGTTTGCTCGGTTATGTTCACTAGATAGCTTGTCTGACATCATAATTCCCAAATCTTTTACATGTTGCTTGAGTAAGTTTTAATGTGTCCTGTACCCTGTATTTCGTTTAAGTTCCTCGTTTCCTCTATACCTAATTACCTGGAACTTGTGACTTAACAATCATGTTATTTTCTGTTGCCCAATCGAAGACTATTAATATCAGCTTGCAATTTTTTTAGTGTCTTCCACAGAGGAAATTTTCATGCTGATTCTTTATCATCTGCAAAGGATGACATGAAGCTTTGACTAGTATTTTTGTCTATACAGTATTTGAGATGAGAATGAGCAGTGGTGCATGGGCTGTGCCCTGGGGTACAGAGCTTTTCACTGCACTTAGACTTTATCTTATTTGACTGACTGTTACTCTTTGCATTCTGTTTAATATTCCCTTGCCACCAACCCCCTCCTCATGCCACCCCTCCCAATACCATTCCCAGCACCCCATCCTGTGATGTCCTCAACACCTCTACCCTTTGCCACCCAGAAACTTCATCTCAAGTTGAAAATCCAACATCCCACTTTACTCATTATTCCTATTGATCTACAAAGGATAACTCATAATTTCAGCATAAAACCACTGCAATGTCAAATTCAAAATTAGTATTAATACACACTCATAACAAAAGATGCAATGCAAACAAAAATAGTAATGAAACCAAATGGTAATGAAATCAAACCTGGAGCACAGTGCTGAATTTACGTGAAGATTCCTCAAATTTCTTGTCATACTCATCCATGCGTGCTGCATACTCTATCATTTGTTTGTGTTGGTCAGCTAACTTGCCTTTGCATCCTTTCAGCTCACGTTTTAGAGCAACCAACTGTGTATTATACCTGTAATGGAAAGTATTGTAATGAATAGCCAAAACTTCTCACATGTCTTTATCATCACTTCTGGTAGTCTGTTCCACTCTAATGATTTATTAAATATGCAAGACAAAAGCTCATTTAGCGCAATCAAACTTCTTACAGGTGTGTGTGTGTGTGTGTGCGCGCACGCACGCACGCACGCACACACACACACACGAAGTGTGTGTGTGTGTGTTTCTGTCTTTTCTGATACTACTTCTGTCTTTTGCTTCTTCTTTTTCTTCTGTCTTTTGGATACTTTGGCTATGATACTTCTTTGGATACTAGATATGGATACTTCTTTTTCTTCTGTCTTTTGGATACTTTGGCTGTGATAGGATGAGGAACTCTGGCAATATATACATGCTGATAGCAGCATGTATATATTGCCAGAGTTCCTCATCCTATCACAGCCAGAGTATATCACATACAATATTCTTGTTTAGTTCTCATGATCAGAGAACATATTATATCCATATAAGAAACTATTTTTTTTTTTGGGGGGGGGGGGGTTCTGCACACTGAAGCTTGTCATATTTAATAGTGGTGCAGCAGAGTGGCTAACAGAGCTTTTTGGGTATGAATAACACACTAAGGTTGAGGAAAAGTCTGGGCCATTAAAAGCTGGAACAGGTTAGATAACTGATAATGACAAAGAAATGAGTTGTAATTGAAATATTTTGTCTGTATTTATTAGAGAAAAACTTATCATTATGCCTTTAGCTGAACAAATTTATATTGATGGCAAAAAGGACAGGGAGGAAGTTATTAAACCAATAGAAAAATTAAAGCCAAACAACTTCCCAGCACCGGATGAGGTGTCTGCCAGGGTGCTTAAATGTGTATATATAAACAAAAAATTGAGCCTGTATTGTATATTCAATACATCATTAGAATCAAGCAAAGTACCAGAGTCATGGAGGGTTGCTAATATAGTACCTATTTTTATGAAGGGATTTAAGACACTCCCATCAAGCTTTCAGCCAGTTAGCTTAATGTCTATTGTGGGAAATTGCTTGAAATGATAAGTGAGGGTTAATACCTATAGTATTGCTTCAGACTGACATGACAACCCCCCCCCCAACCCTCCTCACAGTTTGCCATGTTTCCTAGTTTGTCCTAGATAGGCTTTTTATAATTTCTTTTAGTAGAAATTATGGGTACCGTATGCATACAAACTTATAGGCTTGTCAGTTTCCCTATTTGTGATTTGTTCACTGTATTCATGCTGTCTTCAGTATTTTACTATTTGTAATATTATATGTAATTATATGTTGCAAACATGTAGGTACTGTTACTAATAGTATGCATGGTAGAGACAGTTTCCGAATATGGAATGTGCCGTTGAACCTCCCTTTTCTCGGGTCCCTTGGCGAGCATGGATAAGCTGCCACTTTCCTTGATCTTATTTCATTAGTTGCCTAATTTTCTATTTCATTAGAAATAAAGAAATATAAACAGGCATGCCAGCAAACATCTTAATCTCATGCTAATATACCCACTTTCTCATTCCTTGACGGATGCGTCTGATCCTCTTGCGCAAGACCATGTTAGATGGAGGAAGGGGATCACGCTCAGGAAGTTCATCTTCTGGCTCGGACACTCTTCCACTGCCACTAGGTGAGCGTACACTACAACCCTCTGTAATGCCAATATCAGAAATCAACTTCCAAAACTAAGTATCTTATAAACTTTTCTATAATTTACATACACACACAATTATTTTTTACCCCCGCTTCCCTCATTCATATGGCAATTAGACATCAGTACAGAGAAAAATGGGAACAATAACTACCATACACAAAATTATATTGGAGTTATTTATCTTAAACATTTTAATAGACTTACTATATCAGATACTTTTCTTTAATGTGCAATTTATATTGCTCTAAATCAGACACATGTTTAAAACTTTACTATAAATATTTTTTGTAAATTGTTAAGTCAATTATTTGCTTTAATGATTAATTTATATCATTAAACTTTTTATAGATTATCTACAACCCACTTTATGAACAGTTTCTGGATGACCCCCCAGTGGCTCCCTAAAGTTATTCACCAAGACTGTTCCATGTAAATAGGTCACATCAGACACGGGAGTTAAGTTTGACCTCCTGGGGACCAAAGCCAAAACCTAAGCCCCCCCTCACACAGAAGCACAGACAATTGTTATACTCAAATTATATGACGGTTGAGACATAACCAATCACAGGCGAGTAGGCCTCTGACGTCATGCCAGACAGAGGAGCACCAGCCGTGCTTGCAGCAGGGCTCAGTATTCTCACAGACTCAGACTAGGTTGGACCTCGGCTGGCCAGTTACACATTTTGTTGTCTTAATCAATAAAACTACAGAAGTGCCTACTGTGTATAACATTCAACCCAACAAGGCAACGAATACAATTGGAGGGTTATCTAAGACAAACCTTAAAATCAGCAAACAACTCTGCACATTACTCACACAAGAGAAACCTTCAAAATTAGCACAAAACTAATAGTATTGAATGACACCACCAGGCAGCCTTGGTTCCACACGGAACAACCCTTCTTAACCAGTTCTTCCGCTGATGTTCTCTGGACAGTACTGTTCCTGATCTTTTAGCTGTGGCAAGCCCCTCTGCTTCAAGCTAAGTGCTGGTGTTGCAGTACCTCTTTCATGAGCTACAACCTCCGTGATCTTCTTGTCCTTATGGGTCAGCGCATTCCCCCCCGCATTCCCTCAAACACCCGACAGAGGAGGAGACCAACATCCCTGACCAGCATGATGATTGCTGGTCACAAAGCCCCAGCCAAAAGTCAAGGCATCTGGGAAACCGTTGAGTGCTAGAGGAGGAAGGCGTTAGGGCGCCAAACCCCAAAAAGCCTAAAGAGGAAGCCGGCAATACAGCAGCCAACAAAATACAAGCCGAGTCCTGGCCCAGAGGATGCAAGAGCAGAAGGAAGTCCCTGGAGGAACCAAGAAAGCCTCTGAAACAAAACCCTGCCCAAGGTGTTAACCAGCAGGGTAAAAGGGAAGACTCCTGCATGGCCTCCCACCAACAGCAAGCAGCATGGAGGCAAGCAGAATGAATATTGCCCAGTGGCACAGAAAATGTACACCCTTCAACCTCGCAACAAGTGAGGGGCAGGGTCGAAGGGTATATCCATGTGGACTGCTGAACCCGCTGGGGATTTCCAAGGCCGAAAGCTTGAGTTAAACAAAGCCCAGGCACTGGGACAACACCGATGCTCAGTAGTAAATCAAACTAGCACTTGGCTAAAACAACTTACCTCGGCATGCGAGTACCCAATGACGTTCAACCGAGAAAAGTGGATACACTTTGTTTAACTTGGGGGAGTTCTATGGCTGTTTTCAAGTCTACAGATATAGGTAGTAGTCAGCTATGGTTTGTTTTGTCTCACTGACTTTCTGGGTGCCTTACCTGGAGGTGGCATATACAAAATAGATGCCACTGCTCCCTGTGCATCTGTGAGGATTCTAGGTTCTGACTTGTGGTCCCTGGTAGGCCAGAGAACTCTGCAACTGATGACACCTGTTTGGAAATACACACATTGGAGATGTTAGCTAAAGGGAGCCACAAGGGGGCTCCCCACCCACCCCCCCAGAAAACAATTTCAATAAAAACAAATTCCAAATACCTGAGAATGGTGTAGCTATGTCCATGAAATCCGATCCAAAGTATGTGATTTCTGGAAGGCATGGTTCAATGTGTTCCTTAAAATATTCCATGGCCATGGTGGAAAGATCAAAGAGCTCATCAGTTACTTTGTATGCTCGGCCTAAATTGGGGGTCGTTTTGATGTAGGTCAAAATGCGGTGAACTTCATCTAAAATCTGCCAAATTAGAAAAAATAAATAACACAGTTCATTGGAAAAATTACAATAAAATAGTTCATTAGAAAAATTTTAATAAAGTAGTTCATTAGAAAAATTCCAATATAATAATTAAGAAAAATATAAATATTGTATAAGAGTTCATTAGAAAAATTAAACAGTTGATTAGAATAAATTTCCACCAACAAAATATGCTTGACAAAGATGATAATATACATCATAATTATATTAATGTTAATGATGCTGCTGCTGCAGCTGCTGTATTGCTACAACAATTTGCTGCTGCTAAGTAATTATCAAGAGAAGACACCAAGCTGGGAAGACTACATAGTTGCTGCTGCTGTTAATGCTACAATGCTGCTGATGTTGTTACTACTGCAAATAGTTTTATTGATAATGCTTTGTGTTAATACTTCAAATACTTTTTGTACTGTTCAGATTGTTAACAAGGATGACTGGGCAGGCAGGAGTTCCAATAGAAAGAAGAAATAGTTATAGGCGAGCTAGAGACGAGTGCAAAAATCAAAAAACAAAATTCAGCAAGAGGCTTAAGAGTAGGGAAAGTAAGAGAAAGACAAATACTGGAGCTAAGGGATTTGGGCAAGTGCAAACTCAGCTTGTTCACAATCAACACCAGATCTATCACGAGAGAACCATGGAGCTGAAGGACAGGTGATGTCTGCAATCTTATGGATTTTCTTCTAGATTTAAGGGAGAGGGGGTGTCGACTGTTATGATGGAGATGTAGGATTTCTAACTCCCGTTTGGCTGTATAAGTGACCATATGGACCACCGCACTCACCTTCCAAAACATAACAAAAGACTGCTGGTGTCAATGTCTTTTCTAGGCCACACACTTACAGCATACAACCCAAGCACAGTCTGAATTCCACCAGAGAATACACTTTCCCGTGCTACTGGAGGTGTATCAAGACAGAGTGGAGGGCAGCATCTAACAAGGTGTTGTGAATAAGCTCCGAGGCCGATGCAACCATTTAGTATGAAACAATTTCCAGAAGAGCACTTCAGCCACAAAGGGCTCCCTCCAGAAAGCCTGGGTTCAGATACTTTGCAAGCAGTGCCTGAAACCAAGGTTGAGCCAACACCAAGGAGCCAGAAAGACCACCTTCCCATGGTAGGACTCCAGCCTGGCTAGGTCCCAGTGCAAAGAGAAAGAGGAAAAGGAACCCCAATCGTGGCCAGTCCAGCTGAAAGAATCCACTTCGAGGGCCTTGCTATCGGGGCCCTCGAAAGAAATATTGCAAGGACAAAGGTGGACTTCTTCAAGAAGCAATTACCTGGTAGAAATGTATTTCTGCAAGAAGTGCCAGATCATATGGGTTATAGTGGATTTGTAGGCCTGCAGGCCAACTCCAGGCAACAACCAGTTGGACTAAGTTATCACAAGTCAAGCCTGGCCCCAGGGTAGGCTTGGAGAGTAGAACAACTCCCAGAACCCTCTCCACCATTTTGAGGCAATGAATGACTCGAACCTGCGTTCTGGTGAATCCCATACACCTACCTTAACCGACTTGGCCATGATGGTACAAATCAACCAACCTGGAACTACTGAATTCACTGGGAGGTTTTGGAGGCCCCAACCAAGGTTTTACAGTCGACCGAATCACACATTGGCTTACAGTATGGTGTTTACACCAAGCCATAAGAGTATGAACACAATACTGTAGGCCAGAGTGGTCAGGTTGACTGTAAAACCTTAATTAGGCTCTGGTTGAGGTGATATTATCACTACTTACAAAATAATAACAGGAATCGATAAAATTCACAAAGAAGATTGTTTGAAAACTGCAACTTCAAGATCAAGAGGACATAGGTTCAAACTAAAATCAGAAAGTTCACTTTTGTAAAAAGAGGTAAACTCTTAAATGTACTAATGCAAAAATAATGTACATAAAACTTGACTAGTTTAAATCCCAAATATATGTATTACTAAAGAAATCACTTACATCTCCAGCAAAGAAGCAACAATGTTTGCGTTCAATGTGTTTTCCAAAAGACATCTGAAGTAAAGTGAGGCGCATATGTAAAGTTTCAACTATGTCAGATTCACGAGCCAATGGATGCTTGCGGCGTGCTGATTCACGACGTGGCATCTGTCCCTTAATGGATTGAAATCTTTGAAGCATTTTAATCTGAAGGCGTTGAAAAGATGCATTCAGGATGGTTGATCCAATCTGCTCAAACCTCTTACAAGCCTGTGGATGAATGACAATTTTTTTATACCACTAAAAAATATACAATTTATATTTTATATTTGACCCATGTATTAAAGCATTACCTAACAATAAAGGTACTAGTATTACCCCAAAAAATTATGTGCTTCATATTTTAATACCTAATTTTATCTGGCAACACCTTTCTATGGGGACCTAGTGAAGAATCTGTCCAAGGTATTTCATCAATCATAAATGCCAACATGTTTCTAGTATCACTAGAAGTACTGTACTGTATGTTAGATGCTCGTTTAGCTATCATACATTAAACAATAGTCAGCTGTTCGCACGAGAGATCAAGTGTCTGAAGAGCTAACAAAAGTGGAATATTACCTGTGGCTAATGGTAAAAGATTTTGATCTAATATTGCAGCCTGGCCTGATCTGGGGACTGAGTTCCCTGGTGATTGCCTACTGTATGAGGCTCCTTGCCTTTATAGTCTGCAGGATCACATGTTAGGTCTGCTGATATCTCTTTCCTAAGATCTTTGATTTGGTCACACCTTTCTATGAGTAGACATGACTGAGTAATCCACATTGTACTTCTTTAAAGGTTCCTACTGTTGACATGACAAAGTACAGTACAATACTATAACTGGAATTTGTTACTGTTGAATGTCATTTTCTGCTACCAATTGGAAATCCTTGCTCATATTTGATTTGATTTAATGGGGCATTCCAGGACAGACCACATAATGGCTTCTACCAAACCCACTTGAATTTTAATGAAACTTGGTGAAGTAAGGTACATATGAGTGGTTAACTTATGAATATTTTTAGCAATATTGACCCATTTGTTCCAAAGATATGTGGGGGTCAAATTTCAGAATGACCTAGACCCACTTTTTTCAAATTCACAACTTTGTTAATTTTGGAACTACAAAAAAAGAAGCAACTTGTAGATAAAAAAAGTGTTCTATTTGATAACTTCAGTAAAGAATTAAATGACAAAATTAAGACTGTATTAATAAATCAAAATTTTGTTGGGGCATCAACCCTTCCCCATGCTATAGAAATATAAAAATATTGAATTATTTTATCATTTCAAGTGTCCTCTACAACTTGTATATTGATTTCTGATGCAATTTTATTTTAATGTTATTTTTTATTTATATATTTAATTTAAAGTGGAGCATTCAACCAGGCAGACCGCTGTAAAATTGAAAACCTGGAATACAAAGCGGTTGTTGCCTGAAACCTCTGAACTGCAACAGACCAGAGGGAAAACTAGAGCACGAAGAGAACAAGTCTCCTATGACTCAGGGCAGTAGGTGTCACCGACCCAAAGAGCAGCATGGTGGAGGCAGAATGTACGAATGTCATCAGGTGGCACGGGCAACGAACAACCCTCAAATTTGCACGAGGTGAGAACGGACTCGGAAGAGGCATCCGTAATACAACCAAGCACGTGGGGATTTCCAAGGCCTGCAGGGAAGCCCAGGCACTGGGAATGCTACACAGGTAACCCCTGCTGATAACAAGCATTGTATTTAGACTATCAAAAACTAACAGTTATGAATTTTTAAACAAATAGGGGGCAGTGGGTCAACCACAAATTTGACCCCCATATCTTGGGATCTAGTTGATGAATATTGCTAAACATTTACACAAGTTAATCACTTATATATATCTTCAACTTTACCAAGTTTCGGTTAAATCCAAAATGATGTCGTGGATATTTTTTTTATCTGTCCTGGAATGCCTCAATAATTTCATTAAACACATTGTATGTTTTAGTATAATACTTACTTTTTCACACATTCTGCAGGATTTACATTAAAAAACCACAACAACTTATAGGGTCCAATCCAGTGGGCTAATTCAATTTAATTTATTGCCAAGTCAGCAGCTAGACTTATCAGTATCTCTTATCATTTTAGCCATTCAATTTGTACTGTAGTCTTTCTTGCTTTGATATCTTATCCACTTACCAAAGATTATAAATATTCATCACCTGCTTCCTTTTTAGTTCCAACATGGTTCTTAACATTTTCTGACATTGCTAATCTCAATGATGGTCATGAAAGAATACACTTTTGCCTTAAGAATGACAAAAACTGAAGCACCAAACTTACCCGCCTTATTTCTCCAATTTTCTTGAAAGTAAGGTATGCAAATATATTTTCAAAAATTTCATTTGGAAGGTCAAGGATGTGTATTCTAATAGCTTCATTCTTTTGTGAATCTGTAGATGAAACAGATGTTGATGCTGATGGCAGTAATGCCTGTGAAGCTGTGACAGATGTAGATGGCAATGACAATGATGAGGTTGATGGTGAAAATGATGGACTTGTCAATGTTGCTGCTGATGATGCTGCTTGTAAGGCTGATGGTGATGTCGAATGTGAGGATTTTATCCCAACATTTACCTGAAAAATATTACAAGAGGTCACAAGAACTCTCATACCAGATTCAATCTAAAATAAATCTTCGATGTTTAATACAAAACCAAAGATTTCAAAGACTGGTTTCGTGTCCCATAGTCAAAGACAGGAAGCCTCTTTTAAGCTTACTCAGGTTTCTTTAAGACAAATACTGACATCACCCAGGATGCAACAGACAACAGCTGCCTAACAGCCAGGTACCTATTTATTGCTAGATGGTGAGACATCGGGTGAAAGGAAACATTGCCCAAAAATTATTTTCTCATTAATGTATCATGTCACTGTGATTTCTTTGTGATCTGAAGGAGGGAGATCAGAGTATCGGCAAAATTGTGAAATCGTTATTTTGTTTACAGTATTTATGGTGTGTAGTTTTTCTCTTGTGAGTACAGCTTCCAGGACTTGCAAATCTTCTTTGGTCAGTTGTGGATGCCAGGCATGTTGTATTATCTACTAGCAGGGTCCTAGTGAGAGTTGTGTTCTGCTAACACAATGATACCAAAACGTACGACGTAGCACAACAATTAAGGTGAGAAAACTGAAACGAGTATACACATTTCGGTGTCACAACACGCTTGCCCGCACGCCAGGAGTAGTTCGTGCATAAGCGCAGAGTAAATGCTCCGCACGTGAAAGTGTTAACACTTGTCTGTAGTGAGACATCACATTGTCATTAAAATAGTTAATACAATGGCCTGCTACAGCTTTATTTGGGCGAATTTTTTCAGCAAAACTTTGAAGTTCTTCCTATACTGCACACATTTTCTTTGAGGAAGAGACATCCTCTACTCACAACTATTTTCTTAGGATGAACCTTACCACTGACTTTCTTAGGACCCACGGTGTGATATAAAATAAAAACTTTTATGTTCAGAAACCAAAAACGCAGAAAAAAATTAAATTCTTCACAAAAAATTCAAGTGCGATCATCACTAGGCAGGATACGCTGGCAAACAGAGGGTGCCTCATCCCGCGCTCAGCAGAACCCATGTGCTTGTCGACCCATACATGTACTGTATCAACAAACTTTAAAATCCGAGGCAAACTTCGAATACCAAGTCAAATTTTAGAGGAAATTTACCTCGCATAACAAAAAATTCGTAAAGAGGGGCATTCGTCAACCGAGGTTCCACTGAACACTTTAAAAGACAAGTTCACAAATTAAAAGTGGTACCTGGTACTGAAACATCTGTAGTAGTGTGTTGTACACTATTATGAATATAAAACTCAAATATCAATATTTCTACAGCAACCATCACTGACTACAGAGCTTTGAATAAAAAGATGTTACTGGTAGATGACAGGGCAGAGGTACTTACAGGAAAGCGCTTGCTGTTAGGAGCATGATGTGCAGGATTGGGTAGGGCTGCTGGATCACTGTAACTGTGGTCACTCAAAGGACACACCTCTCCAAAGTGTGAGAGTCGTGTCAATACCATTCTCGCCTTGCTCTGCAACTTTCACATTCTTCAATTATACTATAAATACATTGCTCAAGTTTTATCATATGGCTTATTTTGTAAACCTGAAAAAGAAAATGCAGTAATAAACAGGATAAAGCAATCTTCCAAGTATTCTCTGGAGTACAAGCAAGAAAAATATTAACATTGCCCAGGAGGCATGTACGAGCGAGCAAATGAGGAATTTTCCATTAGCTCCAATGAGGTATGGTTTGAGCTCATTTTACTAAAAGTTTAAATGGACTAGTTTAAATTCAGAGAAGACCTAGTTTGCAAAACGTTGTTGATTTTTGGATCGTGTTACAGTACAGTACATGTACCAGATAACATAATAGACATCGGATCGTTGGATTGTTTCAGGCAAAGGTTAGACATGCTGTATATACAGTACAGGGAAATTACCACACTTAAAAACATGTAACTATATTTTATGTTCAATGTATGGTTCTACATACATGAACACTGAATTAATATAAGCCATAGGTTACTTTATCTTGTGGTTACCTTTTCGTGATTCCGAGAAGCAACGCCCCCACGGCCCGGTTTTTGACCAGCCCTCAATGGTTGGTGGTCTGGTCAACCTGTATGATAAACATAGCTGCTCGCACTCTAACGCATGAATTACAGTCCAGTTGATCAGATATCCTTTGGAGCTACAGTATTTATAAAGTTACCTTTTGAACACCATGGAAAGGTCTGTTAGTTTTGTGCCTTATGTTTAGAGGGAAAGAGTTGAAGTCTTGGGTCCCTGATGTTGATAGAATTGTCTCTTGTGTTGGTTTTCCTTGGGACTATTCTGCACTTTCTGCCAGTCCATCTAATATTTTCCAAATGTAACCAATTTTGAATCTCTCTATGCATACCTACAAACAAATTAATGACGTTTCACTTATACCTGTCAGTGCATTCACTCTTACTGTTCATACATTTTTCTACATCAGTTTGTTTACAATACACATCTGTGATAATTCAACCCCAGTTACCATCAACGAGAACATCGAGGAATGGTATCCTGCTTCCTACACTTAGGAAGACTTTGTAGTAGGAAGACTTCCTACACTACACTTGATGCATGCAGCTTGAGAAAATGAATACCCTGTTGGTTTATGTGTTGACCTTCATAAGGTTTTTGACACTGCTAATCACAATAACCTTCTTAAACTGCAACATTATGGAGTCAGAGGTCACTCCCTCCAATACCTGCGATCTTATCTTGCATGACGGGCAACAGTATGTTTCTGTGAACGACATTACTTCTCCAACCCTACTAATTAACATTGGTGTGTCACAGGGCAGTATACTTGGTCCTCTTTTCTTTCTGATTTACATGACCTTTCAAATGCCTCTAAACACCTCAATCCAGTTCTATTTGCTGATGACATAACCTTTTTTTTTTCCTTAAGTCCTAACCCTCTTATTCAGAGCCACACAGAGAATACTGAATGAAGAAACGTCCATCTTTGGTTAGTTGTTAAGAAACTCACCCTTAAAGCTGATAAAACCTTCAGTTTTTTTGTTTGGTAATAACTCCAGATCAGATCAACCTAAGAATAAACAATACCAAAATAAGTAACAATAGATGATAAATTCCTTAGAAATTAAATTCCAGTGCCATATACAAAATACAGTATAGCAAAACAATTTCTAAAACAGTTACCATTTTTCCTAATATCATATACTGTACTGTGTACCTCGCTCTGCCCTGGTAACGCTTTATTACTCTCATCTATGGTATCTCGCATACGGTATTGTGCCTGGGGTTCTAATACCCAAAATTATCTATGACCTCTAATTACTCAACACAAATCAACAATTTGAACAGTAACAAACTCAAGCCACATATAGCACTCGTGCCCTTTCCTTATATCTTTGAATATGTTAGATATTAAGTCACTGTACATCCTCTCAAGTGTATATACTCTATGTATATATACATAGAACACTGAACTACAATACTAATCTAGACCTTAAACTCTTCCCTGAGGGCTGTAATAGAACATATGGGCACCTCATTAGAAACAAATATCTAATTAAATATCTATTCTATAAGTAATATCTATTTGACATCCCACGAGTGCAACATAAAGCAGAAATGCTCTGCAAATCAAGGGTCCCAAAATGTGGAATGACCTCCCTAATCACATAAACAACTGTCCTTCTCGCAATCGGTTTAAAAAAGAGAAACTACAGACTACCTGATTAACTCTTTGTAACCTACATTACTTCCTAAATATCAACCCATGTTTTGCTGTTATTGAACATTAATTACTGAACCTGTACTACTGCTGTTATTTGCCAAGTAAAAATTTAATAAATTGTATTCCTTCTGTTTATACAGTACTAGTACTGTCTGTAAAATATGTTCTGCTGATATTTTTGCTTTTCTAATCCTGTAATAATTGACATTTTGTATTGATCTACCTCAATTAATTATTGTTTTTCCATCTCATTTAGTTTATTTTCATTTTATGCCCAAAATGCTCTGCATATTAGTGGCTTTAAACATTGCACCTGCCCTACCCTCGATTCATACAATCTTCTTATATCCCATTCATGTATGTATTTATGTACGCATTTACTTTTGCTTAAATAAAGATTATTATTATTGTTTAACATACATAAATTATGAGTCAAATTTTCATACAAAGCTTGTAGCATTATATACTGCTCAAGGCTACATAGTACCGTGACATCTGTTAAGTAGCCAATAATAAGTGACAAAAGTAACATTTGGTTCCCAGTCAATACAACACTTGAGATTAAAAGCAGAACAAGTGAATTTAATTACAGTAAAGAAACCAGCTTTTGTGTGTGTAAACCTGAGAAACAAATGCTACAGGTTACAACACACTCTTCTCCGCACAACCTACTCCACACAACTGTTTCCGCCACTACAACAGCAGTACAGCATCATAACACTGAGCAAATACAACCATCAACCTTCAAGTTGTTGAAGCTGGAATATGACCTCTTACTGCACCCACATCGCGAAAATAATTTTCCGCCAAGACAGACGTGGCTGCTGACCTTGGTTGTAGTTACTCCCTTATATCTGCCTCCTCTGGCACTTTAGTGCCTTCACACTCTAGTAAGTCGATCAAGGGGTCATTCGCACATTACAATATTGATAAGTTGTGACTAAATAGTGGCAAGAGCCTAACCTTTAAGCAGCAAACTGTAAGACGAAGTCTGACTCCTGCCACTGGCGGCGGCGACACTGCGAGTCCTTAATAACTTGTTTACCTTGGTCTCTGTGGCCCCACTAAGCTCTACTCCACAGCCTCCTACACGCTCATGGTAACTCCTCCCCGTCTACCACCATTATGTTACCACGCCAAGTGCCAGATTTGAGCTAGAAAATGGATGGAGGAGCAACAAAGAACAAGTATCTGGGCAACCTAGTGTTAGTGGCGACTCTGGTCCTGTGGGAGCCTGGCAAGAATAGACGCCATAACTCCTCATATAAAGACAATCAAACTCTTTATCTTACATTCTTTGTGGTGCCAGAGCCTCCAGCTCCTATTATCGTGCATCCTTTAGTGCCTCTTATAACATTCTATTATACTTTCCTTTTCAACTTATTGTCCCCAGTGAGGGCTATAGGCAGTACTCTCAAAGGTAGCAAATGTCTCTTTATTAGAAAGCTATGGAATATGGTAACAGCACATGGCTCTCTAAACCTATGCTTGTGACAAAAATTTATTAGAAAAACAAATATATATAAAGATTTATTTATTTATTTTACCTGAGGGCCACTAACACTTTAGTGGCCTCGATGAGGACAGGAAGCCGGCGGCTTGTCAAACGTCCTCCCCCATTTGTCCTTATTATTTTTTGTTTTCAAGCTGGCTTTTAATTAAAGTCCAGCAGAGTTTTGGCATTTACGGCTTCGACGGGTAGGCAGTTCCATGGGTTTTTAACCCTGTGAGTGAAAAAGCATCTCCTGTTCGCAGTGCTAGTTGAGCGTGAAACCGCTGCTTCTTGCTCTGCGTTACATCTGATCTTATGAAAAAGTTGTCCGGATCAACATCCTCCAAATTGTTCAGTATTGAACGTTTCGATGAGATCAGCCCTATCATGTTGAAACCCGTTCTCGCACTTGCCTACAGTCAATATTGGCTTATTTAATAAGTGCATATGTGACATACTAATTGATTGCCATACAAATTGTTTAGCCTTGTGGCCCTCAATCTGTCATCGCATGAGAGTTGGCTTGCTTCTGGAATTATTTTTGTTGCCCGGTGTTGAACTTTCTCCAATGAAACAATGTTTTTCTGAAGATAAGGTACCCATGTCTCCATGTAATGGTGGGTGCATACCGAAGCTGGCTTCGGTATGCGATTGAATGACTACCTTCTTTTCCATATAGTCAAAGATACCATACCATCGACCATTCCGAAATGACAGAACAACAAGAGCACGTGGGGTAATGCTATATGTGAAAGAAGACCTGTATGCAATCTAAATGAGGAATTGAACACCATGGAATCCTCAGAGTCTGTATGGTGCAAAATACAAGCTCAAGACAGTAGCAAACTGATAGTGGGAGTATGCCAGTATGTTGCCTGGTGTTGCACTTTCTCCAGAGCAGTTATATGTCCTACTGAAGATGAGTCTCCCATGCTTGGATACAGTAATCGAAATGGGGGCACAAGAGGTTTATAAAATTAAATCACTACCTTCTTTTCCTTACTTATATTGGTGAAAATGCTACCTTGGGTAAAATAACAATTAATACAGTAACATTGAATGTGGTTAACACTGAGTTGCCGGGTGGGGGACCAGCGGAGCCCCTTACCCCAACTTTAGAAGGCACCTTAGTTCGCTTAGACTTTGCTAAGGCTTTTTGACAAGGTACTACATGAAAGACTAGTAAGAAAGCTATAAGCACATGAAATAAATTGGAGAATACTGGAATGGATAAAAAATGGGTCGTGCTAAATGGTAATGAATATGACTGGAGAACCATTAAGTGGGGTAAGTGGGGTACCACAAGTGTCTATTTTTGGGCCAATCCTTTTTGTCATGTACATCAATGACAGATGAGAATATTACAAACCACTTCATCAAATATGCAGATGACACTAATATTTATGCTAAGGTGGGTAGTGAAAATTATTTTGAGACCTTACAAAGAAATCTACATGAACTCCACAAACTGTCAGAAGACTGGTAAATGCCTTTTAATGTCGATAAGTGCAAAACCTTGCATGTGGGGAATAACAATCTACGTCAGAAGTACCAAATTAACAGCATTACCTTACAACAGATTGATGAAGAAAAGGACCTTGGAGTCAGAATCCATCAGTCGCAGAAAGTTGCACAAGTGTGAGCGACAGTAAAAAAAAAGCTAACCAAACCCTAGGAATAATCAAGCGTACCTTTACCTTTGAGGAAACGAAGGTAGTCATTTAAGTGTATAAGTCTCTGGTGCGCCCCGACCTGGATTATTGCATCTAGGCATGGAGATAACTTCAAAAAGACATAGCTGCTCTGGAGAAAGAGCAACACCAGGAAAAAAAAAAAAAATCATTCCTGAAAAAAGTAAACTCTCGTATAAAAAACTGTTGAGGGCCTTAACCAAATTAGAAATGCTCTGCAAATCAAGGGAATAAAATGTGGAATGACCTTCCCAATCTCGTCAAAGACTGCCCCCTCTCTTAAGCAGTTAAGAGAGAAACTAAGTACTACCTAATGAACTCCATGTAACCTACCTTACCTCCTAAATGTAAACCTATGTCTTGCTATTATCAAACATTAATACTTAATGATTATTGCCCGAAACGCTATACGTATTTGTGGCTTTAGGTATTGTATGTACTAGCTCTATCAATAAATCCAACATTTTGTTTATAACTCATCTTCTATGTATGTACTTTTTACCTGAATAAACATTTTTATTTTTTATTTTGAATACCAAAACTCTGCTGAATTTTAAAATCCAGCTCGAGAACATCATCAGGACAAATGGGGGAACCTCTGACAAGCCGCCGGCTTCCTGTCCAGTATACCTAGGATTATTATGGGCATTCCAATCTCTGATGTAATAGCCGCAATATTTCAGGAAATTAGGGAACACAGAAGAGCAGTTACTGACACACAAAGGCCAAAAAGCACGAGTATAAAAGAGCTATGACATTTTTAGAACCGAGAATTATATGTATGGGCAGCATAAAACATCCACTAGACAGTGTGACATTGTAATTGCCAGAATTAGGCTGGGATATCGATATTTGTGGCAGGTGGCTGCAGGTAATGAACCTCCCAATGGTGAGCATTCCAGTTGTAAACTATGTGAACAAGAGCTGGGACATACTCTCCAACACTATATCTGTGATTGCCCTGTTATAAGTGACTTCAATGGTATGAGGTACTTTGAGCTCTGTAATTACTTCATACACTCAGGAATATTGGCAGATATTCTAGTGCTATACCCAGATTTTGCTAGTGGAGGCTAATAGATCAGCCTTAAATTTCATGCTCTCTCCAGATTTTTAGTCAGAGTTGATTTGCTTTTGTATCGAGGCTGGTATTGTCTCCCCTGATTCCATGAATGACTAACCATGCTGTGAGATGGGAATATTAGATAAACTTATAGCTAGTTTTTTATGTACACTGTGTTGTTGTTGTGTTGATTTAGGGGCGACGACGATCGTGGGATCGGATATAGAATAAAGTAGCAGCTGTATACCTGTGTATAAAGTAGCTGTGTATACCTAAGCTTGTTAATAATAATAATCAAAATATATGCTTGTTATTAATAAAAAAAGGTAAACTGTTTATTTTATTTTATTTAGATATACAAGAAGGTACATTGGGTTGTGAATGTACATAACATTGGTATTCTTACATCATTACAATGACAATAACATGCATAGCGTTTCGGGAAGGTCCTTAACCTAACAGATAAAGTAAATTCATGAATTTTTGTACTCTTGCTTAAATAATAATACTAATTATTATTATTGTTTAAATAATTAGTATAGTAATAATTATTATTATTATCAATGTTAACTTTATCCAAATGTATTGCCATACCATAAGAGATAATTCAACATTAATAAATAACTAAAAGTAATCGTAATACTTACAAGTTTGATTAATACAATAATATACCAATAAATAGAAGAATAACAGGTGCTTTTCGAGTTCGTCATAAAGTGTAAAGATAAGATAGGAAGAGTTAGGAGTTACGTGAAGGGAGGGGTGGTGTAGGGGATGGATGTGGCAATAGTGAGCGGCGCCATAAACAGTCGCAGCTGATGGTGACTGTTGGTCCAGCTCCCACCCAAGACTGTCACTCAATGCTGTCACTGCCTGGACTGTCACACTCGCTGCTGTAACGCCCTGGACTGTGACACTCACCGTTATTGGGCTGTGCAAGCGGTGAAGAGTGAGGCGGCTCCCCTGACACTCGTGCAGCCATCAGGAGAAAACCTTCCCTCCTCGCAGACGATGACCAGTTGACACCATAGTCACAATGTTCGAGTCTCTCGTGTCGGAGCTCCTCAACCGGGTCCTTGGCACCTACATCGAGAACCTCGATGGCTCTAAGCTCAAGTTGAGTATCTGGGGAGGTGAGTTGTTGATGGCTGTGGCTCCTGGTATGTGGGGGAGGTGAGTTGATGTGGCTCCTGGTATCTGGGGAGACGAGTTGATGGCAGTGGCTCCTGGTATCTGGGGAGACGAGTTGATGGCAGTGGCTCCTGGTATCTGGGGAGGTTAGTTGATGGCTGTGGCTCCTGGTATCTGGGGAGGTTAGTTGATGGCTGTGGCTCCTGGTATCTGGGGAGGTTAGTTGATGGCTGTGGCTCCTGGTATCTGGGGAGGTTAGTTGATGGCTGTGGCTCCTGGTATCTGGGGAGGTTAGTTGATGGCTGTGGCTCCTGGTATCTGGGGAGGTTAGTTGATGGCTGTGGCTCCTGGTATCTGGGGAGGTTAGTTGATGGCTGTGGCTCCTGGTATCTGGGGAGGTTAGTTGATGGCTGTGGCTCCTGGTATCTGGGGAGGTGAGTTGATGTGGCTCCTAGTATCTGGGGAGGTGGGTTGATGTGGCTCCTAGTATCTGGGGAGGTGGGTTGATGTGGCTCCTAGTATCTGGGGAGGTGGGTTGATGTGGCTCCTAGTATCTGGGGAGGTGAGTTGATGTGGCTCCTAGTATCTGGGGAGGTGAGTTGATGTGGCTCCTAGTATCTGGGGAGGTGAGTTGATGGCTGTGGCTCCTAGTATCTGGGGAGGTGAGTTGATGGCTGTGGCTCCTAGTATCTGGGGAGGCAAGTTGATGGCTGTGGCTCTGCAGTAACTATTTCACCATCCATGTATTTAAAAGCAATTATGAAATTGAAAAGCATATCATATGCTCCTCACACAATGTCCTTTGTATTCCTCTGGTGACAGCTTACTGTCCAGAACCACCCCTAGATATCTTACTTTGTTTGAGTTCTTTAATTTCTTTACACATGATTTGTAGATTGTGTGGTAGCTATTTTCTATTCCAAGTTCAATAACATGGAATTTATTCACACTGAATTCCAGTTGCCACATGGTGCTTCATATTTATTTTATCTATGTAATTTAAAAGGGCATGCCAATCATTTGTCTTTTCTTCTCTAATAGCTTAGCATCGTCAGCAAACATGTTCATACAAGTCTGTGTTCCTTCCGATAGGTCGTTTATGTAGACGGTGAATATTACAGGTGCAAGAACTGATCCCTGTGGTACTCTGTCAGCAACATTCCTCCAGTCAGATACAGTACATTAACTGATTACTACATATCTTTCTGGCAGTTAGAAAATTTTTCATCCATGTCAACAATCTCCCTGTCAACCTCTCCAGTATGTTCGTTTCCAAAAAACACCTCTTGTGGGATGCCCAACCACTTGGGCTGGACGGTAGAGCGATGGTCCTGCTTCATGCAGGTCGATGTTCAATTCTCTACCATCCACAAGTGGTTGGTCACCATTCCTTCCCCCAAGTCCCAACCAAAATCCTTACCCCCATCCAAGTACTATATAGTCATAATGGCTGGCACTTTCTCCTGATAGTTCCCTGTCCTTCTTTTGTGGGACTGTCAAAAATATTTATTTAGGTCCTGATAAAAAGTCAATCCAACTATCTATTTCCTGTAGAATCTCTGTATCTCTATCATAAAAACTAAGTAGATTTGTTACACAGGATCTTGTTCAAAACCTATATTATGTCTGTTATACCATTTCTCTCCCAGCTATTCTATGCATTTGGTTTTAACTACTGTACTTTTTTCTAGTGTTTTGACTATCATTGTTGTCAGGGATGCGGGTCTATACTTTATATTTATGATCGAAAATATGCCCGGGTCTATATTTGTGCCCAAAATGCTGTGCGTATTACAGTAGTGGCTTTAGGCATAATATATATGGCACTTGCTTTATCCAGAAATCCAACATTCTGCTTATAACTCATTTTGTATATACTGTATGTACTTTTCCCTGATTAAACATTATCATAATTAAACCCTTCTCTACTACCATTTTTGTAGAATGGAACTGTTTGCGTTTTTCCATATAGAACTGTATTTGCTAAGATTTGCTAAGGATATAATAGGCCTATGTGGATGTAATGGAGTTTACCTTGATCCTTGAAAAAAATCTACTCGTTAGTTTCTAATGCTGTTAATCATTAGTTACTTACTAGATAAATACGGTTATCGTCATATGACGATTTGTATAATTATTGCCTGGGTTTTACCTGTATGATGCAAATAAGGATATAGTTGGTCTATGTGGATGAAATGGAGTTTTCCTTGACCTTGGTAAAAATCCTGCTCTTCATAGTACTAAATCCTGTTAGTCACTAGTTACTAGGTGAATGCGCTAGTCATTTGACGATTATCGTCTGTTGGTGCACATTGATGGCTGGTGTGCTGGCACATATGGTATATACTATGCCTATGCCATATGGTGCCAGTTAGGCCACATGTCATCGCCCAGAACCCAACACCATTTAATATTATGTTCATATCCTATTCACTGCTCTATATGCTTGCAATAGAGTATACCAGGTAAACCAACCAACCAATTAAAACATTATCATGTGTTGTTTGAATTATGTGATTTATAAAGTTATTCAACACGCATGTTCTTGTAAATAAAGAGAAACAAGTGGTGCAACATTGGAGGATAACACAGGAAGTGTCAGCAAAGTCGAGCACAAGGCATTGACAGGCACCAGACACAGCCACCATCACCATCATCCTGAGCGCCTCCACCCAATAAAATGAAAAATATTCACCTATTTTTGTGTTTTTCTTACATGTTTAATACAAATTAATAAATCTGTAATAAAAGATTATTTGTTATTTTTTATTTGTTTGCACATAGGCAGGTATGACCATTTTTCCATAGCTGCTGTCCAAGGGCTAAGTAAAAATTGTCACAAAATTTTACATTCATTCCCTCTTACGTGACTTTAAATAATCGTTCGCAAAACAGTTTTATTGTGCTAAGAACAATAAAGAATAATTGTTCTTTGATTTTACTGCTCTAATGTGATTTTTTTATTATTTGGAAAGGTTTTCCCAATACTGTATTCGAGACATGAAATAATGTTCCCAAAATTTTTAGAAAAATCAAAGATTTGGTCATTTTGGCACTTACATGCAAAAATGTTGCCCACCTAGGCTCTTTGCTTCTGGTATTTTTTATGCATCTTTATTGCCATCTCTATGGCGAGCAGGTGGCTAATTTGATGGCGTCCCATCTACGGTTGTCTTCTCAGTGGTAGTACAGTATGTGGTTTCTTGCTCTTTTTGTAATGTCATTTCTCTTTGTTGTTGCTCTTTGGTTTCTGAGCATGTTGTTTCTTCCCATTCTTGACTGTTTCTTGAGTGGCACTTGATGCTGAATACTGTCGCCACTTTTTGTGCAGTGTTGGCAGACCCACTGTTGTTTGTGTTTCAATAGATATGGCCTCGGTACTGTTTCGTAAGCTTTCTTGAGCATTGTTTCACCTCTGGCCTGCTCATGCACTGCTTGCACACTTGGTCTTTAGATCTCCTTCTTGCTTTTCTTTTAGGTTTATGGTGTCCCCTTCAGTCTGGGATTCTTTTTCAAAGTGTTTTTTGGTGGGGGGTGGGGTGCCCATGTCCTGAAGCCACCGTCTCTGATGAAGATGGCATCACTCGTGGAGTTCTCTGACCTACCAGGGACTCAGAGCACGAACCTAGTTCCTTCAGAGGTGCTGGGAGCCATGGCATTTATGTTTTACCCCTTAGACAGCAGTTATCGTCATTTATTGATTCACGGGTAATGCAGTTATCATCATACAACGATTTTAACAATTACTGTCTGGGTTTTACATGTATGATGCATATATGGATATAATAGCTCTCTGTGAATGTAATGGAATTTACCTTGACCTATGGAAAAAAAATCCTGCAACCATTTCATGTGTGTGTGCCACATTGGTGGCTTACTCCTTTCTTTCAATTTATACTCCCGCCCATGTGGTGCCAATTAGGCTGTATGTCATCGCCCAGAACCCAACACCATTCTATGTTATGTTCACATCCTTTTCACTATTCTATGGCTGTATTGGATTACACCAGGTAAACCACTCAACAATTGAATTGGGTTATTGAAACAATTGTTGTTATATGAATTATTTGATTTATCAAGTTATCCAGCGCACGCGCACACACACACACATTGTAAATGAAGAAAATCAAGGGATAAACAAACAGTGAAACATCTGAGGATAACACAGGAAGCATCATCAGTCAGGCACTGGGTGCCACACACCTATACCCCTCCCCCATCCCTGTATGAGTTGTATTTGTCTGTGGCATCCCCAGGATGTGGCACACTCCACACACTTTAACACACTCCTACTATGTTGCTATTATTACTTCAAACACTCATCATCAGATTCCTGTGACTAAATCATAAATATGAATAATTTTCTACAAGATTTTTAAAAGGAACTTGAAGTCACTTTGCATAATGTGTAGATTCACAAACCTTGGCTGTATGTTCTGAATGTTTGCCTCCTTATGTGAGCATAATGCTAGCATCATAACTAGCATTGTGTTCACTGATATCTGAACCTTGTACGTAATTTTTATTAGTCAGGATCATCTATGACACCTATCTCAAAATAATTCCAGTTACTTTATTCATGATTATTAAGTGGTGCTGTGGGCCCCGACTTGTACAGCTGTGCTCCGAGCTGCAGCTGCATGCACCAGCCTTGGTTGTTGGTGCTGACAGGCACCGCTGGTCTTTCCTGGACACAGTCGAGATTCGAATGCAGCTCGAGTCTGCTTGAGCTGCATTCTGATTGGTTAACAGAAGACATGGGTGTGCTAGGGTTGTGTGCCAGTAGACCTCTTGTGGGGGTTTTGGCCTTGGCAGCTCTACCAAAGCTGTATGCTCCTATTGTTGGAGGCTGTGGCTACATTCTTTACTGTTCTGCTCGTGTGTTGGTAGGCTGTGCTGGCTGTTTCTTTATATTTGTCTTGGGGGGGCCCTTGCCCTTCTTTATGCCTCTCATTTTCGTTGGTTTCTTTGGAGCACCCCATTTTGCCCCTGCTGCAACTGCTGGGTGTGGGCTACATTTACCCTGGGGTACATCTACCAAAGTCTTAACTGGATTAGCACTTAACTTGGGCAGCTACTGAGTGGCCCCAACAGATTAATTTTTTTTTAAATGTTGGCCTAATAAAAAATGATAAATTTAATTTATAAATATATTCAATACCTTAGAAACATGTTTGTCTGTATTATTGAGCTATTAGGGCTTTATTTTAAAGTATTAATGCAGTTAGTGAAAACTGGATTGTGCTTTTTTTTACCCTTTAAAATTGAATTCAAGCATTTGATTGATAGATATGAATAGAGGATTTTCTTATTACAAGCCAATAAAAATGAGGGTTAAAAAGTTTTGAGCATAAGATGGGTGTAAGGGGTAAGGAGGTGACCTTCAGCACAAGGGAGGAATGGCCGAGTGACATGGAAGGATCAATGATCTGCAATGCACCAGCTTCTGCTATAGTGGCTAAGCTGTGGATGCATTCCTCCCTCCCTGTGGCAGCCCCTTTCCTTCCTTCCCACCAATCCCTGTGGCAGCCCCCTCCCTCCCTGTGGCAGCCCCTTTCCTTCCCACCCTCCCTGTGGCAGCCCCCCCTCCCTCCCTGTGGCAGCCCCTTTCCTTCCCACCCTCCCTGTGGCAGCCCCCCCAGCCTCCCTGTGGCAGCCCCCCATCCCTCCCTGTGGCAGCCCCCCCACCCTCCCTGTGGCAGCCCCCCCACCCTCCCTGTGGCAGCCCCCCATCCCTCCTTGTGGCAGTCCCCACCCTCCCTGTGGCAGCCCCCCATCCCTCCTTGTGGCAGCCCCCTCCCACCCTGTGGCAGCCCCTCTGCCTTCTTCCCCTCTCTCCCCCTGTGGTAGCCCATCTCCTTCCCTTCCTCCCTCCCCTCATTGTGGCAGCCCCTCTCCTATCTTCTCTCCCTCCCCTCACTGTGGCAGCCCTTTCCTTCCCCTCTCACTGTGGCAGCCCTTTCCTTACCCCTCACTGTGGCAGCCCTTTCCTTCCCCTCTCACTGTGGCAGCCCTTTCCTTCCCCCCCACACTGTGGCAGCCCTTTCCTTCCCCTCTCACTGTGGCAGCCCTTTCCTTCCCCCTCACTGTGGCAGCCCTTTCCTTCCCCTCTCACTGTGGCAGCCCTTTCCTTCCCCTCTCACTGTGGCAGCCCTTTCCTTCCCCCCCACACTGTGGCAGCCCTTTCCTTCCCCCCCACACTGTGGCAGCCCTTTCCTTCCCCCTCACTGTGGCAGCCCTTTCCTTCCCCCTCACTGTGGCAGCCCTTTCCTTCCCCCTCACTGTGGCAGCCCTTTCCTTCCCCCTCACTGTGGCAGCCCTTTCCTTTCCCCTCACTGTGGCAGCCCTTTCCTTCCCTCCTCACTGTGGCAGCCCCTCTCCTTTCCCCCTCACTGTGGCAGCCCCTCTCCTTTCCCCCCCTCACTGGGGCAGCCCCTCTCCTTTCCCCCCCTCACTGGGGCAGCCCCTCTCCTTTCCCCCCCTCACTGGGGCAGCCCCTCTCCTTTCCCCCCTCACTGGGGCAGCCCCTCTCCTTCCCCCCCCTCACTGGGGCAGCCCCTCTCCTTTCCCCCCCCCTCACTGGGGCAGCCCCTCTCCTTTCCCCCCCCCCCTCACTGGGGCAGCCCTTCTCCTTTCCCCCCCCCTCACTGGGGCAGCCCCTCTCCTTTCCCCCCCCTCACTGGGGCAGCCCCTCTCCTTTCCCCCCCTCACTGGGGCAGCCCCTCTCCATTCCCCCCCTCACTGGGGCAGCCCCTCTCCTTTCCCCCCCTCACTGGGGCAGCCCCTCTCCTTTACCCCCCTCACTGGGGCAACCGATCTTCTCCCCCCCCTCACTGGGGCAGCCGATCTTCTTCCTCCCCCCCCCCTCACTGTGGTAGCCCCTCTCCCCTCCATGTCGCTGCACCTTTCCCTCTCCCTGTGGCAATAATTTTCCATCTTCCTGTGGCAGCCCCTCTCCCTGTGGCATCCCCCTCTCTCCTTCCCATGGCAACCCCTCTTCCCTCCCCATGGCAGCCCCTCTTCCCTCCCCATGGCAACCCCCCTCCCCCTCCCTCTCCCCTCCTTTTTTGTGGCAACCTCCCACGAGTTCTCCACATAATGGTAGCTTCCTCATTCTTCCTCTTTGCAATCCCCCCCTCTCATTCCTCTCTTTGCTAGCCCTCCTCCCTACTCAGAAAATGTTAATTCATTCAGAATACTAAGGTGTTGATATTTCAGGGGACGTGGAGTTGCGGGAGCTGGAGGTGAAGCAGAGTGCCCTCGATGAACTAAATCTTCCTGTGCGACCAGTCTTCGGCCACATTGGTAAATATCATGGCAGTTTATCTGTGAAGCATCGCTTTTAATTGTATGCTACTAGAGTAGCAGAGCAGCAGGAGGGGTGAGGGGCAACATTCAGGGGTGTTTGAGGAGGTAAGCAGCCAGGGTGATGCGAGGGAAATAGTTTTTTTTTTCCAAACTTTTCCAAACGTTTGGAAATGTGAAATATACTATGAGTTACGATATCAGGCAGGCTGTCCACTTGCTGACACACCTTTCTGTGTGTCCGCTAAACTAAGCTTATTCTCTCTTGTCAAAGAGCAGTGTGTATATAAGGGTCTTCATATGTATTTCAGCATACTATACAGTACTGTATATGGATATCTAAAGATGAATACTGTGTATCATTTACATATACACATTCTGATGCTTTCATGCATGTTTTGATGTTTAAGGGTCTTTATTTTATTATTATTGATTGTTTTTATTTATTTCTAAGAGAGGGGGGGGGGGAGGAAAGGGTTTCTGATCTGTATTTCATCTAGGAATTATGTATTGTGGGCCATGGGTTTCATCAAGTAGATCGAGGCTCTAGGGCCACCAGTTGTGTGAGTGGGGCATCTCGTCTTGGAGAAATCATCGCTGATGTTTACATGGGTTGTGAAATTATCACAATCTAAGTGATCCTGTAAGGTAACTGTAAATGGCCAGCGATAATCATTGTAAACTAACCTCAAGTCATTAAATAAAGACCATTTGTGAAACTTTAGCCAAATGAATTATTATTGTCCAACTTAGACTAAGATAACTTGATCTTTACTTCATTATTTTATATTGTGTATATATTTCCTTCTATTATTTATAAGAAAGTTAGGACGGATTTTGAAAGTCTGTACTCCAGGGTGCAGCTTACAAGCTCCTGCCCTTGCATCTTTGATTTGGTTACATATTAGCCACAAATTATTAACTTGTGGGCATTTGATGGAATTATTTGAAACCTGCACCTTACTGTCAGAACTGCATTGTCCTGCCAATAGTCACACTTCTCCACTTTTCACTGATGAAAAAGTGAAAAAATGGGTAAAACAGCCATTTCACTTATGGTAAAAGGAGAAAAGCTTGGAGTGACTGTCCACATGCGGCTCAGGCTTGGGTACAAATATCACTGGGAATATGAAATGATGTTAATGATAATGAAACGAAGTGTAAATTATGTGGTTTCAATATACCTCTTTATACCACAATATACTGATATCAATTTCACTTTTCCTTCGAGCCGTATATTCCTCGGTAAAATCCTTAGTGAATCTAATTCCTTTACCATCACTTGTCTAGTATCTTTCTGCTCTCTTTGTGAAATCTTGAAAGATATTTAGGAATTTTTGAATATTGTCACAAACCGTGGTATTTAGCCTTCAGTTCTTGGCACTTTTTTGCTAATTATATATGACTTCTAGCATATTTGGTCCAGTCAGTTATGAATGTTGGCATGTACAGTGTGTAATAAACAAAGTAGATTTGATTACAGTACTTGTATGTACAATGTATAATAAACTAGGATTGGTTGTAAAGTACATTGTTAAAAAAAGCTTACATTATGTTGAATTACAGGGTGTTTAACTTTAAAGATACCCTGGTCCCAGCTGTACACTGCACCATGGGTGGCAGTAGTGGAGAGGGTGTTAGTTATTGTGGTGCCCAACACGTCCATCAAATATAATGCTGAACGTGAAGAAAAGCTCCTGCAGGAGATTAAGATGGCCACCCTTCAAAAGGCAGAAAGTGCAAAGCTAAAACTTCAAGAGATGGAGAAAGGTGAGCTATGTAAAATGTTTTTCTTCATATGATATCTTACTAATGATTAAGTTGCACAAATTAAAAACCAAATTGATGGTGAATGTGTAGTGAGGGGGGTGGGGGGGGGGAACAGTACTGTACTGTGAACAAATCCACAAGGGCCGTGACGAAGGTCACAGTACAGTACTGTGCCTGTATCTGAAACATATAGGAGTAGAGATGGGGAAGTATAGTACTGTACTGTACTTGTACAGTATCTGGAATGTGGAAGTGTAGAGGTGGGGAAGTTCAGTACCCACATTTGGAGCATGCAGGTAGAGAGATGGGAGAAGTACAGTACTGTATCTGTATCTGGAACATGCAGGAGTAGAGATGAGGAAGAACAGTAATGTACCCAATGCATGAAGGTGTAGAGATAGGGAAGAGCAGTGTACCTATGTCTTCAGCATGCAGGTGTACTCGCCTAGTTGTGCTTGTTGGGGTTGAGCTTCGGCTCTTTGGTCCTGCATCGCAACTGTCAAACAACTGGTGTTCAGGTTCCTGAGCCTATTATGTTCTAGCATATCAACATTTGAAACTGTGTATGGAGTCGACCTCCACCACACTACTTCCTAATGCATTTCATTAATTATCTACTGACACTGAAAAAGGTCTCTTTTTTTTTTTTTCTAAGAAGACAAAAAAAACTTGTTTCTCATTTAAAAAACCGAGAAGCCAGTACAGAACCCTGGAGGACTCCCTTTTCAATGTGGATGATCCAGAATTTTTTGTTTTGTTTACTACAATATTATTCTTTGCACTTTTGTTTATTAGGAAATTAAAGATCTAGCTTCCTACTATGCCAGTTAATCTTTTTATTTTTATTTATATATACAGTACTCTACAAGAGTTCTTGTATTCTTGTACAACCACCAGCACGCATATCGTTTTGGGTAAATCCTTAATACTACTGTATGTTCCCCAGAATATGACCCCGCCAAATCGTTTTACAACCAGGTACCCATTTTATAGCATAAGAGCATAAAATATTATACTACAGTATATAATTATAATTATATACCGGGTTTACAGAGGCTACAGTTAAGGATTGACACCCAGTATATCCTCCCCTGCCAGGATAAGAACCATGGACAAAGTGCTTGCGAAATGTCAGACAAGTGTCTTGCCACTACACCATGGGGATTCCTTTCATGCACATTTTGTATGCAATTATACCATGGTTACATTTGTTGAGACCTGTTGTGAAGTCTGAGTACTGAATATTGCATGTTTTCCATGGCCATACCGGTGGTCTAGCAATTGTAAGAGGCAGGAGCGTTCTGCCTTAAACCCCATGTTGGCCACTGTTATATTGATGTTCTTACACCATATGTTTTGTGATCGTACTTCTTTGCGTCCATCATAATGATCACTTGCCATACTGTTCATCATAGTGTTCACTTACTTTACTGTATAATTCGTTTACATAATTTGCATAATATACATGCAATGCTGTATATGTTATGATTTTTTAAAATTTTGTCTGTCGAGTTAAATTAATTTTGTATTTACCTTCATACAGGCAGTAAATCCAAATCTCAAGACAGCTTTCAGGAGAAGATGATTGCCCAAGTTATTCGCAACATTCAGGTCTCCATACGAGACATCCACATCAGGTGGGGTTAGAGGGTGTTATTTTATCAGTCTATTGGCCTGATGCCTTCCTCCCATTAGCTGCCCCTCACGAGGTGGCCACAAGAAATGATTTTCAGGAAGCTCTGTCATTGCACAAACCTTAAACTCTTTGACGGTCTTTCACCTGTCCCCCTAACCCTTTATTTCATATATTGTTCAACTCTTTCTTTCAAAGATAATTATCTGCCTTTATCATATGGTACTTTCGTTTCACCCTTGTATACCCTTCTCATTAAAAGATTCTGAAGCGCTCCATGATTCCACATTACATACTCACCCATTTCACTTACATTATTTCATTGTTGTACCCATCCTACATACTTTAGTTAATTTTTTGAAGAAAAGAAAAAAACCCACAGCATGTAACATGCTTTCGAGCATTGTGCAGCTTTCCATACACAAGTTTTATTTACTTAGATTGGTCAATAAAGGGCCTGGTATTACAGTTGGCTTTGTCTCCTCGGTTCTGCAACGGTGGCCTGCTTGGGCATGTTTCAGTACTTCTCATGAGAATTGTTCTCGCTTTCTCTGTTGACTGCATTGTGTGGTCGCTGTTTGTTCTGGCTGGCTTACATGCCAAGCCTCCTTGAGGAAAGAGGCTTGGATTCTGTTTGACCCGGTCACTTGTTTGGCAGAGCGTGAACTACATCCTCCCATTTTCTTTGATGGTGCTCAATTGCCTCTAGTGGCATGCCTGCTTACCACCAATTTATTTAGTCTAATAGGTCCCTTTATTTAGTTTGAGTTTGTGTGTGTGTTTGTTTGTATGTATGTGTGTGTATGTATGTATGTAATAGAGTTCAGTACTCGCTAGCTTAGGTTCATACATTTTTAGGGTTAGATGCTCTTCCAATTTGTATCCCTACATACTTTCTGTATTGATGCATGACATTTATATAGAAGCATGACTTTGTTGCTGTTGTGACTATACAGTCATGGTGTCATTCTCTGTCTGCCCCCTTTTGTACATTGGCAATGAGGATCTCCACACAGTGTAGATCTTAGTGGCCTTGGAAGAACGTGGTGTGGACAGGCAGGGAGTTCTACAGATGATGGTAAGTTGCTTAACGTCATCATTACTGGTTACCATGGCTTTGTTCCACATCTGGTTGAACTTGATGTGGCAGTGTTCTTACTGGAGCTGTGGTTGTGCATGTTTGCAACTCATTTCATGCATCTTGGACTTTCGGAGGTTGCAAGCTATATAAATGATACTCTATAAATGATGTATATTGCTATGAATATTCCCGATTAATAGGCTAGGCTATATTCATCACATTTGGAGGGTGTGATGAAGCGAACTAGTGTTTTTGCTGCAATAATTCAATTGTTTCATTATAAAATTAAATGTGGAACTCCTCGGCAGATATTCAAGGACAGTACTGCAAATGGTCACTTTCTTCCCAATAACTAAACTGCATTATGGAGTCTACACTGGCAAAATCAGCTATGTGTTAACTTTTTATTTGTTTACAGTAGATTTCTAGAGTAATAATTATAGTTTGTTGTTTTTAATGATAGAGTAATTCTGCAATTATTTTAAATTAATATTTTTCATTCTGAAGTTTTTCGGATATATTTTAATTTACATACATATTGTTTCAAGAATTAACTCGGTGAATCAAGTTGAGAAAATCCCACACATGTTCATATAATTTGGTGTCCTTCTGGGGTGATCATTCACGCTGTGTGCATGCACATCGTGGAGTGTGGACACAGTCTGGAGAGTGGGTTGGGGACTGTGTGTGTGTACACATTATGCTGGGAGGCATACTGTGCCCCTTTTTCAATTTTTCTTTCCCTTTCTCAAAACTTCTTTCTGCCTCTCTTCTTACTACCATGTAGTTGTTTTGGTTTTCTTTGTATCGCTGGTATGTCCGAGGGTTTAGCCTCTTCTGATATTTATTCCATTTTTGTGTGTTTTGGTCTCTGGCTCTCTCACAATTTCTGTTGAAGCAATCCTGTTTCCTAGTTCATCTTTGTTTTGGTATAAATTTGGGGGACTTTTATCATATGTTTCACAAAACTTGACACAATCTCATTTACTTCCTCTACTAACAATGAGTCTTTCCAATCAAACTCCTTGAAGAACTTTCTAAGTTCCCCACATTGTCCTCTCCTGAAGTCAAGTTTTTCAGCCGCTTCATTTTCCTCATTCTCATCTAGATTATAATGCATTAAATATTTTATTCCCAAAGAAGACATGGTCACTTTTGTCCAAGGTGGGAACATACTTAATGCCAAATACAGTATCTTGTGTGTGCATGTTGAGTGGCAAAAAGGATCTGTGTATCTACACAGGATGTTGGGGGAGTCCAATAAAATGACACTATAGTTTTCTAGAAAAATTAAATAAAAATTTGGATGTCATAGCCTTTATGGAATAATTTTATACTTTGTGTATGTAGCATGAGAAAGATTACCCATTTGATAATTCTGTTATAGTACTTTATTTGGTTAAAGTTAATAAAATTAGTGGAACTTTTGCAGATATGAAGACTCTGTTAGCTGTCAAGGTGCTCCATTTGCTGCTGGTGTAACGCTACATGACCTCTCGATGAAGAGCACAGATTCAGATTGGAAGCCATGCTTAGACACAGATAAATTAATTTATAAGGTAAATTGCCTTCTTTCTTGAGTCTTCAGCAAATGAATATTTGGATGAAAATTTTTAAGACACTATCATTAAAGCAACAAATAATGATTATCCTATGAAATCAATATTATTTAGCATAAACTGCAACATCAAAAATCTGGTTCTCCATGTATTGAATCCCTTTGAATAATGGAACAAATACAGTACACCCATCACCATCAGATTTCCAATCATCTGGAAATGAGGGGAAAACTTTTGATATGCCACTGTCTACCTGTCCTCATCGAGGGCCACGAGAGAGATGATAACTCTCAGGTAAATTCAGGTCATTTATGATTGGTGGGAAATCATAATGGTGGCTGAGAACTTGGGACCTTGAATGAGTTATAAGACTTTGATGGTTTCTCCTTTTTATCCTTCTCAGAGGGCTACCTACCATGATGAAAATAATGTGTTTTATTTCCTCCATAGCTGAATTGTCTGGATAGTTTGGCCATTTACTGGAACCCTAGTGCTGAGCTGCTGTCAGAGGTAAACCAGTCAAAAGAGATGACAGTCCAGTGCCTTACCAAGCTCATAGCTGCACAAGAAAATCTACCTCAGGGAATGAAATACAGTGAGTCTGTCTTGTATGTATGTAAAGTAGGAGAATTTTGTACATACCATTGTCAGTTGACATGGAAAAAATCTATAAATATACATAATTTTTTTCCCCACATTTGGGATCTAAGGATTCATGGTGATGCAAACTTGCTGACTCCATTTAAGGTTGAGAGCTGTGATGTTAGTTGCACTGCTTCACTTACATTTACACAATAAAGGAAGTCGGCGAGACAAAACAAACCACAGCTGGGTAAAGAAGAGATGTAGCCTCATGAACTGCCAGAAGAACAATGATTGAAAGTTTTCAAAACAAGCGCCAGCTGATTTGCCCCGCTTTCCCTTTCGTTTAGGGGAGAGGGGAGGTAGCTCACGATCAGCCAGTGCTCTATGTTGTGTGTATTGGGTTGCCTCTCTGCTTGGGCTCTGGTCTTCTGCTTCAGCTAAGTGATGGTTTCTTACCATCATTGGTGTCTCTTTACACAGTTGAGTGTAGTGAGCCTTGACAGTGCTTGGAGCTGCATGTGCACAGAGTTTTCTTCGCTATGTTCTCCCTAATGCTGTCCTTGCACTTCAGGCTTTACTTCCCTGGGGTGTTCAGGGATCACTCCTTTAAAGGCCCTTCTCACTTGTGGTAGTCCTTGCCTGAGGTGAGTCAGATTTGTTGGGTTTCCAGTCTTTATTCAGGTAGGTTGCACCATGCACTGGCTTGGGGTGCACTTGGTATTCACGTACTACACATTAATGCACCAAGGTGTTAGCTCAGTTTCTTGACTTGGCATGGGTCCTGGCTCTGCTGGGTGCCTCTCCATTTGCCTTGCCTCTCTTCCTTGAGAACTTTGTTGCTTTTTTGTCTTCTGTGGCTAGTGCATGCCTCCGATTATGGACTTCTATTTTTGTTTGGAGTTTTCGATCTAGGTCTTTGGAGGTGGGTGGGCAGGGCTGGGGCTTTGCCCTCATTTGGTTAGGGTAGGCCATCTGTGGAGCCATTGGCTGATTTGCTAGTGCCTCCCCAGGCTGGTTCTTCTCTGTCTGGGTAGACACAATGCTGATTCTGCTCCAAAGGCGGGCTCTCAAGGTTCGTGCTGGCTCTTATGCAGTTTTCTCTTTGATGGGGCGGTGGGGATGCAACTTGCTTGGCTTGCCGCCTCCCGGTCCCATGATTTGTGGGCCTATTGGGTGATTTCTCGCAGTTGCGGTGGAGTTAGGTCTTTTCCCCTATCGGGGAGATCGTGTGTTTCCTGACTGCTGCTGTTTATCTTTGTCAGGCCATCTTAGAGTGGGGGTTTGGTCGAAACAACTTTGCGTCTTCGGTGGATTTCTGGCATTTTTCCAGTTCTGAAATGGGATTCTTCTGATCTGTTCATCCTCGGTGTGTTGGGGTTGAATTGATTCATTCCTTGCCCTCCTTTCAGTTGACTGCATTATCCCAGATCCATCTCATTCTCGAGGCGGACTCTTGGATGATTTTCCTGGATCTAAGGGGACGCTTGGTGTCGATGGTCTGGGTTGACTCCTTTCAAGTCATTAATGGTCTGGGATTGGTCTGGGACTCGAAGATGTCCTCACTCTGCCAAAGTTGCCCTTTCTTTGGCTATGCGACCATCTTCTGCTAGTATTATGAAGTTAATAGTTGAGACCTCAAGTGTTTATTTGATCACATGAACTTCGCTTGCTTCTTCATCTTGTTGGGTAAGATTTAGCTGAAAGTGTTGGACTGCCTAATGCATGGGTCAGTATTTCACCACCTTCAAGACTTACATGGTGCATACTTCTTGGCACTCTCTTGATTTTAATTGTTTTCAATCAAGGTTTTTTTTTTTTCCGTCCTCCCTTTCACTGATTAGATTTTTTCACTGAAGCATTGGTTCTCGGTTGGTGGTTTATCACCAGCTCTTGCCATTCTTCAAGTTGTCTAGGGTTTTCTTTCACTTCCATCCAGTCTTGATTCCTCAGGAGCCCACTTCCCGTTTTAGTCTAGTATTTTCCTTTCTATCCATCTCTCATTTTCTTTACCCCTCAGTGGGTGATGCCATTTCAAAGCTGCTGTTTTGTTGGCTCTGTCTCAAGCCCACCTTTTGATCAAGAATGAGCCGCCTGTTCCTCGCAGAGGACTTGTAGTGATGAATTATTTATACTGTATTTTAATTGTAGTTGTAATTTTTATAACACATTTATATGTATTCCTTACCATAAATTTTAATTCTGCCTTAATTTGCCTTTTCAGTTATTGGACCAATTTGCTCAACAGCAAAACTACAAATGGACTCAAAACCAGAGGACGATGACCCAAGCTTTTCTATTCCTGTGATTAATCTTGATTTTGTCATGGATGAGCTGGCAATAGGTAGGTGTTCATGGATAATAATTTTCCCCAACAGTTTGGATAAAGAATGTAGAATGTGCTTTGGGACATTTGTAGATCCAATTCTTTTCTGGAAAGTGTCTCCTTGGTGGCTTCCCGGCCAGGTTAGTTACAAACCTAACATATCCCACCAGGATATACCCTTGTGAGTCACAAGTGTGTATTGGAGACCAGAAGCAAAATCTGGTTCACTCAGTAGAGACAAGGGGGGGTCTGGGGATACAAGATGACCCAGACCAAGAGGAAATAAACACCAGAAAGGTAAAACACTCTTAACACAAGCAACTGCAAGGAGAAACATTGGCAAACCTAACAAATTTGTTTACACTCACTAACCAGTTCCAACTAATAGTTATTTACACTGCGCCACCAGATGGCAGCCCTGGCAACCTAGGGCTTCAGCTAGCTAGTTAAGGGCTGTAGGTTAGGGAAGATAGAGAGGTGACATGCAATTATATTGTATTCAACTCGATACTTAATACATGTTTAACTGCTGCATTAATCCATCAATGCTCATCATTCACCATTAATCCTTATACTGCCTAATCACAGCCAACTTGGGTAACCAGCACTGCTGCGTTAAAAAATATTGAATTGTTTAGCATAAAATTCAGAAAAAAACAACATACAGTAATTGGACAGTAAAGTAATACTGTATACAGTACTCTATTGTACATTGGTAGAAAGTGTTTTGTCATATGGAATACTTACACTAGAAATTTGAGTAATGGGTTAATTAATTGTTGTTATTGACAGGACTGAGTCGCCACCAATACTCAAATGCAATGGCGCTTCTTGAGTCATTTGATAGATTGAAGATATCCTCAAAGTTCCGCAAGTACCGGCCAGCTTTCAGTAGAATCAAGGGCAATGCTCGCGCTTGGTAAGTTGAAATTGAGAGGCTTTTTTATCATAGGTCTAAAAATTTGTAGTTGCCAATGTGTGCTATTAGGAATTCTACTACAGTATTGTAGACACAATAATTAATAGATTGAATGCCATCTGTATATACTTGCAGACTATTCGTTTTCCATCTGACCCTTCTCTCCTGCTTGTGTCAAGTGGCAGTGCTTCATTGGCCAACCACTTAAGGTGCCACATGAGAGCATAATGTTCATATTTAGGCCTTGGTTAGGTAAGGTTAGGTGTTTAGGGTTACGGTACTGATCCAACTTTGTATTTTATAATCTTTTTTTATTTATATTTTTTTATTTATAATATTTTTTTATTTATAATATTTTATATAATATTTTTTATATTTATAATATATAATTTGTAATATATAATATATCTATAAAAATAATCAATATTTGATAAGATTTGAATAACAAGGCAACCAGTCCTCAAAGTCCATTCCATCCAGCGATCTACCCCAAAGACACATTCATAAATTTTAACATGCTGTTCATTCAAAATAGGAATTTTCTCAAATGTAAATTAATAGTTACATAATACCGTAATGTGCATATTTAGGCATTAGTTAGATTAGGTTAGGTGTTTAGGTTCTGTAGGTGAGTATTTGTATTTGTAGTATGAAGGTAAAGCATTTACAGCGTTGTGTTTGGACAAAGATTGTCAGTGAAGCACTTGTTCTGGAAGTGTTCGAACGTCATCAGTCGAGTTGTGTGTAAATCGTTTTTTCATTCATAAACAGAGGGTTTGGCGGGTGCATGGAATGGACTTTGGCCTTTGTTTAGAGGACGGGCTGAGTAAGGACCTTCAACCAGCAAGGCCTCAGCATCTGATATTGAAAACTGAGTTTACCAAGCAGTTGTTTATAAATTTTAAGAATAGGTTTAGGGGTAAGGTGTACTCCTAATAAGAAATTTTATTTATTTATTTTTTCATAGTATTAATGTCCTTTTAATCTAATGTGTACGGTACTAAGATTCTATCCCATAAAGTCCAGAGCAGTTTTCTAATTGGAGGGAGATGTAACTTTGACCTCCACCAAGGGGAGTTAAAAAAATTTGATAAATTTATATATAATTTTATGAAGCGGCTGTTATAACAATATATTTGTTATTAATATATTTGAAATTAAGGATTCTTTTGGTTTTGTAAAAAAAAATTATACGCATTTCAGGTTACAGTACTTGGATCTTCATATAACTTGGATGTGGGTCCACCCCACTTGATTCATATTAATGGGCAATCTTTATAATGAAGTTCAAAATATTTTTTTAAGGAAACCTATACTATCTATTTTCTTTCACATTTGATATAGATAATAAAGCTCATTATGTACACAAATAAATAACAGTGATGTATCAATGAGAAAATCAGTAGGAGCTGTGAGGAGGATTCGAACCAATGCTCTGAGTTCTCCCAAGCAAATGCATTAGACCATTACACCATGACATTGTTAAAAGCATTGCAACCTGGGCTTCAACTTAATCCTCTAGAATTCCTGAGGCTTCCACTGAAGCCTAATTAGGATTCACACAATGCTCCCCCTGCACTCTGGCTTACAGTCTAGGAAGCAAAGAAATCTCATTAACTTGATGAAATCACGTAATGTTAATGTAATTTCTTTCTGCATTTGGAGAAGTGTAGAGGGTAGAATTCCTAGACTGCAAGCCAGAGTGAATTGGGGGCATTGTGTGAAGCCCTGATTAGACTTCAGTGGAAGCCTCAGGAATCCTAGAGGATTCAGTTGAATTCCATATTGCAATGCTTTTGACCATGTTGTGGTGTAGTGGTCTACATCACATTTGCTTGGGAGTACCCAGAGCATAGGTTCAAATCTTCCCGAGATCTCACACTGATTTTCTTAAAGCTTATTATTTTATAAAGGACAGATTTTCAGCCATGTTCATACTAAGCTATATTAGTGTAAGTATAGTTTTGACAGAAATGCTGTACACACAGTGGGTACCATGATAGCCATTTTGTTTATTATCTGATCACTCTCCTATTAAACACTCCTTTGTTACATCAGGTGGCATTATGCATATGCTTGCCAGCTGGAGAACATCCAGCGCGTGCACCAGAACTGGTCGTGGAAGCACATAAAGGAACATAGAGCTACTTGCCAAAGGTATAAGGCAGCATATAAGGCAAAGCTCAAGAACAAAAGACTCTCTCCACAGCAAATTCAAGACATTAAAGATAGTGAACGCGTACTTGATGTTTTTAACATTACTCTTAGCAGACGACAAACTGAAATGGAGGTAAGTGTTGTAAATGGTGAAACATTCAAATAATTTCATCTTCATAAATGAAGTGGTAGGGGATAATAATATTGTGAAGTAGGTAGAAGGCATCATTAACAGCTCTAGTGATGTCAAGTGGCATGGGTCATGACACCCGTCACCCATTTTTTTTATATTATACAGTATATTACATTATATAATATAGTACTATTACTATTTTGCAAGTCCAATATTCACTCGAATATCGGCTTGCGAAAGTTCCTTTCCTATGCTTGCAACAGAGCATAAGCTCTGAGAATCCTCTAAGGGAGGGTCCCTCAAAAAGAGTTGTTTCATTAAACTTAATGCTCTAATTTTAGTACATAATGTGTTCATTTCCACATTTGTGAATTGTGCGTTATTTGTTTGTGAATTGTGCGTTATTTGTTTGTGATTTTATTATACACTGTATATATGCAAATTGCTATTATAGGTGGAGCGCGAGGGAGAGTTGCAGAAACGGGAAAATGTAAAAAAAGGCTGGTTCAGTGGGTGGTTTTTTGGAAGTACACAAACGACAAATGAAGATGTTGCTAAGGATGAAGGCAATTTGGGTGAGTGAGAGCTGGTCTGAGTCCATCTGAGAATTTTTGTTTTTTTGTGTCTATATCTCCCAAAGCTATCCCCCCCCCCTCTCCTGATGTCCTTCAACCCTAGGTATCACACCAGGTCTATAGGTTCATGAGTGCCTACTGGAAGCCAGAGGCAGAATCTGGCCCCTTCTATAGAGGTATATGGTAGTGAGGATACTAGATTAGCAGCATTATCGAAGGTATAAACTACCAGAAATGTAGAGTGAACTGAAACGAGCAGCTGCTTGGATAACATTTCCATCCCCAATTCAAACGATATACTGTACATAATTTGGTTCGGGGTACATAGATACTCCAGACCTTTAGGTTTCTAGAACTGTCATGTGTGCTGCACAAGGCCCAGAATTCTATATTCATAAAGAATTAAAAAAAAAAAAAAAAAAAAAAAAAAAACTCGGGTCCTAAACATTTTTTGGAGGCAGCTTAGATACTATCTGGTGTTATCTGAGTCATGCTTAAAATATTGGAGCTCCTGCCATTTCACAAAGGAGGTAGTAAAGCTAATGCAAACAAAATTATAGATGGGGTAGTTCTAACATCACACATCATAAAAATGTTTAAAAGATTGCAACAAAGTGAGATAACAAAACACATGGAATCAGTGTCTACTTAACCACATGCAAAATACAGTCAAACCACACAATTGAAAGAAAAAGCAATGTAGAAGATTTAGGAGTAATCATGTTAAATGACCTTGCATTTAACAAACAGAACAAAGTTGCTGTTACGACTGCAAGAAAAATGACAGGTTGAATAACAAGAACCTTTCAGATAAGAGATGGCATGCCAATGATACTTTTTAAGACAATAGTGTTCTCTAGTGTGGAATATTGTTGTACACTAACAGCCCCATTCAGAGTTGAAGAAATTGCTGACATGGAGAGCATGCAAAGATTTTTTACTGCTAGAATCCATTCAAGAAAATGTCTAAGTTACTGGGACTGCTTATAAATTTTAAATCTGTATTCTCTAAAATGCAGACAGAAGAGATATAATAACTTAAACTTGAAAAAATATTAGGACTGGTTCCACATCTGCACACAGAAATAACACCACATGAGACCAGAAGGCATGGCAGGATATGCATAATAGCCCCACTGAAACAGAGGTGCAATAAGCTTCAATCAAAATCAAAGGCCCAAGACTTTTCAACACACTTTCCCTACACATAAGGGGCATAACTGGCCGATCTCTCTGTGTTCAAGAGAGAACTCGATAAGCACCTTCAAAAGGTAACTGATCAACTGGGCTTTAACTCGTATATCAGGCTGCGAGCAGCTGCATAAGACAGCCTGGTTAATCAGACCAGCAAGCTGGTCAGACACTGGGTCACAGAAATGTTGATTCTTGAAATCATCAACAGGTAGTCAACAGGTAAGTAAGTAGATAGCCATATGATGATGAGCATGCAGAACTGGGGAGTATTTGGACCTAGACAACAATTGTGTACATAGCTTGAATAAAGAGTTGCAAAATGTTGTTAAAAAAGTTGCTTGTTTTGGTTCATTCTACATTTCTGGTGGCCTTTATCTTCGGTATAGCTGTTAGCCTAATATCTCCACTGCTTATTGCCTCTATTGAAGGGGCCAGATTCTGGTCCTGGCCTTCAGTAGGCACTCTTGATTCGTTAGAGCCTGGTGTGGTACCTGGGTTTAGAGGACGTCAGTGGCTCTGGGAGGTACAGAGGGGAGAACCCTTCCAGGAAGAGGGAGTTTCATTATATTGAATGCTAAATTTTCCAATTTAGGTAACTAATTTAATTTCTATAACTTGTCAATTCATGTATTAACATAATGTGTAAAGTACAAGTTACTTTATGTACACATCAAATCGTATGTATAGATTGTCCAGAACGTGACTCGCATACATTTTTCCTTTCGTCATGTTCTTAGATTACAGTATACGTTAATGTTGTGTCATGTAGAAAATGTACATAATTCCTTCAGATTTACATAAATTGTTAAATTTTGTCATTTTGTCTGGAATGTCCAGTTATCTTGTTCTGTGTGAAGTAATTCCTAGAGAATTAAATTCATCTGATTATTTTCATGTATATTACTGTGATTAAAATTAAATAGTCAGTTATAGTTCCTAGTTGGGATTCATTCCAGTTCTTACATTAATGAAATTAATGTATCTATAAAATCCATATGTACAGGTTAGATATAAAGGCTATAAATAAAAAGAAATGATAAAGTTCCTTGCCAAGTTTATAAAAGATCATGTTTAATGTAACTTCCCTTAAAGAACAGAGATTGGAGCACCATCCTAATTTTTGTGTCCTTTAGTTTCACTAATGCATTCTGTTGATTTGTTTAGTAAAAAAATTAGAGGCTGAAATGAATGATCAAGAGAAGAAAAAGTTGTATGAAGCAATAGGTTACTCTGAGACTGGTCCACCTCCTGAGTTTCCTCCGGAGTTTGTGAATTTGCGTCTACAGTTCCTGTTGAAACAGCTGGTACTGACCATTGTTGACGAGAATGCTGCTGGAGCTATTGTCACTCAAGCAAAACTCAACCAAGTTGCATCTGTTGTCCTGAATAGATCAGGGGCTGATGCTTTGAGGTATGAATCAAGTTTGTATGTGAAGGCAAGTCTGGTGTTTATTATTTACAACACCCTAAATGTGGCTATTGTATCATTGAAATTGTCACCCTTGCTGAGCAAAGTGTGGAAAATAAAGCATCTCTTATTTTGGTCTGGGGTGAGATCAACATATCTTAGTTTGTCAGTTGTGATGGGACCCAGAACCAAGTAATTTATTTTTTTATATAAAATATAAGTAATGCATGTAAGCAAATGTAAAAAACCAGAGTTGAACATAATGAAACACTAACTAGTTTCTGTGTGAGAAGGCGCCCTGAAGCTATCATACACTGATCAGTGCCATACTATCAAGTGCCATCAGTTGCATAATTCTATTGGCCTATTGGGAACCACGAGCCAGAACCTGGCCCCCCTCATTGAGGCACAGGGAGCGATGGTCTATGAACACCTTACATTTAGTTATTCATACTTGCACCTAGAAAGGTAGGTGATCCAAAACAGACTACTGCATGGGTTAAGCAATGAGACAGCAGCCCCAAATTTGCCACAAGAACTCTCCCAACACTGAAAACAAACCACCAAAATTTTGTGAAACTAGCACCTGCATTTTTGCCCCATCTCCCCAACTGCCATATTCAAAGATGTCTTTCAAAATACTTAATCATTTACATCTTATTGAAGAGAAATGTAAAGTTTTGAGCGGAAGTACCAGTAGTAGCAAAAATATTTCTAAAAACTTAAAAATGTGCAAAAATTAAAAAATGGTGGACATCAGATTTCTATTAAAGTGTTTTCTCTTAAAACTACTTAAAAACAAAATTTCCAGATCAATTAGTTCATCTATAGTATACAGTAGCTGTTTTTCATAAACTTTTGCAAAAATCCAATATGGCCAACTTCTTTTCAAAATGGTGGAAATGCCACAATAGAATTTTTATGGGGTTTTTGTGGATGACCCCGAGACCTCCCTAAGGAAATCCCAAACCAGTTTTGGCTTAATTTTGTTATTTTGAGTGTCTACCTCAAATTGAATTTGACTGGGCTCTGTGTCGATTTGAAGGGGCCAGATTCTGGTCGTGGTCAACAGAAATTACTTCACTCATATGGCCTGCCTGGGGAGCCACCAGAAAGAGGCATGTCATTATACTGTATTACATGTATATTTATTATTGTTATTGTTTTTATTATTATTATTATTTATTTATTTTAATTGTTGCTGCTTGCAACAAAACGCTCCAAGCGGCACAGGCTGTGGTGAGCCCGTCGTACTCACCTGGCACAGGAGATGTGTGTGCCTAAATTATGTTTGCATGGAAATTCAATTGGGGGAATTTGATCACTTATATATAGGGATCCATAATATGGAGGTCCAGATTTTGAGGTGCCACTGTATAAATAAATAATTATAGGGGCTAATACAATGTTAATATTCATTAGTAGGCAAGTTTGAGAGAGGGAGAAGGGGTGAAATGGCTGGTACGTTTTACCCCACTCTTGTTCCCCCAACTTAAACTTTTTATTTGCATGATAAATTGTATATATATTTGTTAGTGTATATTTAGAAATACTTTATCTCGTAAATCACGACAATAGATATGCAATGATTTTGAAATTTTGACCTCTGTTTCAGCGTTAAAGCAAGTGTACAAAGCTTCATTGTTGAGGGCTTTGGAGTTGATGGCTTACCTCCCAGATTAGTGACCTCAGAGAATGCCACTTCTGACACTCCTCTTCTAGATGTAATGTATGAGACAAATCCACTAGACAAGTTGTGCAACCAGCGTGTTAAAGTATCATCGGAGCCATTGCAAGTTGTGTATGATGCTGCCACCATCAACCAACTTGCTGATGTTTTTGCCCCACCTAAAAATGTGTCCCTTCAGCAGTAAGTGTAATCAAAAGATTGGCTTTTGACTTCTACAGTTTCCTTGATTCATATGTTCATATGTTCTTGAGAGTGAAAAGAAAAAATTAAAATGTGGCTTAATTAAACAAAATCGGACAACCCGTTGATTATTTCAAGTGTAAGACAAATTTACGAGTAGTTGCGATTGCATGTACAGTGTAAATAGGAGCTATCTTGCATCGGTCAGTAGGCCTTTTGCAATTACCTTTCTTCTGATACAAATAATTCCATCTCAAATAGTGACTAATGTTAGTATGTGGACCTTAATGCTCTTATTTGTTGTGCCACACCAGACTACAGGCTTCAGCACTGAACCAGTTGGAGGTTGTAAAGGAAAGGAGTGTGACGGGGCTGCAGGCTGCCATAGATAACCACAGTGTCCTTGACCTAAATGTTGCCTTTGCTGCCTCGCACATCATTATTCCAGAAGGAGGCTCATATTTCGAGTAAGCTTTTGATAAGTTTAAGGAAATAATTTTAAATTAAATGTTTTTGGTTTCTTTTTGCTTAGTCAGGTAGCAACGAGGCACGCGCACAATGGTTTCCTCATGCTCAGTCAGGTAGCAATGACTCGCTTAACACAATTGTTTTACACATGTTGATCACTTCAATCAATAATAATAATAATAATTTCTAAAAAATTAAGTTTATTACTAAATAATTGTCAGAGAGATGGCCTATTTTTCAGCAGTCCTGATTCTGTTTAGGTAGACTCGCTGTTATACGATTTATGCTTTGAGAACAAAGTAATTCTACAAGGTGTAGTTACAGGATGAGAGCTACGCTCGTGGTGTCCCGTCTTCCCAGGACTGTCATATAACGCTTTGAAACTACAGTACTAACAACTTTTTCCTCTACCACCACCTCGCTTAATTGTTCCAACCGTTTACTACTCTGTTTGCAAAAGAAAACTTTCAAATATTTTTTGGTACCTTTTGTTTCCTTAGCTTTGAATCTGTGACCTCTTGTTCTTGAAGTGGCTGGTTTCAGGAATTCCTCTGTCAATTTAGTTGATTCCCATTATTATTTTGTAAGTGGTGATCTTATTACTTTTTTCTTCTATTTTCTAGCGTTTTCATATTTAACACCGCTAGCCTCTCCTCGTAACTTTTTGTTTTTCAGTTTTGGAAGCCATTTTGTAGCATGTCTCTTCTCCCTTTCCAGTTTATTGATGTGCTACTTGAGATATTGGCACCATGGGCTGCATATTCCAATTTTGGTTTCACAAAAGTCATGAACAGTTTTAGTATTTAACCATCCATGTAGTTAAAAGCAAGTCTGGAGATGGATTCCTAGGGGCTCTTGATATTTTGAATATTAAGTACATGTATTTAAGTATTAAGAGGCCAATGAATGTTCTCTGCCCATTTTCTACGATAGTAATTTCACTACCCCTGAATAAGACTTAATATTGTTGTCTTCAGAGTTTAAGTATCTTTAAAGAATCATCCTTGGCTTAGCATCATATTTTTAAATATATCCTATGCTGCTTATCATTGTTTCAGTTGTGATGGCTAACTATTCCACTCACTTTGTCTTAGTTTACCTTAAAAAATATATTTGTAGGCAGTTCTTCCATAAGAAACCTGTTATGTTGGGTGAAGTCAAAACGTATTTATAATAGTGCATAATACTGTGTGATTTGTTTTTGATGAAAAAAGTGTAATTTCCTAATTGCTTATGACACCAAAGTATAGAAAATGGTTATTATACCCTACAAACACTATTTTTGTGGCCAGGCTGAGAGGTCTTTAGAAACTTCAAGATGGCAGCATTCCTGATGGAAGGCAGTTTTACTGAGTTCCTTGCTGTTTCTAGGGGTAGCCACTTGTAGCTTCCTGAAGCTGTCATCATCGATGCATGTGTATGTGCGCCATCAGTGTGATGCGACTACTAGGTGCCATCAGTCACAGAGTTCTCTGGCCTACCAGAGACCCAGAGGTGCAGGGAGTGGTGTCATTTATATACTGTACAGTATTAAGATATTCATTTATGCCACCATCAGGTAAGGCAGCCAGAAAGTCAGCAAGACAAAACAAACACAACTGGCTACTTCCAATACCTGCTGACTATGAAATGGCCATAGATCTTAAACTATAAACTATATAAACTAATGACCATAACATTTACGAACTAGTGCTTGCTTGTTCGCCCTTCCTCCCCCTCGTATAGGGAAAGAAGGGGGGGGGGGGAAGCCAGGTCACGGCTTACTGGCAGCTCCACCCTCAGTTCTCTTCTAATGTGTGTTGAAGGACCATGATCATTCTGGCCCTAGTGTTTCTCTTGGGTTTTCTTTGGTCTTGGTGGCTGTTCCTTGCACATTTACGTGTGTGAGTGACAGTTTCGTGTGCTTGGAGTTTCGTGTGCTCACAGTTAACCTCTTCTACTTGTGCACTCACAAGTGCTTCCCTTGCTCTTCCAGGATTATCTTCCCTTGAATATCAGGGATGTTCCTTAAGTGTTCCACCCCCACAAGTCTGGGGTTCTTCAACCAAGCTTTTTTTCCCGTTTGAAGCGTTATTGGCTGGTGGGGCGCTACTGGTTACAAGCATGCTACATTTCAGCGCGCAGAGGTAGATTTTCCTAGCTGAGAAACCCAGGCTAGGTTAATTTACTGAGAGAGAAGTCCAGCCTCTTGTACCAGTGCCTGGGTATCCTGCTTAGCTTTGCGCTTTCTGGCCTTGGAAATCTCAGTAGGTTCGGCAGTCCGATGGATATCCTTGTCGACCCCACCCTTGCATTTGTGAGGTTGCAGGGTGCACATTGTCTGTGCCATCAGACAATGTTCATTCGTGCTGCCTTCGCCATGCTGCCTGTTTTGTAGGGGACACCTTTGACTCTTACGTCATGTGGGAGTTGTTCCTGTCACATTACTCTACACTCTTCGTCTTTGGGTTCCGGCAGTCTAGGTGCTTTGCCTGTTTCAGTGCCCAGGAACTGGCACCTTTAGGTATTCAGGACTTCGCTGTTGGGGTGTTAGTCTTAGACCTTGGTTCCTGCTACGCCTCCGCTTCCATCCATGGTGGACGTGTTCTCTTCTTCCCTTTCCTTGCTTCTGGCCCCGAAACATTCAGGGTTGGGGTGGGGCTTAGTTTGCCATCACTGAATATCAAATTGGGCCTAATAAACAGTTTGTCACAGCACTAGATGAGGATTCATGTGTTTTTTCTAACTTTGTGAACAAAACATGCAAATTCTTTCATTTTCTTGTTTAAAATACAGTAGGTAAATTACAAAATATTACTGTCCTGGACATTTTCAATGCTTTTTAGGTACTGCACAGCCAATTAGTAAATAACTTGTACCCAGGAACAAAAATTGTTACATAGTGTAATTGTTGATGAATTTCAGAGGTTGTTCAGCCCTTGTTGTAACTTTGGGTAGCCTGCTGATGAAGAGTGTTGCCCAGGCCAAAGACAGCCTGGCATTGACTGATTTGGTGTCCCTCGGACACAGCCAGGAAGAAGTCATGCAGGCAGTCAGGTCTTCTTCCTACGACCATTTTACTATTGAACTTGTAGATATCCAGGTACAGTATATAAAGCTTTGACATTTTTATGTAATTTTTTTTGTCCAGAATTTGTTGTACAAATGTTTGTGGCATTTCAACTTTTAACTAATTAACAATAGCACCAATATCAAGTGTACAAGTTTAACTTTTTGACTTTGAGTTAAAAAAAAAAAAAATTTTTTTTTACTTTAACATTACAATTTTCAAAAGTTTCAAAATAAATTAAATTTGTTGCAAAGTTAATTGCAACTTATAAATATAGCTAAAATTTTTCATATTGCCAATTTGTCACTTAAGTGCTAGTTTCCAACTCTTGCCAGCATGTAAGAATACGAGCTTCTAAGCCGCATCCTAGAGTATGAACTATTGAAACTTGTCCTTATCTCTAAGAAATGACAGGAGAAAGAGCTGAATTTCCTTAACCTAGTTTGGACAGTAATCACACCTTGGTCTGATTTTTACAAATAGTCTTTATTTAATACTGTACCCTCAAGGTTACCATACAAGGATTCTGGCATTTACAGTTTACAAGATATCTATTAACATTAGAGTGATAACTTCATAGAACATAGATTTCTCTTGAAGGGCTTTAAATACTGGTCCCACTCAAACTGAGATTTAAAATAGTTTCGTTATTCACAATCTTCTCGCTCCTAATACAAATTCAAAACATTCTCATAACACTCAGCCTTTGCTAGTACCACAGATATTGTAACACACACAACTCAAAACACCGACCACATGCTCAGAAATACCCACACTGGGGAAAACAAACACAATGCACTTCAACAGACTACTACAGGGAAAGCATGTACATGGTTTAAATATATAATCCCTACTCCTAAACTAATAAATATTTATGCACCTCTAACATGAATCATCCTATACACTTATTGTAAATGTAGAAGACCACCTGAGCGCCACACCGATCTCTGCCGTTGTCGCCACTTGAGTGAACGAGTCCGCTGGCGTGTTTCTCTGTGCACCCTCACTGTTCCAACAATGTGTCACTCAAACTCATATCTCCACTTTGTTCATTTCTATGTCTTACGGAGTTCCAGACAGGTTTTCTACATTTAACACTGCTGTTTATACAGTACGTACAGATTTTCAATTACTGAATGTACTCGATTCACTTATTTTCTATACTTGGACATCATTCAATTATTGATGTCTTGGACACCAATCCTTACCCCTATTGATGTCTACACTTTTTCTTGAGAACTTGTCACTGCACTAGTGAGAATTCTAAATTAAAAAATTATGCACACTAGTACACTCCTCCAAACAGAATCGTATCCTTACAAATCTCTCTACGGCGAGATAATGAAAGAAAACCAAAATCTTCTCCTGGTTACATCTTTCTGTGGTCTTCTTTGTCAGTATGTATTCTAAGACTAAAATGTAGTGGTCACTGGCTCCTAATGGCATTTCATGGTCAATATTTTCAATATCCATCTCATTCTGTGTGAAGACCAGGTCTAGCCTAGCTGCTTGGTTTTCACCCTTTCTCATTTCCTCCCTTGTTGCATCTGAAAGTCTCTCTCTACTACTTCTACAAGCTTTGCTTTCCATGCCTCGTCTGGTAGATCGTTTATATAGACAATGAATATTACTGGTGCAAGAACTGAACCCTGTTCTACTCTACTAAGTGACATTTCTCCAGTCCGATGCTTTGGCTCTGATTACTGCCCTCATTTTTGTCAAAATTTTTCATCCATGTTAGAAGCCTTCTTGTCACTCAAGTATATTTCAGCTTCCAGAACAACCTCTTATGTGGGACTGTCAAAAGTTTTTTTTTATTTTAGGTTCAAATAATTGCATTGAACCCAACCATCTTTTTCCCGTAAAATCTCTGGCTCTGTCAGACACTAAGTAGATTTGTTACAAAGGATCTTCCTGATTGAAAATCATACTGTCTTGCTGGCTTTGTTTGTACTGTCCCGTCTACTTTCTGGCTGCTTTCATGGCAAGGGTAATTGTAACAATGCTCTGCTTCCTGTGACTATTCGAGGGATGGGAGGTGGGGTGCAGGTTTTGGCTATGGTCTCGTAGAGGCCAATAGGATGCCTATGACTGAAGTATTGGGAAGCTCTGTCAGTGACAAATCTTCTGGGGTCTTCCCCAGAAAGATAATATTTGTCTTAATCATTTGATAATTCAGGTACTTCTCCATATTTTCTAGGTGATTGTGTGCTTGAGCAATGAGGATTGGAGTTCAACTCTGCAGTGTCATGAAGCCACACCGCTCCACCTCCTGCAACCCACAAACCTTCGTGTTGACCTGTTCAAATGCCTCTTGACTAATGAGCCCAACCTTGCCAAAGTGAAGATAACTGTGTCCTTACCAAATGTGGTGCTGTCTGTTATTGGTTAGTTCATCTGTTAGCCACCTGTTATCACCATAGTTGTTTTATGTGTATAGAGTATGATTTTGGTTGTTATGCAACCTTAGTGGGGTCTTGTTTTTTTTTTTTTTTTTTTTTTTTTTTTTTTTTTTTTTTTTTGTTAATTTCCGGGAGGAGCCCACTCATTATTTCCCTGATGCTTCAAGTAGGAAATGTTCCTCTTAAGGCTAGGTTAAAGAAGCTAAGGTGGGCTTGGGGTCAAAGATCACCACAGAACTGAGCAAAAGTCATGCCAGAAATCAAACGAGTACTTCAAAATGAGATATTGCATGGACAAATTTTTATTGTAACCCTAATAACATGTGAGCAATCATTGCCACAAAATCACAACCTAGATACACGCGCCTCATGGGGTTTAACCCAGTTTTAAAGTTAGTGGAAGTGAACACATAAAAATAAGTGCCACAACATGGAGCAATTAATTTTAAATTCATTAAACATTTATGTTTTATATTTAAAATCAACACACCCTAAATTTTTTTTACAGTAAGCTCATAAATCTATACACATTTTGTATATAAGGGTCCTGGTTGTACAGTTGGGTTTGTTCTTGACTCAAAATCAAGAATTCTGGATTCAAATTCTGGTGTGCTAGCCCGGGAAGGGTCTGGTGTGCCAGCAGCGACATGTGGACCAGTAATCGTACGAGGGAAGCAACCGAGGTACGGTTGCTCAAAGAGGTACGGTTACTCAAAGAGGCGGATCTTTTCCCTTAATGTTCTTGATTTTTAACGTAGCATTACTTTTCAGACTTTATGAGATGTTGGAAAAAGTTTAATCAGCCATTGTTATGTGAATGTTGTCAATGATAAATGAATGCCTCCTCCGACTCCAAACAAGATCATGTATTCCAAATATTCAGTCAGTTGACATCACATTCAGTGGGTCCTTACAGGTTCAGAGAGGAAAAGATATAAAATGTATAGAATTCAGAAGGGCATAAGTCAGATGGATATACAAGAAAGACTCCAGTAAGATACTCAGAATGTTTGCTTTAATTGTACTAATGAGATTTGAAAGTGGTGCTGATGTCATGAGTGTGTAATTAAAAATTATCTTTGCAGATGAAAGATTGCTACAATTGGCCTACATTGCCCATAGTATTCCTGTTGTCCAGAAGGAGGTGGCAGCTGAAGAGACCACACACTTTGGTCAGGTAAGTCTTTTTATTTTTAGTTTGCTCTTTTATCCTTAAACAAACGTTTTTATACAGTATTTTTTTTTTTTTTTTTTTTTTACTTGCAAAACGGTTGTGTATATTTGGTGCAATAATTGAAGTGTAATTATCCGTGCAACCTTTATATTATAGGGATTGGGGAATGGGCTGGGGTCCTTTCTTTGTAAAATACTTTCCACTGAAGGCAAAGTTAGCTTCAGATCTGGGTACTACACTTGCCCAGACCCCAAAAAGTAAAAGCAGGTTTATATGACTGGAATGTGAGAGAAAATAGATCAGGAACAAAAAAAGTTGGAATTGACAAGAACTTTAACACTTTCGCTCGGGGATGACGCAGCATTGCGTCATCCGTTTACTGGCGGTAATGCCGGGGATGACGCAGCATTGCGTCATCCACTTTAAAAATTCGCCAAAAATCAGGTTTTTATCCGATTTTTTGGGGACTGGTTTTAAAATGTGCGCCGATGTCTTCCCATTTTCTTTGTTGAGCCTCGTCGCCCTCAGGCTGCTTGGCACACGCCGTGGGCCCATTGTCTTTGCTCCACTGTTGTGACCAATGTCGCTTCCCCTCGCATCTCAAACGTGTGAACATTTCGGCTATTTTCCGTGGCTATATTTCTTACTGCGGCTTTAGAAACTATCTACGCTTACTCCACGATGGATAGTAATCATGAACAAGACCCTTCCAGGAAGAAAATTGCGAAAGAAAGGCTTGAAAAGGGTAGGAATTGGGAGTGTAGCAGGAAGGCCTCTGAGCACTCACTCACGGCTAACACGTGGCCCGTCTTCAACTCGTCGGCGGTTGGAGCGTGACCAGGTTTTTTTTTTTATAGGCTAATGTTCCTCTAGAGAATTTTATTACGAACCCATTGAGACCAAAATGAAAGACCTAGGACAAAAATTGAGGTGACCAGAGTGAAAATAGTGAAAACATTTTATCCCGTTTGCGCGCTCCCGGGTAACTCGTTCGCACTTTCTCTGTTTGCTGCGGGTAATTAGCCGGGCTTTTGGAGTTTATATGCATTTAGTGCTGTAGAGAATTTTATTGCGAACACAATGATACCAAATTTAATCTCGTAGAAGGAGAATTGAGGTGACAAAGTTGAAGAGAGTATACACTTTTCGGAATTAACGCGCGCTTCCGTGACACTCTGGGGCCCATATCGCCCTGTCGAGGGGTGGCGCGCGGGGTGAGCGAAAGTGTTAAGAATAGGAAACCTTGATAAATTCATGCAAGACAAAGATGAAAGATAATGAAGAGTGTCTGATATCCTTTTTTGTGGGGAACCCCATTGGCTCCATGAAGCTATCATAGTGATTAGTACCATACTACTATGTGGCATCAGTCGTGGAGTTCTATTGGCATACTGGGAACCACGAGCCAGAACCTGGCCCCCTCAGACGTGCAGGAAGTGATGGCCTATGAACACTTTACAAAATTAATCATAATTGCCACTGCCTGGGAAACGCCCAGAAAGTTAGGCGAACCAAAACTCCTCCAACAATGAAAACCAACCACCAGAATTTTATGAAACTAGCATACACTTGTTTGTCCCACCTTCCCTTGTTTGGGGGAGGATAGGAGGGAGGTGCACCTGGTCAGCTGGCTTGCCCCACTATTAGTTGTATTCTGATTGTGCCCTGGTGCAGGTCCATCACTCTGGCTTCAGTCTCCTTTTGTCAGCTAAGTGGTGTTACCTTTCCTGCCTTTGAGGCAGGATTGCCTTGTTTGGCTCTGTAGCTCTCTTGTGTTTTATGGAGCCCAATTGCATTCCAGCTGTTTACGTTGCTGGAATGCTAACGGAAAGAGGAAAGGAGGTGTTCCCTGGTGTGATTATACATAGGGTACTGTAAGTACATCTGAGACAGATTTATTGTTTTTACATACTGTAATTCTTTAAAAATTTATTGTGATTTGCAGGAAACCGACGTGAATATGAACATGATCACTGAGGATGTTGCACTGGCTCGGCTGGAGCGTGCTGAACTCAACCTAAGTGGTGAACAGCAAGATACCCCTCAGTTTACCAACCTGGCTCTCACCTTTACTATCAATGGTAGGTGTGAGATTCAGCTTCTAGTAAACACACTGGCAGGTTTTATGCATCTACTTGACTATAAGAACTGAAAATGTTTCAATGCACTGACTTCCTAATTTTCCATGTTTAGTGGTAAGCCTATGTATCACTTGTGTATGCCAGGTCTCATATTTTGTAATACAAATTGAGACCTTCATGATTTTTTCAAGATGGTTGATGTTTACTATTACCGTGGGGCAGTATATCAGTGCCCCGTTTACTGGAGTGTGGAATTTTAAACCTTAAGTGGTACTGTAAAACATACCTGGATGTGATATGCAAATAAAGGATTAAGGTATATTATTTGTAACAAGTGTTGCTTCCATTAATTGGTATAATACATTTATCTTAAAATATTTCAGAAATAAGCATAGAATTGAAAAAGGCTTCTGGTAAAATTCACCAACCATTAATGAAAGTTGCTGCTCTCTCGGCTAGTGTGGAACTTGTACAACGTACATTTGACTTAACTGCTGCTATTATCCTTGGAGGAGTTTTGGTTCAGGTAAGTAATGTTCCAATGTTTTTATATTACCGTACAGTATATTCAAACAAATTACAGTATAGAAGATATATTAGATGTTATAAAATGCCATCATTAAATGTAATGAAATGGCTCTTTCTGGTAGGACCTCAGTTGGTTCCTTGAAGTTAGCTCACTGAGATAGCTTCACTCATGTGTCACATCACCCTTAGAAGTCTTGCATGGCTTACAGGGAACAAGAGCCAGAATCTGGTTCCCTTACAAAGGTACAACGAACAGGGGAGTGTTCACCCTCACCAAAGGAAACATCCAGAGGTAAACCAACATAGACAGCTGCAGTGTCCACAGAGAAAAGAACTGATGGAATAAATGACTGCAAATTATTCACTCGGCGGTTAAATCAAACCCTTGTAGTTATGGCTGGGTACCAACAAGTGGTATCATCACCGGAAGCTCCCAACTTACATGTCAACAGACCTCAGTTTGTAGTTAGACCACAAACTGACACCTGGTAGGAGGGAGTGGAAACAGGAAGTCACCATGGCCCTACCAGAAAGAATCATTTCATTTTATTCAAAGGTGGTTTCCTGGAGTTGAACAGTTGCTTCCTGAAGCTAACTAACTACAAAAGTAGAAGGAAAATATGGTACTACCAGGAGAGGAGGAGAGTGAAAAATAGCACAAAATTTCCACGTCTCTGCATTACCATAACTTTACAGTTGTTTACATTCAATGTTAAGTTTAAAAATTTATGCATGGAAAATATATTAGTGAATTTTTGCTTTTGTTTAACTGAATTTTAATTACTGTACTTCACTGTTAAATGATCAAACGTGGCAGCACATGGAGGGTGGTGAACGCCGACTGCTGAGTACACCACTTGTTGAAGGCAGTTCCCAAGCACTTCTCACAATCAAATTCATGCAGGTATTAATTGTAACTCTACTACTTTTCTTATTAACCTCCTTTTGATGATAATTCACATGATTAAAGTTGCTATATATACTATGACTTTGGTAGAAACTGGACAAGTACATATGATTTTAAATGTTTGTAATATTATGTTTAGTATGGTAATTTTAGTAATTAGTAAATAAATAGTATGTCGATGTACATTATGGGTGGAGTGGTATGTGGTGGAGCCATTGAAATGTTAACAGCAGCGAGTGAGTGATTACCATTATATATATCAGGCAAAATGTGTGCTATGTCCAATTATTAGATTTAGGCTTATATATATTAGTATGAATAAATACATGATATACATATATATCTCTAAAAATATATGAATATTTTCAAAGCAATACATAATGATCATCTTTGACATAGATACAACTTGTTAGTGAAAACAGTAAATAAATAGTGAAACATTGAAAATAAATTGACAAAGTTGTTCCCATACAGTAACTCGTCTCATTTTTATAAACAAACGGCAACTTCTCCTGGCCACTACAGCTAAACTACAAGAGGTAGAGACTTTGTACTTGGATTTTTGTGCTTCCTGGGTGGTAATTAACAATATCAAAAGAAAATTATTTTTTCTGGACAATTTATTTTCTGCGGACCTCGGGAGTGTCATTTTAAACGGTGCGCAGTGCAGGGGTTAATGCACCAGAATGCTTCCAAGGGCTGCCCACATTACATTACATTCAGCTCTTTTTTTTTTTTTTTTTTTTTTTTCTCTCTCTCCAAAACACAGGTAAATCCCAAAAGCCCAGACTTTGAGAGCAAGCATGCTTCAACAGCCCAGCATCTGTGTGTTGAGGTGAGTAACATGAAAGCCCAGCTGGAGCAGTCAGCAATACTTAGCATATTGGCATTTGTAGAGCAACTCAACTACAAGTTGTCTCAGCTCAGCCCATCTGCTAAGACACCAACAGAGGAGTTACAGACACCATCTGCTGAGACACCAACAGAGGAGATACACACACAATCATCTCTTCACAAGTCTCTTGATGGTCAAGATGAGAAGCAAAATGGAAAAATAATGGACAAGTTTGATGCTAAAACTTCAGGTAATACTAATGTTTGCATATTACTGAACATTTTAAAAGGATGGATGCTTTGTGACATATGTTAAAGGTGGTTCACTTCAATAGTAAGCTGATAGTTTTATCCCCATTTGCTCGTTGCATTGTGGAGAAGGCAAGTCAATGTGAAATGGTACTCATCCCCAATGGGCAGAGATTGCTATAGAAAACTGTACATTTAATTTTACAATGCTTTGGTTTTTTTTTTTTACATTTTGGGGGCAAATTTGTTTTTAATAAAAAAATATTTGTGAACATCATAAATTATAGTGTAGGAAATCAGAAAAATGCCCTCTATTGCCCTTATGGAATATTACAATACAATACAATACAATACAATTTTATTTAGGTAAGGTACATACATACAATAAATATTTACAAGGATTGTTTAACTTATAGGTATAGCTAGTACATACAATGCCTAAAGCCACTATTACGCAAAGCGTTTCGGGCATGAATTGTCAGTGTACATAACATTCAAAATACTATGCTACTGCACTGTTAATGATGTGCGTCAGACTGGGTGATACATATGTTTTTAACTCTTAATTTTTTTTTTCCTCCGTTGCTCTTAACCCTTATCCTTCTAAGCAAATGCCTCCCTATCCCATTAGAATGAGAAATGAGATGACAAATGATCAGTAAATTTATCTTAAATTTAATATTTATAGCCATGCACAAGAAAAACATGTCAGAAGTGATCACACTGAAGATCGTGGCCAAATTAGGACAAGTGAGCGTGATAATTGGCCTACGGACACGAGAAGTTGCTCAGGTGGACGTGGCAGGTAAGATTTGGTCATTACCATTTTTTTTTGTTTTTTATTATTATTTTCTACCACAGACGTGGCCACAGATTTACAATGCTAATCAGCATATATGCATTTTCTTCTGTCCTCCATGGACAGGGTTAGAGATGTGTTAAACATATTCTAGCCAGCCTGTGGTCTACATTAGTGCCCATGATGATCAGATGTATGCCACGCTTTTGACTGTTTTTGTTAATATGTCCTTGGCTGATATTCCATCATGGGGGTTTTGGAGGTCAAACAGGATTCTGGGGCCCAGTATCCTGTTAATATTCCTAGACCTCGGTACTCTTGGGTTGGCTTTCACAGCCGGGTATCTTCTTTGTTCTGTTTCATGTGATGCCCCTTCCTCCCTTGTAAATGCACATTTGTTTCCTTCTCTGTGGGTAGTTAGCTTCAGGGAGCCCCAAGGTGCTTTACCCCAGAAAACAAGCTTTGATTATAAGGAAAAGCTAATTTCTGGTTGAGCCCAACTAGCTCCAGGACTCTCTCCTTCCCTCACAATGTTGGGTCTCTTTTTGCATCAAACTGACAGTGGAGTGACTTGCTTGTCTTCTCCTCTCCCCAAATGAGGGGAAGTGTGAGGCAAGCAAGCTGGTGCTAGTTTCATGACATTTTGTTTATATGGTTTGGAGAGTTCTATGGACGTTCTGTAGGCTGCAGATCTTGGTTGCGGCCAGCAGTGGTTTTTGACGCGCTGATTTTCTGGGTACCTCCCTCGGTGGTGGCGTCAATGAATAACTTTATATATGCCATGGCTCTCTGTACCTCGGTGATGGGGTCCAGGTTCTGGCTCTTGGTTCCCGGTAGGCCGTAGAACTCTGCGACTGATGGCACCTACATTGGAGATAATAGCTTTAGGGAGCCTCCCGGCTTGCCATGAAATTAACATTTCATTACTGTACTTTCAAAGCTAATATTTTATAATTTTTCTCTGCTGTAAATAGTACAAGTTCAATAGATATTTGATACTGTAATATCATCGAGTAATTAATTTACTGCAAGGAATTGTCATATATTTAGTGCAAAGTAAATGTACTGTTCGTAATATGATTATTCTCACACTCAGGATTGGTAGTAAATGTTGTGATGAAAGGCAAAAATATTATCATCACTTCTCAACTCAAAAACTTCACCGTCATTGACCCATGGTCTGCAGCCCTCCATCCCAAGGTCAGTGACACCAGTTTTCAGCTTTTAAGTATTTATGAATAATTCTGTATTTTATGGATTTTTTGGATAATTTTAAGAAAATTGTTTCTGTATAGGACTGAGTGTGTTATTCCCCACTTTCTTTTTGTTATTGCAATGATATACAGAAAAATAATTACAATAATGTGGCTGAAGATATGATGAAACTACAATGTTTTGGTCCGCCCTGAATCATTACCAAGTCGTGTGTGGAACACGACTTGGTAATGGTCCACGACGGACTGAAACATCGTAGTTTCTCCAGCTTCTGATGTGTGGTGTGGTCATCACACATTCATAATACCATAGACCCTCATAAACTATGAGTGATGTGTTGCAAGAAAACCACATTTGTTGCAACCTGCCCAAGTTGAACTTAACTACATGGGAAAATAGGAATAGGTTCAAAGACAAAAAATTTCATTTTCTTTCAATATTGCATATTTTAGATATAAAACATAAAGGTAACAGTATAGATGTTATTAATAATCTTTAATTTCAATGATTTATTGGGTAGTTATTTGAGGTGAGATTGGTTTCACCTGGCAGGGGCTGCTCCAGGTGGCTGGTCCTTCAGTGGTTGTAGGTGGATGGGCATGGGTGGGTGAGTGGGAGCGGGCTAACTATCACATGTGCAAAGAGGAACAGAACAATGACTGCGTCACTGCCCCCCTCCCCCTCCCCCCTCCAGAAGCCACCTGAGCTTCACCAGAAATGGCATTTCATTACACTTAATGCTTGTGTTTTTTTCTCACTGACTAATTAATAATTAATTTACCCTGGAGTCTTGCATATGCTTATCAGATTGTGGAGGTCATTGGGATGGATGCTTGGGATGCCCAAGTGTCAGTTTATGGCCAAGCAACAGAGGGTGAGCAGTATCTCAATATGACGTGTGTGGACACCAGCATTTCTCTCACATTTGGCTGTGCTCGCATCGTATTTTTGAGCAAGTTTGTCACAGATGTATTGGTAAGTGTTGACTTTTAAGTAAAACTTCTTTTTAGCTTTTATCAGTCAAGAAATGCATCCAAGATCTAAGGTGGAGTCAGAATTAAAGATAATTAAAAATGACTGAGATTACAGTATTCATTTATTATACATGTTCATGATTTTGCAAGAATAGGGATGGATATTTCCTTAACTTTACCATAATCAATATTAATTCAGCATCGATCACTACACAGGAAATTGAGAATCAATTCTGCTGACTGCCTCTGGTAATTTCACAACATACAGTTCAGAAAGACATTTTTTTGGGGGAAAATTCTTTTTCTTGCACATGACAGACTATACATAATTTTAACCAGCACACTTAGTGGGTTAAGAGCACAATTGCCATATACATAGTCTTTGCTAATTTGAAATGAAGCAATTTAAATTGACATTTGTAGCAAAAAATCATGATCATTAAAGGCATGTTAGGATTATACACAAATCTCTTAAATGGTCATTAACGACTTAGGCTTTGGAATGGTTTATGGAAAATTTAAGTGGATCACCTCAGCCGTGTTTAATATTTTACATAATAAATTTCAGAATTGGGTTAACAAGTTCCAGTCTGCAAAGGCAGCTGTAGCATCAGCAAGTGTAGCTGCTGCAGCGGCTGCTCAGGCCACTTTACATGAAGCATACAAGCAGTGTTCACGCATCAGCCTCTCCCTCACCCTCAGGGTATGTTTTTTTTTTAAATATACTTCATTTCATATTTTATGTAAAAATTAGATGATGTACTGCACTAAATAATTCCACTAGTATTATGCAGTGTTATTTTGAAAACTCTTCCCAGAAAGCAAGCATCTAAAACATATCTTAGTTGAACGACACTTTATCTCTTGAAGTTGAATCTTGTGTTAGCTTTTTAATGTAATAAAAAGTATCCCCGGTAATATTACATATAATTGTTTAATGATAAATACAAGCTTTATCTTGAAAATGAACAGTGTTAGTCAATGTTTCTTGTTAATCATGTTTAGAATCATTATTGTGAAGTTGGAGGCAATTCTTGGGTTACTGGAGTCAGGAGCTGATGTATAGGTTCCCAGGGCCAGATTGCCCAATAGGACAAGTAGGCCATGGCCTAGTGCCCATCAGCACTTTTTTTTCATAAATAATACTTAGTATTATAGACAAGTAATAAATAAGGTTTAGTCATCAATTACTTGGTAACACAAAGAGGGAAAGAATAGTGAGAAATTTCAAAACTCTACCATCAGTTCCGTCAAATCTGGACTTAAAATACTGTACTTTGAATAGATATTATTTTTTACCTGTCTAAATTTTGCTTGAATAGATATTTTTTACCTGCCTAAATTTTACATATACATACTGCTGTTATGTATATTTTGTTTTGGTCAATACATATGGGGATTGAACCTTTGACAAGCTACCAGCTTCCTGTCCTCGTTGAGGCCACTAGAGAGATAATGACCCCCTCAAGTAATTTCAGGTAAATACTTGAATTAATATAATTATTTTTCTTTTGTTACCTCCTTTGGTCATGAAAATAATGCTCTCATCCTTGCAGGCCCCATTGATCCTTATTCCTCAAGACTCGAGCAGTCTGTCAGGACTAATGGCTGACTTGGGACAAATCACTATCAACAACAAATTTGAGATGGGTCAGGAAAGGAATGAATTGGGCTACCCAGCTATTTATGATATGATCAATTTGGAACTTCACAATGTCAAATTATCCAGGTGTGTTCTCAATAAATTTCTGATGTTTGCATATTTTTTGCATTATGTTCATGAAGAAATGTAAAGGACAAGTTACACAAGTACTCTGTGTATTATGGAGAAAAAGCCTGGATACAGGTGAGATACCAGCAGCACTTAAATCTAATTATACCCCTGCTCATTTAATGAGCCTGATGTAGGCCATTAAATTGAGTGGTACTGTATTTAATTTTTTTTATTTCTATCATGCACTACTGCAATTTACTTTGCTGGGAGTAGCAGAAAACTTCTGATTTTACAACTATAATCACATCATCCTTGAAAAGATATAACAACAAAATTTATGAGTCGGTATGGATTCATATATTATTATATTTAATCTGATGAATGTGTGTTCATATTGTTAAATACTGGATTGTGTTTATCAACAGAGTGCAACTTACAGCTGATGGATCAATGGAACAAGAGTATGAGCTGCTGCAACCCATCTCGCTCAAGATCACCATCTGCCGGAATCTCACCATCTCTTGGCACAAGCAACGCCCAGAAGTAGAGGTTCAAGCTAAGGTTGCACCCATTAAGGTGATAGTTGCTATATTTTATACATTCATTCTTTACAGTATTCTGTTAACTCTTAATAGTTGCAGACAGGAAGTCACAACAATATGGCTGAAAACTAGACGCCCAATCCACAAATCTGACAATAAAAGAATTGATGTCATTTTAATCCATCTTTGACTGATGTGTAGTGAAAAAAGAATGGTAGAGAAAGTAAACTCTCACACAGAGTAATCACACTGTTGTGATGCCTGAATGAGAAAATTGTTGATGCATCATGATAGTGTGATTAATGTCTGTATTGAAAGAGGATCATCAGAGGTAGATCATTCCTAGATGACAGAGCCAGGGTGCATGGGTGGATTGTGTGAGACTCTAGTTTACCTTCATTGGAAGCCATGGGAATCCTGGAGGGTGCACTGAAAAGTAAAGAATTTCAAATAGAGGTCAAAGCTTAGTTTCCCTAAGGGGTTCTGTAACTCCTGTGGATGTTTAAATCGTCTCTGGTAGGTACAGTTTAAGTTGGTGCATTTAAACTATACAGTATGTGTCATATGAGACTACATGATATCCCCAGTTTAATTATTTTTTTTCAGATAAGTTTGAGTGAAGAGGATCTGCTAGTGACTTTGACAGTACTGCAAGACAACCTTGGGGAGCAGGCTACTGCTACTTCGGTTGAAGACTTGACTACATCAGAAACCTCTGGTCAGTGATTAGGACAATAATACCTTGGTTCCAATAAAGCACAACCTTTTCTAATGCAAGTCCTCACCACTACTAACACTTTATATTATTTTTATATATAGTTTCTGGTTCTTGCTGTGTGCTTTTTGTACAAGACATCTGGATGAGTATAACAAAATATACATATCACCAGAACTCACAGTAGAACAGGAAAAAAAGTATAGAAACAGGTAAAAAGGGGGGGGGGGGGCTCCTGGTAGGACAGTCTGGTTTGTTCTCAACACACGATCAAGAATTCTGGGTTCGAATCTGGGCGGGACAGAATTGGTTGGGCACATCTCCTATCACCTAATGCACCTGTTCATCTAGTCAGGTACTCAAGATTTATTTTTTATAGGTACTCATGTGTTATCCTGTTGTGAGGTTGCATCCAGGATGGGGTTCGTAATTCAACCTCGGGGAAGGGAGGGAACCTCGATATAAGCCTAACGTGTATGAATACACCCTGGTTACCTGTCCCCAACACAATGAACTATTATATATTATTATAGAACACAAACTTGGCTAAAAATAAAAAGAGGGCAAGTTATGAAGATAGTTGGAGGAGAGGATGTAGGCCTTCACCCAGTGAGATAGAATTAACCCTATACATACCAGCAACTAGTAGGCACAATACCAAAGGGGACAACATATGGAAAAATAGTGTGCAAAGCACAATAAAGATCCCTTGGCCCCCAATGAACAGTGTCAGGTGTTTAAATTGCTTCTTTACAAATGCCAGAAGTCTGGTAAATAAAGTTGAGGCACTGTGCATTCGACTGAAAATACCAACATCATTGGGCTACTTGAAACATGGGGACAATTGAAGACATAATTAAAGGGGAATTCAGTCTTCTAAGATTCCACTTAACTTTCAAAAAGGACAGAACAGAAAGAGTGGATTGTGGTAGTGATGCTACATATATAAGAGGATGTGACTGCAACCAGCAGTGAGTTAAATAAACAATGTTATCCTCTGAATCTCTGTGGTACAATATACATTGCTAGTTTAAAATGGTAGAAAATTAGTAGTGGGAGTATAGTACATGGCAGACACAGCAACTGCAGAGGAAATTACAGTTACTGGTATCTAAATTAGTGAGCAATCAGTGTCTGCAAATTTTATGGCTGGTTTTGTTTAGATAGGTTTAGTTATAACAAAGATCTACTGTAATGGGACACAACATAATGCTCTTCTTATACTTCACTGCTTTAAGATCAAAATAAATTCTGAATGCTTTCACTTATGAAAGACTATTAATATATGTAAGTGTTTGGTAATACAAATTTTAAATTTAAATGTATTACCTATATTATTTAAATCTGTACTGTAAATATAAACTTTGCTGTTAGGGTGTTACTTTTATGGTATAGTGCTTGTCAACGATTTGCTGCACAAATTATTAACTACTCTCCTTTCTGTGCATGTTCATTGCTGCTAATTAGAAATTCCAAGGATCGCCAGTAAAGGTACGTACAGTATGTACAGTACTGTAAGTAATGAAGTGCCTTCCCACGTACCATTGTTGATTATAAATTGGTACTTTTAATTTGTGTTGAATATTATTAAGCCAAGGTTATGTAATGTCTCCATGGTTGTTCATGGGTTCTTGAGGAAAGTTATTATATAAAAATTAAAGTTTAAAATTATTGTATGATGAGAGTAAATTGAATATTTATTTATTGCTGTTTAATGTTGATGTATGTCAGAGAAAGCTGATGACAGTGAGTGTAAAAATGTAAAGTAATGGTTAGAAAGTGAGGAGATAGTAAAGTTGTGATCAGTGGAGAAGTGCTTCAGCTAGTTGATACCTTTAAATACTTTGGTTGTCAGCCCCTAGGGTTGCTTGTGCTGCAGGCAAGCTAAACTCTGGCACCCTTACCAGCATAATTTTTTTAAATTTTCATGCTAAGATTTAAAAATTCATCAGTCAATACAGCTACTGAACCTATATTATATTTTATCATATCTGATGAATGTAAAATAACTTAAGAATAGCCAGATAGCTTTCATAAAAATTTTGAGGACACTATACAAGTTAAGAACAGTAGTGGAAATTTCCTTTCCGAATTTCTTTTCACAGTCCGGTCACCATAACAGAATTACTAATCAGATTCTCAATAAAAAATTTCACTCAAAGAATTTTAGCATTTTCTTTTTTATTTCATTATATTTTCATTTTTAAACATTTTTTTTCCTTATATTTGAACACACAACTGCCCCTAGTACATGGTGCCCTGGGCAACCGTCCAATTTGCCAGTACCTAAAACAGCCTCTGGCTTTGGGTGTGTAATTGACAAAAATATTTTTTTTTAAACCAAGTGGAGTGTAATTGATTTAATGAGATTTTTATATGAATCTCTCTCTCTCTCTCTCTCTCCACCTCTCATTTATTTTTCCAATATGTATTTGTCCATATTCTTGTTGTTCTAAGCTGTTTGTACTTCTATATTTAACAGGGAAGTTGATGAGGGAAAAGGATGTAGAGAGTGTACTTGCTGAACATGGCCATATTTTTACCAAGATCAAGTTTTCCTTCACTGTTGAAGCTGTGACATTGGAATTACTCACAGGATGCAGTAGTGATCCTGTAAGTTTATTGTGTTCTTCAATTGAGTAAGCTTAATAGATTTGTTAAATTATGATTTCTTGTATAGTTCTTCGGTACTGTGTTTCAGGTTAAGGTGTGGAACTTGAGTATGTCATTAAGTGCATTGCATGGGGGATTTACCCTTGGGAAATTGGTTTAAACTGCAGTCTACTTTAAACAGTTATGTTGGAATTTGTTTCTTTAAAATTCAGCTTAATTAAGTGTTGGGATATTTTGCTAACCTTTGAGTTTAATGGAAATTGTGGGTCAAGAGTGCTTATCACTTACTTTTGTCACAAAATTTGTATTACACTTGCCCTCATTTTTGGCATGCATGCAAATAGAAGATTTCTGAAATTGAAAATTATATCTAACAGATGATTAGGTCTCTAGATTGTATCTCAGATTAAAACCATTTTGAATTTTATGTATAAAAACTTACTGTGAGAAAATTCGCCAAAGGATGTATTATGTTTACCATAATTTTCTGGGTTTGAAAATATTGTCAAGGCCTTGAAACTTTTTTATATTCATGTTAAATTTAATTTAGCCATGCTACAGGTAGGCAGGAGAGAGGAAATGCAGAAGAGAAATGGACTGCAAATTTTGAACAAGTGATATTTGTAGGGAAATGTTCATGATTTAATATGGTGAAAAAATAATGGATTAGTCATTCTTTTCTGATTTCCCATTTTTATTACTAATGTTTTAGTATTTTTTACTCGGCACCATCCTTTCATCTTGCATCTATACCTAAGTACTGTATAGGCATTATCTCTTCTTTCATGCAGCCCTCTAAACTCTTTCCTGTTATTATAAATTCCCTCTATTTAAATTGATTTACCACTTTTGCCACTTGACATGCCTCCTAGCAGGCAAAGTTAGTCCAAATGACCACTATTTGACGTTGATCTGTGACTTCATTTGACGGACTAAATCAGTCAAACCTTCATACAGGTATATTTAATGTCAGTAGGCAGATGTTGAATCTGACCAAAATTAGCATAGGTAATTGTAATTTCAGTACTATATATTGCTGACCATTAATTGATTGTAATTGTTTTGCTGACAAGTATGTACAAGTAAACCTTGTTTAATGTCGGAGTTAGGTTCCTGTAAACGGTAACTTTAACTGAAATGTGAACCCTAAACCTCATAGGCTTAGTGTTGAAAGTAAAGGTACAATCCTAGGGTACTTTTCTGGTCATTTTTCTCACCTAAATAATTTGATATTGTTCAGAATAGTAATGGAAATTAAACAAAAGCATGATTTAATTGTAAACTTTAAGTATAAAATGTTATATACCAGATATATTACTTGACAAACAATCATTTCTCTGTAAGTCTGATTTACTTATCTATTAGTAACTACGGGAATTGAGATTTAGCTCTTTAGCTCTTTGTACCCCGTCTCCTAACTGTTTATACCTTGCGTACTAATTACCCCACTTAATATTAACGTTCTTCCCCCCTCCTCTCTTTTCTCCATCATAAAAACTAGGTAGATTTGTTACATATCTTCCTGTTCGAAAACCATACTGTCTGTTTGTTATTGTGTCATTTCTCTCCACGTGTTCTACCCATTTTTTTTTTTTTCTAGTTATCTTGGTTATCTTGAGATGATTATCTTATAAAGCCTCGGTTATCTTGAGGCTTTAGTGTCCCCGCGGCCCGGTCCTCGACAAGGCCTCCACCCCCAGGAAGCAGCCCGTGACAGCTGACTAACACCCAGGTACCCATTTACTGCTAGGTAACGGGCATAGGTGAAAGAAACTCTGCCCATTGTTTCTCGCTGGCGCCCGGGATCGAACCCGGGACCACAGTATCACAAGTCCAGTGTGCTGTCTGCTTAGCCGACCGGCTCCCTAGTGTTTTTATTACCACATGAACAAATCCACAAGGGCCGTGACGAGGATTCGAACCTGTGTCCGAGAGCATCCCAGACGCTTAATCAACTGAGCTATGACATGGTCAAAAGGAGTTGAAACCGAAGCTTACTGGATCCTGCTGCCTCTCCGAAGCACAAACCAGGGTTTTACACAACTCCCCTCATGCACTCGAGCTATGTAAATAGGTTTTTTCCACATGGAAATACCATGTTGGCCGTAACAACTCAGAAGTAAGGCTTTTGAAATTGAAAATTTGTATAAATGTTTTGTTCCAGGAGACAGTCTATGCATCTAGTGATTCAAGCAATGGAAAATCTGTGTCAAAATCAAGTGAGCCGGCCATTGGCGAGTCTTGTGCACAACATCCTGACAGTGTTGCTGCATCAAGTCTTGCAAATGTTACTCAACAAGAAACCAAAAAACCATATGCATCAACCTCGCAGGATTTTTCTACATCGTCGAATGATGGATTAAACACACGGAGACCGTCGTCAAAGTTGGGATGCAAAATAATGGCAGCAAGAAGAGCCCTGGCAGAGGTCAGTTTGCAGGTGGTTAGGATCAAAGGGAATATGATGTCTGATGGGTCGCTGGCTGCCAATCTTGTCCTCTTTGACTGTATCTTGCAAGATACAAGACCAGGTATGAAAGTTTTTGTTGCAATATTTATTTTAATGCCATTTCTGGTTCTAAACCAATGTAATGCCAAAGCTTTTCCTTTGAATTAATACATTCATTCCTTTAATATTTACCAAAGTAAGTCTCTTTGTGTCTTGTACGTTTCTTTCCATAGTCTTCATACTTGCAATTATTTCTGCATATAGGTTTTATTCATGTCATGTTTTCCTGTTCCTCCATGTAAAGAAGGGCTTAATATTCAAAATATTCCTCACGCTCAAGTGGTCATGCATGTATAGTGTCTGTAGCTACCTCACTAATAGATATGCTGCAGTACTGTGTAAACATTATTTATGTGGAGTCTATTCAAATTATTAAACTACAGTATATGTTTTCTAAAAGTTAGTTTTAGTCAAAATGTAAGTGGAACATGTCTGCACAATAACAGCAACTAGTCAACGAAAACATTTCCTCTTGTGTTAAAATTATAACTAGTCTTAAAATGATGTTTGTCTTCTGTAATCTTATATTAACCATTTGACAGTGCCAGTTATGTTTACAAAGCTAGCAAACATTTATGGAGCCCCTCGTGAATCTTACTTGTACAATATAGATAAACTTGTCTTTCTGCTCCCATATAGGTAACATGAATGATATCTGTTAGCTATTGAATTATCCGTGTTTTACATACATCGCTGCTTGTTCTGTGTTAGATCACCAAACACTATAATAGTGCTGTGTCATTGACAGCATTACTTGGAAACAGAAAACAATCAGTTCTTGAGCCAGTATCACAACAGTTATAATCAGGGAATTAGTTTCACATTGTCTAGGACAGAGAACCTATTAGGCTTATTGTAGGTTTTGGTACACTCACATTCCTCAGGATGCTGCCCACAATAGGCAGCATTGTTTACCAATATGTACCAATATTGGTACATTGTGTACCAATATTTGTGTACCACAAATATGTATCAAGTCTTGGGTACATATTTACGGTGAAGTGAATAGTGGCATTGGGTGTAAGGAAACCTTTCTAAATGTCTTGTCATGACGAGGAGTTGAACCCAGAGCCAGTTAGTTGTAAGCCGACTTCACTAACCGCTGCTTTATAGGTCAGTATGACTTACTAGTCCTGAGCTGGGAAAGGAAATTGGAGTTAACTGCAGACAGTAATCTTTAAAGATCCTGAAAATGAGTATCAACAACGAAAAGTTACAAAGCTCAAAATGAACATAATTGACTATTAACTAGTTTACCTCCAAAGGCTTTCCTTTTTATAAGGAAACCTGAATTTACCCGAGGGCCCCCACGTCAGGAACAAGACGTCATAGACTTAAACTAAAAATTCAGTTTTGCAAACAGAGTGGTTGACAGTTGGAACGAGTTAAGGGAGAAGGTGGAGGAGGTCAAAACTGTCAGTAGTTTTAAAGCATTATATGATAGTGCTGGGAAGATGGGACACCACAAGCATAGCTGTCATCCTGGACTATACTTCAGTACAGTAATTACAAAAGCCCATGCAGAAGAGAATAGACAGACTACAGAGGCCCAGAGGAAATGCGCCACGTGCAGAATTAGAGTACCCTCCACCGTTACAGCAGCACCCTCTCACATATACCCCATGGGTGGGTGAGCCTTCTGGACACAGATTGGTCTTATCCATCTTCAGACATACAGCTACTGATCTTTGACCTGATATTGAAGATATGGTCATTTTCGTCTCCTATGGAAGAACATCATTAAGAGATCGATCAAGGCTGGCACATGCATCAGCTGCTCACTGCACTGCTGTGCAGCTAGAGGCCACAACAAGACTTAATAATGACGAATAAAATAGGTTCTGTAACTTCAAGAGGAAGAGTTGTTCCCCCTCGGGGAAAAGCATTAAAGATGTATAACAGATTTATTTTAAAAGTCAGCCAAGGGAATTTAATGAAATTTATATAGACAGTGCTTAAGTGCTAAGATGTAGACCTGGTTAGATTTTGCTAAATTAAATTACGTTTTATGGCTCCATGTTAAAAAAAAATTCAAATGCACCTGGAAGTATAGAAACATGCTACATTCTGATATTTTACTCTTTTTCTCACTTAACTGATACAACTAATTTGCCCTGTCTTAATTACCCAGATCAAGAGGGGTTCATCACTCGGATGATGGAGAGGAAGGAACGGAGTGGTGAGCGTGGAATGATGGACCTAACGTATCGTCAAGAAATCTCCAAAGATATATACGGTGATTGCTATTTTTATTTTTAAGGAAATTTTTTTAGTTTTGAGCATGACTAACATATTATGACTAATGAAAATTATAATTAATGCAGTTACTGTATAATTTATTTAATAGTAAAATATTTTAAAGTGGCTAATGTTTCAAGCATATTATTCTTCTATTATGCTAACATTAAAAAAAATTCAGCCTCAAAACAAGCACTCTTTCTATATTCAAAGTCCTATTTCTGTGAGTGTCCATTTAGTAGCTCCCTGTACCTATAGCACTAAGACTGTCAAGCCTTAAGGAATTACTTAAGACATTTGAGACCTACCAGGAGCTAGGGCCAAAATCTGGTTCTTGCTGGGAGGGGGGAGAGGGGAAGAGAGAAAGAGAATGAATATCTTGGTAGTCTCGATGATTCTGAGGATAAGTGTCCCCACGGCCCCGCCTTTGACCAACCTTCCTGGTTGGGTGTCTGGTCAACCAGACTGTTTAATGTGGCTGCTTGCAGCGTGATGTACAAGTCACAACCTGATTGTTAAAGAAGGTGATTGTCAAGTGATAAACCCATTAAAGAAGGTGATTGTCGAGTGATAAACCCAAGCCAATATCGTGAGATGATTTCGGGGCTCAACGTCCCCGCGGCCCAGTCCTCGACCAGGTCTCCTTTTTGTTACCCCCCCCCCCCAGAAAGCAGCCCATAGCAGGTGTCTAACTCCCAGGTACCTATTTACTGCTAGGTAAGCGTGGAATGCATCGGGATGCATTCTGCTAGGTAAGCGTGGAATGCATCGGGATGCATTCTGCTAGGTAAGCGTGGAATGCATCGGGATGCATTCTGCTAGGTAAGCGTGGAATGCATCAGGGTGCATTCTGCTAGGTAAGTGTGGAATGTATGAATAAGCGTGTGCATCAGGGTGAAAGAGACTGCCCTTTTGTTTCTGCCTCCAACGAGGCTTGAACCTGGAGCCTCAGGACTACGAATCTGAAGTGCTGTCCACTCAGCTGTCAGGCCCCCTAGTAACTAGGGGGCCCTGACAACTGGCCCCCTAGTGTAAAAAAAAAGTATTAAAAATATAAAAAAGTAACTACTTAATTGCCCACCAGTAAAGGGCATTTCAATATATTCAACTCTTGATTTCAGGGATGGGCACCCTCAGTAGCTTCCCATAGCTAACCTACAATGGTACATCTCTATATATGTAGAAAGGGTACATCTCTTGGCTTTTTTTTTTTTTTTTTTTTTAAGGGAAACACTAGATTAATAAAACAGAAATGACAGATGTTGCTTATCCATAGGAGAATAGGGCTGGAGACTTGAAACAGAATATTAGCACTGTGACAAATGCCCAAGAACCACTCAAGTGCAGTGAGGAAGAGGTACATACACAAAGTAGTGAGAGGCCAGTACTGTGGAACTTTGGTTTTCGAATGCCTGTTTTCAAATTTTTCGGTTCTTGAGCTCAATCTCTGAAAAATTTGACTCGGTACTCTAAGTTTGCCTCGGTGCTAGAGTTTGTTGATACACGTATGGGCCGACCGAGCACATGGTGCGCTTCAGTTTACCAGTGTCTCCCGCTAGTTTCATTTCTTTGTGAAGAATTTCATTGTTTTTGTTGTGCTTTTTTGGTTTCTGAACATTTTGGTGTCTGTTCTTATTATGTATCATGCCATGGGTTCCAAGAAAGTCAGTGGTAAAGATGATAGAGGAAAAAACAAGAGATCATTTATAGTGAGCCAATGTGATGTCACTGAAGACGTGTTAAAACATGGGGGAAAAAAGTGTGTTTAGACAGATTCTTAGTAAGACAAGCAGGCAGTGAGCCAACCTGGTCCTAGTGGTAGGCCTGCAAAATGTAAGAGAGAGTACACCCCAGAAATGTCATCACTGTTGTTATAATGAAAGGGACCCCCCCCCTTTGCAAACATTGACACGTGTTTGACTTGGTGACTGTTGCAGCATATGAACCCCTCTCCTACTGTTTATGTGCGTGTGGAGTTAAACAATTCATGTTTCAAGATGATGATCATGTCATGTTTAAACATGTGCATTTTATAGTTAATACTATTGTTAGTGTTGCTCTTTTCATTTCATCCCTGAAGATATGAAATGGGGGAGACAATGATACTGTAATGATAAATATTAGAGAGAACATAAAATTTGAGTCATCATGTTTAAACATGTAAAAAATCACGAAAATACTAAATATTGGATTGACTTTCAGTGGATCTGCGCATCTCTGGGTTTGTACTTGTGCTGCATCTGCCATACTTGTTGAGACTCCAGCATTTCTTCACTGATAACCTACCTCAGCAGGCTCCAGTGCCTTCCCAGCCAACCAAACCTAAAGACATTATCAAACCAAAGGTATTGGGGTAAAAGTTTTTTGTAATATGGAAATTAATAGTAGGTGACAGGTATAAATGTTTTAGTGAAGAGGTTAGCCGAGGTTAATGCTGGTGTATTTCTGAGCTTGGTTGCTTGCCGAGCCATCAGCCAGTGTCCATTAAGGCCACTACTATAGTGCGAAGGTTTTGTTCACCTTCACCCTTTCATGATAGGAACTTTGCACATTTCTGGGGAAACCCCTTGTGGCATCTTGAAGCTACTATCTCCAGTGTAGGTGACTTTTACTAGGTGTCATTAGTGGCAAGCCAACCCTGCCTACAAACCAGCACTAACTGAGATTTGCTTTTTAATCTAATCTTCTCAAATTTATATCTATTGTTTTGAGTTATATTTGTAGATATATTTCAAACCTTATAACCCCTTTGTTCTGTGTACCATTTCATCCATTTATATACTTCAAATCACGTCACCCTTTACTCTTCATCTTTAGAGAGAATTCAGCCCATCCTCCTGTTTAGGTAGTACTTATAGTAATGACGAGGACCATCATACATATATTGATGTAAAAAGGCAATTAGAAAGTAGAAATTAATACTATTGAATTTGGACAAACTGGAAAAGATTTTGTACTGATGTTGCAAAGACCACTTAACCTAACCTAACCTTCCTAGGCCAAATACACGTTATCCAAGGCCTAGTATATATATATATATATATATATATATATATATATATATATATATATATATATATATATATATATATATATATATATATATATATAATTTATTATTATTATTATAATCATAATCAAATCAAATTCAAAATTCAAATTTTTATTCAGGTAAAAGTACATACATTGATGAAGAGTTCTACTCTTGTGCTATACTAGGCCTAGGAAAGTTTGGTTTTCAGTTTTATTTTTTCATACTCTATCAAGTGAATACACTAGTACCAAATTCTACTATCTAATTGTCCATTTTGTCTTATGAATGTACGATGGCCATATCTAAACAGGAGGATGGGTTAAAGAATTGTTGATTTTTTCCAGTCTTTTTATAAGGAAAGTTTCTCATCTTAGTATTAACTAACGACCTCGAAAGTTTCTACATAGCAAAATATACTATATAAACTAATGCTGCGTAAAAACACACTGTAGTTTTGTTAGTCCAGCAAATTGTTTGTTCTAATTCCACCATACCTATAACTCGATACACTCGCCTTATATGCCACTCTCAGTGGCACATACAAGCATACATATGATAATAAAATAAGATAATTCTATTTAGGGAAATGTACATGCATACAAAATGAGTTAAAATCAGAATGTTGGAAATCTAGATAAAGCATGTATATACTATGCCCAAGGCCACTAATACACTGTATTGGGCAAGAATGTTGTAGTTCCTCTCAAATTTGAAGTAGCTCTACTTGGAGCAATAAGAAAACAAATTACGACTTCAAATATGAATCTGTAGAATTTTAATTTAATTTTTCTTTCATCTTCACTTGAAAGAGTGACTCGAGTGTTGACGGCGATGGACGGCCTCGTGGTATAATGACTATACGTGTGAAGGTTGAGCAGCCAGATATCACAGTGGTTGAGGATGTGTCGTCCCTTGACACCTCTTGTATTATCCTTCATGTGAGTTCTATATTATGTTATACAGTTACTCTAAGCCTTAGCTTTGGTCAGCATGCTGAACTAACTTACATTATTCGATATTTTTCAGCCTGAAAAGTAGCAGAAGTAATTATGTAATTAATTGTAATTATCATAATCAAGTCTTCATTAATGTAATGCCATGATTCCTTTAAATGCAGGCTGAAGTAAACAGTGACATTAAGCAAACACCAGTGTCTCAGAATATCAGTGCCAGTATTGCTAACCTTCAGATGTACACGTGCTGCTATAATCCCCAAAAGAGGCAGAAGACGCTTTCACAGGTATAGTATATGTTTTCTTTTAAAAAATAGCCTTGTGTTTTTTTAAATTAAACAGAATATAGTAAATAACATAGCATAATAGCAGAAGTGGGGTGTTTCACATGATCAGGTGATGTATATACACTTTATAAATATATGGATACTATATAGAGAGTTGATAGACACTCGGGTCTATAGGGCTTGAATTATCTTCATGGTGTACATTTGAGTGGGGAAAGTGGTAGGGAAGAAGCAGGTTACCCGGCTATGAAGGGCAATTGTGTGACAATATATATGTTGCTATTTTCCTGCAATACTGTGAAGTTTTCAAGGAGATAAGTTTTGGATGTCTTTTTCTGTAGATCCTGAGTCGATGTGAATTGTCACTTTTGTGTAGTGTAACCCCCAGCCATGCAGAGCACATTGATCTCAAGATGAGCCAAGTTGATCTACGAGTGTCTCCTGGTAAGTAAACTTACACTGTATTCCCATTTTAATACCTATACATATACACAAATGTATGCAAATAATCAAAGTCCTAGTTAGGCAATATTTTAATCCATGAAACTGTTATGTATTCATGTTAACCCATAACAAAAAGCTTCAACAAGTTAAATAAAGTTTATCTTTTTGAACAGCACATTGGATATTTTTCTATCCTTACGCACTGAACCTGTTCAGGAATCAAACTGTCTAATTTGCAGTGGAATGGTATGGGGTACGGAACATACATAGGCTGGCCAGAATAAGATTAAGTTAAAAACTGTAAGAAATATTAGCAATTATAAACCAATCCCCCCAATACAATTTTCATGGAGTCAGTTATACATAGTAATTTCTCTGGCATTTTTAGTGATCATAATATATTTTCTGAGACCCATACAGTTGTTTCAGTGCTTCTTAATAATAAAATTTCTGACAGAAGTGGAAGATGGGGAAGTACCTGGAGGAAGGGAGGGACCAAGGGAATGAGGACAAGGATGTCAAGGGGGGAGATGGAGGGGAAGAGTGGGGAAGAAGGTGAAAAGAAAGTGAGAAGAAACCCAGGGGCAGCTGGGGTACTCTATGTAAATAAATAGAAATGTCTGTTCAAGGCTGGAGGGTAGGGAGATTGGGGTAGGTAAGGGGATGAAATGTGGGAGATGAAAAGGAAGAGAGGGAGGAAGAGGGAAGATTGGAGAAAAGGGAGGATGTTGGGAGAGGGCAAAAGATGAGGGGGGGGGATACCTGGCAATGCCATCTGTTATAATTGCTTCATTTCTTCCTAGCTCCTTGAGTAATTTTTCCACTTTGTCTAGAGACACTTCTAGGTATTTCATGGTGTTCCCTGGAATTGGGTGTGTGTAGTTCCTTAAAAACCTCATTTTGTGCACATAATTACCTAAGTAATTACCTAAGTGTAGTTACAGGATGAGAGCTACGCTCGTGGTGTCCCGTCTTCCCAGCACTCTTTGTCATATAACAATAATTATTGAATTATTTAATGTTTTCACTTGTTCGTGACAATCCGTTTGCTCTAGGAGGCTTGAACCGCGGACCCCCACGCGTGTGAAGCCGTAGCTCTATCGACCGAGCTATTGAGTGGCCTTATGCTCACATTATGCTCACAAAATGCTCACATTTTTGTGCGTACACGCACATTTAGTGTTTTACACATTTCCTTTTCATTCTTTGTGACTTTTTCCCATTTTCAATCTGGATTTATCCTTTACATGCTGCTTGCTTTTAATGAATTTATATGGAAAAGGCCTGATTCTCTTTCACATATGCCCTCTGCCCTCTCTTCATTTCTTTCTGTGCATAAATGTAAAAGTTAAGTAATTTTAAAGTTAAGAATTTTTAATGTTTTTCCACTTACAGGAACCATAGAATTATTAAGTAGCATTGGTACAGCACTATCAAGCTTAGAAACAACTACAGAGGAGGTAACAGAGGAAGAACAGAATTGGTGTGGGATATGGGAGACCAAACCCCTCAATCCTACCGAGTTTTCTTTCTTGGAAGTAGGTGAGTTGTTGTGAAAATGAAGATAATCATGCCATTTATTCGTCAGTCATTCAATATTACCAATAATTTCCCATGTTAATAATATGGATTGCTTTTATTAACTATAAGCATTTAATTCCTATACTGCATGTTAGTTTTAATATGACAAGCCTCCTGTTCTCACAAAAAAAAAATCCCCTCCCCCCCCCACAATTTTTTTCGTACATTGCAATCCCTTCCCTGAAAACACACACACAAAAATAGATAAAACAACCCCCCTTCCTTGGTTGCAGTTAAGTGGAGATTAGGTGTGATGTCACAGCTGGTTGGTCTCCTGTGCCCTAGAATTGGGCTGGTAGCGTGGGTCATACAACATAAGTGAATTTCCACAAATATACAGTATATATACAGTATTTAAAAAAAAATCGGTACATTTCTATTACAACCTTATTTTTTTTTTTATACAGTATAAGCCATTGGCTTTTGTGCATCTACAGTATTGACGTAATTTATCAGGTTCATTCCATATGAAATAGCGTTTACGGTAAAAAGTATTTGTGTTGACTCTGTTGCATCTTGACAGAGGAGACATTAAAGGTCATTTATCTTCACAGAGAATGCAGTAGAGGCTATTTGCAGAGAGGAAAAAGAATTAGCCTCTCCAATATGTGCTGGCTCTGGTGGGGAGATTGCTATGATTATGATGGAATGTTTGCTTGTGACACTGGAGGCTGGATCTCTTACCTCACCCATTCCACTCATCAAACTTCAGGCCAGTGTCTCTGCAAGTGCCACAGGCTTTCGTTCTCAGAAGGTGAGCCTGTGTAAGTTGTAATAACAAATTAAATTAAATATTAGATGTGTTAAATTTGATAACTAGAAATTAATTTCACATAAATAATGGGTATATTCCTTCCTGAGTCATGGAAAACAAACACAAATTTATTCCAATTAATACAAATTTAATTTATTATGGAGCAATGTCATTTATCCCAATATCATTGTTCCAAAAATCTGGTATAGTATAACTGAATGAAAGCCCATTGTGCGAATAATCTGATACTGGCGGGAGTTTTATTAGAGGCAAGAATTGCCAACTCGGTGTGTTGTTTAAGCATTTGTTGGCTTTTGTTGCTTCTAGCTGCACCCAGTCCATAATGAATACAGAGTTCTTTTTGTGAGAAGTATCTTGAAGTGTGGGGTAATGGTGGCAGAGGTTGGATAGTGACTTGTGGAAGCATTCATAATGCAGTTTGCACCTGACCTTCATGATTGAATGCCACATTGAGTGATATAAATTAACACCGATAAATGTTTCCAGATATTTTCCCAAAAAGTTTACACTCTTTTAAATGCTCATATATAACCGACATCCTCATCCATCACAAGAAACACCATACATATCTTGAGACATTTTGACTCTCTACATCTTATTTGGAGAACCCACCCAAGACATTTGTAATGAGCAACCCAGTCAAATCTCAATGTCCTTAAAAATTCTCACTAGTATATTATAAAGAGTATACATATGATATAGAAAATCAAACCAACAAAATGATTAGAGTAAGAGGGAGAGAGGAGGGAGGGGTAAAGGACAATGGGAGAGGGAACATATTCCTGAAAATTGTATAAAGTACTAACATAGAGATAAAAAATACTGAAGCTAAATAATTATAATACAGCTTAAGATGTCAGATTTTTGTTTCCACTAACAAAGACGAAACGTGATGATGATATTTTAAATGATGCTATATTCCTGAGGGGCTACTCGATTTGAAGATGAGAAAAAATTAGGAAAGGTGCAGGCGATGAGTCAAAATAACATGGCTAAAGTATGTTAACCAGACCACACACTAGAAGGTGAAGGGACGACGACATTTCGGTCCGTCCTGGACCATTCTCAAGTCGATTGCCTTGAGAATCGACTTGAGAATGGTCCAGGACGGACCGAAACGTCGTCATCCCTTCACCTTCTAGTGTGTAGTCTGGTCAACGTAGGAAAGGTGCATGCATTGCCATGCTGGTGGACACCTAAAGTAAGTGAATTATTGATTGACAACCCACAAGAAGTTGACATACTGGCACTGGAGATTTATAATCAGAATAATAAACTGATAATCATAAATACCTACAGTCCACTGGCATGCAACACATGGAGAAAAGAGGAGAGGACCGATAAAAGAGAGGGCCTCATAATGATCATGAGAGAGAGAGACAGCAAGTGCAGTCAAGAATAAATCATGGCTGTTGTGCTCGGTGACTTCAACTTGAAAACAAAGGCTAGGAGTCCCATAAAGTAAGAACAGAGGACTTTTGGAGTGGTAGATTTTTAGATTTTTCCATTACTGCAAAAAGTCAGATAAAACTTATCGGAAACATTGAAATAAATACTGCATGTAAAAAATACATTCGCAGCAACTTTTGCCTGACAGCTGGCTTGGGGTGACCACCCTAGGCCTCTCTCTGGTGAGCACACGTGAATCGTGATGTCATTGAGACTTTCAGGCTTCACTGTGGTCAAAGTAAGTTGCGTACAATTTTTATTATTTTTCCCGTGATCAGAGAATGATCATTTTAACAATAATAGAAGGATTTTTTTTTTAATGCTCACCAGAATGTTGCATGGTCTAATCAATTGGGCAGCCCAAGGGTTAAGTGAGATGGCGGTGGAGACCAAATTGTCAATAGTTTCAAAGTGTTGTATAATAGTGCTGGGAAGATGAGCCACCATGAGCATAGCTCTCATCCTGTAGCTTTTTTAGGCAATTACAAATAGTGGGAGGAAGTACACTTGATTGGGAAAAAAAGCAGCTTGCACAGCAAAAACAAAAATTAAGATAGAATAGCAGAATGAACGCTTAGCACCAAACAAGCCCAAAGCAGAGAAGACTATTATAAAAAATTAACAATAGTAAATGAGGTAATTTACTAAATTATCTACAAAGGTTAACTGGGGGTAGTCAGCTTTAATAATGAAAACCTAAATAACAAAGCTTCTGAATTAGAAAAGCCTTTTAAAGAGAAATTAGCTAATAATTATTGTAATATTTTAAACCAGCATTGAGAACCTGTTACATGTTTATATTTTCAGATGCATTTGAATGGAGAATTAAGCTCAGAACTCGCCTATTACAATCCGCGGTTGGCAGTGTGGGAACCATTGCTGGAGCCAGTGGAAGGTGCTGAAAAACTAGGTGCTCCTGAACACATACCTTGGACATTACAATTTGAGGTAGGTGCTCCTGGACACATACCTTGGACATTACAATTTGAGGTAGGTGCTCCTGGACACATACCTTGGACATTACAATTTGAGGTAGGTGCTCCTGGACACATACCTGAACAAATGATTCTGGTGAGCATTTTTACCATGGGGAGTAATAAGCAAAATGTTCCACTGAGCTCCCTGCCCCTGGGAAGAGGGATATGATTTGAAAGGTATTTGTCTCCTGGGGGTGTATAGATTGATAATGCCTAGTGAGTTCAAAGTTCTAACAAGGCCACAAAATGAAGCTGTGTGTGGATTTCTTAGAGTAGCCACATGATAAATTCTGTGAACATTGACACAAAAGTTTAAAGACTTATAGGCCTCTTGAGGTAATTTTGAGTTATATATTTCAATTATTTTAATGAATTCTTCCATTATTAAGATTACATAATATTCTATCATGGTATATATAATGGTGTAGGAGACTGTGGATATCTAGTTAAATTTGCATACATTTTTATTGCAGCTGATTAAAGATATGTGTGTGAATACATCCCGGGCACCATCCATTGCAAGTCCAGTTGCATATCCAGATGTAGAGGAAGCTGAAGAATTTGAAGAAATACCAAATGAGGAACCTGTTTGTTCTATATCTGTGACAGTTAAGGTATTTATTAGATAGAACCAGTTTGTAGTATATTTGTAACTGCAATGGCACTAATTATCAAGTTGCAACTCAAAGCAAAAATATATTGACCACCATATTATTAACGTATGTGATAAATAAGGTGCCAATTACTAAGTTTTTGCTAAGGAACTTAGTAAGCTAATTACTAAGTTCCATTTTTGGACACACACTCTTATAGTATAGATATGCTCATGGAACTGCCTACCTGCTGATGTTGCAAGTGCAAAGACATTACTGCAGTTCAAAATCAAGTTGGAAGTAATTCTTCGGAAAAATAGGGGGAGCTTTGACAAAGTGACCACCTTCTGTCCCCCCATAGTGGGCACTATGTACAGGTATATGTTGGCCCTAGAGTAAATTCAAGTAACATTTCTAGTTTTTCACTAATAAACATAATGTATATTCTCCTGTGGTATTTCTTGAAGCACTTACTAAGGTAATAATGCTGTAACGTTACTGGATTCCATTTTAACCCTTACAGTGGCTATCGTCAATTGTTGATTCACAGGGTAATGGGTTATCATATGAAGATTTGGCAAATTATTGTCTGGGTTTTACATATATGATGCAAATATGGATGTAATAGGTCTATGTGGAGGTTTTCCACATAGACCTATTCTACATATGGATATAAAAGCTCTCTGAGGATGTAAATATTGAAAAAAAGTTATAAAACAGTGAAACATCGGAGGGCAAAACATGAAGCGTCAGCATAGTCGAGCACCAGGCGTTGACAAGTGCCAGGTGCTGCCTTGCAGAGTGCCTCTATCCAGTGAAATGATAAATATTCACTTATTTTCACATTTTTCTTACATTTTGCATATAAATTAATAATTCTATAATGAAATATTATTTGTTTGGATTTTTTTATTTTTTGTGCATATGCGGGGTACGATCATTTCTCAGTAGCCGCTGTGTAAGGGGTTAAAAGAATTTAAATAATTTTTTTTTTGTAATACAGATTGTGGAGTTCAACGCTGTACTAAGCATATAGCTAGAAAATTTGTTTGCCTAATAAGCATTATGGTTTTGTTTCTTTAAATTCATTAAAACATTAAATTGCAGGATCCACTAGAGCTGACAGTGACCAAAACTTTCATGGAAGTCTTAAAATCTCTCTCTGAAGCTTTCTCCGAAGCATACAAAAGAACTGTGACTGGAACCAAGAGCCCCTGTGCACCATATCGCATCATTAACCGCACCGGGGTGCACATCATTGCAGCCATCATGCAATCAGGTTTTCAGGTAAGTAAAATGATGATTGTTTTTGCTTGTGTATATGTAGCAGGAGTATCAAAATGGTTTTGGCTTGTATACATTGCAATACATCAGAAAGGTTAGGGAGAAAAAAAAGCTACCTCTTGAAAGAAAGAAAACTGGACAGTGAGGGAATACAAAGCAACCTAGGTCATTGGGAGTCCCAGTTTGCAGCCTACCTATCTTGCTCAACTGGTGTATCTTGGGTAAGATGGCCTCTGCTGGGACTCCTGTGGTACTTCCTGGTTTAACTAAGTGGTGTTTGTTTCTCTTGAAATATTGTTCATACAAGGCTATTACTTTGTTTTATTTAATATACAGTTCATGTTTATGCTTAATTCCACCAACATTGTTCTCCATAATTTTCGTTTCAATATGACTCTGGGCCAGTTTTTCCATCAGAGGCCAGATTCACAAAGCAGTTATGCAAGTACTTACAAACCTGTACATCTTTTCTCGATCTTTGGCGGCTTTGTTTACAATTATTAAACAGTTAATGAGCTCCGAAGCACCAGGAGGCTGTTTATAACAATGAGAAGAGTTGATTGGAACGTTTCCATGCTTGTAAACTGTTTAATAAATGTAATCAAAGCCGTCAGAGATTGAGGAAAGATGTACTTGATCAACTACCGAGCATGAACACAGCATTTGAGTGCTGAATTGTTCAAGTTGGAAGCCGTTCTAGTACCAGTACTGAGGTTCCTCTATATGAGTTTGTGGTATTAGGTATAAATAGGAGCTGTCTTCCATTGATCCACCATATATTACGTCTCTTTATCTGATTACCATAAAAGGTTCTCTCTCCCCTATTTGTAATGAATGGCACTTGTTACTAAATGTTTGTGTAGTTGTTTATATTTATCTGTTGTTACCTATTTTAACCTCCATTATCTGGCTCCAGTTAAACAAACTGTTACATTTTCAGGTTGCAGCAGCAGGTGGAGATGAAGTAGAGCAAGTAACAGTTGAATCTGGGGCTGAAGTGGATCTTTTTGATGTAAAGCCTTTGACACCTAAACACAAGAGAGTGGCATCACTTGTGGCAGAGTGCCAGACAATTCAGGATCGAAACATTCTCATTAAGGTAATATGGACTAAAAAGTGATTATTAAGTGCATTTGCATACAAGTGAAAAGTATGAAAATGATGGAAAGCAAAAGTAGAAAATAAAATTTTGAGGGAGCATGTGGCAGCTGTAGGAGCGCCTGACAGCTGGGTGGACAGCCCTTCGGATTCATAGTCCTGAGGTTCTGGGTTCGATCCCGGTGGAGGCGGAGGCAAATGAGCAAAATGTTTCTTTCACACTGATACCCCTGTTACCTATCAGTAAATAGGTACCTGGGAGTTAGACAGCTGCTGCGGGCTGCTTCCTGGGGGAGCGTGTAACAAAAATGAGGCCTGGTCGAGGACCGGGCCGTGGGGATGCTAAACCCCGAAATAATTTCAAGATAACCTCAAGAAGGGGTGTATGCCGAGATTTCAGATTAATCACATTTAGTTACTCCCAGAAGTAACTGTCTTCTGTGTCCTTGTATAGGGACATTCACAGTCAAGCTAGATGACAGCACAGGACTACAGGAAATTATCATATACCTGTGCAGGTCATATAAAGGCTTGAAAGTCACTAGAGAATATTCAGCCCTGATGGGAATGATCCCTCAAAGACAGTTCATTAAATTTCAAAGCGGTGCTGTACCCTGGTTATCACAAGTGACCACCAATGATGGTGCTCATTAGCAACTGGTTGGACTGCATGTTCAATTCCCCCATCAAACACCATGAGGTGGCAGCAACACTAGTGTTCATCACTGACCCCAAGGCAGCATACATTCTTTTGTTCAGTGTATGACTAGATTTCAATTAAGGTGGATATGTTTACATGAATAACAGTTAGTTCCTGGTAATTAATGAGCTTTGTATATTTAATTTATTTGCTGGTGGTGGTTCTGAATCTTCTAAACTTTTCTTATGTTTTTCTTCACTTGAGAAGAAAGTTGAAAAATTGACTTACCAAAGTTCATTTTTAAATTTTATTTGGCCTGATGCTAAGACATGCATTTTATTAACCCTTGTTAACATTATCAGAGGCAGTCTGAATGGTTACAGGTTCTTGTGGTGCAGGATAAATAGGTAAGATGAGCCATTATACGATACTATAGTTGCCATTCCTTACTTAAGACTATGGTAATAAAAGCAGCAATTAACTTTTTCTGACAAGCTGCACTATCTATGTACATAAACAATTATTAGGTGTTCTTACTATTCATAAAATCATATACTGTATTTTACTATAACCCGTATAGCAACCCATCCTCCAAAATGATAGTACATGCAGTACCTGATAGGCTAGTCAGCTGTTGTATGGATTGTTTACACCATATAACAATCCACATTCTCTGCTATTGAAATTGTAAATACAGTACAGAAATTTTGTAAACTAACAAAGAAATAAAATAGAAGGCAGTCTAACTTATTCTACACCTAATATAAGCTATCCGAGGCCTGACCTAACCTATCATAAACTTGTAATATTACATGTATATTATGTATTTAGCCTAGGATTATTGTACTGTACTTACATTTGAACTAGGATAGATTAGGATAGGCTATTGTTATGATTGTTTATAATGTCAGTAGTACAACATGTGAACTGTTAAATGGCTGCAGCAGTCCATATTTTGTGTACCTCAGTCAGAGTGCAGTAACATTTTAGGTTGAGGTTAGATTGTTATAGATGGATGAGAAGATATATATTTAAAGATCAGTAATAATGCATTTAATTGTGTTGACACTTAATGTGTTTTAAACTTTTCAGATTCCAAGTTTAAACTGCAAGTGTTTGATTCCTGTTGCCCGAGCTGATAAACGCTATTTTGAAGTTGATCACGAGAGTGGGGATAAGTTGGGTCTGGTCGCCAACATATCTGTAGAGAATGGTTGCAAGATCATCACGCTCAGTTCTTGTGTGCAGGTATGTACTTGGTTGTTACTTGCATGTTATTCTAGAGAATGTGTGTGTGTTAGATCATGTACTGTTTGTGTGCAAAAGAATGTATTTAGTTATTATTTGTGTAGTTTTGGGGAGAATGTTTCTTTCCACCAATGTTCTACATTTTGTTCACAAACTTGCATATAATCAGCTTGCTTTGCATTTTTTTTTTTGTCTAACTGCTCTAGTTCATTGATTTCTTTGTGAGGCTTCAAGGATGATGGTGGTTGGGGTTTTCCTGGTATGGGGTTGTGCCTGGGCTGCACGTATACATAATTACAGCATGCCACCTAGTTCTTATTAGCTGCCTTTGTCTCATAGACTGGTTTTGGCATTTGTCTATCGGCAAGCTGCCCTAATGCCTGGTGTCCCTACTTGATTTTTACTTCAGGGGTCTGGCAAACTGCCTGTGAACACTGGCGTGGTTTGGATTGGAGATTTCCAACGAGCCTGCTCTCGCTGGGTGCGAGTTTGAATGCTGTACCTCGGTTTTGTTATATACTGATCATCACCCCTTCTTCCTCCTCCATGCCACCTTCATCCTTGGAATCGGTGACGTGCGTCCTCGTTGGTTCTCTATTAGCTAACCTCCCATTATTGGGATGACTTGTCAGGCGGCAGCCACTTTAAGGGAACCGTTTTCTCGTATACAGTACGTATTTGCGACTGTGTTGATGTGAATGCCCCAATTTTGGCCCCCCATTGTGTTACAGTACTTCTATTCAAGGTTGAGACAGTTGATGTTTCCACCTTATTCTACATTTAACCCACTATTATTAGTTTCCTGGCCCATCTGGTTTTTGTTTGCAAGGCCTACAGATGCTATTGGTTCTTCCTTGGAGGTCATGTCATTTCTGAGGGTTTGCCTTTTCCATACCTGCAGTGGAGGCAGTTGAGCCTATGCTTCCTTTGTGCAGTTTGAGGCTTACATGTTTTCACTAGCCCTGCCCTAGGATGTGTGCTTCTGGCAACTGCCTGGTTTTGTTGGCTGTCTCAACAAAAACATGCTGGTTGTCATGGTTGGGAGATTGGGAAGCTTCATGCTCTCCTCCTCCTCCTCCTCCTCATGGGAGAAGAAGAAGAATGAGATGGCTGGTTACAAGTATGGTCTTTTGGTGATTTATGGTTTGCTCAGAAATGTGTAATGAAATAGGTTTTAAAAATGATGAATGAGAACAATTGGGTGTTATACCTGCTTTGCATGTTCCAGTAGGCTTACTGCAGTGTTCTTTTATAATTACAAGTACTTGTATACTTGTAGTAGTGTTATTTATTGTATAAAATAGATATTAGTATGAATGATAGGCATTTTTAAGCAATTTATTATCAAGACATAAGGGATGGGCTTATATCTGATTCTTCTCATTGCTTGTCTCCATGCTTGTGTATGCAAAGCAAAATTGTTGTATTCAGCTTTATAGCTTATGGTCCCTTTTAAGTAAAAAAAAATTATCATGAGAGAATAATTTTAGAAAATTTTGTTTATCAGGTGACCAACTACTTGGATGTGACAGTCGATGTCTACTACATGACGGACAGAGGAAATGAAGTGGAGTTTGTGTTATCACTGGAACAGGACGAGTGTGCCATGCTCCCACTTCATGCTGTACACACTCCCACTGCTGAACTCTTCTTTTCTGTTAAAGGGTTAGTTTTATGGAAAAATTATCACAGAATTTTTTGAGCAATAAAATATAATTCAAGTGCCATTTCTGAGAATTTCAGATGCAAAACTGGAAACCTAGGTTTCCAGTCAGTCGACATGTCTGTTAGCTAGAGATTAGGGCCTTTCCCAGCTTGCCAGGTTCAGGTTCCAGATGAACTGACAGAAGTCCCAGTTGGTCCCATCACAGGTTCGTACTTGGTTAGGCCTCATGTGGGACTGTCAGCATTGCTTTGCCCACCTCTGGTGGCCTTGATCCGGCTGCAGCACCACCATCTATCGGTATTAAAACAGCCCTGTGTACCTGGTATGCTCCAGGTATATGACGAAGAGGTTGCTCGAGCAGTTGTGGGGGAGCCTGAATTTTGCTTGCCTTGTGTTTTCTCTGGGCAAGGTTTGGCTGCGGCTGCTGTTCTGGTATTTCTAGGGCAGCCCCCTTTGCCACTTCCATGATCGTTGGTTGCCGGCCTCGTTAGCCCTGTGCCGGCTGCTGTGATGCCGACTTTCTCTTTGGGTTCAGTTCCCTGGCATCGTCTAAAACCCTCACATCTACTAAAACCCTCTCGACGTATTCAGGGATGCCTCGTCTCTTGACTAGGGCTTTGTGACCTGAATTCACCAAGCTGGCCATGGTTGTTGGTCTCTCCTTCATCAAGCACACAGTAGAGTTCGAGAGTTTGTAGCCATATGGCACGCTCTATATACTGAACATATGATGTTTCGGTGTTTCTTCCCAGAATGGCTGATTAGTTTTAGCTGTCTTTCAATTGTAAAGGGTCATCACTACCTCTGATACTGGGGCATCATCAGTACATGTAGTCTTTTTGTTCTAATCTGTTATTAATAATTTCCTTCATAAAAATCTGGTAGTTGTATGGCATAGGGTCTATTCCAGGTCAGATAGGCCCCTAAATGTCAAGTACTGGGCTCATCTTATCCTGGACAGTCTTCATCTAATTTAAAAAAAAAAACTGTGAAACTACACTAACTATATTGGGGGACTACACTGTAACTATACTGGGGTACCATACTTTAACAATACTAGGGGACTACACTGTACACTGGGGGACCACATGGGGGATAATACACCAGGACCACACTGTCATTGGTGGACAATACTGTGACTACACTGGTAGGGACCATACTGGGACCACACTGGATACGTGAACACTGCTGACAGGGACAACTTGAGTCATGCACATTGCATGTCCTGCCTTACAGACATTGTGGTAGCATCTCACATTCAACTAACTGTGGGGCATGTAAAAGTAGCACTGTATAAAAAATAATTTGATTAAAAAAAATATACAGTACTTAAGAATATGATACAGGGAGGACAACAGAGCTGGTTTGTATAGCAGATCCAGTTTTAAAAATTGGGACTTTGATGGCCATTAGAGCAAGTGCAAGTCTCAGGTTTGAAAACAGAGACCCTGGTAATGTTTCAAAACATTCTTCAGGAACCATATACTGTAATGTTAAATTATCTATAGTTGTCTGACTGTTGTGAAATAAATGACTCTGTGCTATTGTTTTATCTTGGTCTACAATTTAAATGAAGTATTGTTTGTCATAATTTGCTCATGAACATCTTTACTAACTTTCATACAATGATGCATTATTGAATCTGTACTTAAAGGCATTATAATGGAGTAATTTGCAGGCATTCGGTGTGTATTGTACCATTTGTTTGGCGTGGACTTCAAAATGTGCCTGGGCATGTCCAGGAACTCCAATGTCTACCCAGAGATGTCCATGAAGTGCATGCTACACCATTCCTGATATCAGTAAGTAAGGGTTAAATGGTTTTGTATAATTTTGTTACTACAGTATTGCTGTGAATAGTGAATATATTCCTCTGATCTTCTCACTGGATTTGGTTTTAGCCCCTGTACTGTACTCGCCAAGATCTCCGTTGACAGGGGGTGTGCTCACCAAGAAAATATTTTTTTAGGTATAGCCTACAATTCAAAACTCGCACGTGATAACCTGGGTAGGAAATGGGCGCCTCAGGCCTTCAGTGATCGTCTGTTAAATTCCTGGCATGCTTAATGGTCACGGTAGGCTCGGTTTGTAGTGAGCAACCATAGTTGATGAGTGGGCATCTAGCTCAGTCACACTCTGGTTACTTGGTACAAAAATCATTCACACAGGATGAAATATGTCAAGTATTGTATGAATAATGTTGATAATAATGATGACAATCAAAGACCCAATAACACCCTAATACAGTTGTCGGATATCAGTGATACGGACATAGGTGGTAATGATACAGTGAGCATGTGTAGTGTGACGATTACACCCCTGCCCCCACATTCCAGGTCATCACCACTGCAAGTGTGTTTATTACTAGTTGTGTCACCTGCTGTTTCTCCATGCCATGGATATATGGAAGACGACTCATTTTCCAGATTCAGTGACATTGATTCTGATTTGTAGTAGCTTAGATGATGCTTGTAGTAGCGGCCCTCATCGTGTTGCTAGTCAGAGGTTTGCAATGTCAGCAGCTCACCCTGCAGAGTGATGGGCTGTGATGAGCCATAGAGAACTTGAGGCAAGAGTGGCCTCAGGTTCGACGGTTTGTAGTTGCCCTATGCTATACAGGAGAGCTTCAACTCCCAGCCAACGAACTTTCTTCATAAGGTGGAGCTGGGGTGTTAGTACCTGTGGTGTTGGGTGTGGTATTGGAGTCACCACAAGCAGCACTGGTGGGAATTGTTACAATCTTCTGGGAAGATTGTAACAATTTTGTGCCAGAAATACCTGCATTGATGATACGAATTTAGGTGTTAGACATTTTCCCTTATGCTGGTAATAATATGATTGAAAGTGAGTATTTTATGGCATATTTTGATGAACCTTTCGTGAAACATCTCATTGATGAAGCCATTAAGAGAAACTTATTACAGACGGCTTGTTGCCATCTTCACATTTTCTATGTTAGAAAGACACCGCTGTGCCCGAGACACGTATTTCTTGTTCTCTGTATGATGAAACATTCAGTAAAATATGCATACAGGATTATTGGAACAAAGAAAGCATTTGTTGTAACACTAGTTTAGAAGTAAAGAACATAGTCAGTGATCCGAGAGGAAAGTTCAGATATTTCTTTGTACCAAGTCAGAATGTAGTGATTAATGAATCACTTGTTCTTTTCAAGGGACATCTTTCTTTCAGCAGTATATCCCATTTGAAATAGCATGGATTTGGACGTAAATGCTTTGTGCTCTGTGATTGTGAAACTGGAATGATAGATATATTAAATTCCAGTACAAACAGACATACCCAGTCACGTTCCTTACAGGTTTTCGGGGCAGTGTTTTATAGATGCTCATGGAACTACTGTTGAATAAGGGGCACATTTTGTATACTTACAATAATTATACCAATCCCTTTGCTAACTACTGTATGTTTCTGCATGAACATAACACTGGAGTCTGTGGCACAATAAAGGCACATAGGAGAGAAATTTCAGTTTGTTAAAGGTTATTCAATAGGTGAATGTCAACCAAGAAAAAGCAACACAATTTTATTTGTGAGTTCGATAGACAAGTATGAAGTGAATGTTGACAACAATACACACTGGTGAAATGGCACGGTGGCAAGCAGAACTTTGTCTATCATTTAGTAGATTCTAGTTTCTTTCATGAAAAAGCATGTGATTAATGTAATGTTTTGGATTGTATATTATAGATTCTTTTCTCAAAATGTGCAACTTCTATTGTGAACAGGCCACTGGAGATGTAGAGCAAATTTTATGGAATAACACAGGTCGACGCACCATGAAGAGTGCACTCTACAAGGTTCAGCTGCGGCCATGCTTGGTACTGCACAATCTTCTCCCAGTACCCATCTCGCTGGAACCTCCTGGCACCATCTCCTCTCGAGTCCTTATGCCTGGCTCATGTTTACAGCTGACAAAGGCTCGGCTAGGCTCCATGTACTTGGAACTGCAGGTGAAACACTATTCCACATTGCAATCTTTCATTATTGATGTGTTCTATGATTCTACTATGCATGACCAGCTGTCTTTGAATTTGAAAAACTCGTGAACATATCACTTTAATGTACATGGTAAAACAAAGATATTTTGTAATTTTTAAGTTTATATGCCTGGGTTGTGGCACAGGGAGCCACAGCTCTGTGCCTCTGTGAAGGGACCAGATTCTGGCACTGGGTCCCCTGCCCTTATGTGCATCTGGAAAGGGATAGTAAATATGAGGGGTCAAGTAGCTGTGGTTGTAGTGGTTGCTTTTAATACTAACATGTCTTGGTGTTCAGACCTTTCTTGTAACAATTAGTAAGTCATTTAACATGTCATTTTTTTCCAGTTACTTGATTACCAGTCCAGGGACTGGGTGTGTGGTAAAGCTGTTGAATCCAACCCTCCGGAGTTAAGTGTGTGGACATTTGAGTCAAGGGGCGATATCATGGGTGGGCCTCTTCACTTGGACCTTGGTATGCTTGTTGCCAAGTCCAAGGCAAGTCTCTCCCTCAGCCTCTACTGCCCTTTCTGGATGGTTAACAAGACTGGACTTATGTTAACATATAGGGTATGTAATCTCCTGTAGTGTATGCAACCAGCAAGTTTGTAGTACCTAAGTTATTCAGTTATAAAAATTGTGTGAGTGTGAGCAATCAAGTAAGAGCAACAAGAAAGAGTACTGTAATACAAAATTGAGTTAGATTACAATTATCTTTTAGTTAAAGTACAGTGCTATGATTATGGTGCATGATTTATCAATAAATAGTTTCAATATTTGGATCGGTCTTATTGTTATATTGTGGATTTCTGTGTAATTGCCTAAGTACTTGCCTAATTGCACTTACCTAATTGTGCTTGCGGGGGTTGAGCTCTGGCTCTTTGGTCCCGCCTCTCAACTGTCAATCAACTAATGTATAGGTTCCTGAGCCTACTGGGCTCTATCATATCTACATTTGAAACTGTGTATGGAGTCATCCTCCACCACATCACTTCCTAATGCATTCCATTTGTCTAAGTGTAATTACAGTAAGGATGAAAGCTATGCTCATAGTGTCCAATCTTCCCAGTACAGTACTGTCAAATAACGCTTTGAAACTATTGACGGTTTAGGGCTTCCACCACCTCACTTGTTCCACTCGTCTACCACAATGGAAAAGAAAACTTTCTAATATTTTTTCAGCACCTTTGTTTCCCTAGCTTGAATCTGTGATCTCTTGTTATTGAAGTTGCTGGTTTCAGAAACTCCTCCGTCAATTTGGTCAATTCATATTATTTTGTAAGTGGGGGATCATATCACCTCTTTTTCTTCTATCTTCTAGCTTTGGCATATTTAATGCCTCTAGCTATCTTCGTAACTCCTGTTTTTCAGTTCCAGAAGCCGTTTTGTAGTATGCTTTCATACCTTTTCCAGTTTAATGATGTGCTTGAGATATGGGTACCATACAGCTGCTGCATATTCAAATTTTGATCTCATAAGTCATGAACAGTTTCTTTAATATTTCATCGTCCATGTAATTAAGAGATTATGAAATTGGAAATTATATGCTCCTTGCACAATGTTCTTTGTGTTTCTCTGGTGACAGTCTATCCAAAACCAGCCCTAATTATTCTTTGTCAGTTCTTTTATTCCTTTCCACATAATTTGTAAGTTGTGTTTGGTCTATTTTCTCCAATTCCCCATTCCATAACATGGTATTTATTCACTTCTGAATTCCATTTGCCACATGGTACTCCAAGCACTTGTTTCATCTAGATCAATTTGAAGGGCATGACAATAATTTAGGTCTTCTATTTCTGTAGTTTAAAATCATCAGCGAACATGTTTATTTAATTTTATATTCCTTATGGTAGGTCATTTATGTAGATGATGAACCTTACTGGTGCAAGAACTGAACTTTGTTGTACTCTGCTCGTATCACTCTTCCAGTCATATACATTGTCTCTGACTTTTGCCCTCATCTTTCGGTCAGTTAAACAAACTTTCATCCATGTCAGAAGTCTCCTTGTCACCCCTCCAGCTGTGCAGTACAGGGTACCGCTGTTCTGGTGCTGGCGACTGCTGTGCTCGTGCCGGGTACAGCTGTGTTTGTGCTGGGTAGGGTTATGCTGGTGCTGGCTACTGCTGTGCTCGTGCCGGGTACAGCTGTGTTTGTGCTGGGTAGGGTTATGCTGGTGCTGGCTACTGCTGTGTTTGTTGATTCTCTTCTACTGTTTCTAGCAAAATATTGACTCATTTTGGTTTTCCTTCCTTACTTTTGTCATTGCCTTAAGGCAAATATCTTTCATCCTTAAAATGCCTGATGGCTCTGGATTATCAGTTTGTGAAACAATATCAAGGAGTTTATCAACATGGAACATCAACACATGAGGTGGATTGTAGCTTTGTCATGATCATCCTCATCTTCCTCTTTGTCATCAACAGTGCCAGTAACATTTTTAATGATCTCTTCCTCTGCTAAATGACCAATGGGTGGGGCGACAGGATTAATATCTAACCACTCCACTCCACTACATTGTTCGGTCACCTCCACCTCACCAGCCTCTTGTAGTTCTTGATAAATTTCATTTGGAATGCATTTAAAATCAATTTCTTCTTCCTCTGCTACTTCAGCATTATCAAGGAATAAGTTTTCTCCAACAAGTTCTTATTGCAAACTTTAAGTTCATCCCAACCTTCAGCCTAGTTGTAAATTCCTTCCCTAATTGAGTACTTTTTTGTAACATTGCAGTGTTGCTTTACCTTTTAAGTTGGTTCCTTGTCTTCTGTCTTCATCTGACTCGAAGAACTTTTTTCATTCCAAAATTGTTAAATACCCTCACCCTGACCACATGTTGAAAAAAGGCACAAAAAGTACTTACTTTGGCCGGAGTGGTGTCCACAAAATGGGGTGTGACATCACAGCTGGGTGGTCACCCATGGCAGAGACTCCCAGAGGCGGTCATGTGCCAGATTCAACAAGGGCAAGGTGCCACAAATATGTTCATGTTAATTTTGTTTGCACTAATTAATATGCATTTTTGTGTTTTTTCTGGCTTATCTTATGTATATTGAAGTAGTTTACAATATTCATTCAGTAGAACATCTGTACTGTTCAAAGAAACTTGTGGACACTATTGTGTCCACAAACATTGTTAATTTTTTCAATAATACATGTTCAATTATTTACATCACTATAAACACACAAGTACTGCACGAGTGTGTAATAGTCACTGAAGCCATACACGTACAGAGAGTTTTGCTTTCTTTCTCTGTTGTGTGTGCTTGCAAACAACACAGGCATGTTTACCCTTGTCAAGTGTTCCTGTACTTGGCCTATAACCAAACTTGTGTACAGTAAGATGAGCTTTACACTTAAGTCTGTCGGGAACTGCGTGAGGCATTGTTGGTGTACACCCAAGTGTCACAATACTACCTTCCACCTAATATTTCACCAGCAATTGTGACACTAGAGCAGGCTGAATGTACGGATTGGTGGTCTCTTACCAGATTTCACGGATACACGTTGAAACGGCTCAACACTGAAACATCCACAAGGTGAAAAAACAATTTCTTCGTCCACTTCACAGATTTTCTCGTGCACTCAATGGCACCAACCATCATGTTACATTACAGTAATCTACTAAGCACATATTTACATTGTAGTTTGACACAATTGGGTTTATATATTTTCACATGAGTTTCAAAATTCATTTTACCACTGTCTAACAATGCACCTGTGTGAATAGTTGTAAACATATTCACCTCGCGTTACCCTTCCAACGCACAGAAAACATTTTGTCACTCTTTCTAAGCTTGCATTCATCCATTACAATTCCAGTACCAAACATTGGCATTTTCCTCCTTTGTGGATTGACAGTGCCATTAATGCCAGTGTTATGTTCAAGGAGGAAAGCTGGTCAGCAAGGGGCTGGTACAGTAATTGTATGTGTACAGGATATGGCCTTCATTCAGTAATGATTAAACGAGTGTTTTCACGATACTACCGGGGAATCCATGTGGATCTTGAGCTAATTGAGCCGAGGCATAAGAAGAAAAACAAAATGAAGATGTGGTATACATGGATTGGGAAAAGGCATTTGATAAATGTGACCATGGAGTGATAGCACACAAAATGGAGTCAATGAGAATAACAGGTAAAATAGGATAGTGGATATTCAATTTTCTTTCAAACAGAACACAAAAGTAACAATCAACCATATAAAATAGTCCAAGTGCAGTTAAAAGCTCTGTACCAAAGGGCACAATCCTTAAACAACAGATTTTACTTGTTCTCATACCAGATATAGACAAAAATACAAGTCACAGCTTTGTATCATCAAAGCAGGTGACACTTGTCACCTGTCATCAGCAGGTGACACAAAAATCAGCTTGGAAAAACACCTCTGTTCAATACATTGAAACACATTAAGCAGATATTAATAAAGTTTTTAACTGGACAGCAGAAAAAACATGTTTAACAGTGATAAATTTCAGGTTCTCAGGTACAGTAAAAATGAGGACCTTAAACAAAATACAGGCTAAAAAACACAATCAAATCTGCCCATATTAGGAAAGCAGCATGTAAAGGATCTGGGAATAATGATGTCTGATGACCTAATGTTTAGGGAGCATAACCAAGTAAATATAGCATCAGCCAGAAAAATTATATAATAGATTACGAGAACCTTCAAATCCAGGGATTCGATCACAATGGTTGTACTATTCAACTCGCTTGTGCTGTTCCATCTTGAGTATTGCTTGACTCACTCTCCCCTTCAAAGCAGGAGAGATTACCGAAATAGAATTAATGCAGAGAACGTACACAGCATACATAGACACGATAAAGCACCTAAACTATTGGGACCGTCTCAAAGCTCTCCAAATTTGCTCCATAGAAAGGTGACAAGAAGTATCAAATAATATACCCATGGAAACTACTGGAGGGCCAGGTCCCAAATCTACACAGTAAACAGTAAAATAACAACATACTGGAGTGAACAATATGGAAGGAAATGCAGAATAGAACCAGTGAAGAGCAGAGGTGCCATAGGGGCAATCAGAGAACACTGTATAAACATCAGAGGTCCATGGTTGTTTAACATTCTCCCTGCGGGCATAAGAAATATTCCTGGAACAAACGTGGACGTCTTTAAGAGAAAACTGGATAGTTTTCTTCAGGAAGTGCCAGACCAACGAGGCTGTGGTGGATATTGGGCCTGCAGGCCACTCCAAGCAACAGCCTGTTGGATCAAGTTCTCACAAGTCAAGCCTGGCCCCAGGCTGGGCTTGGGGAGTAGAACTTCCAGAACCCGATCTAAATACAATCCAGATACAGTATGTCAATGTCCATTTCAGAATATATCATCTCATCTATTTCTATTCCAGTTTCAGAGTCTCCCGACATGAAAAATTTTAGTCCAAACCTGTGTCGCTTTGATGGGATTTGCTGCTTGAACTCTAATTGTTCATTGAAGAGAACTAGCGATTCATTAATCATGACATTCTGTCCTAGTACCAAATAGTCACAGAACCTTCCTCTCACCTCACTAAATATTTTCTGCAGCTTCCACAGTCTATCATGTCTTTGTTATAATTGTTCTCAAAGTGTAGGCACCTGAGAAGCAGTAGGAACCTTTTATGTAACGTGTACTTGCTGAACAAGGGGGTTGGGCCAAGGCTCTTTGTTCCAATAATCCTGGATCACTTGTTTTCCTGCACATTTCATCATCATACACAGCGCTAAAAATGCATACATTTCTTTAGTAGTCGTGTCCCTCCAAAGTATCATTTGGGAGGCAGGTAAAATTTCTGATTTTTGAGAGTTGCAAAGAGTATCGGTTCATCTCTGCAACAGGATGTTGCATGAATGGTTCAATAAGCCTTAAAATATTCTTATTTCAGGCATATTGTCTCCAGTATAGGGAAATATGGGTCACACAAACGTCTGCATTATCAAATTCTGGTATATGTGGGATGAAATTGTTATAAACCACCTCCCACATGAGTACACTTGTGGTTGTCGTCTTGGCGCCAGCACCATGGCCTACACCAGCACGGCTCCACATCATCTTGTGCTAGAGCTGTGTATGGCAGGAGATGAGGCTCTTCTGCATAGGCCTACCACGAACACCTGATGTCGAAGGCACATTGTTGTCTTTGTCCTCAGGCCTCGAGACACTGGTTCTTGGGTCTCCGTTTGGCTGAGGTAGCAAACCTCTCCTAGTAACAACCCCTATACAGTATTGCCGCTTACACTTGGTTCAGCAACGCTTCTTGTATCCGGGCCTATGTCACTGAACCCAGAAAATGGCTCATCACCTACATTTTCACTTTGTAGAGACATGTCAGATGGCACAGGTGGTGATGGTAAATCCACTGGTGTTTACCTATGACAGCGCGGTTGGGCTGACGAGAGGTGTGTACTGTATAGTGCACACACTCCATATTGTCCACTTCATTGTCTGTATCATTAGCATCAGACACCTGTGGTAGGTCTTTTTCTGGATTTGGGTCTTAAATATCACTGGCACAGTCATCTTCGAATAATATGCCCTGTATTTCAACATCAGGGAGTGTTTTCTCGACAGCGGTCGACCATGGATAGGAAGCTCGATGTGGATGCGCTCGACATGGCTGCAACCCTGAAACTGAGGTTGTCCATGGCCATGTTGAATTTTTTTCATGACAAGATAATGTTTATTCAAGTACAGTACAAAGTACATACATTCAAAATGAGTTACAAAAGTAATGTTTGTAACTTTAGTGTTTTGGGCAAAAGATGGCGGATGCTCACTGGAGTCCTCAGGCCTCCATCTCCTTCTCAAATGACCGCATGCCAGTTTGAATCCTATGATATTCCTACGAGTACCCTAAGATGCTCTGCACAGTTCAGGGGTTAACTAGGTATGGACTCCAGGCTGGAGTTGAATATTTGCAGGAATGGTCTGACATATGTATACGAGGTTCTGAATGTTTCCTTCCACAAATCTCTGAAGGCAGTGCTTATGTTAGTCAATCTAGCATACACCGCTGATGATACCCTGTTGATGTGGGCTTCGAGGGACAGGTTCGGTGTAATATCAACCCCAGATTTTTTCTTTCTTTTTACTTGACTCTTGAAGGATTTGACCTTCCATATGGTACCTTGTATTAAGCCTCCTGCTGCCTTCACCTAATTTCATCACTTTACACTTGAGTTAAACTTTAGTAGTCATTTTGTAGACCATTCCTCCAGCTTCTCCAGGTTGTCTTGTAATCTTTGTATATCTTCCTCTGTCTTGATGTGATTACTGTTCCTTTGTGTGTTAAGCGTGTGTGTGTGTGTGTGTGTGTGTTAAGCGTGTGTGTGTGTGTGTTAAGCGTGTGTGTGTATATATATATATATATATATATATATATATATATATATATATATATATATATATATATATATATATATATATATATATATATATATATATATAAATAAGTATATATAATAATATATCTGGGTGTCTTTTGTCTTCCTCCTTGATATTCTGGTTATCTTTGTACTTATGAAGAGTATATCATTGTTCTTGTGTTTACTTTCAATTACATTAAATATTGGAAGTTTACTATTCTGTATAAAAAATATTTAAAATCATTTGTAAATTATCAGATTACATAATATACTTTGATTATAGTTATTGCGATTGTGAAAATTAGCAATATGAAAGTTAATTGGTGTTCGTAGATGTAGTCACATTTTTAAAGTCACCTTCCCCTTCCACCTTACAATGGACAGAAGTCTCGTAAAATAGAGCGAACATCATCCACCTCTTCTACGGACTCTACCAGTAGTCCACTCAAGGTACTTCGGCTAGTTATCTCTCACCCCTAAATTTGTTACATGTGGCTTCATAATTTTGTTTTTGCAATTTGTTGCTAGACAAGAGTATTATGTTAGATATGTTGATTTACCATCATGTCAGCTGAATGCAGAGAGTATTACTTTAATAAACGTTTAATTGCATGGTTTCATATTGTCTAATTAGTTTAGATTTGCATAGTAGGATTCATATGTGATGTACTGGTATTGTTGTATGCAATGTCTCCTTGCTCAAATGGCCTGACTGGGACCAGATCTGTTTTGTTTTACCAAAATTTCCAGTCCGCCAAGAGTTTCACCATTTTTTGTTGTGTAATTTTTTCCCCAAATGATAGAAGACATCTTTGTGCATGTATACACATTCTTGTTAATCTTTACAGGCAGAATGCGAGTATACAGAAGAATACAGCAGTACTGTATTATGTACAAAACAAACACTGTACAAAATAACCATATTTTATGCCACTCTGCTACTTAATCCATTTATGAGCAGCCTCATCTAACTCATAATACTTTAATTTCTTGAACATTCTTCACTTTAAACATTTGCTACTATTTTCCTAACTTGGGACTTCCCAGGCTTGCTCACTATTTTCTTTATAGTTTGCTTTATGTGAAGGCTCCGAAGGTGGCTCCTTGATACCAGCTACCTAGTAACTCTGCCCAATTCAATCCACACCAGGCCCATGCAAGTTACTGTAAGCCTACCATGGACCAAAAGCCAAAACCTGCCACCCCTCTGTGGAGTTGGAGTGATAGTGGATACTAAATCATTCAGACCAAGAAATGGTCACTAGAAAAGTACGCAAAACCGTATAGACAATCGGCAAGATAAATGTTACATTGAAAATGAGATGCCAAAAACAAACCACAAGGTCATGAAGCAGTTCTCTTCCTAGTTACACCTGTGTGCAGCTAGGCCATGCATCTAGCTGCATACTTCAACCCCCAGCCTACATGTCAGTCATTTTGCCTGATATGTCATATCAACACATCAATATTACAATCCTCATTCCTGCAAATGATTTTTATGTCCCGGTAATTGAGATAAGTGACAGCCCTCCTGAAGTTTATCCCACGGGGTAGTCATTGACCATTGTGTACACTACTCGTTTTATATTTTAGTATTTGTTTCATGTTCTTGTGTTTCTATGCCTCACGTGTTGGGTGAACTTTAACTGTTCACCTTGAGCTGCTTATGCCTAGTTACCATCTCTAGGGGTTCGTTGTGCTGCCTCAGTTCAATCAGGGTCATCTTTCCTGGTGAGTTTAGGTATCTGTCTTGAGATGCTGTCCTCCTATTGAAGGAGGTGGCTGTTTGAGAGTACCATCTTTTTGAAGAGGAAGCCTCACTCTGAGTTTTTCAAGACTTTTTGACTCCTTTGCGAGACTTTGTGGATGGAGAACTATACCTACCTTGTGTTGATTCCAGGAGTCCAAAGTCCCCACAGCCCGGTCTCTGACCGGGCATCCTCAGTCAAGGTTTTCTGTTAAGGGTTGTATGGGATGCTTGCACACTCGCTTTACAGCAAGCTGTTTACTCCTACAGTCGCTTATGTCCCTAGGCTGTGTTCAGACTTTCTGGTATTCAGCATTAAGCTGATTCCAGGTGCTTCCTACTAGGTCCATCCTATGAAACCTGACAAGCCCTTTGCGAGTTAAAGGGTTCATTAGGGACTGGCTCTTCTGATTCTGTTCTCACTGATTGAGAGAGTTTAACAGATGTCTCTTGGTCTTGTTACATTCCGTTGGTCATTCGTACTGCCACTGCCATTCTGCCAGCTGGTGGTGGGTTCCGGGCCCCCTGGTGGCGGTTTATTGGTACTATGGGTTCATGCTAGTTTTGGGTGATTAGATTGTTTCATTTGAATTGTTTCGAGAGTTGATTGGTGGATTTCGAGACTGCAGTTCTTGTGAACTGTCCACAATTGTCTGCAAAGCTTTGCTATCTTATTTTTATCTTTTTTCCAGTAGAGTAACATAATGCCACTCACTCTCTGCTCCTCTGGAAGAGGGCCAGGTTCTGGCTGTGGTCCCCAGTAGGCTAAACAGAACAACCGCAAATTATGTGTCCTAGTAGATACAGTATTAGCAATCTCGGCAAGATAGCTTCAGGGAGGGAGGGAATTATTAGGAAAAAGCGCCAAGGCATTACGACTATATACAATTTAGAAAGGGTCAGGATTAGGATTTTGGATGGGACGGAGGAAAGGAATGGTGCCTAACCACTTGGACGGTAGGGGATTTAACACCAACCTGCATGAAGAGAGACCGTCACTCTACCATCCAGCCAAAGTGGTTGGACAAATAGCTTCTGGGAGCCATCAAGGAGTTCTTTCAGAAAAAACACATTTTTGTCAAAAAGTCTAAAATTAATTGGTTTAGTACAAATGTCCTTGTTAGTTGATTCTCTTAGTTGTACTACATTTGTAGTTTATTGCTACTTCCTGAAGGCACTCTAATGAAAGCATGTATGATAAAACTCATTGACTTAACCTTGATGTCAGTTGCTCTTTTTCACTGTCTTGTCCTTTTTCTGTGCATGACCTACAGCAATCAGTCTCCTTTTCCCTCATTTCTTGGTAATGCTTGTGCACTTTAAGCCCTCACATGCACACTGGTAAATACTTAACTTTTTTCCCCACCTCATCTCTCAAAGAATAACACAGCTGAGGCCAACTCACTCCTGTTATGTACTATGATAATATTTTGTATTGCAGGGTGACACCCCACACAACATTGTGGTTCATGAGGAGGATAGCAAGGAGGCTATGCTCTTCTCCTTCAAATCAAAGGTATTTTTTGGCAAGAAAAAGGCCACAGTGAAAGTGATGGATAGTGAATGGTCTGAAAAGTTCTCCTTGGATGTTGTGGGGAGTTCAGGATCCATTACATGCAAAGCACCAAACAAGAATTATCAGGTAAATTCTATCTCCCTGTTTATTGTTTTATCTACTATGCATCTGGCAAAGATTGTAAATATTGTACACTATACCAGATATAATTATGATAATTTGAGATTTTATATATATATATATATATATATATATATATATATATATATATATATATATATATATATATATATATATATATATATATATATATATAATATATAATTTTATTTATATAAAACAAGAAAATATATATATTTTATTTATTTATTTATTTGCTTGCAGCAAGTCAAACTAGGCAGTGATTTAGCCACTGTAATGTATTACTGTACCATTATTAGTCAGCATTACACACATTACCTAGCAGTTGTATGTTTTGGAATGGTGAACCATGCTGGTGGTGGTTGTCTTGGGTATGGTGATTTCTAATCTCCAGACTAGATTTAGTCTCTTTGATGGGGGGGGGGGTTAGATTTTGGCCCTGGACCCCCCGTTAAACAATATTTTCATCAAAGGCCTGATGTCTTCCCCGAAGCTTTAATAGTCTCCAGGTTAAAGCATCATGGAGCTAAAAGAAATGAAGTTACGTAGATTTATTCTTCTAATATAAATTTAACATTTAATTATTCTATTGTTTTTCTTAAATAGATGAAAATATAATTAGATTAACTCAAAATTATTATTGTGTTTCCATTTATGGTATTTTGCAAGTCTCAGAATGGTTTATTGTCTCTGCAGCTTGGTGTGGACATCAAACTTGGAAGATCTGGTCTGACAAAAATTGTAATGTTCTCACCTTTCTACAAAATTCTTAATAAAGCTCCATTTGATCTTGAAGTTGTTGAAGTTGGAGTTGCACAAGCCGAGTGGTTCACAGTCCTTGCAGGTAAGGTTGAGTTGTGGGTTGTTTTTCAGCTATATCGTACTCTTGTTATTCCACATTCACTTTCGGTCGCCATATTATAGACTGAATATACATTCATTTTAATACATTAAATGAAGAATGACAAAATTAATCCCAGTAATTAGAAGCCTTCCCTATCAAGAGAGATTGAGGGAGCTTAATTTACATTCTCTAAAAAGGCAGAGTTATGGGAAATGTTTGAAGTGTAGAAGTGGATGAATGGGTATAATATGGAGGGATATTAATAAGAGATTAAATGCAGTACTGTATATCAACACAAAATAGGACACTAAGTAATGGATATAAATGGCATATGTTTAAATTTAGGAAAGACCAGGGTAAATACTGGTTTAAAACAGGTTTGTTGAATAGTGTTACATCCTCACTTAGCCAGTAACTGGGTTCTTTTATATCAAACTTTGTATGGGGCTTTAATGCCTCTTCTTACTGGATCCAACCCCGAGTTGTAGATAAGTTAAGAACTGGCAGTAATAGTCCAACAGGAATGGAGGATAAACAAACTAAACAAAAATACCATCACCATGTGTACTTCTTAACTATATACACTTTTGTACAGCACATAACACAGCAGGTGTCACTTTCACACATCACACCATAAAAGGAATTCTGCAGTCTTCTTTTCTTGCGAGTCGACTTCTATCTTTTATCATACACCACTCTTTCTCAGTAAATCCTGGTCCAGTCTTCTACAGTATCATCACGGTGACAATACACCACTTCCCTTCCAGCAACAAGCTGGCAAAGGTCTTCAGCCAACCCGTCCTCTTACAAATAACGTCACTTTTGGCTCGTATGCGCGCTATGGCCAAATTTGGACGTAATTTGAAATGAAATCGACTCACAAAAGTGACGTACTGTTCCGTTATCTGTTTGAGTCGTCCGGCCCTCCTCGGACAGCTTAGAAGAGGAACTTTCAATTAACGTTTTTCATAACGTTTTGAAACTTTGAGAATTTCCTGCCCACCTAACCTATCAGAGGACCCTTAACTTACTGTTGTTGAAAAAAAAAAATCCCAAATTTATTTTCAATTTTTTTTCATTTTCAAATTACGTCCATATTCGGCCATACGGGCAAACGGCCAAAAGCGACGTTCTTTTTAAGAAGACAGGTTGCTTCAGCAACACACTGGCAGGAGTCTCCAGCAACATGCCGGCAGGCTTCCCATGCAGGCTTCAATTATAATGAGCCTTAACAGATGGACATTAATTCCATCTCGTAACTCAACTTGGCCATCCTGGGATACATCGGTCGGCACAATTATTTTGAATTTGCCAGACTTAAACAAACCCATTTAATGTAGTGGGTGTTTTACATTTATTAACGATATAGGGAATGAGACATGATACAATGTGAAATCATTTCTCACTCACCAGATCGCCTAGTCACATTGAGAAAACAGAGGAAAACAACCTCACAACAGTGATGTGGGTGCCTCATGAGTGCACCCAATACACCCTTAGTGGGTGAAGTCTGGTTCCTCTCAGTCCTCGTGGGGTGTAGGGATGCTACCCTCACAACTATGCCCGGGAAAAAGCTTTCCACACACAGGCATAAACGTTCTCTAATACACATTTTAACATACTTGCAAACGCTGACAAATGAAACCTAAAATTAACATAAATAAAACAAGCTGATACTTTAACTTAGACAAAACATTTAGGTTTGTAAAAATAAATGCTAGACTTTATATACCAATCATTACATCTGCATGAACAGCTGACTTGGTGGGCACCATTGGTTGAAAGCGACCGATATTACATTGTAAACTCCCTATGTAACGTCAGTCACTTTTAACTTACGGTGCCCACTGGGGGATCTGCTTTGAACAGGAACCACTCTAAAGGCAAAAGCTTTGGAAGCCAAAACCATTTCCCGTCAGGTTCCAGCCCCACAGGTATATGGAGCTAACTGACCCACCCGTGCCAAGACAATGAACCACCGGGAAAAAATTTAGATACACAGTACTGAATAATGAAACATTAAAGATATTGACACGAAAACCATAAGAAAGAAACTCTTAGACAAGAATACTGTATTAGATATTAAATATATTGAATACTATCAAACTGACTCATTGTAAGAAAATTGGTGAATAGATAATATAACTTGTTCGTATTACAGGCGAGTGCATTGGATGGTGGCCAATAGGGAATGGACGAGAGATAAGTGTACGTGTGCGGGGCACCATGGATGCCACATGTGCACTCCAATATGACTGCCCACACTCAAAACTGCTGGCACTACCCAACAAGGTGCAGTGAACTATTCATACTGTAAAAATTTAAGTATATATAGATTTAAATGTAATTTTATTTTTAAAGAGAATCAGTTTGTTGATTTTTATAGTTTAATCAACCCACTGTTGATCATAATAACTAAAATTACATAAAAATGATACCAAGAGTTAAACACTTAATTGCTGTACTGTCACTTACAGCTATGTTTTGGGCCTCTTGTCGAGGTAAGATTTGACAACAGGCACCAATACAATCCCACAAGTGGAAACTATTAACCCAATACTTTTGAAAAAAAATAAGTGAACACCCTAAGAAGAACTGTCTATGCTCAATATTCCAAACTATATAGGATCCACTCTTATTTGAATTATCAGGACATTTCAATTAGCCAAACTTTTACCAGAAATATAACAAAATTTAACAATTTTAGTTTATTCTGGTTTTTGTTCAGCTGAAATCTCTCTAATCTGATTTTATTTGAATTGAGCAGTCAAAAACTTGAACTTGAATATATTGTTACCCAAAACATTCAGGTTACCGGAATTCAGACTGCTGAGCTGATACTGCACTGTATAAGCAAACTCTTAAAATGTCGATAATTTATCCAGCATCCTAACCAATACCATATATTGACCATACCACTTGTCTTTTCAAAGACATTAAATACTGTACTGTTGTACACTGTAATATCATAGAGAAAGGATGTGTGCCAACCAGCATAACACATTTCTTAGTATATCGAAAGGTTCAGAACTCCCGTGGAGGTAAGGGGTTCACATCCTATTCCTCAGGACTCCAGTAAACAGACACCCTCTTGAAAAAATCATCTGCATCCCTTCTGGCTTCAGTGACCAAGACTGGCGCATGCAACTGTGCAAATCGGGGCCACAACACCACTTAATAATAAATAAAATAAGTAACTGCAATTATTTTGCAATGATAGCATCATAGATGATCCTGACTATGACAGACTATGCACATAATGTTTAGGTATCAGTGAACATTATGCAAAAGTAATACAATTTTTTTTAAAGTAGAAAAAAAGCAGAACATCATAACTGCTAGTTATGACATTCACGTGTGAGGTAGAGGGAGCAAGCGCTCAGTCATTGGTTTGTGTATCTACATACCATGAAATGAACACATGCCCATTTACGTTATTAGATTGTTGAAATGGATTTATATTCAAGATTTAGTGAGAGGAATGTGATAATAGCAGTTCTGTGACTAGTGAGAAGAATGTGATAATAGCAGTTCTGTGACTAGTGAGATTGGTGGTCCTATATAGGAAACTATCACCTGAGGACCACATAAAGTACATTTTGTGAGAAGCCTAAGTAATGCTTTTGACTTAAGAATTGCTTTTAAAAACTGTACATGGATGGCAAAATATAAAAAAAAATGTTCACAACCTTTGTGAGACCAAAATTGGAATATGCAGCCATTGCTTTGTGCCCATATTTCAAGAATCATATCAATGAAATGTACAGGAGGCACCTTGCATTGAATGTAATGAAATTCCTCTTTCTGGATGAGCTCTGGAGAGTTCCTGAAGCTATTTCACTGAGATTGTTCCATGCAAACGGGTCAAATCAGATGCGGGAGGAGTTTGACCCAGCAGGAACCAGAATCAAAACTTGAGTTACCAGGGGCTGATCCAATGTGTGTCTGCACTTAGGGTTCAGACAGTGCACAGCTTTGAGAGGCAAGGAAAGAGCTGACAGGAGTCCCACAAATGAGGCCCAGCCATGTCCAAACCTACTCGGAAGTCCAAAACTTGGAACGCAAGCCTGGCAAGCTATAACACACAACAGCATTCACTCCACACTACCCACAGATTCCAGAAAAAACAAATATAAGCTGCTAAAAATTAAAAAGTTCCCATACTCTATTATATACCTATGTAATGTTTTTGTTAATAATACTATAATTATATTTTTGCCCATATATAGGTCTAAGCTTTCAATAATCCCTACAGGTAGTACAGTATGTAGTGTTGCTTAGAGAGTAAATTATTTTTTGATACAGGCAGTTTGCCTGATATTTACAAAGAATTAACACTTGATGGTATACATGTTGTATGGTAACTACAATTTGTTGCAGTGTGGAGGAGTTGTGGGAGAAGTGAGTGTTACTGAAGGTGGGGTGTTAGTCAAGCTGGACAAGTTCTTCCAGGGGGCTGCCACAGCTCTCATCATCAACCAGTTAACAAACACAACTATCTCATTTTGGCAAGATGGATTTGAAGCCAGCAAGATGTAAGTCATACTAAGTTGGTACAACATACTATCTTCACTCCTTAAGTATCAAGCTGTTATAGTTTCTTTAAAATCAAGTTAGTATAGTATTCTGCCTTCACTCCTATTTGCTAAACAAGAAGTTCGTACATTATATGCTGGCAATTTTAAAATCCAGATCACATCAGTTTGGTTTGATCCAGATTTTGCCTAAAATCCAAGTTTCTAAAAGCGGCCCTTGTCTAGGGTGGCTCCTTCATTGCCTCCCCAGACCTTATGCACTTGTTCCCCCAGACCTTATGCACTTGTTCCCCCAGGCCCAGGACCATTTTGCCAGGCATCTCGGACATTCTCGTAGCCTACCAGATGCAAGGATCAGAATCTTGCTTCCTTACATAGGTTAGGGAACTGAGGGAATAAAATCTCAACATAAAGAGGCTAAAAGAGGGTCACACAACCCAAAACTATTCATAAAGTTTCAAATAGGCATTTTGTATACCACCAGTTTCGTACAAAAGAAACAACTTTTCCAGTCTATTTTGTACACGGAAACCCTTTTGTATATACAATATATATATATATGTGCTAGCTTGTACTAGCTTCTGTTCTCCTTCTTTCAAGACAATATAATTACCCAACATTATAGTTATTTGTTATAATGATAGAAAGTTAAGAATATGAACAAACAGATGGCATGCAGTCATACAGTTATATGACTTCAAATGAATCTTTAAATGAGATTTAAGTAGGGTTCTTTTAATTATGTTTAACCACTAGACTGTGCACATCGTGATGTTGAGAAAGGGAGTATGCACACCAACATTTTAAGTTTGTTAGTACAGTATATTAGCAGTCCCCATGACAGAGCCACAGCACCACTTAATAATGATGAATAAAACAAATAACTACAATTATTTTGGAATGAAAGTGTCATAGATGATCCTGACTGTGATAAAGACTATATACAACATTCAGATATCGGTGAACACAATGCTAATTATGATGATCACGGTGTGAGGGAGGGAGGGAGAGAGCGCCCAGCTATTGTTTTGTGCATCCAGCCATCATGAAATGACCTCGTGCTCCTTTACAATATAACCTTGTGGAAATGTATTCATATTCAGGATTTAGTGACATGAATGTGATAATAGCAGCTCTTTGGTTAGTCATAGTAATATGTGTAGTATATTGGAGGCATTTTCTTGCATCAGATAGTTGCTGGTGTTGTCTATTTGTTTTGTGTGGCTCCTTGTTGTATTTTAATTTCCTTTCCACACCCCACCAATACTGCTTGTTGGTTCATTATGGTACATAAAAATGTTGATTGGTATAGAATGGTGTAGATAGTGTAATAACAGCAAAAACATTAGTAACATTTCTTCAATTTGATTCATTGCCTCTGATTACTGCCATAATTTTTGTCACAATTTTCATCCATGTCAAAAGTCTTCCTGTCACTCCTCCAAATGTTTCAGCTTCCAGAACAATGTCTAGTGAGGAACTCGGTCAAAAGCAATCAAGATTACAAATGTTAACAAGCCGTTGCTTGTTATAGGTGTTGCACCTTTCTATTAGTTTTCTTTAATTTATTTGGTGGTGTTTGATCTCCATTTTCTTGTAAGCCTCTTGAAGAGGCCAGATTCTGGTCTTCAACCCGGATAAATGCTTGTATGATGATAGAGGCCTGGTGTGTGTCCCAAGACTTGGAGGATCCCAGGTTATTGCATCGAGCAGCTAATAACGACCTACCAGACAGACGTATTTCATTACTTTCAACACTGAATTTTAGTATCCTTGCTTATAAGGAACACACACAGTTTCATTGTGTGCAGTTTATACATAGATGTATCTTAACGTTTGGTGAATTTTCTTTTTAATTTAAGATTCTTGTTCAACTGTTTCTTGGGAGTATTTTGCGAAATAGTAGATTTGTTGGAAGAACTTGTATTGCAAACTAACAGGTTTTGTAATAAATATTTGAATATATGAAAGTGCTTAATACTTAGACTAAGTAATATTATTAATAAACAGTAAGTGTTTTGTGTTCATTTTAGGTTGCTACAACCCCAGACCATTCAGCTATTTACTTGGAGTGATTCAAGAGGGGCACTTAAGGTGTTTTGGGCTTGTGGATCAGGAAAACCAGTTGAGCACACTCTGGATCAGGTTAGAATTTTATGTTTTATGAAAATTCCATATACCGTATAAATTTTTATCGTAAAATAAAAATAGGACATTGGGTGATATTAAATCATCTTTGAGCAGTCAATTAGTTGCTTCACAAGTCAACACCCAGTGTCCTCATAGTAGTCTGCAAAGACACAAGGCATTCATTGATCTTTACCCCATAGTGAAAAGGAAACATGACAATTGTCTTATGTAATTTGGGAGGGAAACTGGAGAATATTCTTAACCCTTAAACCACTCCAATTGCTCTGAAGTAATTTATATGATAGTTTTTAAAACGTTATATGACAGTGCTGGGAAAATGGGACACTATGAGCATAGCTCTCATCCTGTAAGTATACTTAGGTTAAAAACACACATACATTATAATATAATTTAATATAGCTTAAATCACATAATTGGATGTAGTAGCACACATTTTGCATACAAATATATTCATGGATGTCACTCATTTGCTGTTTGTTTTTATGATGAGCACCTGCGTGTTCAGTCATGGAATGGTGATGCGTGAGACATATTCATCTTTTTACTAAGGCCCATGAAAGGAAACCAAAAGACTTGGGATTTTTGCAAAATATTGCAAACAATCATCAGTGATGTCTTGTATTAAATAACATTCCCCTAATGGGTGGACTTTTTTATTAAAATGTGGCAGCTTAAATGATCTGGCTATATTAGTAGTGTAAGGGTTAAAATGCCTCATAAATGAGCTGTCATTCATGTACAGTACATTTGTACAAAAATGCAGTACAAAATACAGTACATTTTGTTGATTGCCATCTATGCAGTGTAGGAGTAAATATATATAAACCAAGTTTTCTCCATACATCCTTGCCTTTCATCAACTTCTGCTTCATCTGGAATCATGTATGTTGCATGTATTCATTGATAATCAACTGTCTCAACAACATTGCAATAATACTTAGGAAAAAATATTTATTTGCTACAGAGCTGTAGATGTTGTTGAAGACTTTGCACCATTATTTAGCATATGCATTTTCCCATTTCATAATGTAACTTAATTTTGGCAGGACAACCGAGGCCAGATGATGAATGACACAATCAATTGGGTGGTGTTCCTCAACAATAGTCAACGCTGTCTCCTTTTTACTGATGACTCAAGTATTGCTAAAAATGCACTTACTGCTGTGGAGTTGGAACGTTTTGAGCTGGATATTGGACTCTCCTTCAGCAGTATTGGGCTATCCTTGGTGGATGACATAAAGAGGAAGGAGGTGGTGTATGCCAGCCTTGCCAGGCAAGTCCTAAAGTACTGCTTCTTAATCCTTTGGCTGCACTAAGTGATTGTGTTTGCTGTTGTAGAAATGACTCCAAAAGGCAATATGTGACCTTTGATATGCCTGGGAAAACATTTTCAGACCCTCTGACCTTCAAAACAGGTGTCTGGAACTAGTAAATGCTGCCATCAGCTGGCCACAGAATCCAGTATTACTCTTAGCAATAGTATTAGAGATCTGCAGTTATACTTCCTTCAAACTCTTACTTGCCCTTTTCACCTATTTCTGTGATTTTCTGGGAGAGGCTCTCTGTAGCTTCCCAAGCTTAAACACTGGCACTCCACCAAGCCTTCAGTAATTGCATCAGGCTCCAAGACCCATCCTTGCCTACTAAAAGCCAGGATCAGAAATAACTTGTTCTGCTTGGCAAGGGTATCTCGGGGATCATATATGAATGCAGCCCAAGGGTTAAAAATCAAAACCAAAATGTTAATTTACCTATGACCAAAACATAAAGATTTTCCTCAATCATACTTAATATGTGTGTGTGTTTTCAAAATTATTCATGAGTTAATTATTCTTTCAGCTCCGGAGTTGTGTGGGAGCACCGTAAAGTTAAAGGCAAAAAACATCGAGCTTTCACACATGCTCAGACAGAAGTTATAGAGAAGGCTTACCAATTATTTCAGAATCAGATTAAAGCAATATCTGATGTGTCTGCTGTCCAGAGCTGTTTTGATTTGAATAAAACCTTGGAGGTGAGTATCTTCCACTTGTAAGTGCATTGCTAAATGTAATGTTTGGGTAAGGTCACCTCAGTAGTTTCCCCCGTACCAAGACATCCCCTCCTCCCCACCACAGTAGCTTCCCTCTACTAAGGCTCCCTTAATAGTTCCATGTGCTAAAATGCCCTCAGTAGTCTTCCTGTGCTAAGTGCTGATAGAGCCATGCCTTAGGGAGAAGTACCATGCCTCTGAGACCTACCCTGACCAACCCCAAGATTAAAATTTGGCTCACTCTAAGGCAAAAGGATCTTGGGGATTGGAGTCCAACTAAAAGTGAGAAAAATCCAATGAGAAAGCAAAAGAGAAAGACGACAGTTAATCCAAGAAATGGGCTCGACATGACTGAAGTATATAAATGGATGAAAGGGTATAACAAAGGGGGTTATAAATGTGGTTTTAAATATATCAACACAAAATATAACTCGAGACATTAAATATGAGGTGGAGAAGTTTAAATTCAGAAAATACATCGGTAAATACTAGTTTGGAAGCAGGGCTGTTGATTTATGGACCGTTCTCTAGGTTACCTGAGGGCAATTTAGAACTCCTCAATGCGTGCGTTTTCACTCCTTGCCTCCTTGGGATGTTGGCCTTCAGCAGCTGCACGTGCAGGTCCCCGCTCTTTTACTTACCTTGGCTACTCAGGACTTTTGCACCTGTGGCATTTGACCTTGGTCTTGCGCTTCTTTTCCCTTCTTGAGTTGTCCTTGGACTGGCTTGGGGAGGACATGGAGGTGTTGAATGCCGGGCCTTCGTCTGGGGCGTTGGCTTCGGCTGTCAGGGCATCGACTGCGCTGTTTGCACCGATCCTTCGGGAGGCGGTACCTTGGTTCTTTGCCTCTTGCGTCGTCAGGCCCTCCTCGCTCTCTACTTGGACTCTGCTTGGGCCCTGGCTCTTAGGTTTTCTTTGCCCTTTTGTCCATTATTGTTTGCTGAGAGTGCTGTGACTCAGTTTCTGCAGGCAGCCTCATCTAGTTGCCGTCCTCTGTCAGATTTGTTGGTCATTCGGGGTGGCCTTTCTTGGGCCTCTCGGAAGGGTCATGCCAGTGCTCATGGTTCTTCTAGTCAAGGTGGGCCTTTGGTGCCATCCTTAGCTGCAGGGGTATCATGTGTTCCATGTTCACGTTGCTTTAATTTTCAGCATCTCGACTGTGGTTGAGCTGTTCTCTGTTCTGGGGTGGCTTCGATGTTTTTTAGCTTCAGTGCCAGGTGTTGCATCCATATTGGCTGTGGTGGGGGTTTTAGAGGCTTTGCCCAGATTTCTCACTCCCCTCCTTTAGAAGGCGGATGTAGTGCTCTCTCTGGCTTGTCTAGCATGCTGGCATGTGCTTGCCTGGGCATTTTTACTTTGATCATTTCCTTTCTCTCTGCCTCCCATGTTTTTGTTCCACCTGTCTGGGAGGAGCTCCTTGGTGGCTCCACACTACTAGGTCACATAATTGTAGTAATCTTTTTTGGCCTACTGGGGACTGGAAACAAAATCTGCCTTCCCTCCCCTTCCCTGCCATATCACGCACAAGGAGCAGGAACTAATATCACAAACACACTGAAAAAGCATTCAGAAAGTCAGCAAAGCTTTGCAGACAATTGCAAGGTTCATAGAAAGCAAAGCATTGAAATCTAAACAATTGGTTTGCTTGAAATTAGCTTGAACCTGTTAGTAATCAGTAACGATGGCCACCACCAGGTGGCCCAGAGCCCACGGCCAACATCAGACTGCAAGCTTAGTCTTGCCACTGATGTAGTTATCTATTGTATTGTGCTCCTCGGATCTCCAACTGTCACAGCGTATCCCACTGTTTCTTGGCTAAGTGTCGACCATCTTATGGGCTTTGTCCTATGGGGGCCATTAGCTTTTCTTCTAGTTCCCCATGCTGCCAATTATTTCTTGAAATGAGGATAGATTTGTAATGTTCCTTGGTGTTGCAAGACTATTTGCAAAGTTTCTTGTCATGGTGAGGAAGGTTGAGGAGTTCTTGGCATCTCATTGTCCTGTGTGGATCCTGACTATTTGCTCAGATAGTAATCGAGGGAGATGACTCGGAAAGGATTATATCGGTTCTCTCAATGCCTTATCATTGCTATTATGAAATTTATATTTATTATAATTTTGATCTTTATATTTTACCTATGTATTTAATAGTACAGGTATTATATTTTATTGCATTTAGTACCATTGACCTCGTTGGTATGGTATGATATTAGTTATGATTGACCACTTTGTGAATCATTTTTAATGGAATTTTCTGTTTCAACAGGTTGACTTTGCTACCATGACTTGCAACAAGCCTTTCAAGCGAAAAATTCGTCGAACATTCCAGCCAGGCATTTGGTTCCAGGTACAGTATTTAAATTTCAAGGTTTTTTTTTTTAATTATTTCACACACCTGCAGTTTGATGTACACCTGTATAAACTTTAATTCAACTTCTATTAAATTTTATTGCTTGTCGGCCTATTGCTTACTTATTGTGTGTTTATGGGTTTCGTTCTCGCCTTTCACTGTGGTCTGGTCGAGCCAGGTGTCACCTGCTGTTGGTCACTGTGGGGCCATACCAAATGCCAGGGGTCCATACCATTCTTGGTTCATACCATATCTTGGTTCTTGGTTGGGGCTGTGTGATCAGGGTTCACCAGTCTCGCCAGTCTGTGACTCCCTCCATCTGTCAGGCACACAGTACTGTTCAGGAGTTTGTGACGGTGTGGCAGGCAGTGTTGAGGGTTTGGATTCCTTCAGGCTCTGTGACCCAGTGATCGAGCTCCATTTTTTTAACGGGGAATGGTCTCTTCGGTTCATGTCTCTTTGGAGCCTTTGGAGCGGGTCTCTTCAACTAGCTCTTCTGTAGAATTCTTGGGGTTTGGCTCTCCATGCTGTTCATGCTCCACTCCATGCCGGGTTCTTGCATCGTTCGTTGAACTGCCCCGTGGAGCAGCCTGTGAGCTTTGACCTAGCCCTTCATCCACCCCACACCCCTTCCTCCCAAATAAGGGAAAGGGTGGGAGGGGTGGACGAGTGGGTGCTGATCTTGTAACAGTTTCGATTGTTTGTCTACATTGTTTGGGGAGTTCTATGACCGTTTTCGAGCCTACATGTCTTGAAGGTAGCTAGCTGTGGTTTGTTTTGACTTGAAGACTTTCTGGGTATCTTCCTCAGTGGTGGCATAAATGAATAACTTAATATGTAACTGCCACAGCTCCCTGTGCCTCAATGAGGGGATCAGGTTCTGGCACTGGGTCCCCAGTAGACAGAGTATTCAACAACTGATGGCACCTACATCAGAGATGGTAGCTTCAGGGAGCCATTGGAACTTGCCAGAAATTGGCATTTCATTATGTATAGTCACCTCTTTTTTTTTTTTTTACACAAGTATTGAATGTATAGAGGATAAAAATATTGGTTAGGAAGGTGGGGTCTTAAGGCTTGGCAGCCTCAGTGCTGTTGGTCAGAGGGATATTGAGTGACCCACCACAAAAAAGTCAATACACTCAACATTTGATTTTGATTTTTCAGATGAAAACATCTTCTCATCAGAAGCAGATTCACCTCAAAATTAACAGTGTGCAAATTGACAACCAGATGACTGATGTGATGTTTCCAGTTGTCCTGGCTCGAGTTCCGACCTCCCGAAGTGTTATGGCCGAGACTGGTTAGTTATTGCATTTGTGAATGTTTACATGCAACGTCATTTAATACTATTAATTTTATTATACACTCGTGTATAGTTCTTGATAAGGGTAGATGTGGTGTGGTTCTCCCTCCATGTATATATTTGGCTGTATGGAAGTCAGACTGAAGAAAATAAAATTGGTTCATTTTTCATTTTATAGCCCTTTGCCTAGGCTACAACTGACCAGTACATCAAGGTGGTGTGTGTGTCTGCTATCCTTTTCTCAACATTTCTATCCGCCCTTATCTCGCTGCCATGAGATGAGTTTCTTGCTTCTTTGTATGGCTGGTATGTTTGAGGGTTTGACCTCTTCCCATATTGATTCCAATTTTTGTCTTTTGGTCTATGGACCTCTTCCAATTTCTATTGAACTAATCCTGTTTTCTAGTTCTGCATCTCTATTTTGGTATAAAAAAAATTTATGTACGTCACAAAATTTGGCATACATTTCATTTAATTCCTTGCCTAAGATCTTTCCAGATTCATTAAAGAACTTTATATTTTCCACATAGTGTCCTCTCCTGAAATAGTTTTTCAGCTGCTTCATTTTCCTCGTTCTCTTCTTGACTATAACGTATTGCATGCTTTATTTCTTAAACAACATTGTCACTTTTACCCAAAGGGGAAAGTACTGAATGTTAAATATCTCCACTTTCCTGGTGAATATCAAATCCAGTATTGAAGGAACATCCCCTTTCCTCAATTTTGCGGCCTGTTTAATGTTCTCGCCTAGTTGTGCTTATGGGGGTTGAGCTTTGGCATTTTAGTCCCGCCTCTCAACATCATGCATCATGTGTTGATACATGAATATCTCCAGGATGAGGTTTACAAATCTGCCAGTCCAAAAGGCCTCTGTTCTTGCTTCATAGCCCACCCTATCTACGGGTTTTAAGTTGAAGTCATTAAGGACCAACAATCTTGATCTGTCTTTATCGACTCTTACTATAATCTCTTAAGATATTTACGAGGCCCCCTTGTTTGCCATACAGCTTCTTTGTCCATGCATTGCATGCCAGTGGACTGTGTGTATTTATGATTATTAGTCATCATCCTGATTACAAATCTCCAGTGCCATTATGTCAACTTCTCGTGAGTTATCAATCATTAATTCGTTTACCTATAGATGTTCTTTCACCAGCTCGGTAATGCCTCCACCTTACCGAATTTTTGTCGCATCTCCAAATTGAGTAGCCCCTTGGGAATATGACCTTTTTATAATATCATCTTTAAGTCTTATCTCCATTAGTGCAGCAATATCTGGCATCTTAAGCTACATTATATTGTTCAACTCCAGTGGGCTTTTTTAATCTCACTCCACTTATGTTTCGATCTCGCTTATGTTTTTATCGCATCTCATTTATATACGAGTTTCAGGACTGTTTCCTCTCCCCTTGACCTTTACTTCCCCTTTCTCTGTTGGTTTTGTTGATTTACTTTTTTTGTACATTTCACATGCTTGCCTATCCCTATCATCTTGTAGATTTTTTTTTTTGTATTTATTTCTTCTCTCATTTAGACATTTCACTTCATGAAGATTTAGCTTAACTTTTCTGTCTCTATTTGAGAGGTCTCGCCTGAGAAAGCATATGCGAGCCCCTTGTATGCATGGAAGTTTAAAATTTGTTAATAGGCCTGAAACAACCCTAGTTGTGTGCAGTGCAGGGATCATTCCTATGTTATCATAGGAATTAACAAGTGTAAGGTACATTTCCATAGGAAGTTAAGCAATAGTTAACATTTGAGTGGAAAATTACATTTAACCAAATTTAGTATGCAGGAATTATTTGTTATATAAATGCTAATCATATTAATATGGTGCTTAGTTTTCAGGTAAGAATCATGTATTAGTATAGAAGAGTTGGAGGTGTAAACAGCAGTGTCTGAAAAATCTGTTTAGTAAATTCATTTTATATTTTCAGTTGCCAAACCATTCTGTGAAGTAAGCATCGTTCAGAGAATGACATCTCCACTGTTTACACAGTTCAAGTACCTGGCAGTTCTCATACAAGAATTCCACGTGAAAGTCGAGTTGCCATTTGTATTTGCTGTCTTAGAAGTGTTGTTCCCCGCAGCTGATGAGTCTCCTGATCTTTACTCAGTAAGTTTATTCATACAGAGGAGGGATGGAGTAATCATCTACTCCCCTCCTTCACTCCATCTTCAAGTAGGCCATAACATCACTCGATGAGTGAGGGAGGGATGTATGGATTATTTGCCACCCTCGCTCGGGCAATCTTCTGGTAGGCCACAACAGTCGGAGATTGTGTTTACCCAAAAGTAAAAGTGCATAATGTCCGAGTGGCCATCAGAAAAGGGTATTTGACTTCACTCGAATATTAAAAAAAAAATTATTACAAGTTTGAGAGCAATGCTTTATTATATAGAATCATCAATGCAATAATTCAGTTTTTGTAAAAATACGAATATTTCAGCCGGAGAAATATGAATATGATGCTGGTATCGTCCATGAAGCTTTAACAACAACAGTGAAGAATCAGTCCTCTGGAGGGCAGAGAGATTTCTTTGATCACCTTCATCTCTCACCAATTAAGGTAGGTACAGCTATGGGTACAGTTTTTAGTGTAGTGTCACATCTTGGGTTTACCTTTTACTTGTAGCATTTGCTACACCAGACATGTCCACACACTGACGGATACCCCATCACATTATTACCACCCATAAAGTTCTCAGAGGAATTAAGAGTACATAAAAACAAACTACAGTATTTAATATGGAAGGAACATGACCAAGAAGACACGGATGGAAACTTGGTATTCAAATAAGCCACATAGACATTAGGAAGAATTTTGTCAGTGTTAGAGTAGTTAATACATGTACTAAAAAGTGATGATGTGGGGATAAACTTCATACACAGGTTCAAATGTAGATATGATAGAACCCAATTGGTTATGGAACCTGTACACCAGTTGATTGACAGTTATGAGGTGGGACCAAAGAGCAAAACCTCAACCCCCACCACCCAAGCACAACCAGGTGAATACTTGTTGGCACTGTGCACAGTGCTTACTTATCAGTGACTATGGGGCAGTAACATCTAGCTTTATATGCCCCGCCTCCAGCTGTTTATACCTGGTGCATGAATTAATTCTCAATGTGAAGTTTCTGGGGGATGCCCCTTGTGGCTTCCTGAAGCTCTGATATACTGATATGGTACCATCTACTAGACTGCATCAACTGCGAAGTTCTATAGGCCTACCAGGGACCAGTTCCAGAACCTGGCCCCCCCCCCCCCCTCACAAGAGGTGCAGAGAGCAGTGACACACATTTATGCCACCACAGGGGTAGACAACCAGAAAGCCGAGTGAAACAAACCACTGCTGCCTTCAATATAGAAGGCAGCCTCTAAACCCACCGAAAGCACTTGCCCCCTCCCCTCCAACTATGTAAACAAATGATTGTTTGCAATCTCGTTATCGAGTGCAAGCTCGTTTGCCTCGCCTCCCCCACTCGTTTGGGGAAGAGGAAAGATAGCTCACGGTCAGCAGGTGTTTGCACTGATAAATGTGAATTGGGTTGCCTCTCTTTTCCTTTGGCTCTGGGGTTCTACTTTTTCAGCTAAGTTGTGATTTTTGCCCTTGGTATCATTTCCTGTATACTACAGTACTGTGTAACATGCACGTAGAATGAAGTGGAATTCAATATTTATAAAGATATGCAAAGTGCCAGTAGCACATGCACTTAGTACTGTCTAAGCTCACTTATCCGGACTATATGGGAGGGACCTGCCTTCCCCTGTGGCTGGATAAACCAGACATCTAAATAAGCAGAATTCTTACATGGGAAGCCCAAAAATTACCATATTCAAAAATTTTGTACCCCAGCCAAAATAATTTGAATTTCCACACACTATTAATAAAAAATGTAATTAAAAAAAGAAACTAAAGCTTACCTTGTGATAGTTTGTCTTCTTGTTTGATACTGTAGATCTTGAAATGTGTAATTCCTGAAAATATATGTAACCTAATCTCTGGTTATTTGAATTTCTGTCCAGGTATGGCAAAGTTTTGCCAGAAAATTATTCGGATGCTATTTTGGCCAGATAACCCAAATATCCAGTTTAGCGAGCTCATAAGAAACGAAATGGATAAGAAGAGCTTGGACACGAGATATACCAGAAGCACTTAAATCAGCAGATATAGCTCCTCTATATAAGTGAGGCAGCAAAACATTGGCTACGAATTATAAACCAGTTGCACTAATGTCCCTCATAAAAGTATTTGAGAGTGTGATTAGGAGTCAGATCTCTAGTTTTGTGAAGATCAATGACCTCCAAAACCCAGGCCAACATGGATTAAGAGTGGGATGATCATGCTCCTCACAGCTACTTGGCCACTATGACAAAACCTTTGAGGCTTTAGAGGCTTTAGAAGAAAAAGAGAATGTGGAAGTGGTATATATGGACTTCGCAAAGGTATTTGATAAATGTGACCATGGAATGATAGCCCACAAAATGAGGTCAATAGGAATAATAGGTAAAGTAGGATGTGGGATATTAAATTTTCCATCAAACGGAATGCAGCGAGTAACGGTTATTCAAATAAAATAGGCCTAGTGCAGTTAAAAGCTCTCTTCTTCAGGGTACCGTCCTTGCACCACTGCTTTTCCTGATTCTCTTATCAGATATAGAAAAAAAATACAAGTAACAAGTATAATCTTTTACAGGTGACACAAAAATCATCATGAAAATTACTTCTGTTAAAGACATTAAAAACTACAAGCAGATATTAATACAAAAATTTAACTGGGCAGCAGAAAATAACATGATGTTTAACAGTAATAAATTCCAGGTAGTTGGGTATGGTAAAAATGAGGACTTTAAACAAAATACAGGATACAAAACACAATCAAATCTGCCCATAGTAGGAAAGCAACATGTAAAGGATCTGGGAATAATGATATCTGAAGAGCAGTGGAAGGATTTTAAGAAACATGGCATATTGCCTCAGCAATATGTATTAGCAGTTATTATGATAGCTTATTTCATAGCTGTAATCAAGGTGATAAATAATTCTTACACCTTTTCTTTTATTATTACATTAAAATGATGTGAGGCACAGGTAGATAACTATTCCTTCAAATGCTCCAATAAGTACTTATGTCAAACTGCAATTGTCAAATACTGATGTTGATGAATCTACTTTACACTATTTTAAAGAGAACTTGAGTGTTACTAAGAAGTTCAACTATTACCACCAGATGCACCTGAGTTTCTCACTGACTGGGCTGGAATCTGGTGCGAGCATGCCGGTGGGCGGACAGGTGATTCACCTCTTCTTGCAGAGTGTTGGGGTCACCCTCACTGAGGTTCAGGATGTTGTCTTCAGGTACAAGTCTTAAATATCTAAACCATGTTTAAAAACCATTTCCTTATCCATCTATGTTTTATACTGTGCCACCAAATAATGCCACATACAGAGTCACCATTATATAACCACCCACTATACAAACAGCCTTCATAATACCCCATTTTAGTGGTATTTGGTGGACTGTTTGGGGTGTGTGTGTGTGTGTGTATGTATGTATGTATGTAATATCTATATAATATCGTATATCTATAAATTTTTATTTATTTATTAGGAGTGGACTGAAGTATGCTTTCTACTGAACTCTCCACACCTTTATAAGAGAAATAGGATATTTTATGAAGGAACATGTCTGCATCTTACGAAGGCTAGTGTCATAAGGCATAGGAGAACTACCATGTTACCACTCAAAAGGGGCAATTCAATTTATTAAATGCTTTATTTTTTGTTTAATACCAAAATTTATTGTTATTTTGTGTGATAGACTGGCATACATGGAGCGTCTCAACCACTGGATGAGTTGGAATCAGCTGGTACAAGAAATGATAATTCACTACCGTGGACAAGTGATCAAACAGCTTTATGTTCTTGTGCTTGGTCTTGATGTGATTGGCAACCCCTTTGGTCTGGTGGTGGGATTGACAAAAGGAGTTGAAGATTTATTTTATGAACCAATACAGGTTAGTGGTTCCATTACTCATATTTTGATAGCCAAAGGGTCATACATTTATGTTTTATTTGTATGAAAAAATATGAGTTAATTGCTATTAATAGATACATTTTTTTATTTTGTTTAGAGCAACATTTTGTTTACATTTGCAACTGTTCCTTCAGGAAGTTACTTTTTTCTGAAGGAATTGCAATCTCCGTGGTGTAGTGGTAAGACACTCGCCTGGCGTTCCGCGAGCGCTGTCATGGGTTCGTATCCTGGCCGGGGAGGATTTACTGGGCGCAATTCCTTAACTGTAGCCTCTGTTTAACGCAACAGTAAAATGTGTACTTGGATGAAAAAACGATTCTTCGCGGCAGGGGATCGTATTCCAGGGACCATAGGATTAAGGACTTGCCCGAAACGCTACGCGTACTAGTGGCTGTACAAGAATATAACAACTCTTGTATATATCTAAAAAAAAAAAAAAAAAAAAAAAAAAAAAAAAAAAGAATGAAATTACATGTATATAGAATTTTTCTTTCACCATTACAAATGAAAGGGATATTTATATCTATAAGAGAGAATGTCTGTCTGTCTGTCTGCCCAAAGTTGGAGGCCAGATGCTTGGGGTCTTGTACCCCTCGCCCAAATTTGTAGAGGGAATGGTCTGGGGTACAGGATGGGCATAGACTAGTTGGACTAGGCCTATGTTTAATGCTTTAAGACAGCCTATAATCAAACATGATAGAATATTTCTGGAAAAACTTCTGCTAGAACAAATTGGAAAACTATGGTACAAACCGAGGTTCTGGTAAGAACTCCTAAATTTCCAGTCAATGAATTGTTTACGTCTAATTTACATAGTGATAGATAACTGTGTGTACTGTTGCTATATAGTGGTGATTAAATGTGTGTTGCAGGGAGCAATTGAAGGTCCTGGAGAGTTTGCTGAGGGAGTGTTGCTTGGTGTGACCAGTTTTATGGGTAAAACTGTTGGTGGTGCAGCTGGTGCTGTCTCCCGTATCACAGGAACCATTGGTAATTACATAGCTAATTACTTCTTTTTCCCTTGTTCATAAGTAAAATATGTTATTGTTCTGTATATGTACAGTATATTAAAATTTTCTCTAAATATTATTTGAAGACAAATGCATTTACTTTGGAAATAATATTCACATGTACTGTTAACAGAAAAAAATTTATCATTTAATTTAATTTGGTATTCAGGGAAAGGCGTAGCAGCCCTGACTCTTGATGAAGATTACCAGAAAAGACGACGGGAAGCAATGCATCGCAAGCCAGCTGATGGTATAGAGAGTCTGGCTAGAGGAGGAAAAGGCATTGTTACAGTAAGCAACTTGAGTAACATTATTCATATTGTTAAATAGGATAGCACTAATGATAACAAAATATAAACCCCCATTCAAACAAAATATTTCTCATTTTCTCATTATTAATCACACTTCATGATTTCTTTAAGGGAATGCAGTGTGAGGCAGAAGTGCCATGGGGTGTGAGGCAGAGAGAGAGGAGTGCCATGGTGTGTGAGGCAGAGAGAGAGGAGTGCCATGGTGTGTGAGGAAGAGAGAGAGAGAGGAGTGCCATGGGGTGTGAGGCAGAGAGAGGGGAGTGCCATGGGGTGTGAGGAAGAGAGAGGAGTGCCATGGGGTGTGAGGAGAGAGAGGAGTGCCATGGTGTGTGAGGAAGAGAGAGAGGAGTGCCATGGTGTGTGAGGAAGAGAGAGAGGAGTGCCATGGGGTGTGAGGCAGAGAGAGAGGAGTGCCATGGTGTGTGAGGCAGAGAGAGAGGAGTGCCATGGGGTGTGAGGAAGAGAGAGAGGAGTGCCATGGTGTGTGAGGAAGAGAGAGGAGTGCCATGGGGTGTGAGGCTCTCCCTACCTGCCATTTATTGATTGCTGAAGGAACGTGGCACTGACACTCAGCTTCGCACTGTTGGTGGCACTGGTGGTGGCACTGTTGGTGGCACTGTTGGTGGCACTAGTGGTGGCACTGTTGGTGGCACTGGTGGTGGCACTAGTGGTGTCACTAGTGGTGGCACTGTTGGTGGCACTGTTGGTGGCACTGGTGGTGGCACTAGTGGTGGCACTGTTGGCACTAGTGGTGGCACTGTTGGTGGCACTGGTGGTGGCACTGGTGGTGGCACTGGTGGTGGCACTAGTGGTGGCACTGGTGGTGGCACTGTTGGTGACACTAGTGGTGGCACTGTTGGTGGCACTGGTGGTGGCACTGGTGGTGGCACTGGTGGTGGCACTAGTGGTGGCACTAGTGGTGGCACTAGTGGTGGCACTAGTGGTGGCACTGGTGGTGGCACTGTTGGTGGCACTAGTGGTGGCACTAGTGGTGGCACTGGTGGTGGCACTAGTGGTGGCACTGGTGGTGGCACTAGTGGTGGCACTAGTGGTGGCACTGTTGGTGGCACTGTTGGTGGCACTGGTGGTGGCACTGTTGGTGGCACTGGTGGTGGCACTGTTGGTGGCACTAGTGGTGGCACTGTTGGTGGCACTGGTGGTGGCACTGGTGGTGGCACTGGTGGTGGCACTAGTGGTGGCACTAGTGGTGGCACTAGTGGTGGCACTAGTGGTGGCACTGGTGGTGGCACTGGTGGTGGCACTGGTGGTGGCACTGGTGGTGGCACTGTTGGTGACACTAGTGGTGGCACTGGTGGTGGCACTGTTGGTGGAGGCGCTGGCGAGAAACAATAGGCAGAGTTTCTTTCACCCTATGCCCCTGTTACCTAGCAGTAAAATAGGTACCTGGGAGTTAGTCAGCTGTCACGGGCTGCTTCCTGGGGGTGGAGGCCTGGTCGAGGACCGGGCCGCGGGGACACTAAGCCCCGAAATCATCTCAAGATAACCTCAAGATATGCATGCAAAAGTTTTAATTATATAATTCTGTGATCCCATCAATGGCTTCTGTTTACTAATTTCCTTGTTGGGATTTTGGGAGTTCTGTCCCATGCCTTCATCCTCCCCTGGTGCTTAACCTCTTCACAGATGCCTCGACCTTCAGATGGGGTTTTGTGACCAGCACTCACATCAATGCTCGGGGCCATTCAGTAGGTTCTTTGCATAGGGCATGCAGCACAGTATGTAAGTTCACTGCAGTTTGGCACACAGTGTAGTTGCTTCATGTCCTGGTGGATGGACTCCATGTTCCAGCTTCATTCAGACTGCTCCCAGGTGGTTCATTGTCTGAATCCAGGCAAGTCACTTTGGTTTCCTTTTTTGTGGGGCACTCAAGTACTCCAGACAGGACAGCACAAATGACTTGAATAGTAGAACCATTGTGATGGGATTCCTGGATTTAAAGGTTCTTGTAATCCATTCTATCATCTTTCTGGCTGACACTATATTTGCTTGGTTATGCTCCCTAAAAGTTTGGTCATCAGACATCATTGTTCCCAGATCCTTTACATGCTGCTTTCCTACTATGGGCAGATTTGATTGTGTTTTGTACCATATTTTATTTAAGGTCTTCAATTTTACCATACCCAAGTACTTGGAATTTATCACTGTTAAACATCATGTTATTTTCTGTTGGCCAATCAAAAACTTTATTAATATCAGCTTATAGTTTTCAATGTCTTCTACAAAAGTAATTTTCATGCTGATTTTTGTCTTCTGAAAAAGATGATACAAGGCTGTGACTTGCATTTTTGTTTATATCTGATATGAGAATTAGGAAAAGTGGTGGTGTAAGGACTATGCTCTGAGGTACAGAGCTTTTCACTGTGCTTGTACTCTCTTTTATTTGATCGCTACTCTTTGCATTCTGTTTGACAGAAAATTTAATAGCCATCACCTTACTTTACCTGTTATTCCTATTGACCTCATTTTGTGGGCCGTCACTCCATGGTCACATTTATCAAATGCCTTTGCAGAGTCCATGTACACCACATAGGTCACATGGTCCTTATATTGCATCTGGAAATTGTCCACACCTCGTTGCCTGATGGAGGTTGCATCTGGTGCTGGGTGTGTCTGTGCTGCTATTCGCAGCTGTGGGGTCTATGCGTGCATTTGTATTTTTTTGCCCTCGTCCTTCCCTTGCCCTAGTTAGGTGAGGTATGGTGGTACAGTGGGATCTTTACCTGTCCTTTGTTTGCCATATACTGGTAATGACCTAAGTGTAATCGCAGGATTATTCATGGTGTCCCGCCTTCCCAATTCTGTCATGGCACTTTGAAAGTATAGTACTGGCATCCATCACATTCTCAGTTTACTTGTTCCAATCTTCTACCACTCTGTTTGCAAAAGAGAACTTTCTAATTTTGGGGGGCACCTTTCTGTAGCTTGCTTGCATCTGTGGTTTATTGTTCTTGAAATTGCAGGTTTCAAGAATTCCTCTTTGTCAATTTTATTGATTCCTTGTACTACTATTTTGTACATGGTGATCATTTTGCCTTTTTCCTATTATATTTAAGCTTTGGCATGTTTAACACCTCTAGCCTTTTCGTGTTGTTCTTGTTTTCAATTCCAAAGCCATTTAGTAGCATGTCTTTGCACCTTTTCAAGTTTATTGATGACCTGGAGATAATAGGGTGCCCTGTAACTGTTGGTCTCACAAACGTTGTGAATAATTTCTTTAATGAATTGACATCCATGTATCTAACATCAATTCTGAAGTTGGAAATGTAGTACATGTTCCCCACATAATGTCTTTGTGTTCCTCTGGTGACAGTTTACTATCTTTAATACTTTTTCATGTTGTGTAGGTTGTTTGTGGCCTATTTTTCTTTATTCCACAATCCATAATGTAGCAGTTAATCATGCTGAATGCCATCTGCCAATTGTTGCTCAATAAATTTAATTTGTCCAGGTCATCTTGACGGGCATGACAATCATTTAAGTGTCTTATCTTCCCTAATAGCTTAGCATCATAAGCAAACATATAATTATGAACATGTTTCTGGTAGATAATTTATACAGACAATGAACATTATTTGTGCTAGAACTGAACACTGTGGTACTCCACAATAACATTTCTCCAGTTTAAAACATTCTCTAATTACCACCCGTCGTTGTTCTGTCAGAATATTTTTCATTTATGTCAGCAGTCACCTCTCCAGCATGTTCCACCTTCCAGAACAACCTCTTGTGTAGTCTGTCAAAAGCCTTTTTTCATCCAGATAAAGGCAGTCCATCCAACCATCTCTTCCCCTGTAAAGTTTGTGACTGTCATAAAAACTGTTTGTGACACAGGATCTGCCTGCTCAAAATCCATACTGTATTGTTGTGAGTATTGTGACCAACATACATGTTATGTCATTTCTTTCCAGGCATTCTGCCCCATTTAGTTTTATTCTTACAGGGAGTTGTTGATGGGTTGATTTTATGCTTTACTGTGGATATTCTTACATGTTGTTGGTGGTGTGACACATGCTTTACTGTGGATATTCTTACATGTTGTTGTTGGTGGTGTGACACATGCTTTACTGTGGATATTCTTACATGTTGTTGTTGGTGGTGTGACACATGCTTTACTGTGGATATTCTTACATGTTGTTGGTGTGACACATGCTTTACTGTGGATATTCTTACAGGGAGTTGTTGGTGGTGTGACACATGCTTTACTGTGGATATTCCTACATGTTGTTGATGGTGTGACACATGCTTTACTGTGGATATTCTTACAGGGAGTTGTTGATGGTGTGACAGGAGTTTTCTTAAAACCAATTGATGGAGCCAAGGAAGAAGGTGTGGAGGGGTTCTTCAAGGGGGTAGGCAAAGGAGTTGTGGGCCTGGTTACTCGTCCAGCCTCTGGAGTCATAGATTTTGCCAGTGGATCTTTTGATGCAGTTATGAGGCAAGTGGTTATATCAGGGTTCTGTAATTCTTAGAAGCATGTAAGAATTACAGGCTGTGCATCATAATGCACAGGTTGTTGGTATATGTCATCTTAATATACATCAATTTATTCCATATAACTTTTGTCATAGCTGTTTTATACTGTGTACAGTATGAACATCATCAGTATCATCAAAGGATATTCATCAATGTAATAGTGCACAATATAATCATCCAGTTTCACCACATTGTTTAATTTTGAAATATCTCATAATTTGATGTGAGGATGTCATTATTTAATGTCAACAGAGCCACAGATGCCACTGAAGAGATAGAGCGTTATCGTCCAACTAGATTGATCGACTCTGATGGGGTTGTCCGACCATATGTAAAACGGTTTGCCCAGGGAGCTAGAATGCTACTGGTATGCATAGTAATATTTTTGTTATGTAGTAATGCCTTAGTCACTGACACCATTTAAAGATTAATTATTTTTGTTGTTTTCCATTGTCAGTTGTCCCAAGTCTAAGTAAAGTAACTTTTAACTCGTATCACAATGCTATTGCACATCTCGCTTCTTATATTTCATTTCTGTTAAATTTTAGGGTGATAAAATTGTGGACTATTTTATACACTATTAACCTGATTGATGATCAATAGTAGATTACTTTATTATATTAATGGTTTGGGAAATGTTGATTTTCTCCAGGTGTTCTTCCTTAATTTTAATTAGTTTTAATTATTTTTCCCAACATTTTGACTATTACACTTGTCAGTGATACAGGTCTACAATTAAGGGGGAGGGTTGTCTTTATTGCCATGTTTGTAGATTGGAACTATGTTAGCCTTTTTCCACATATCTGCTAGGACTCCTGTACACAGGGATGCCTGAAAAATCAGTTGAAATGGAATGCTGGGCTCGGGAGCTCATTATCTCGGGACCCAAGGTGAAACTCAATCTGGGCCAACTGCTATTTCCTTATACACACACAAATCCCAATAGCATGATAAATGAATGTTATGAATAATAACAATAGCATGAATAAATGAATGCATGTTAAATGAACAAATCCACAAGGGCTGTGATGAAGGTTTGAACCTACGTCCAGGATGATACCAGACGCGCTTTAGTCGACTGCGCCAATTCTTTTACCATGTCATGGTGCAGTCGACTAAGGCATGTCTGGGATCATCCTGGACGTAGGTTCGAACCCTTAACACAATGTGGTGTAAGTGAAAAGGTTGACGGAATGAAATGTTGAATGGGTGAAGTGTACTATAATTAGGTAGAATGGATGTGTTTGGATGCCTGAGAATTATTTACAAGAATGTACAAAGGAATCATGTGATAGATGCAGATGACCAATATTGTAGAAGAAAGGACAAAGGGATGGTTTAAAGAACATGAAAGAGTGAAAGGTTTGTGTGGTGTTAAAATATCGTGGAGAATCTAATGCTATAACCACCCTCTGATGGTGTGCATTTATATAAGTTATTATGCTAATGATAATATAATATGAGGGAAACTGAATTATAATTTGAATTAATGTGTTTCTTTTCAGGAGTTAGAGAAAGGACGGTATGCAAAAACAGATTTATATATTGCTCATGCTTACATTACTGCCAGCAAGTCTCTACTGATTGCTACAAACCAGCGAATTATGCAAGTTTCCCGCAATGATATTATGGGGCACCTTAAGGTTAGTTTCCTGTGTGGTGTTGATACAATTGCTTAGAGCTGAAATTATTTTGACTATTTTAGGAAAATAATTACCGGTATGTAAAATCAGATAATGCAGGAAGTTCATATACTGTATTATCCAAATATCCTAGATACTTTACCTGTGACTTTAAAAGTGTTACAGTAGTAAACTTTACAAGTAGACAATTTTAAATGAGGCATATGCAAGTAGAGTCTGAGCACTGGGTGGGATACACCACATGCAAGGTGGGACCAATGTACAGACTCGGCATAGGGTGGGATAAGCCACACATAAGGTGGTACCATTGAAGAACCTCCCCACAGGGGGAGGATATGTCACATACAAGGCAGAATCATTGGACACAAATTATATACAGTATTACAAATGTATTACTTTAGACAAAGTAAGTCTGAATTATCTAAGTAATAGGAGGAGAGCTATGCTTGTAGTATCCCATCTTCTCGGTTCTCTGTCATAGGACGCCTTGAAACTGGTAAGTTTTTGCCATCCATCACCTTCTCATTTAATTTGTTCTAACTGTCCACCATTCTGTTTGCAAAAGTGAACTTTCTAATGTTTGTTCAGTAGTTCTGTTTCCTTAGTTTGAACCTATGTTCTCTTTTTGTAGTTTTCAAAAATTCTTTTAAATTTTGTCAATTCCTGTTACTATTTTGTAAGTAATGGTCATATCCCCTCTTTCTATTCTAGCTTTGTATATTTAACACCTTTAACCTCTTCAGGTAGCTCATCTTTCAGTTCCAGAAGTCGGAAGGTGGCAGCCAGATGTGGTTTGTTTTAACTCGCTGACTTACTGGGTGTCTTCCTTGATGGTCACATAAATGTATAACGTAATATATAAATGCCACAGCTCCCTTTGCCTCTATGATGGGACCAGGTTCTGGCTCTGGGTCCCAGGTAGGCCAGAGAATTCTCCAACTGATGGCACTTACATTGGAGATGGTAGCTTAGGGAGCCACAAGGGGCTTCCCCCAGAAATAAACAGTATAGAGGAACAAGTGTGTGACACAAAAGACACAATATTATGACCAGCCCTCCTTCATTTGAAGCTTTTTCCTTGGACACTCCCGGGTGTTGGACGTTGGCTTTGCTCTGGGCCCTCTTGTAGCAGCTCCCAGGACTGGGGAAAATGTCACTTTTGGGACCTTCAGTCCCTTGTTAACCCTCCATGGCAGTTTGTGCCTTCAGTGATGGATCTTTGGTTACAGGGGGTATGTTCTCTAAGTTCCTGATTGGGTGCAGCTTTCCCTAGGGTTTGGCCCAGTGGATATTAGGACCGTTAGAGTTGGCACCTCACAGGTGCTTGTCTCTCGAGTCTCTTCGTGGGGGCTAGTGTTGCTTTTGTGTGCTTCCTGCATGTTCTGGTCTTCATTGCTCGGGTTCTGGTGTCCCTGATCAGCAAACATTTTCTTGGTACTTTGCGCCTTTTTATCATGTTCTCAATCTAATGTTATGAGGCTTTTCCCTCTGTGCTTCGGGCAGCAGAGCCTTGTGCCTCTCATTGGTTGCTTGTTGCTCTTGCCTTTCTTGGAGTGTGGCTTCATACAGCCTCTTCCTCCATTATTGTTGGCAGTGCTTGTGGCATTTGTCATTGTGTTCATCTATATTGGGGGTTTCTGTTGTGCATACCTGGGCCTCTTTGCACTGCTTCCTGCTTCTCTCTTGAGGACTGTAGAGGCGCTAAGTGGAGGGGTCTCTGGTGGTGGTTATGTTGGCCTCCTCCTTGGCTGCAACTACTCCATGATACATGTTCCCATGCTCCTGGTGGCAGTGGCCATTTCCTCAACATTCAACGTTCGGGTGATCTGGTTGGTTTGGCATATTTCTTTTGTAATGCATTGGCCCTGGCTCTCCTGTCAGCCTCTTTCTACCTCTTTCCTCGGTGTTGGTCTGTAGTTCCTAAATGTTTGCAGCTTTTTTCACCCGTTTAGAGTTTCCATCCTCGGGGCTTCATTCTTGTTCCATGACGGTTGGTTTTGTGGGTAGAAGTAGGCCTTCTGGAGTGTCATATGCTGTGTATCTGGTGTTTCCTGGCACATTCTCCATCTGATAGATTCCAGATTCACCCTCTTCTTTGGGTGGCCTCTCTTCCATTTGGGCCATCTCTTTTTTTTCTCTCTCTCTCCCCCCCCTCGGTGATCAGGAGTGGCTTGACCCGGTTTCTTTCCTCCCGAGTTCATCGACTTTTTATTGTCGCCCTCAGTCCGCGATGTGGTTGGATGGCCCCCCTTCCCCTCTGTTCTGGGGTTCTAGGCTTTCCAGACAGGCTTCCTCTTTTCGCCTGTTTGGGTCACACCGATGTGGGCTCTTCTGGTGTTGGCAGTGGGAACATTGTCTTTTTGGTGGGTGTCCTACATCTTCCCAGTTGTCCTGTGGCTCTCTGGCCTTTGATCTTAGCAGCTGACCCAATTTTTCTTTTGCCCCTGGTTGACTGCATGCATTGTCCCTGGTCAGTCTCTTCTCTGGGGGGGCTTCTTGGTTGGTTTCCCTGGGCCTCCGAGACATGACAGGGCCAAGTTCTAGTTCATGGTCCCCAGTCGGCTTGAAAGAACCATGACTGATGGCATTTAATAGTTTGGTATTTTAACAGCATAGTAACTTCAGGGAGCCACTGAGGCTCATAGAGAAATTGGCATTTCATTACAATCAACGCTTTTATTTTTTTTTTTTTTTATTTTTTTTTTTTTTTTTGCATTAAAAAAATTTCTATCTCTTTCAGGTTGATTGGGTGCACACGTATGATGAGCTGTCAGAGCCTCCCGTTCTCACTCCCAAAGGCTTACGTCTTTCAGTAAAACAGGAAAAGAGGAGAGTTCTAGGAATGTTTGGTGGTGGTGATAACTCAAAATTAGTACATATAAATTGCCTAGAACAAGCAGAGGTAAGTGCCAGTTACCAGCATGTACTGTACCACATGATTTCAGGCAAAAAAATTGAGTTTTTTGGGAATACAATACTTTGGGTGAAATGGTAGTGAAGTCACTCAGTTTAGGAAAGATATTGGTCAAGGACATTCACAATGTTGAAGTTTTGGATCAGGCTTCTTTGGATAGGGTTTCTCCAGGTCCAGGGTAGAATCAACAAATGTGAAAGTTCATTATTCCTAAGGCAACAACACTTGCAACACTCCTCACAGGTCTCGACAAAATATTCAGTCAACTACTGTACTAATGTTACCCATTATGTAGAGGTTTTTTTATGGAACAAGATATGCAGGTACAGTGGAACCTCGCTACTCAAACTTAATTGATTCCTGAAGACAGTTCGAGTGATGAGCACTTTAAACCCATAAGGAGTAATGTAAATTGGATTAATCCATTCCAGACCACAAAAAATACATACCGTATATGAATGCAATAACTACTGGAAATGAAATAAATGCAAATACTGTATACACTTTACATAGATATGAGCACCACATTTTGAGTATAACAATGTTCAACACATTTAACTGTATATATTCCTCAAATTACACAATATTGAATAAAATTACTGGAAAAAGCTACAGAGAAATCAGTGAATTGAAATAGTCATGTAAAATGTATTTGTGGCAGCTCCAACCACACAGCTGTCGAGTGCTAGGCTGACCTTGGAATCATGTTGTGTGTGTATAGACTATGAACACACCATGTTTGTGGTTCATTATGGTGCACAAAAAAAAAAGCATTGAATGAAATGAAACACTAGTTTCTGGGTGAGCCCTCGAGGCTACCTGAAGCTATCATCACTGATTACGTGCCATACTACCTAGTGTCAATAGTTACGGAGTTCTTTTTGCAGAGACTTTCCAAGTGCCTTCCTTGGTGGTGGCATAAATGAATAACTATATATAAATGTCATGGCTCCCTGTTCCTCTGTGAAGGGGGGGGGGGGCCAGGTTCTGGCTCTTGGTTCCAGGTAAGTTGTAGAACTCCACGACTGATGGCACCTACATCAGAGATACAGTACAATACAGCCTAGAAATTGGCTTTTCATTTCATTCAACGCCGGTTTATTTTACCCGTTATACTTCATTCATTTTACCATTTATTACAGTGGTTCCTGTCCGCACTGAAGAAAGTCTACTAGAAGTCAGTAAAACTATATCACTATTCTCTTACTCAAGACAAGCTGACATCAGGCAGATACTGTACATCTAGTTGTGATAAAGCACGACTATAAAATTGAAGCTATACAGAGAAAACTATGACTCTCAAGTGCATGCACACAAACTATAGATGCACAAGCAGAACAGATCTGTCAACACTATTAGAACAACTCCTCTGTGAACTCAAGACTAGTGTAATTAAAAGTTAAATGTGTGGTTCAAAAGAAAATGACCAGGCATGAAGAAATGAACCATATCTTGGGAGTGTATGAAAGTTTTGCCATGTGATATACTTAAAGACTAGATGTTAAGTAGTGGAAAAAGAAACTGGATGGTTCTTCATTTGCAGTTTCATGAATAATGACCAAGCAGTAAATCTTAAGTCTTATATAAGGTGTGGCGAGTGGCTAACACTCGACACTTTTGTTGCAAATTTCATACAACTGGCAATCATTGCCATCATCCTAATTATTTCTGTTCTTGCTTAAAGCCTTGAAATGTGCCGTCCTAAAGTAGACGTTACATCCAGGTGACTGGAATTATGCACAAGTTAGCATGTCAACACAGCCCATCCTCCTGAGGTTTACCAACGTCAGAAACTGTTGTACTAAAGTGCCCTATCCTAACCTAACAGAGGACCCAAAACAGAAAACTGGACAGTGTCAATTTTGTGTGCCGCTACCATGTTCTAGTACGACAATTTTTGGCCCCTGGGTAGAATACATGTCCAAAATACGACGTCCTGTTAGGAGGACGGGTTATGCCCATTCAATTTATTCTCCAACTGACTTGCCGGTAATTTTATAATCTTTACACAAAAACTACAAGTACTGTACACTTTTGACATATAACTGCTTTTAACACGTGAGTCACATATGAGTAAGAATATTCAGCTATTACATTTATCCAAAAATGTGCTTATTCAGGCTTATTCATTAGTTACAAATAATAAAAAAAAATTACAATGATTCTTTCCTTTGTACTGTGTGCTTAACATTGTAAATGGAAAGTATTTAAGTCTACACAGTAATGCAAAATATTTCACTTAGTCATGTGTTTGAGAGATTTAACGAGGCAATGTTGGTGGTAGTAAGGCTAGAGAATTATGTACATTTTGTGATGACTTGCCTTATGTGTCCAAAACAGTATTTTTGGTTTCCTTGAAGTCAATAAAATATTAATCGCTGTCCCAAGTAATTTTGTTACTTTGTTTTTGTATATTTGATGGTAAACCTTTCCAGTGTTAATTTTGTGTAGTTCATAAGGTGAGTGAGAAACTGTTTAGGGAATATCGGATATAAAATAGGAAAGTATATATTAATATCTTTGTAGAAGTTAGCATTTACATCATAGATAAAGGGCTCTGATATTTTTAGTACAGTTTTTTACTTTTAATTTTGTCATGAATCAATAGTTGGTAAAAATTACCATTATGGTTAGCCGGTGGGAAGTGGTCATCACATTGGCCTAGTAGTGCAGAATTTTGGCCCTCGCCAAGAATTCAGTGTACTCTATATATAGTAGAATCCTCATTAAACAAAGAAAATTTTTGCGAATCCTCAAATTACTATACTCAAGAAATAAGAATTTTAAATTATCCACCCCCCATTAATCAGATAATGTACAATTAAAAGAATTAACACCATTATCCATGAGGCCTCTACATGATCCAGCAGCAGTGGACACTTATTTATGCCAAATTGCACAAAGTTTCCTGAAAGCCAATAGGCTCATTTTGGAAGAAATCATATTGCTTGTTTTAATTTCTAGGAGAACCCACTTGATTGCTTCTTGATGTTGCAAACTGGAACCATCCAAATCTTTAGTCATCAGGCCCTGTTAAAGTTGTTGTTGGTGATGACTAAGCTGTCTGTCTTCTTGAGGTCCCCACCTTTTTGTTACTGTGAGCTCAGGTATCTGGATGTTGGGACTTTCCTGGTTGACACTAGTTCACTGTGCAGGCTTGAGTGGTGCCACATGAAACAATGATGTGGTATAATCATCTCTGCATCTGGAGGCAATGTCAGTTCCCCACCCCCCCTTGGCCTGTTGGACCAAGCTCTCACAAGGTGTAAGGTTTCATTGTCAATGAAACTTCACATTACACAAGGAATTTTGTTCTTGCCCTCAATGGCATTCAGCTTTTCCCCCCCATCAAGTTCCATAACAAAAATGTAAGTGAAATATACATAAATGTAGAGTTGCAGAACACATCCCTATAATGTATAGAACCAAGAGTTGCTACTAAACTTTGACAAGTGATTTAAATTGTGATAAAAACTATATCTCGGTTTTAAAGGTTTAATAATTAACAATGAACATTTATGGGAAAATTGCCACACACTGGCCACCGTCTCAATGAACGAACTTTGTATGAAGTTCAAATGTATGAAATTTAAAGAAAAAAATTTCAAACAAATTACCAAACAGTTATTTGACGGGATGGTGATGGTGGGGAGGGGGTAATGATGGGAGTTCTAGAGTTGGCAAACCAGACAATCTCTATCTCCACAGACAATGGAACAACAAAATATATTGTATACCCACAAGCATTGTGAAATTGAATATATTAGAAATGTGCACTCTCTCTCTCTTCTTTCCATTTAACCAGACAGCCACAGCTAGTCAATAACACAATTGCACAAGGAACTTTATACTGTATTAGAAACCCTGGAAACACAAACCGTAACAGTCACTATTTTCTGCTTGTTACAACTTGTAATAAAGTTGTTACATCTTGGCTTAACGTGTTTGACGTATTAGAACGTTACAACTTGCTATATTGGTTGTTCGAACGTCGTAGTTTCGCTGTGTTTGCTGTGAAACAACTGAAGTTGAAGCTGCACTTGCCATTTCTTTCTGCAATGATGTTAAATCTTTAATTTGACGTATTTGTTATGCTTCAAAGTCCTGGGGGAATAGCTTTTCATAAACTACATAATTTCCTCATTAACATAAATGTGTTCACAGTACATCTTTCTTCACTGCAGCTTAACACTTTCGCTTGGGGACGACGCAATATGGCAACAAAAATTTATTAGACGAATGTGCCGGAATGACGCATCGGAGCGTCAAAAATTTCAAAACCTTTGGCTTGGCTGTAGGTGGGATGCACTGCGGTTTTGGACATTGTGCATAGACAGTACTCCTGCAGGGAATTCTATTGCAAACACATTGATAATAAAATTAAAAATCTTTGATAAGAATTAAGGTGACAAAATTGAAAAGATCATACACTTTTCAGTATTATCGCGCGCTCACGTGGAATGCCTGGTCCACCTACGGGTGGTTTGGCGCTCGCTCGCCCAAAGCGTTACTATAAATCTTTAAGGTCAAAATTTATGCAGACACTGCATTAAGGCTGGCTGTGACAAACCAATATTATTTATTAATTTTCAGACTAATGTGTTTTCCCTCATATTGACACTTTTTTACCACCCAAAGCTCTCAACATTGATAAGAACAAATTAATGGTCGTCAAACCCAGGCATTGGGAATTTCAACGAAAATTCATTAACTTCAGCTTGTAAGGCTTCAATTTTTGTCTTGATTTCTACATCATTTACAATTATTGCTTTAAAATCTGAAAGTTTCTTTCCAGATTTTTTCTTTGCATCAAGGGCAATGCAGCAGGCTCGGTCCAAGAGCTCAACAACATACTTAAATTCTTCATTCTTGAAATTACGTGATGTGAGTGCTGGGGTTCCTGTGGAAGTAGAGTATAATGGTAACACTCAAATGACCACTTAGTTGGTTAAAATTATCTCTAGCATCAATAAACTAGTTTTTATAATGCCAAACAAAAGTCATTTGGGAGCCGAGCGGACAGCACGCTGGACTTGTGGTCCCGGGTTCGATCCCTAGTGCCGGCGAGAAACAATGGGCAGATTTTCTTTCGCCCTATGCCCCTGTTACCTAGCAGTAAAATAGGTACCTGGGTGTTAGTCAGCTGTCACGGGCTGCTTCCTGAGGGTGGAGGCCTGGTCGAGGACCGGGCCGCGGGGACACTAAAAGCCCCGAAATCATCTCAAGATAACATTCAGACAAAGATTAAGTAACAAAATGCCCTTTTCTGCTTAAATCTCCTTGTGGCTCTTTGAAGTTTTGCCACACTATGATAGTATGCCAAACTATTAGGTGCCATCAGTCATGGAGTTCTCTTAGGCCTACTGGGGGACAAGCCAGAACCTGGCTCCTCAAAGAGGTGCAGGGAGCAATGGTTCTTGTTATAAAATTATTGTGAATTTATTCATGTCTGCCACCACCAAGGAAGCACCCAGAAAGTCAGCGAACCAAAACAGACCACTGCTGGTTACAAACGAGACTACAACCTTGAGAACAACCAAAACTCCCTAATACAGTATAAACTATCAAAATCAAAATTGTTTAGAGCAGGGGTGCCATAGGCACAATCAGAACATTGTATAAACATCAGAGGTCTGCAGTTAAACATCCTCCCAGCGAGTATAAGAAATATTGCCGGAACAACGGTGGACATCTTCAAGAGAAAACTACATAATTTTCTCCAAGGAGTGCCGGACCAACTGGGCTGTGGTGGATATACGGACCTATGGGCCACTCCAAGCAACAGCCTAGGGGACCAAGCTCTCACAAGTGAAGCCTGGCTCAAGTAGAACAACTCCCAGAACCCTGTCATGCAGGTAACACAGGAGTATACACAAAAAATTACTGGTGTGGGGAATGGCATTCTGGAGACAAACAGGAATGCTAACCCTAGCCTGAATTGACCAAGAGCCTACTTCAGCTGGCCAACATTGGCCAAGCCACCTTTTACCTCCAAAGTCCCCACCAAAGACCATGTTGCTCCCCAGAAATCACAGCCCCTGGGAAGACTCTGCTTCCAGAAGAAAAATAGGAGAGCTGTACACGGGTTGCCATGGACCACCAACACTTGGATGGCAAAAAAACAATAGCTTAGTATAGCTTGATGCAACCATATTAAGAACAATAAGCTGCTAAAAATTCTCAGAAGTTCCATTGCAAGCAATTCAATGTTTTTGTTAATTCCACATAACTTACTCCTAAGAATTCTACATTTAAAGAGGGTTATTCAACAATCTAATGTGCACGAATTACAAATACTACTCCTTCCCAAGAACCCATAGAAAAGGCTTCATAAGACACTAATCTCTAGGTCATAAAAGTGGCTACAGTTCTTCCATCCCATTTCAGGCACTGTCCATGAAAATCCCGTATGAAGAGAAAAGGTTTACTTTAATTATTAAGTACTTTTCTTGTTTATCTCTGCCAATCTGCCTAGTAAACTAACAATTTTGTTATAAATTTATACTTATGAGAAATGTTATTTACATTTCTTACTTACCTAGCCTGAGCCCACCAGGGGTAAGAGCACTCTTATCCCCAGGAACAGAGTTCTTGTTGACAGTGATATTACACATGTTGCACACACTCTCTACCCTTGCACCATCCAGACCTTTTGGCCGAAGATCTACCAGGATCAAATGGTTGTCAGTTCCACCTACAAACAAAAGAAACTATATAAGTGGAAAAATAAGTTGAAAAGATACCTTTTTGGAGAGCACTCACTCCTTCACACCCACCACGAGTTCTGAAAACACTCCCCCCTCCCCACACACCAAGTCATGGGAATGGTGTATACACATAATCACCATCACCTAAGTAAAAGACAAGGGGGGAGGCGTAAAAGACAAAGGGAGTGGGAACACATTCCTGAAAATCATGTACTGTACAGTACACTAACAGACGGAATGACATCAACTCAAGATACCACAGACCGTTGTACTAACAGACGAAAATTAAGACTATTTTAAATGAAGTTGTATTCACGAGAAGCTACTCAATTTGGAGATGTGACAGAAAAAGGAGAGAGTTGATATGAGGGTGAAAGAACACCTGAAGGTAAGAAAATTAATAATCAACAAGCCACATAAATTTTGATATAATGGCACTGGAGATTTGTAATCAGGATGATAAACCGATAATGATAAATGCCCGCAATCCAGCAGCAAGCAACACATGGACAGAGGAGTTGGATGACAAACGACAAGGACTCTTAGTGATCACAAGAGAGATTATAATAGGAACAGATAAAGATATATCACGATTGTTGATACTTATTGACTTCAACTAGAATTCTATAGACTGGGAAGCCTATGAAACAAGAATGGAAATATTCATGTAGCAACGTGTTAAACAGGCCACGAGAATTAGGGAAGGGAATGTTTCATTAATGCTGGATTTGAAATTCACCAGGACATTTAATATTCAGCAACTTCCTCCCTTAGGAACGAGCAAACATATCCTTATGGACATGGTTGCTCGTTCGAAATTAATTATTCACAACTTATGTGAGACTAAAGTAGGAATGTGCAGCAGCTGAATAGGGCCTGTAAAGACATGCAACTCAATGGCTTACAGAACTTCAAACAAGATCTACAACAAGAAGTTAAGAGGCATTAAATATGCCAAAGCTTGAAAACAGAAGAAAAAGGAGGCAGTTTGATCATTATGTACAAAATAGCAATGGGAATCGATAAAATTGACAAAGAAGAATTTTTTAAAACAAACTCCATTAACAAAACAATGAAGGTTCAAACTAAGGAAACAAAGCGGAAAAAAAATTGAATTAAATGAGGTGGTGGTGGAGACCAATACCATCAATAGTTTCAAAGTGTTATATGACAGTGCTGGGAAGATGGGACACCACAGGTGAAGCTCTCATCCTGTAACTGCACTTACCATAAGTAATTACACATATAATTATATTAGTTAGTTTTGTCATATAACTGATACCGAGTGAAAGATGGGGTAATTACAGTACTATAATATAACCGAGTGAAGTTACTGTGATATAATGAGTGAAAGACAATTACCCTGATATAACTTGCATTGAGTGAAAGATGGTAATCCAAAACAAGATTTGTATATTCTCCTCAAGTTGCTGCAATTTCCTATTTTACAGTATATAATTAACCTCATTCTTATTTATTTACATTGTGTGTGTTGGATTAAAGGCAAAGATACGGCTTATCCTGCCAAAACAACATACAGTACAAGAAAATTTAGAACCCACCAGAGACCAAGTTGTAGCCGTACTTCAGCAGTTCATCTGCCATTGTCCGACAATTGCTCATCACCTGTTCTTGATATTTTTTGAATTCTGGGGTTGTAGCCTGCAACAATGTTATGCTCATCAGCATGGATATAAATTGTCAGCTCTACCTATATTAACAGCATACAGAACAAATGGCTTAAATGACACCACAGGCTCTCACCTGTCTAAGCGCTACGGCAACAGCAGCAATAGCATGGTTGTGGGGTCCACCCTGCAGTCCGGGAAAGAGAGCAGAGTTAATGCGTTGTTCCAGGTCATACAATATTGGTTTTCCAGTTTTCTTGTCTACCGACTTTATTCCACGACGGAAGAATATCAGACCAGACCTATAATATATATATATATATATATATATATATAAAAAAAAAATTGAATGTAATGAAACAAATCCAATGTATTTCAAATTAACAGAAAATCTCTTATTAAAAATTTTATTCCAATTATATTTTTTTGGAGCACTGTGTGGGAATACATTATCAGGAGACCAACCAAAGTATTGGGGTACCATCCAGGGATTACCTCGGCCAACCACCTATTACTCAAAACAATAACTGCTTTATAAATCTTTTCATTATTCTTTGCAAATTACTCTCCAGAAAACTGTTAAGTTTTTATTTTTTACAGAAACAAACCAAACCAATCACAAGCACACATTTTCATCTTTTCTTTATTTTATTTATGTTGAAAAGTAAGTGTTGAAAAATATGAGGAATGTTAAAATGCTCAAACATTTGTACAGTGTAACTAACACCGTCACACAATCTATTATCAACATATATTTTGTTTTGAATCTATACTCAACTACTTTCATTTGCAAATATTTTTATATCAAATTTATAGCCATGACACAAACTACCTGAGAAAACATAAGTGAGCATAAACATTTTAGGCCTCGCTGAGCAGGACTTTGAGATGCCTGGAATATTAGTCGGGTATGTGCTGACAGGCCAAAACATCAAAGTGTGAGAAATTCATTCCACTTCCAAGGGCCATTATTGAATTCTATCCACTGAAGGATTTTGAAACCTATGTTAGCTTAAGATAACACCTGCAATAGCAATAAGTAAGAATACCTGGGTCCCCGTAGAGTTTTGTGTGTAGTAGACGTAACAACATGGCAATGGTCAAATGGTGAGGGAATTAAATCAGCTGCCACCAGACCAGAGATGTGTGCCATATCTGCCAACAAAATGGCCTTCACCTCATCTGCAATCTGATTCAAAGTATATTATTTCTCTATATTCTTCATTTATACTAATGAGAATGGCAATTCAAAAAGTCAAACTGTCTAAATAATTATAGATATATGACCCAATTGTTTTAATCAAACAAATTACCTATACTAACAGTTCATCCAAACAAGTGCACCCACTTGTCTGCAAGCGATAATCATGCACAAACAAAATATCTTTAAGAATCAAAACAATACACTTTAACAATCCTAGTACTAGACACCCTCATTCTCCCCCCCCACCCCACTACCTCCCAAGATGGGCACAGAAACAGAAGATTGCCGACTCTTGTTAAAAGGTTAAGAGCTTTCCCTTTCCTTAGTTCATGGTAAGCCTTACCCACTAGTTTCCCAGGAATACAAGCTGCTTTTTGTTTAACAACCAGTTACCCAATCACTTCTGGATGAACAGAGGCATACAGTTGAGTACTGGTGAATAGTCAATCATTCTTGGTCAGGATACAAACCTAGATCAAATCGCTCGCAAAGTGTGGGGAGTATGTGTTCTCTATGCCAGAACCCTCATCCCCTTGCACAATCCTGGCACTACACACCCTAGTTCCCTTGCCTAATCCTGGCACTAGACATCCTCGTTCCCTTGCACCAGACACCCTCGTTCCCTTGCACAATCCTGCCACCAGACACCCTCGTTCCCTTGCACAATCCTGGCACCAGACACCCTCGTTCCCTTGCACAATCCTGGCACCAGACACCCTCGTTCCCTTGCACAATCCTGGCACCAGACACCCTCGTTCCCTTGCACAATCCTGGCACCAGACACCCTCGTTCCCTTGCACAATCCTGGCACCAGACACCCTCGTTCCCTTGCACAATCCTGGCACCAGACACCTTAGTTCCCTTGCCTAATCCTGGCACCAGACACCCTAGTTCCCTTGCCTAATCCTGGCACCAGACACCCTAGTTCCCTTGCCTAATCCTGGCACCAGACACCCTCGTTCCCTTGCACAATCCTGGCACTTAGACGATTGTCGTGCCCTTGAAGAAGATCTGGACAAAATAAGTGTATGGAGCAACACTTGGCAAATGGAATTTAATATGAATAAATGCCATGCTATACAATGTGCAAAAGGAGAAAATGGGCAAAACAATCTATAAATTATGTAATTACCTAAGTGGTAATTTGGAAAAGCTTGAAAGAATTCTGATATAGAAAGAGTTCTAGAGGTGGTTCTAGACAGAAAACTGTCACCCGAGGATCATATAAAAAACACTGAGGAGCCTATACTACGCGTTCCAATTTTAGAATTGCTTTTTAAACACATTTGTGGCAAAATACTAAAGAAATTGTTCACAACCTTTGAGACCAAAATTGGAATATTTAGTAGTAGTACAGTGCCCATTTCTCAAACACACAAAAAAAATGGAAAAGGTGTGAAGACGTGCAATAAAATGGTTTCCGGATCTGAAAGACAAGACTTACTAGGAGAGATTAGAGGCATTAAATATGCCAAAGCTAGAAGATGGAAGAAAAAGATTTGATCACTACATACAAAATAGTAATGACAATCAACAAAATTAATAAGAGAATTCTTGAAACCTGGAACATCAAGAACAAGAGGTCATAGATTTAAGCTAACTAAACAAAGCTGCCAAAAAAAATCTTTATTGAAAGTTCACTTTTGCAGAGTGGTAAATGGTTGGGACAAGTTAAGTGAGAAGGTGGTGGCGACCAAAACTACATGTAGTTTCACAGCATTATATAACATGTAGTTTCACAGCATTATATAACAGAGTGCTGGAAAGATGAGACTCCAAAAGCGTAGCTCTCGTCCTGAAACTACACTTGGGTAATGAGGCAACAGATGCTTTTTCACTCAAATAATTCCAGGAAGTTGCCATCCCACCGAAATCACACTTTCTAAAATAGTGCTTTAGTTCAAAATACAACTGGTAAACATCTTCATTAATAATGGGGATGGAGGGGGGGGGGGGTGAAATTTGAACATGCACCCTGCTTTCTGTCCCCATTGAAGTCACTAGAGATAGTTACCCCAAGACAAACATGTAAAATACGAACTCCTGCATTGTCAACATACACCAAACTTTGTTATGCACTAAAAGTACACACCACTCTCCAAAATAAATCAACTTTATGCTCATACTAATCTTACAATTCTTTACCTCTCTCATTCTCTTGTAGTCAATTAGTCTTGCATAAGCGCTGGCACCTGCAATGATCATTCTTGGCCGGAAGAGACGAGCATGTTCATGGAGTTTGTCATAGTCAATCTGCCCTGAGGCAGGGTTGAGCTTGTACGACATAGACTCAAAGAAGATAGAAGTTGCAGATATTCTTTTGTTGTCAGTCATGAAGCCATGAGTCAAACTAGAATGTTACACAAGTTCTTTTACTATTCAACTAAAAATAAGTTGTTGTTTTTACAATGAACAGCAGCAAAATGCATTCTATGTTAAATGGAATTTATGAACAGCAGCATATAAACTATTGCTTAATTTTTTACATAGTCTGTCCGGTTCAGCTTCCAGAGCAACACACAGTTCCAACAATTTATGCTCTGGACTTCTCTACATTTTGAATCAAGCTAAAACTAGTCTACACAAGGCAAATATGCTCACCTAATCCATGTAACATCAGTGGTCAAGAGAGCATTAAACAAGATATGTATGCACAAGATGATTCTCCTGACATGTTCCTAGGACAAGAGTGCCAACTCATCACTTACTGTCCACCTTCAGGTAGGTCAAGACCCATGATGCGATCATGTGGTTTAAGTAGACCTGTGTATACAGCAAAGTTGGCTGGGGACCCTGAATATGGCTGAACATTAGTCCCCCAATCTTCTGGCTTCAGACGGAAGGCATTTAAGGCACGCTCTTGACAAAGTCTTTCAACCTGAAAGTATTTTTTATGATAAAACTCATAATAGAAATTAAAATGAACTGAAATCAATTTAAAAATACTTAACAATACATAAATTAAACATTACCAGAGGGTATACATACATGTATGGAGTTCAGCCTGTATGCCCCTATTTCCGCATATAAGAGTCATATTTTCCTATCTGTATATATCTAGGAGAAGGTTTAGTTGATTTTGTGACACTTGAAAGGAAGCAAGATGCTACAGTTAGAAGAAATACAGATTTTAGGTTTAATTGGGGGGGGAGGCAAGGCTAGGAGACGACTCCATCATCAAATATGGCAGAGCAGCTCACTAGAGGAGAGCTTTCTCGCTCAGGAAGTGAATGCTGGATACAGCATCAGGTGTGGCGTGATTGGTCGCAATGGGGAATTGGCTAGATTGACCAATGTTGTTGCACCCCAGGCGTCACGTAGCATGACGTCAGGCGCCCTGCAGTGGAAAGCGGGAAATCTGAGTCGCTCACTACCAAGGGTCCTGCTGCATAACCTTATGGAGAGGCAACTCGACCTGGGTAAACCTTGAGTTTCTGTGGCCACGGACACCCCAGCAAGGAAACTAGAGAGTTGTCGAGTTACCTCACTCACTGCAGAGTGCAAGGCTGCGTTCGGAGGGACTCTGCTCCGTAGTTTGACTGAGGTGCTTCCCAGAGGTGAACAGTGGCACCTAGGGAGGGAAGTAGGGCTCCATCAGTGAGAAGCTCTAGAGTGGAGGGTGCTGCATCACTCTAGGGTGGCCACCGTCGAACGCTCTAGAGGGACATTGACTCCTCTTAAGGCAGAGTACGCCATTGTGGAAATTGGCAATTCTGGAATACTTGATTGGGGGTCAAGACCTGTCACAATACATACATACATACATACATATTTATATTCTCACAAGTCACAATCAATCAAGCATTCACTGTCAAGACTGCTCACAGGCAGTTATAACCAAAAGCAGTCAAGCATTCACAGTTGCAGTAGTAATCAGTCAGGCATTCACAGTTGTGATTGCAAGTTGGTTGACAAAACTGCACAGACTAACCAATATATCATTTACATTTTCTTTCAGAACTGCAAAAATGCTAATACAGTACTGTACTGTACTGTATTAAAAACAATAGTTGTCACTGGACTCCTCTTCCCAATAATGAAAGGCATTTTTATTTCATGATCATAAAATGATTTCAAGACAATACACAATGAGGATATAGCTTTAATGAAAACCTACTTGAAGAAAAATAAACAGGTTCCCTACTGGGATACCTAATTATACTAAGGAAACTAAAGACAACCTTTACCTTGTCTATAACATCTGTACCACCATAGTACCTCTGGCCAGGATAGCCCTCAGAGTATTTGTTGTTGAGGCAGGACCCTAGAGCTTCCAGCCCTGAACGTGTGCAGAAGTTCTGCAATGATTAAAAGATAATTAGTTGTTTATCCATCAGTTGAAAGCTAACTCCCATTTCTTCAACCTGTCCTCAAACATAATGCACTGCCATTTGGATACTGTTGCCCACATCGAGGGAGGGTTGAGGCTGGACAGCTCAAACATGTTTTTGTGATTTGGAAAGGATAAACAAGCCACACCACAGTGAAAAGATGCATAAAGTGATTGCTAGGAAAACAGAAACCAAAGAAAAGTTAAGGAAACAAAAAAAAAATTGTTTTGTAAAAAGCTAAGTATTAGCACATGACAATTGTAAAATGACCAGTAGTCATTTAGTAGTAGAGTAGTAGTTTAGTAGTAGAGTAGTTTAGTAGTCATTGACCAGTAGTAGTCAAGGTTGTCTTAACAGCAGTTTAGGCCCTAGGCAAAGCAATGCACTGGGGCCCTTTACCAAGATGATGGGCCCCTGCCCATCCATTAAAGTGCAGGATTACAGTCAGATAGTTATGCACAAATTATTTAGTGCGTGCCAGAATTGGCCATTTCTATGAAATCCAAAAAATTTGTTTAAAACTCCCATTTATTGACATTTATCATATTAACAATAAGCATAAAAAATTCAAAATTATTTAATCTCTCTTCAGAACCCTAACTCTAATAATGAGTGCACAAGAGCACACCTTTGTTGTGACAACCCATATCAAAGGATTGCGATATATAATTAAATAAGAGAAAGATTTACAAGGAAATTTCATAGAATCGGTCCATAAACCAAAGCGATTCATGAACTTTTGGAACATATTTAATAAAACTGGATCTGTACATGAGGATGTGGGAAGAGGATGCCCAAGGAAAGAACGCGATAGTATTGAGGGAGTACAGCAATTGTTCGAGGTTGAACCAACAACGTTGGTTAGAAATGTCAGTCGAAGAATGAACATATCCAAGAAACACTTCATAGAATCTTGCGTTCGACACTGATGAAAAAGGTCTATCACATTCAGGTACTGTGTGCCTTAAATGAAGAGAATTATTCAAATTGAGAAATCAAGAAGCAAGGTATGAAGAATTTGTCAATCAAATCAAAAAATGGTTCATTGGATAAAATCTTATATGATGAAGCAACTTTCTACACATGTCGTAGAGTTAATTTACACACTTGTCATATCTGGTAAGATGAAAAATCATCTGAATTCATAGAATGGCAAAGAAACATGCCAAAAGTTAAAAGTGTGACTTGGAATGACTAAATCCAAAATTTATGGCCCATTCTTCTTTCAAGAAGCATCTGTAACAGGTACTGTCTACCTTGATATGCTTAAGCAGGTTCTTAAAACACAGCTTCTTGACGATGGCATTCTTGATAAAAATGCTTTCGCAATCATTGGATTGGATGTGCATGACCTTAATCTCGGCCTAAGTGTTCTCCAGATTTGACACCCCTGGATTTCTTTGCTTGAGGGTATAAAAACACAGGTTTATCGCCAAAGGATCAATAATTTAGCTGAACTTAACGTTAATAGAGTTCTCTGTCAGCGTACCTATTGCAAATCTGCTTTTCAACTGGGCTCTGGTCCCTGGTAGGCCTAAGCACTTCATAACTGAAGCAATCTGGTAGATGGGAACCATCTGAGTGTATAGCTTCTGAGAACCAGGGCTCACCCAGAATTTGCCATTACAGTACATTCATTTTTTTTTTTGGTCCATGTTATCCCAGAATCACAAAGATAAGAAATACTAAAAATAAACCTGCCACAAGCTTTGGCAAATAAATATTTGTCAGAGAAATGTTACATACTTCAGATGCGATGAGCTCAAGGCCACGTTTCTGGCGAAATTTTTCCTCCTGCACAAGCTGCCACATCTCTGGATCATCCTCGGCCATGGTTTCATTACCAGTGAGGCCAGATGACCAACGGCTACCCACTACTAGCCACTGCACATTTTTCGGCCTCACCACCTGCCATACACAAAATAATTAAAATGATATTATTTTATACTGTACAAGAATTTGATATTCAAATAACAGAGTTAAATTTTAGCAGGATACAAAATCCTTGCATTGTACTGTACATTTTGGGTTTAAAAACCGAGATGCAGATAAAGTCTTCCCCCTTCAACACCACCTCAGCTGTTGTAGAGGCTACAACAGCTGTTGCAGGGAGGCAACAACAGCTGTTGCAGGGGGGCTACAACAGCGGTTGCAGGGGGGCGACAACAGCGGTTGCAGGGGGGCGACAACAGCGGTTGCAGGGGGGCGACAACAGCGGTTGCAGGGGGGCGACAACAGCGGTTGCAGGGGGGGGCGACAACAGCGGTTGCAGGGGGGGGCGACAACAGCGGTGGCAGGGGGGGGGGCGACAACAGCGGTTGCAGGGGGGGGCGACAACAGCGGTTGCAGGGGGGGGCGACAACAGCGGTTGCAGGGGGGTGACAACAGCGGTTGCAGGGGGGGGGGGGGCGACAACAGCGGTTGCAGGGGGGGGCGACAACAGCGGTTGCAGGGGGGGCGACAACAGCGGTTGCAGGGGGGGCGACAACAGCGGTTGCAGGGGGCGACAACAGCGGTTGCAGGAGGCGACAACAGCTCTTACAGGAGGCGACAACAGCTGTTACAGGAGGCGACAACAGCTGTTACAGGGGCGCAACAACAGCTGTTACAGGGGCGCAACAACAGCTGTTACAGGGGCGCAACAACAGCTGTTACAGGGGCGCAACAACAGCTGTTACAGGGGCGCAACAACAGCTGTTACAGGGGCGCAACAACAGCTGTTACAGGGGCGCAACAACAGCTGTTACAGGGGCGCAACAACAGCTGTTACAGGGGCGCAACAACAGCTGTTACAGGGGCGCAACAACAGCTGTTACAGGGGCGCAACAACAGCTGTTACAGGGGCGCAACAACAGCTGTTACAGGGGCGCAACAACAGCTGTTACAGGGGCGCAACAACAGCTGTTACAGGGGCGACAACAGCTGTTACAGGGGCAACAACACATGTTACTACAGCAGAGGCAAAAACAAGTGTTGCAAAGGCAACAACAGGTGTTACCGCAGCAGAGGCAACAACAGATGTGGCAATTGCAACAACAGGTGGTACCACAGCAGAGGCAACAACAGGTGGTACCACAGCAGAGGCAAGAACAGGTGTCACCGCGGCAGAGGCAAGAACAGGTGTCACCGCGGCAGAGGCAACAACAGATGTGGCAATTGCAACAACAGGTGGTACCACAGCAGAGGCAACAACAGGTGGTACCACAGTAGAGGCAAGAACAGGTGTCACCGCGGCAGAGGCAAGAACAGGTGTCACCGCGGCAGAGGCAAGAACAGGTGTCACCGCGGCAGAGGCAACAACAGGTGTCACCGCGGCAGAGGCAACAACAGGTGTCACCGCGGCAGAGGCAACAACAGGTGTCACCGCGGCAGAGGCAACAACAGGTGTCACCGCGGCAGAGGCAACAACAGGTGTCACCGCGGCAGAGGCAACAACAGGTGTCACCGCGGCAGAGGCAACAACAGGTGTCACCGCGGCAGAGGCAACAACAACACGTGTCACCGCGGTGAAAGATAAGGAGCCACGCAGGAGCCGCCTCAAGCAGGGTTCACTGACACAATCTAAGATGACAGCTATTTTGGTCGTGGTGCGAGAGACGATAAGGTGCATGTGGCGCACCTGTCTACATACACCCGCTATCACAGCGGTGTTAACTTACTGGCAGGAGGCGAGATGTTACCCTCCAGGCCAACATATTTCCACAAATTATGGTGTTAAGGCCACGCTGCACAACCACTCCCGTCCTTTACTAGTGCTGAAGCACACTGAGGCTGCTTTCCTCCAAGCATTCCTTCAATGACATTTTCGTATCCATAAAACCACCCTTTCGTACATACACACGTGTGCGCTGGCTTGCGTTCGCTGCTGTTCTCATCTTCCAGTCAGACCATATATAGATTTCGAGAATAAATTAAAAAAATGAAATTTCTGTAACTTGGAAGGAAAATCGTTTGGTATGGGACTGTTTTTGTTTTCAAATTAATTTATAGGTAGTTTATAACTGAGTTAACTTATTAGTTTATTATAGTGTAGCGAGTAAGCCTTATACTCGCTCCATTATCTCATCATCTTAATGGCGTAACTAATTAGCACTAATTGCAGGAGCTATAATCTCTTCCCTTAATTTAATTTTAATTTATATTTTATTAATTATTTTTAATTTTAATTAATATAATAAGTATATATCTATTTTTAATTTAATCACGGTTGATTTGTTTTTGTATTGAAGCTGGTATTTTCTCCCCTAAATCCATATATGACTAACCATTCTGTGAGATGGGACTATTAGATGAACTTATAGCTAGTTGTTTAGTCAGAGTTGATTTGTTTTTGCATTGAGGCTGATATTTGCTCCCCTGATTTCATATATGATTAACCATCCTGTGAGATGGGAATATTAAATGAACTTATAGCTAGTTTTTTATGTACACTGTGTAATCTTTTCTATAGAAAAGGGTAGCAACACATTGCTGTGTATACCTAAACTTGTTAATAAAAAATAAAAAAAGTGGCTTTGCAAGAATGTAACGTTCAAACATCAATGTTGTGTACTCTCACAACCCAATGTGTCTAAAAATAATAAATCAATCAGTAAATAAATAAATAAACAAATTTAATGATCATGTGCCATCTGATTATTCACCTTTTTAAGTTATTCTCAAATTCTATTGTCTCGTTTCAGTCACCTTATTGTCATAGCCGGAAACGCTCGTGGCTGCTAGTGGCTGTACAAGAATGTAAGAACTCTTATTAATTACTCTAATTATACTCTTGTATATCTAAATAATAAAAGACGAGAACAGCAGCGAACACAAGCCAGCGCATATGTATATATACGAAAGGATTCCAACATATATAAAATTGTTCGTACGAACGGGTACCTAACCGACGTAATCCTAAACGGTTATATACGAATCGACCAGTACCCGTGTTAATTATCAGTGACGGTGTCCAGTGACGGTGCTGGTGACGGTGTTAACCAAGAAGCAGCAGAAGATGGGCAGCTTGAGGCTGAATATAATAGTGGCGATGTGTGAGGGTCGAGGTATCGGCAGAGATGGCCAGCTGCCCTGGAAGCTCAGGTCAGGGAACATTCCACTCCCACAATTTTTGTAACGTGTAAGATTAAGCTAGTATGCATACTCTAAAAGCAAACCTAGTATTTCGTAAGACACTAATGTTACAAAACATAAGCTAACCTAACAGACTTACCATAAAACTATGAGATTTATCTAGCCTAATCCAATGATAACGACAATTTTAAATGACTACAGTACAAAAATTTGAAAAGTAATTGCATGTGAAATACCTGTGTAAAACTGTATTTTCTGAGGAAAGCTCCGTGTAGCTCCCAGAAGCTACTATTACTGATCTCTATCCTAGCAGAGGATTTATTTAAATCTCAGTTCATTTGTTCTTTAAATTACAATTTAATTAGCAAAAAAATTCACTTTATTCAGATCTTTATTTTTGTACTTACATTTAACTATTTTGATTTTAAGCTGAGATATATTTGCTCATTAATATCAGATATCAGTACTGTTTAAATTTAAATATTACTGTAATTATTTGTATAATTAGAATTTTTACTGTAGTCGTAGAGTGTATTTATCTGAATTTTACTAAGGGCTACCAACACCATATTGGCCTCAATAAGGACAGGAAACCCAGCAGCTTGTCAAAAGTCCCCCATTTGTCCTGATGATTTTTTTCCAGCTGAAATTTAAAGTTCAGCAGAGTTTTGGCATTTATGGCCTCAGCAGGTAGGGAGTTCCATGGGTTTATAACCCTGTGGGTGAGAAAGCATCTTCTGTTTATAGTCCTACACTGTGGTTTGTTGAGCCTAAAACTGTTACATCTTGTTTGCATTACATCTGACCTTTTGAAGAAATTGTCTGAATCATCATCCAAATTCTTCAGTACAGAATTTTGAATGCTTCAATGAGATCAGCCCTATCACTCTTGTTGTGCAGTATTTAGTGAATGGTGGATTCTGACTCCAAGTTCCTTTTCTTCATCAATCTTCTGCAAGATAATGATGTTAATTTGGTAGCTGTGACCTGGATTGTTATGCCCCACATGCAAGGTCTTGCATTTATCGATATTATAAAGCATTTGCTAGTCTTCTGACCATTTGTAGAGCGCATGTAGATCTCTCTTTAAGTTCTCAATAACATCTTCACTTCCCACTTTGCTATAAATCATAGTATCATCTGTAAATTTGATGGTGTGGTTTGTAATATTGTATCCTCATCTATGTCATTGATGTATATGACAAAAAAGGGTGGCCCCAAAATGGACCCCTTGCAGTATCCCACTCGCCACATTTCTCCTGTGTTAGTGGCTTTACAAGACTGTAAGAATTGTATATACAGTGTAAATATAAGTATATATATATATATATATATATATATATATATATATATATATATATATATATATATATATATATATATATATATATATATAAGATTGAGATAAGACCTGGGTAAATACTGGTTTTGTAACAGTTCTGGGTTTGTGAAACAAATTACCATTTTTTAGTTTAGTTCATTTATTATACACCTCCATTCCCAATTCTGTGGGTGGTAGTGGAAAGAGTTAGACTCAATGAATTCATGCCAATAAAGACCTGGGTCGATTTACTGACCCTTCCCAGGATGAAACCCCACAACAAGCTAACTCCTGCAGTAGTACCTATTTGCTGCTAGGTGAACAGGGATGTTAGGTGATTGGAAACATGCCCAACCATTTCTGTCTTGAACGGGATTTGATCCCGGAATTATCGATTGAGAGAGAACGAAGGGTTGAGGGGTTTTACCAAAAGACTAATTACCTAATTAGCTTTAGGTAATTAGACGGACCGAGAACGAACCAGACTGTCTACCAGGACCATTAAATCTTAAATGTTCTGTGGCTATTTATGCAAATTATTATTGTATATAGTCATTCTACTAGTTAATATCGCCAATGCTTCTATTTGAGCAAATAAGTGCAACGTTAGGATCAGTGAGGTTGATATGTTCCAGCACTCGCTCACCAGGCAACAAAATATGTTTTGGACAAGTCGCTCCACAACATTGTCGCTTAGATCGTCGACGTCAAATGGTGCCACCTACCAAATGTTTTCGTCCAATTTCATAATGAAATGAAGTGACTTCGAAGTATAAATGCTTTTTCGTAGTTTGCATTCAGCACCAACATTATAGTGAGTAAATATACCATATTTCTTCATTACTTATGTAATCCTTGGAAGCTTTGGGTAATATTAGGTAGTTTTGGGTGGCTTTGGGTAAATCTACGGACAGCTACAGTCTTCCCGGCTTGTTGATATTTTTGATAATTACTATCTGCAGTAGGTAAACTTGGCATACTTGACTAGGATTAGGGGTAATATGTTATTGGAGATTAAATATGTGGCCGTTTTCTTTATAATGGACGGTTGTTTCTGAATTTTTGGATATGTTTACTCTATGTTATTTACCAGATGCGTCTCTTGATTAGTCAACAAACATGGCGGCTGTTAAGGTAGTGGCTGGCCGATTGCAGGCCACAATTTTCGTCTTTATTGGACTTATCATGACCGTAAACGGAGACAGAGTAAAGCATAAGATCTATCAGGATATCCAGGGAGACATGGCCTGCTTCAAGAGGTTCAATGGAACTCAGGAGATTGGCTGCACCTCCAAGTTCTCTGGGAATATTGGTGTGTTGCACGTCGTGGAGAATATGTCTGACCTGGAGTGGGTGTACAACAAGGGTCCTCATCACCCATATATCCTGGCCTTCACTCCTCGCTTCCTTATCCCAGAGGTGCTGCAGCAGGCTCAACATTCTGGTAAGGTGTCAGGCGTGGTGGTCATGTTGCCACAAGACTACGATCCTGGGATGACCAGTAACTTCTCTGGTGAGTCACAGTGTCCCAACCACTGGCTTGGTCTCTACAGTAACTCCTCCACCTCTAAGTATGCTGACCATTGCTGGAATAATCCTTGGAACCCTAATGGTAATTCACTTCTGTATATGTCGTGGAATTTCCCAATCTTTTTGGTAGACAACCAGACATCGATCCAAAATATTAAGAACTATTATGAGGATTTTAATAAGCCTGGTGATGATGAGGAACCCCGATCGTGGCCTCTATGTTGCATGGAATTGAAGTCAAACATGTTTGGAACCACCAATACAGAAGTGTGTGTGAGACGGCGAGCCATTGCAGCATCGGTGTTCCAGCCAGTCAACTTCTGTGACCCACTTTATGACTATAACATTTGGGGTACAGTTAAGCCCATGAATAGCTCAGAAGTTATTCCTGATAAGTCTGTTATAGTTGTCGCTACCAGAATGGATGCAGCCACAATGTTTGATAATATTTCTCCTGGTGCAAATTCTGCTGTGTCAGGGTTAGTGGTCCTCATGGCTGCTGCTAATGCACTCAATGAGCTAAAGGATGACATATTAAGTTCAGAGAATGACAAAAATGTACTGTTTGTAATATTCCAAGGAGAAACTTGGGGTTACATTGGATCATCACGTATGGTCTGGAACATGGAAAAGGGAGAGTTTCCTTTCAAATATCAAGTTGACAAACCTGACCAGATGTCACAAGTCAACTTCACACACATTGACTACTTCATTGAGTTAGCTCAGGTTGGTCAAGGAATGACAGCTTCAGGAAGTCAGCTGTTTCTCCACACTGATCCCATCTCCAATTCTGACCCTGTTGTTGGAAATGAGACAGAAGCTTTGGTGAATCTCTTGGAGTCATTAGCTAACAAGTCTGGTAACCTACAGCTTGAGAGAGCTGATAAAGATGTGCCACTACCACCTGCATCCTTCCAAAGTTTTCTGAAGAGGGTTAATATATCTGGTGTAGTTATTACTGATCACAAAGATAAGTTTAAGAATCCTTACTATGAGAGCATATTTGATGATTATCGCAATGTAAACTACATGTCTGAAAATACAAGTGAGGAAACTGATGTATACCACAACCACATCAGTCGGGTTGCAAGCTTGCTGGCAGAAACCCTCTACACGCTCCTCACTGGACACACAAAAAACATCAGTATAGATGAAAAACTGACAAATGACCTCCTGTATTGCTACATGAAGAATGTAAGTTGTCAAATGTTTCGTGACTATGGAGATAAGTTGTCGCCAGATTTCTTTAACAACAAGCCTGCCAAGTTGTATGTCAGTGTCAAGGAAGGTGAGAGTGATAGAACATTACTCACTCACTGGATTTTTGCCAGTATTTTAGGCAAGGAAGTGGCACTAAACAAAACAGATTGCAAGGCAGACAATTTCTACCAAGTTAACCAGTTGTACTATTTCTCCTCCCTAAAAAATGGAACATGCATCATGTCAACAGTGAGGAAGACGGAGGCTATGAGTCCTGCATTCCTGATAGATGATTATGACTGGCAGTCTGGCGAGTATTCTACATGGACAGAGAGTGGATGGCAGTTAACCAAGGCTATGATCTTCTTGAAGCCTTCAGTGGCAGAGGAAGTTGGTCTAGTGTGTGGTGGAGTAGCTTCCCTCTTGCTATCACTGCTTGTTGTCTATTTTATGAATTCAAGAGCAGATCTTCTTTTTGGGTTGTCTATCCCTCCAGCAGCATGCTAAATAAATAGATGGGTAGTGTTCTTCTCTTGTGCTTAAACCATTATAAAAGAGAAAAAATTTCCATACAATTTTTAATCCAATCCTTCAGACAAATGTTATTTTTGTTTATTTACCAAATAAATTATGGCTGTTGTATATTTTCATATAAAATTAAATATTGTTAATATAGCCAAGGCTAAAGTAAAACTTACATGTAACTAGTGTTACATGTCAGTGCAGTGTAGTGGTACCACTACAATTTACCAAAAAATGGAGGCAGGTATTACATAGTATTGTACAGTGTAAAGATACTGGTTCATTAAGATCTCAAAATATTGCTGGGTAGGTTAAATTAAGAATTAATTTCTTTTTGATTCATCTTGTAATGAGTCACATGTTACATCTTATGTTCATAAAATTTTCAGTGAAGTTAGCATAGGTATACATATGTACTTTAACCACTGTGCATAGCATCTTAAGGCATTCTGATGGTTGTGATTTGTTTTTAATAAGGCCATATTTTAATGTTTTTTAATGTTTTCATCGCTCTTTGTGATTTGAAATGAAAATGGTTGAGTTTGGAAACATTTTAATATGAACATTAGCTGAACATTCATCAAAACGACAAAAATATGTCCTTAACAACTACACCATGAAATTTTTGCCCAAAACAGGTGTGCATTGCAGGGGTTAAAGATATACAGTTCACTGTTCATCAACTTAGAGATTCATTGATGGTAAAAAAAAGAAATCTATACTGTATAAGTGGGGGAGGGGGGGGGGGTAAAAATCTTCCAGTTTTTGTATTGCAAACATAGCAATTAACCAAAAGCATGCAGATGATAAGGTTTAAGCTATTGTCAATACTGATGACTAAGTACTGTAAAAAAAAAAAAAAATACTGTGAATTGTTATAATTTATCTAGTTCAAAAGTATCATAAATATATTGTAGTATCAGTGTACTGTATATAAAGACTTGTGCCATTACATTATTTTGTGTAATGGTTTTCATTGCTATTTAAACTGCATATCTTGAGGGTTTATATGTGTATGCTTGATGGTCATCGCTGGCAATACAAGTATGGTGTGTGTGTGATAATGTTCATTATTTTCCCTTATACTATACATGTCTTGTTCTTACTATTGCCAGGCATTTTTGAAACATAAATATGTTTTCTTAATTTATACTGATGGAAAAAAAATACAATTTCCAATTTTGTTTTAATTTTCTATCAGTCATTCAATCAAGTATTTAAAGTTAAACAAGACAGACAAGAAGTAAATATCTAAAAAAAATATACTATATATATATATATATATATATATATATATATATAATATAATATAATATAATATAATATATATACCTATATTGCCATTTTTTCAATACTCGGTGTCTGACAAGTAACGCAAATAACCAAGAAATATGTGGAAGCTAAATGAAAGTTAAAATTATGCACTTTAAAACTTAATAGACTTGATCATCATATTTTAGTGGTTTGAGTGTATGACATAAAACATGTAAAAATTAAAGACAAATGTAATTGTTCATCAATGTAAATGAAGAAATTTGAATAGGCCTATTGATGTTTGAAAGGGCTAATCTGAATAAAATTGTTTGATTAGAACTTTGTCCAAAGGTGGAAAGTAAATTTTTTCCTTAGGATTGGGTTTAGGTTTGCCTGTAAATATAATTAAATACAGGTATAATAATAATTGTCTTGGTTTTGAAAGATTGTGATTTATTAAATACTGTAAATGCAATAATTATGGTTCTGAAAATTTTTCCCAAAATTTTTAGCAATTGTATGTTTTTATAATAATTTTTATAATATGTTTGTAAAATGTTATGAAATAAGAGACTTGGTAGTTATAGAGATACAGTATTTTCAATTTTTTTTTAAATTATAAGGATAATTTGATAACTAGATCAGGTAAGGTTTATGGGATAGTCTTTCTCAATAAAACTGATTATTATAATAAATTTAATATCTTGATTGTTATATTTAGATTTATTGTTAAAAATGAATGCATCATCATTTAATACTTGAAGCTAAATTTAATATGGTATTATGATTTAGGTCATTCAACCTTAAATAGTAGATAATGTGTACTGTTATTTCTGTGCAGTTGGCTCCAAACTAGGTTGGTAATATATGCTGCTTAAGATTCATTAACAGGATTTTCCTGTTAGATCAATAATTACTTTTAATGCATCAAGTTTAAAGTTAAATAGTTCTGTGGTCATGACAAGTATAGATCTTTTGGTCTTGCACAAAAGATGTAGCAATTTTGGTCTTAATTTGGAAGCAGCTTGGTAAATTGTTTAAGATTGCAACTTGCATTTGATGGTAATCTTTATTCACAGCTTGGTGGTGTAGCAATGGTATTTGCTCTTTTCCCATATGATACTCGTACTATTTCTTTGTATTTTTAATTAAGAAGCTTTGAATAGACTTGTCACTTAGACTTAAAGCCCATTTTTTTATTGTAGATATGTAATCCCTTTCTGGTTTTCAGTTATTATTCATTCTTTCACCTTGGATAAGGTTACTTTAATTCAAAATATACAAACTTGGGAAAGTACTCAGTGAAATTGAGGCTATAGTAATCCTAAAATAGCATTTGTGGATGTATTTATTTATTTTAGAGGTCACATTACTATAGTTCATTGAAAATCACATTCAATGGACTTGGATTGAATATTTTTTCCCCTATTTTTTTTTATATATATATACAAGAGTTGTTACATTCTTGTAACAGTTTAACATTCTAATTGTTACATTCTTGATTTAAGACTAATAGCTGATTTAGCCATTTATTATGTACACTATTCTCATTCTGTAGGCATTGGTATTAGCATTAAAACTTCAGTTACAGATATCACAGTGATAAAGAACTCTGTAATACAAGGTTGGCATGAAACTTTATGGTTTCAATTGTTGGAGAGACGGGGTTAGCTATTGCATATACCAAATTATGTATAGTACTATAAAATGTGACCTATCCTTTTGACTGTTCTGTCACTGAAACAGAAAGCAGGAAATGTCTAAATAGGTTACATATTGGCCACATACAATTAACTTGTGGGCACTTAACAGAATGCCTGAATTTTTAATTTTTTTTCTTACTATGTTCTCTTTTTGTAAGCAGGTACTTTGTCTATCGCCTATACCCAAGCTGTACCAACACCTCAAACCCTGCCACTTTCACCCAGTGCCGTACCTTCCCATCATACTCTTCCTTTGTTCCTTAACTACTACTAGTTGAATCAGGCCTCACCATGTCTGTTGACTAAACTTACCCATATACATTCTTCCCCACTGTAGGCAGAGGATGATGGTAGTTTTTTTTTATAAATATTAATACTGTTGGTTGCATTGATATATGCCTGGCATAATGTAAAATTGCCGGTCTCTGAAGCCAAACCCTTAGATGATGGCTCGTGAAGAATTTGGGTTGATTTGGTGTAAATCCGGCTTATGTCATGTGATGTAAAGAAATTGGAATTTTACTTATAAATCCCTATAATTACCAAGATTTCATAACTCTGGTTGTTATCATCTAATAAAACGATAAACCTTATTATACATTCCGACCGTCCCTCGTGGTCACTTGTCCCTCAATAGAATTCTTGGTGAATCGGATACTTTTGATATCGTTCGCCTTATGCATTTGTTCTCATATTGGCAACCTTAGTGATATTTAGCGCCCTATGATTATTCCGCACATTTGATGGCACTACATAGCCTTTCCGGCTTGGTGCCGTCTTTTGATAATTACTTGATTGCTTGTTATTATACAAAAGAAATTCATGATTAAAGTTTTAGAGCATGTAGCACTATCATGCTCAAAAATATATATTCAAAATATTAACCTTGAAACAATTTCTAGTATTTTTCTTTTCATGATTATTAGATATTTTCCTTGAATTCTGCCAGAAAGGAAAATGTAATTAGGTGTAATATTTCATCCATCAGAAATTGATATAAATATCTGGATTTAATTAATTATAAATTATAAATATACAAGGAAGGGTATTGGACTTTAGCATTTTTTTTTTTTTTTTTTTTTTTTTTTTCAATGCAGAAACTTGTACAGTAATTTACCATAAGTGCCACCACTCCCTATGCCTCTAGAGGAGGCCAGCTTCTGGCTTATGGTCTCTGGCAGGCTAATAGAATTCCATGACTGATGGCACATAGTATGACACTTAGAAATTAGCTTTAGGGAACCAACGGGGCTTGCCCAGAAATTGGCATTTTGTTACATTCAACTTTTTTTTTTTTAACAATGTATTTTTAAAGTGATCGCAACATTTTGTTTATTTACTTTATTGTATTTTTCCAGTGAGTTGGTGTAATAGAGCTGACATGGTATTGTGACTTGCCATCAAAGCTTGAATTGAATTTGTATGTTTACATGTATGAAAGAAAGATAACTATTTATAATAAAAGTTTTAAGAAATCTAAAAAATATAATTTGTTTCCAACAATGCTGTTACATTTACATTTTAAATGTTTTAATAAAAAAAATATTTTTTAATCATTTAACTAAAACAGACCTTGGCTGTGAGTCTGGGGGGCCTCCCACTAAAAATGTTGCTAATTGAACCTCATAGCTCCTAAGTCCAGCCCTGACAACAGTAGGTAACATATAATTCCTACAAAAAGAATGGACATTTTTCAAGTATTATAAGAAACTTCTAAAGCTGACAAAGAATACTGTAATACATGAAATAATACAATATTCTTTAACAATGTATAATGAGGAATTTCTACATCTTAAGTTAATATAACATTGATAAAACAAGACAAAGTGATGATACTTATAAGATGTAATGTGATTTCATCCTCCTTATCTTGAATAGGATATTACAGTCAAATTACAATATTTACCAAGAGGTTGGTTCAGCAATTCCATAAATATGATATATTTTGTATTTTAAGGGTCCTGGTAGTACAGTACAGTTGGGTTCGTTCTCAAAGCACAATCGAGAATTCCGGGTTCGAATCCTGGGCAGGACAGAAATGGTTGGGCACATTTCCTTTCACTTAATGCCTCTGTTCATCTAGCAGTAAGTAGGTACTCACGAGTTAGTCAGCTTGTACGCGCCTAGTTGTGCTTGTGGGGGTTGAGCTTTGGCTCTTTTGGTCTCTCCTCTCAACTGGTGTACAGGTTCAGGAGACTATTGGGCTCTTATCAAATCTACATATGAAACCGTGTATGGAGTCTGCCTCCACCACATGACTGCCTAACGTATTCCATTTGTTAATTACTGTGCTATGATACCGAAACAAATTCTTTTTAATGTCTCTGTGGCTCATTTGGGTACTAAGTTTCCACCTGTGTCCCCCATGTTCGTGTTCCACCCATGCTAAATAGTTTCCTTTGTCCACCCTGTCAATTACCCTGATAATTTTGTAAGTAGTGATCATGTCTTCCAGGGACATGAGGTTTAGCTCCCGTAGCCATTCCTCGTAGCTCATACCTCTCAGTTCTGGGACTAGTGTGGTGGCATACCTCAGAATATTCTCTAAATTTGCCTTGTAATTACCCAAGTGTAATTACGTAAGGTAAGCACAAAGTAATTACCTTGTGTTTAACTAGGTATGAACTCCAGGCTAGAGCTGCATACAGTACTTCAGGATTGGTCTGACATAAGTGGTATACAAGGGCTTGAACAATTCCTTACACAAGTTTCTAAAGGCAGTTCTTATGTTGGCCAATCTAGCATATACCACTGATGATATCCTTTTGATGTGAGCTTCTGGGTACAGGTTCTGTGTGATATCAACTTCCAGATCTCTTTCTCTATTGGACTCTTGCAGGATTTCACCTTTCAGATGGTACCTTGTGTTCAGCTTCCTGCTCCCTTTGCTTATTTTCATTACATTAAACTTTCCTTAGTTAAACTTTAGTAGCCATTTTCTAGACCATTCCTCCAGTTTGTTCAAGTCGTCTTCTAGTTCCTGTCTTTATCTTCATCTGTCTTGATTCTTGTAATTTTTGCATCATCAGCAAACACTAAGAGGAATGAGTCTATACCCTCTGGAAGATCGTATGCGTATATATAAAACAGGGTGGGTCTAAGTACAGAGCCCTGTGGGACTCCACTGGTGATATCTCGCCACTCTGATTTCACCCCTTTCACAGTTATTCACCGTTTCCTGTTGCTTAGATACTGTACTGTATGCTGTACTGTACACCGGCATTTGGGTGCCAGTGGCTGAGTGGACAGAACACTAGACGCGTGATCCTGTGGTCCCGGGTGCCGGCGAGAAACAATGGGCAGTTTCTTTCACCCTGATGCCCCTGTTACCTAGCAGTAAATAGGTACCTGGGAATTAGTCAGCTGTCACGGGCTGCTTCCTGGGTGTGGAGGCCTGGTCAAGGACCGGGCCGCGGGGACACTAAGCCCCGAAATCATCTCAAGATAACCTTATCCACTGGAGAATCTGCGGGGTTGCATCCTGGGCAGGGTAAGTAATTCGACCTGGGGGCGGGGGGCCTCGATATAAGCCTAACGTGTATGAATACTGTGATGAAAATCTGGAATAGAGCAGTGGCTATTCGGGCAGGTGTTGTGCCCATCGCACAGTAATAAAAAAAAAAAAAGTAAATAAGGCTGCTCGGGTCCCCTACTGTGTGAGAGTTGTGGGTAAAAACCAGAGAATAAAAACTTCAAACATTTAATATAACAAAAATGACTTTAATATTACACCGAAATAATAATTAATAATTAATGAAAAAAACCTTAGTCACTTGGCTTTACACAAGATCAAAAAGAGAAATATATACAAGTGAAATTTACATTAATAACAAGGGTGCAAGTAAATTCTTTATACAAAACTTGTACGCATCTACCGTCACCCCGGGAAGCGAGAGTAGATGTTACATTTGAGAGCACTTGAAGGGTAGTCTGTTGAGCTGGATGCTGGCAAGCGCTTTTATACGGGGCGTGACATCATAACTGGCGCGAATTCTGTAGGTACAGTATAACTATCGGCCGGCAGAAGAACGGTCATTAGCAGGTGGCGTCTGGTCCCCTGCCGAGACAGCAGGTGTGGTGGTGTCTTGGATACTGGAGGGTGGACGGGGGAGGTGGCGTATCTAGATTCCCATACGTTTGAGCACTTATTGTTGTTGTCGTTGATGTTGGAGCATGCAGATACGTTGATGAATAGGCGGTAAAGAGACAGGCAGGATCTACTGCTAGGCAGGAGATTACCATATCAATACACTCTGGCTTCCTGCCCCCTCGAAACAATGAATTATTTATCATGTCCCAACATAAAAGGTACAGTATCAAAACACGCAAACAAATAACACTTTACTGTATAACCGACCTCCTAAATGAGGCAAATGCAATGTTTTGCAGCTTTAATTGAAACTCAGGTGTAACAGGAAACATAAGTTACAGGGTGGGGTCAGCCTGTACATCAAAGACGCTCGTTTGCATCGAACTGCTAACCCCACACACAAGATATTGTGGAAGTGCTGATAATCAAAAAAGATATTTTCAATGTGATAATTGTCCATGTATGTAAATCACCATATGCAAATCCTCAGCAGTTTAGAGACCAACTTATGAAAATAGAATACTGCATAGAAAACCTCTCAAACCCAGCCCCAAACATCATTTTGCTTGTTGATTTCAACTTGAGGCACCTAAAATGGAAAAACATATCTAATATAATTATACTAGAGAATCCCAGAGAGCAGTCTAAAAGAACAGAAATACCTCTTGTAAGTGTGACAGATTTGCCTTAATGAAGATAATTACCAAAGTGTAGTTACTGGGTGAGAACTATGCTTGTGGTGTTCTGTCTTCCTATTACTGTACTCTTTAGTATATGACACTTTGAAACTACTGATGGTTTTGGCCTTCACTACCATCTGTTAACCTGTTCCTACCATCTACCACTTTGTTTGCAAAGTAAACGTACTAACATTTTTTTGGTAGCTTTGTTTCCTCAGTTTGAATCTGTCCTCTTTTTCTTCTCCCGTATAACAGAATCTGGAGTGCCACCAGACATTATTCTTCTACAAATAATTTATGATTAAATAAAACCATCCTCAAATTTCAGCACTAATCCTCCCATAGAATTATATACACTCTCCATCTGTTATCTAGACAAGTGCCTTTTTCACCTCATGAAGTTTGATATAAAATAATGAAGATGAATTTTCAGTTTTCATATAGACCCGAGTAAGTTTTATACTACAGTAATTAATTGTTTTTAATTTAATTCCTTAGAGAAGAGATGAAGCACTTCAGCCGCTTGACAAAACGTACAAGTTTTCCAGAGAAGCAAAATATGGTTGTGATGGGACGAAAGACATGGGAGTCTATTCCAGCAAAGTTCCGACCTCTTCCTGGTCGTATTAATGTTGTCCTAACATCACAAGCAAAGTATGTTAACTGGTTTTAATCTGTGGAAATAAGTTGTGTGTGCTGTAATGTGTTAATAACATGTTAATAACTTCACTATGTCACTGTACAGTGGGTAGGTGCTTCCAACAGGGACTGTTCATGGTTTTGTTTAGTTTATCATACTTTTAGTTTGGCAAGTTTCCACTCATATTAAAAATGCCTCATTGTATTGACATGAAACTTGAAATGTTTAAGTTTAAACAAATGAGCATGGCTGCTTTTGAGATTGAGTAATGTAACCAATATTGTATATACTGTATATCATTTTACTTTTCTGTTCCCATGCAATATCTTAAGAAAGCATAATTTTGTTTAATTTGAACTTGAAACATCTGTTCATTATCATTAAGTTAAGGTTCCTTTTGTTGTTAGGCAGAAGAACCCAAGGGTAAGTATTTCTGAGCAACCCCCTACAGTTCCTTGCCACACCAGGACTAGGGTCTATCCAACATACATTCTACACACCAGGGATACTGTTCACTGTCTCTACACACCTGGGCAAGGGTACACCTAGCACACTGCACACCAGAGCCAGAATTCAACAAGTATTAATGCATCTACTTATGAACCCGTACATCTTTTTTCAATCTTTGGCGGTTTTGTTTACATTTATTAAACAGTTTGAGCTCTAAAGCACTAGGAGGCTGTTTATAACAAATAACATTTGATTGGGTAGTTCCGTTGCTCGTAAACTGTTAATTAAATGTAAACAAAGCTGCCAAATATTGAGAAAAGATGCAGGCGATGAGTCACAATAACGTGGCAGAAGTATGTTGAGAAAAGATGTTCAGATTTGTAGATAGATGTGTAAATGTTTGATGAATCTTTACCCAGAGCTATTATCTACCCAGAACTGTCAACACATCCAGGTTAGGGTTCTCTCAACACACTGTCTACACACTTACCTTACCTTACCTTACGGCTACTTTGTGGTGTTTCCGAGGATCAACGTCCCCGTGGCTCGGTTTCTGACCAGGTCTCCTGGTTGGTCGTCTGGTCAACCCACTCTTGGACGTGGCTGCTCACAGCCTGGTTGATCAGGTATCTTTTGGAGGCATTTATCTGGCCGGCCTCTCTCGAACACCGAGAGGGGCCGGCCAGTTATGCCTCTTATGTGTAGTAGGAGTGTGTTGAAAAGTCTTAGGCCTTTGATGTTGATACGGTAGTTCTTTCTTAGCATACCTATTGCACTTCTGCATTTTAATGGGGCTATTTTGCACATCCTGTCATTCCTACTGGTTTCATGTAATGTTATTTTCATGTGAAGATTCGGAACCGGTCCCTCAAATATTTACCATGTGTAAATTATTATGCATCTCTCTCACCTGCACTCTAGAGAATACATTTTTAGTACGTTTAATCAGTCCCAATATTGCCACATGAAGAATTTGTTCAATGCACAAACTTAACTTCAATGAAGATATTAGGTTTATTCCACTTTTTCATATACAGAATTTTCCATCCAAATTAATCACTCTGTAAGGGAAAATTATCTTTTTGCTTTTAATTTTTTTGTGCATACACAAGTATGGGTCTAAATCAAATGCCACATGCCGAGGTTAAGTCTAACCTCATTCCAGAGCGGTAGGGGGGTTAAGTCTATCATTGTTGCTTGCCCAAAAACTCTATATGGCTTAGCTGTTCCAAGCACAACTATTGAAATATTTACAACCTTTATTGTATGAAGACATGTGAGTTTTGTTAACAAATACAATTATTTGATTTATTTCTGTTACATTTATTACCAAATATTTCTGTGTGCAGGAATGACCCTACTCATTTTGCTGGCAGCATTACTTGCAGCAGTTTTGAAGAGGCATTACAAGAGGCTCTCACTTCTGATCTGCAGGTGGAGACCATCTGGGCTATTGGTGGGTCCTCAATATATAAGGTGAGATTAAGACCTTTGAAATATTGTACTAGCATGTCTTTACACTTTTTTTAGCTTACCGATTTGTTTTTTGAGATGTGGGCTCCATACATGTGCTGAATAGTTAATAGTTTAATTTATGTTTCATATTTTTTTTTTTTTTACCATTACTCCAATCATGAATATATGTAATTCCAATATCGAAATTGATCATAGTAGCATAGACGATGGCAGACAGAGTGTCTGCACGCCAGAGGAGGATGGGACCTCAGACATCAACCAAGTGGAAGAAGTCGACCCAAACCCAAAAGAAGCAGGGTTCTTTTAAGAAGCGAAGTTCTGATCCTACAGCAGGAATGGTGTGCGAGTTTGCAGCAATCTGGCATGCTCTGGGGTTACTTTGTCTCCCAGCAGATTCTTCAGGTAGCTCATCTTTTGGACTATCTGGGTTTGGCTCACCATGCAGTCCATGTTTGGGACATGTCCAACATTCTGCTGGACAGCATCTCATTTTCGTCCCATCACCATGAAGATGACCATTCATGATGCTTTCTCCTGTTGGCAATGCAAGACATTCATTTATCCCAAGTGGACCGCTTTGCATCATTATGAAACTGGCGGCTTCCAGTTCATGTTGCTCCATTCCCTGATTGTGAGGCTCTCGTGGAGGCTGCCAGACTAGGGTCTGTGGTTTCTTTTGGGGAGTTGGGGAAGGGAGCCCCTTGTGACTCCCTAAGGGGGTCCCTTGTGACTCCCTTAGGCTATACACTGAAATGGTTTCCATCTACCAGGTCACATCAGCCATAGGGTTCTTAGGCTACCAGGGACCAGACCCTGGGGCCCCCCCTTTCCCTCACGTGGTGACATTTCACTACTTACCAGGAAAGGCATCCAGAAAGTTAATGAATTCACTACTGGGTTCAAGAGAGCAACCTCACAGCCTGCCTAATGAACTCACAACTATGTAAACAAACAAGAAAAATCTGTAGGAGCCGTGAGGAGGATACAGCAGTGATTTTCTCATTAATGCATCATGTTAATGTGATTTCTTTGTATGCAAGCAAATGACTGAATCTTTCGAAACTAGCATGAGCACATTTGCCCCACCTTTCCCAATCGTTTGGGGAAAAGAAGGAAGATGCTCATCACCTCCAGGGGTCTGAGCTGTCAGTTCGTATGCTGATGCAGTCAAAGTCACTTGACTACTGTAGTTGTTTCGGGTCGCCTCTGTCGTGCGGACTCCATTGTTCAGCTAAGTGTGTAATTTAGTAAAATATGGTTTAACTTCATGAACCATGTCATGATCATCACCTCAAATCCTACTTTCAAAGGGTGGGGAGGCATGAGCTCAGAGATCATCTCCCACTGGCTGATTTTTCCAGTCCACTGAAACTTTAAAACAGGTTGGTAATGAAGATCATGATGTGGCTTATGATTTTATGATCTAAAATGTGAATTTTGTTTATATTTTAGCTATGCTACAGTATTTTTTCTTATTGAATTTTCCAGATGGCTATGGAGTCGGATCATCTTCACCGTGTCTATCTAACTCAAGTATTAAAGAATTTTGAATGCGATACATTCCTTCCATCATTTGATTCCAGTAAATTCAAGCTTGTTGAGTAAGTCAAATTTATTTTCTTTTAAAAGTACAGTATCATCAGCCCTCAGTCTAAACCTAGGGTTATGTTTCAATAAAGCAAATGGTCCACTTGCTGTGCATATAATACAGAATGGTCTAACTGGTTTCAACACCTAGCCCCAGGCCTAAACTTCAGCATAACATACAAGATGTGAGGCCAAGGCAGGAGGAGGATAATCAGACCCAGCAAAAAAGTGGGCAATAATCAGACTGGTGAGCATATGCTGACCAGACCACACACTAGAAGGTGAAGGGACGACGACGTTACGGTCCGTTCTGGACCATTCTCAAGTCGATTGTGATAAGGGAGTTGATGCAGGGCAATAAATAGGCAAGAGAGAGGTGAGGAGCATAGAGACCAGGGGAATGAGTGTGTGTGTGTGTAATTACCTAAGTGTAGTTACAGGATGAGAGCTATGCTCATGGTGTCCCGTCTTCCCAGCACTCTGTCATATAACGCTTTGAAATTACAGATGGTTTTGGCCTCCACCACCTTCTCACCTAACTTGTTCCAACCATCTACCACTCTGTTTACAAAAGTGAATTGTCTTATATTTCTCTGGCAGCTTTGTTTCGTTAGTTTAAATCTATGACCTCTTGTTCTTGAAGTTCTGGGTCTCAGGAACTTACAATTTAGGTACGACTAGGAGCTAGTGACCACTGCATTATCATGTTTGTTTACATTGTAGAACTAAAAGGAGTGTTAGAAAAAGGGCAATTAGCAAGAGAGGGAGGGAGAATATTGAAGAGGAGACTACAGGAAGGTTGGGGATTATCTGCAGGAGGTTCAGTGGGAGACTGAAATGGAAGGAAAGTTGCCAAATTAGATGATGGAACTCATAACTGCAAAGAAGCAACAGAACAGTTCATACCTCTTGGAAGGAAGTCGACGAAAGAAGAACAGCAAACCCATGGTTCAACAGTTTAAGGAAGAAAAAGCGAAGAAAGAAGACAGAAAAGGCACTGAAAAAGTACAGGGACATGGGTACAGAGGTAAATAGGGAGGTACTAGAGAGGGCCAAGAATGAGAACACAAGAATCAGTAGGATAGCAGAGCAACAGTTTCAGAATGACATTTCTGCAAAAACAAAGAGTCAGCCTAAGCTGTTGCAGTCATATATGGAGAAAAACAATGGTATGAGACCATGTGATTAGACTTCAGGGACAGGGAGGCACACTTTCTGAGAAAGACAAAGAAGTGCTTGCAGAACTCGACAATAGGTTCTAGGAGGTCTTTAAACCAGAACCACATTGGTGTCCAAGCATGGGTGGCAACAGCATTGAAGTTAATGTAGATTAGGTAAAAAAGTGGCATGAGGTTTTGACTGTTTCAGGTGTTTTTGTGTGGCACCTCTTCAGTCACTTAACGACTGCTTGCTACCACTCTTTCCAAGGAATTGGGGTTGATGCAGCTTCATGCCCTGTTACCTTTGGTGTCACTGGGCTTTGTATTGGATGACTTGTGGGCTCGTTTGCACTTGGCCACAATCGTCCATTTTCCGGCCCTTGCTACACAAGGGCCAGAGCTATTCTGACTGGCTCCATGAGGACATTAATTCGCTCAAATCTGGGTCTAGTAACAAGGCAGGTGCCTTCTTACTCACCGTGGTGGCTTGAGTGGCTTTGCCCAAGCTGTTTGCGCCTATGCTCCAGGAAGCTGTTACCACGTTTTGCCCTGCCATCTTGCCCGTCATTAGAATTGGCTTGGTCCTTAGTCAATTTGTCTGCCATTCCCTTTTCACTTCTCCTCTTTGCAGAGGATGTTGTTACAGTTTTTGTCTTTGGCAAAAGCGTCTTGCCAGCTGCTCTCATCAAGTGTTCTCAGGGTTCTTATCCTCACTTTCAGAAGCAGTCCTGTAGAGCTGGGGTCTTGCCTGCTGATGGTCGGGCTAGGCCCCTTGTTGGAGCCAGATTCTTAGTCATGTGCGCCTCCCGCTGTCAATGCCTCTTCTTGTTGGTGGCGCTCTTGTGCCTCATAGAAAGGATACTGTTGGACGTGGTTCACACCGGCCCTTTTTCAATTCGCTCTTTTGATGGGAAAGTGGAGAGAGGGGTGGCTTGCCCAGTTTGCTGAATCCTGGTCCAATGATTCATGGGCCGGTCTCTGGTAGGCTCTTGGTGACTCACAAGGGCCTGGTGCAATTTTGTAGGTTTGGACTATCCAGAGTAGTTAACTGGAAGCCATCTTGGATCCACCAGAAAGAGGTGTTTCCTTATTCAACATTGGGGTTTTCATGATACAATACTTACATGCTGGCTATCCCCACAGATGAGTATTTTTACATCTGAAATTTATACAAATTTAACATAATCTGAAAATTACATTTCATGACTTGGCAAGTGATTCTTGTTGTAGTTTTGAGTGCTTTAATGACCATGATTCTTTTATACTTTCTTATTCCAGTTATCAAAATTCAATATTGGCTGTATCTCATCTTTAGCAAGTATAAGATATTTGAGTTTGTTGGGTACGCAGCCATATTGATAGTTGCCCTCAATAAAATAGCAGATACCACTGCTGAAGAAGCCATTCATACCCTTTCCATCTCTCAAAAGCCAGTTTATTAGGTTTCTAATCATTCATAATATGATACATACACAACCATTATAAAGATAGATGGTTAGATACTAAAAGTAAAAAATGATGTACCAATAGTTGTGACCAGTCCCCATGGCCTTCCTTTTAAAACAAAGTAGTTAGTTGAGAACGTCTTTGCGAAGGTTATGTATCAGCCAGACAAAATTGCTAAAGGGCAATTAATAGAATGTAGAACTGCATCATACTCTTAGAATTGGTATGTTTTATTCAATTTTTAGTCATACTGTAGTTCACTGTCCTGATTTTCAGGATAATTTATATATTTCTTTGCCACTGCTCCAATACTCTACATTCTCTTGATAAAAAAAAAAAAAAACTTTCTTGACATCACCCATCATGTGTCTTAGTGCACTCATTTTGAGATCCAGAATGATCTCTAGTAATTCTCTGATATTTTGTAATAAAGCTAGTGCTATATAGTTATATTGGCTTAGCACTTTGCCTTGGTAATTATTTAAATGTAAGGAGATTCTTGCCTTTTAATTTGCTTATTAGAACTTATTTGCCAGATCTCTGGCCTTAAAAATCTGTTGTAAACTGTACAGTATTTCTTACTCTTTCAGAGATCCAGAAGTTGCAAAAGAGGTTCAGCAAGAAGGTGATATACAATACAGATACGAAGTGTACGAGAGGCTCTGAGATTTGCAGATGTCTGCTATCTCAGCAATTGCTTATAATTCTCAAAATGTAATTTCTGTTTATAGTATTAATTGTATATTTTACCATAGATCTCATAAAATACAAGCATCATTTTACACCACTAATTTTAATTTCAAACATATTTAACTACAAATGCCAATGTGATTTTTGGGACCAAGCTTAACTTTAGAAAAATACCATATTGTAGGCAAGCGACTCATGATGATAATTTGATTACTTTAATATATGTGTATGAAATTATTAACAGAACCAGTCTCATAAAGTATACCTTAAAATGGGGAAAAGTATAACCACACATGAGGCAATGTTTATGTATATTTCAGAGCAAACCACTCAACATCACAGTTTTTCTGCACGTTATATATTTTTTAAAACTCTTGGATTTTCGGAATGATACACGAGCAAGGGTTTAATTTTCAAATCGCCACACAGCACAAGAGTTAGCCTATCCTGACACAAGTTAGCCCAAGTTAGCTTGTGTCCGGGCAGTGACGTCTCCTCTTGGGTAATGTATGTCCTCTTCGGCAATTTTTTCCAGAATAGCCATGTCTCCTCACAATTAAACACTTGTTGTGGAATATATCCATCAATACAGTATCTACAAAATCTTTAAAATCACGAACAAATCTTTCAGCCCCTACTTTGTCTGAGCTGGCACCCTCACCATGCCTCACAACACTATGAATACCACGTCTTTTTTCAAAATTTCTCAAACCATCCCCTACTCACCTTAAACTCTTTCGTATCTGCAAAACTCGTTCTAGGGGTTTTCTTTATAAGATCTTGCATGAAGATTTCATTGTTGACCAAACCACACACTGGAAATTGAATAGACGACGACATTTCGATCCGTCCTGGACCATTATAAAGTCGATTGTGATGAGATGAGGGAAGCAAGAGCATTAAGTAGGCAAGAGAGAGAGGTGAGGAGATGGCAAGTATGTACGTATGTACATGAATAAAATATGTACATACTTATACATAACGTGTGTAAATAGTGTAATAAACACAATAACAGTATTTTGGGAGGAGGAATGTTGGCGAGTAATGTGTTGGAGGAGGGAGGGAGGACTGGCAGGGTGTGGCAGCTCACTCATGTTTTTTGAGCTCACCATACCAACATAGTGGATCGTTATGGTGAATACATACGTACATGGGTATATACAATGTGTGTATATAGTGTAATAACAGCAAAAACACTGTTTGATTGTAGAATATGTCGCATATATGAGGCCCATAATTTTGAGCATAGCGATGTTCTATACTTTGAATTATATAAATTCCACAAATTACACACTTTTAAATAATATTACAGCAAAAAAAGGAAGAAATGAATGAGAAACTTCAAAATAATTGCGCAACATTTTATTCGCAGCAACTGCCGTTGCACGGGGTGGCGGGGCCGACAGACCCCCATCGCTCCAACGCTCAGCGTCCATAATTTGCTCAACTTCCCAGCTCCATCGCAGCTAAAGTAAGTCACATACAATATTTTTTGTTTAGTTTCCCCGTGATCAGACTCTGCATTTTAACAATATAAGAAGAGAAAACAAATTTTTGGAAAGATTTTATTTCTTGTGCACCAGGGTGTTATTTGGAGACAGAGCAGTTCAGTGGTTAACTACTAAATTTTTTTTTCTCCCACACACGCACCCCCCTAGGAAGCAGCCTGTAACAGCTAACTCCCAGATACCTATTTACTGTTAGGTAACAGGGGTCATCCCCTTTTGTACAAAGAATCTGCTAAAGCTTTTAGGGCTAATCTTTGACACTCGTTTGTCTTTGTCGCCCCATATTTTTTACGTCCGAGTTGAATGCTCTAAGGCCCTTAACTAACTTTAGGTCATGTCCCATACTTCTTGGGGAGCTAATCGACACTGCTCCTCTCTTTACATTCCTCTCTCGTTCTGTCTAAACTCGATTATGGCCCTGTTTACTCGTCTCCTTCTCCTTCTACCCTTCACCATCTGGACACACTGCATCATACTGGGTTACGGCTCAGCTCTGGTACCTTTCCTTCGACACCTACCCTAAGCCTGTATGTTGAAACTGGCGTCCTGTTTGTACAGGATCGCCATGATCGCTACTGTCTTCTCCACCTTGCACGGTCCTTACAGCACCCTCACTCTTGCTTATGTCATGCCTTGACCTTTACCCATCCTGTGGTTCCTGTTCCCCCTTCACCACCTATCTCTTTCTGTACGGTTGTCTCTCTTACAAAATGCTCTTTCAGTTTGTGTTACCAATATTTCCCCTCGTGTCATTCCGTCTTTGCCCCTATGGAGGGGTCCCCGTTCCTAAATTCTGTAAGCCTTGACCCACATGACTAAAACTTTTACCCCTCCTACAGTTCTAAATCACCTTTTCCTTGAACACTTTTCTTCACACTTCCACTCTATTTCCGTCTTCACCAATGGGTCTTAAGTCTGCAGACGGTGTAGGCTACTGTGCTCTGTTGTTTTTCCTGACTGCACCTTTGTGTCTCCTGCCTCCGGAGACTAGCATCTTCATGGCAGAACTTTATGCTATTTTCTATGCTCTTCATCAACTCTTTTCTCGCTGTCAATCCTCCTCTGTGTTTGTAGTTGACACTTGCAGTGCCCTCATGGCTCTAGAATCCTTTAATCTAGTCCATCCTTTGGTAGTTGAAATTCAACATTGGCTGTTTCTTATCTCCAGTAGATTTAAGACAGTGGAATTTCGCTGGATTCCCGCCCATATTGGTGTGTTCTTAAATGAGCGTGCGGACACTGCCGCTAAGGAAGCTATCCGCACCTGTCCCATCTCCCGTAAAGGTATTCCTTATTATGACTTTTACCCAGTTATTCATTTCCCCATTCTTGCCCGTTGTCAGGGTTGTTGGTCTTCTGTTACTGGTAACAAATTGCGTGCTCTTAAGAGTAGTGTGTTCCCGTGGCCTTCCTCCTACCACCGTAACCGGTGGTGGGAAACGGCTCTGGCGAGGTTGTATATTGGTCATACACGTTTAACTCACGGGCACTTAATGGAGCGCTGCCCTGCTTCTTATTGTCCAAACCGTTGTCTCTACATGTCGTGACTTCCAGGACTTACGTGTCTTGCTTCCCGACCATCCCTCACTGTCAATTGTCCCTCGATAAAATTCTTGGTAAATTCAATACCTTTGATATTGTTCGCCGTATGCGTTTTTGTTCTTGTATTGGCGACGTTAGTGATATTTAGCGCACTATGATTATCCCACACATTTGATGGTTTGATAATTACTGTACTGTACTGTACAGTACTTTGGTTTGGAATGTATCAAATAAAGTTGTTTCATGTATTCAAATGTGTGAGAAAATCCACTGGGGCTGTGAGATGAAGCGAACCTGTAACAAAGGCATTGCCAGTTGCATACTCTACCACCACTGATGGTAAAAGTCTTACAACTGGATATCTTGTGTGACGGGTTATGGTATCACAGCTATACTGAACCAAGATGGTATGGCTCTCCCTCACATAAATGAAAGAAATGCTGCTATTGGCCTTGCAGTGTGTAAGTTGCAGGTGGAAACAAATGAAAATTATCAAATAAATAATTAAACAATTTACTGAAATAGTAATGAACAAAAATAACACATGACAATACTTGACTATCATGTAATGCAAAGGTGAACAAGTTAGTATGACCTTAAATGCAAAAAATAAACTATAAGCAATGAATAAAAGTATGAAGATATACTGGTGTTCTGAAGACAGCGACCATACCACCATGGCATCAGTCACAAGATGTTGGCTGGAAGTGGACGACGGGTTAGAGACACGAAGGTGATCCTAGAGCACTAAGGGAGAGATTGCCTCTCCAGGGAGGCAGCGCTCTTTATATAGTCCGGCGGTGATGACTCATCCAGTGTCAACACGAGGTGGACATCTGGTCAACTAGCAAACTGCTCGTTGTGGCTGGCGGTGCCTTTGTGTTGAGCTGTACCACTGTCAGTTGAAGGCGGCTAACTGCTTGTTTGTGGGGACAAACTGCCAGTTAGCAGTGGCGCCCGGCTTGCCTCTGAGTCGTACCAGGCCGTGCCAGGCCCTGGGGGGTATGGAGAGGTGGCAGGACTGATGACTCTTCTGGGCTGGTGTAGATGTATACTTCCAGTGCAGAGGCATTGAAGGTGAAGGGAAAAGGCAGTTCCACTGCTATGCAGGGGATTCATTTGACACTTGTGAAGCCACAGAAAGTCTGGAGGCCCTACTGAAGCCAGTCCAAGTATTAAATAAAACCCCTGAAGTACGCCGGTGAAGGGTAAAGTGAAGGGTGAAGCAAGACCGTATGCCCTAACTTCAGGCACACACAGAAAATCACGTTTTGGTCCCGCCTCTCAACTGTGTATTTGAAGTTGGGGCGTATGGTGTTGAACTGCTTCAGCCTTCACCTGAGTGCTTGTAGGTCTTACGTAAGACGTTGACTCAAGGAGGGGCCTCAAAACTTGCTGTGATTTATGGGGAAATCCGGTTGTAAGACTTTTACAAAGTCAGTAATATACTGTGGTAGAGTATGCAGCTGCCAGTGCCTTGGGCAAGGGTTTACGTCGCCTCACAGCTCCAGTGGATTTTCTGTTTGGTGTATATCAGGTTGTGATTTTGTGTGTGTACCGTATTGTTATGATCGCCGTCTGATAAGTCCTTTCTGGCCTCAAGAGTCATTTTTACCCACCTAGAAAGATTGCAGATGGCCAAAGCAGTTATTTAAGTTAAGAAGGGACAAGTCTTAAACAGAATTTTGCATAATATTTGACTGTAAAGGGGTAAATTGAGGTAGATTGAAAAACAAAATGGTGAACCGGACAGGCGGTACTCACAATTAGGCGAGTACACTCGGGAACTTTTAAAGTGCAACCAAACATGCTTTAGGCTCTCACAACAAGAGGTGAGTGGTGGTGGCTCAGGTGCTCAGCCAATCAGAGCACCTAAGGAGGGAGGGCAGGAGTGAGAGGGGGGTGGTATGTGGAAGTTTGGTGACAGTTGTGTGTAGTTTGTTCATCTTCATTGTAAGTTTCATGGCTTGGTGTGCATTTCCCTAGTAAATTTAATTAGGGAAAAATTCAGGTGTTTGATTTTTTAAATCAACTTTTTAAATGTTGAGTTGTTAAAGCCTCAAAGTGCACGGAGTTGGTTTGGGAGTATGGCATCCTCATGCTGTTGCGTGCTCGCGTGAGGTAGCAAAGGTGATGTAAAGTTGTGGGGTGTACATGCTTGGGACGTCCTCTCTCAGGATGGCTGGTGTTAGACCTGCGTGTTTGTCGGTTGTTGAAAAGCCGTCATCCTTTGCTGTTGTGGTATTGATTTTACAATGTTCATCTTGTAATTAATACTGTAGTGCGATATCTAGGGCTACCATTTGTAGGTTTAAAATGTCTAATACAAACAGTTGTCCAATGAGTTTTAATAGGAAATATCATCCACCAAGCACCATTGTACAATTATATTAATTGA